GAAAACCTCCAACACAACTCGGAAAAAAGTCAGAGGCTGCCGATTCTAATTTGAAAAATGGCCCAAAAGCTGCCAAACCGCGCAAGGAATTCCCTAGGCGCCACTCGTAAAAAAATGAAAGCCCCAAAGGCCCAAGCTAGAAAGTGGCCCGGAAGTTGCTAGCCTGTTCCTACTTTGTTCCAGTCGCCACCAGACCAGGAAAAAAGTCCAAGACCAAAGGGACCAGGCTGAAAGATGCGCAAGAGTGCGCCGCTTCCTGGTAGCCTTAGGCGACCAACTTAGGCCAAACCCAAGCCAAAGAAACCCAACGCCCCCCCCCCCCTCCCCCCCCCAAACCGTAACCAAACTGAAACCAAAGGCGAGCGAAACCGAAACCCAACGCGAACGAAAGTGAAACCAGGCCCAGGCTAAACACAGACGAAACGCCGACCAACCTCGAGCCGAACCTGAACCAAACGCAAACCGGGCCGAAACTCCAACCAAGTCCGGACCAAACTCAAACCAAACCCAAACCACGCCCACGCGCAAACGCGAACCCGACTCCAACCAAACCCAAACCAGACCCACGCCAAACGAAAACGCGAACCGAACGCATTCAAAAACCAAGCGCAAGCCGACCAAACCCGCCCGCCGGAAGCCCGCCCGGCCTCAAACCAAACGGGCGAGCCCTAAGCACGCCCGGAGCTCGAGGCAGGGCCGGAGCCCGCAGCATGCTCGAAACTCGGGCCAGGCCTGGGGCTTACGCTGAGCGCGGAACCCAAACGGGGCAGGCTGCGACGCGCTGCGTGTGCGTCTTCTCTGCTCTTCCCTCTTCTTTTTCTTGGGTCTTCTGAACCGCAGGGAGCCCGATGCCAGCAGCCACCGCGGCGCGCCCTCGAATCTCGAGGAGCGAGAAGCGGGGAGAGAAACAAACGAGGCAAAGGGCGGGGCGACATGACGATGCTGCGGCTTTGGCTGCGCGTGGTTCTCCAGTGGTGACCCGGTCGACACGGTCCCGCCTGTGCTGCCTTTGTCTTCTCTTTTGTTTCCCTCTCGCTTTCCTCTCTTCTAGGAGATTCGAGGGCGCGCTGCGGTGGCTGGTGGCGGGCTGCACTGCGTGCGCAGTGTGTCCCGCTCGGTCTCCTTCGTGCTTGGTTCGCTCCTGAGATTCGAGGGCGCCGCGCGGTGGGTTATGCGGCGAGTGCAGTGCGCTCCCCGTCTTTGTCTTTCAGAGAACTCCGGCCGGGCTCTGGACTTCTTCAAGACGGGGAGCCCGCTCGGAGTCAGGAAGCCTTCGCGACTAGAATCCACACGCGGCCGGGGTCGCTTCTGGTTTCGTTCATCAGGGGAAGAGGACCCACCCCCCCAACGAAATGAAGGCGCTGCGGGTCCTGTCGGTGCGGGGTCGAAATTGTGCGAGTTTGATCAATCTGAGACACGTCCGTCTCTTAGAGACGGCCCCAAACTGCCGCACGAACATAGAGGAAACCAGAACGGGCGCCGGACTGCTTAGGGACCGCGGGCCCCCCTCGACCCGCCCCGAGACCTTTGCGGCAGCCCGGTCGAGGCTCATTGGGGAGTCCTCTGCAAGCTTCTCGGAAAGCCTGGGAGGCTGGGGCAGAGCCCGCGGGAGCCGCCTCGCAAAGCCTCCGGCAGGCTCGCAAGAGGCCGCCGCCGAAGCCTTGCGCGGGGATGCATTCTGCACCGCGTGGCGAGAGCGTGGCTATTAGAATCATGCGCAGACTAGATGGCTACACCTAGACCGTGGAGGAATCTCGACACAGAGCGGACGCCGACGCTGTGCGGCGTCGCGGTTCTGGTGTTAGAGCAGATGGCCGGGGAGTCCTCTCAATGCCAGGGGGCTTGCTAGTTTGCTTCGTTTTGGGCTCGGCCTGCTTCTGGTCTGATATTGGTAGGCCGCAGGGCTTACCCGCTTCCAATTTTTAAACGCCGGGCGGGGGAACCGAAAAAATAGAAAATGGGCAAAAATCAGGAGACGCCATCCATGTGCGGGAATCCAGTCGCGGCAGAAGCTTCGTAAACACCGGGCGAGGGTTCTAGCGCAGCTCTATCGCAAAAAATGCTCGAAATTGTGGAAGGCCCACACGCTGCGAAAGGACTTGAAAAAAACCCCGCAGAATACACAAGACGAATCGAAAACGCCGCGGGATTGGGCCCAGGGGCACCAGGTGGGGGCGTGGGCGTCCATTGTCAGAAAGTGTGGGGCCTTTTTCGTTTTTTTATTTTTTCGCAATAATATACGTAAGCCACAAGCAGTGCTACTGACGTCGTGCGCCGCTTAGGTAGGGCAAGCCCTCAGACGCCAAACACCGCCTACAGGTCCCAAGTCGCTGCAAATTGTCTGTAGGACCACACGAACAGCAAACCAACCGAAAAGCGCTAGGCCTAAGACTGCCCCGAGCCAGGCCCGCCCTTTATACCGCCCCGCGGGAAACTAATGCAGAGGAGACGCCGGCCCGCTGGATCTCGCTCGCGATTCGCGCGGCGTGTCCATTAGTTTCCGCCGGTCCCGCCTGCTGCTGAGAACTTGGCCGGGGCCGGCGCGGGTCATGCACTAGACTGCGCAGCGCGTTCGCCTGTCGCGCGAAGCTGCTGCGTGCGGCCTCGCTTCCGCCATTAGATCGCGGGCAGGCTTGGCAACTACCTGGCGAGTGCGGTACCCTTCTGGCGGCGAGGGTGACCCCCTTAACGAGTCGCCTGCTTTCCAGGCCCTGGCTGCGCGCTACCGAGCGGCCGTCTGTTTCCGGGCTGCGAAGGTGACGCGCTAGGCCTCGCCCCCGCCATTAGACCGCGGGCAGCCTTGGCAACTGCCTGAAAAGTGCGGCGCTCTTCGAGTGGGGAAGGCCGTCCTCTTTATCCGCCGCCTCCTTCCGAGGCCTTGACCGCGCGCGACCGAGCGGCCGGCCGTTTCCGGGTTGCGAGGCTGATGCGTAGAGCCTTGCCTCCGCCATTAGATCACAAGCAGGGTTGGTAACTACCTGAAGAGCGCGACCCCCTTCAAGTTGGGGAGGTGATCCCCTTAAAAAGTCGCCTGCTTTCGGGGCCTTGGTTGCCCGCGATGAGTCGAGGACAGACGCGCATCGCAGGGCTGCCTGGCTGCCTGTCCGCGATAAGTCGACAACAGACGCGCGGCGGCGGGTTGCCTCTCAGCCTGTCCGCGATAAGTCGACAAGCCGCAAGCAGCTGGCCCGTTGGAAGTCTGAAGCCCTCAGGGTTTAAAAAGGCCAGGGACTTCTAAACCCTAAAAGTTTCAGACTTGTGAGAGCCTCGCAGCCTGTCCGCGATAAGTCGACAAGCCGAAAACGGCTGGCCCCTTGGCAGTTTCAGACTTGTGAGAGCCTAGCAGCCTGTCCGCGGTGCGTCGATAAGTCGAAAGCCGCTGGCCCTTTGTAAGTCTGAAACTCTCAGGGCTTAAAAAGGTCAGGGACTTTGCAACCCTAAAAGCTTCAGACTTCTGAGGGCCTCGCATCCTGTCCGCGATAAGTCGATAAGCCGCAAACGGCTGGCCCTGCGCAGGTCTGAAATTCTCAGGGCTTAGAAAAGTAATGGACTTTTAAACCCTAGAAGTTTCAGATTTGTGAGAAGAGCCGCCACCTTTTGGGCCATCCGCTCCCTTTCTCTCCTGTAAGTCTGACACTACAAGCCACCAAATGCTTGCAAAGCTCCGGCTTTCTCGCTACAAGCATCCGATAGAAGCGAGAAAGTCGCAACTTCGGTGGAAACTAATGGAGGAAACCCGCTCCCATCTTTCTCCATGAGTTTCCCGTAGGACGGTATAGAGGGCGACCTCAACCAAGCGCCCGCCTTCTCCCCCGAAAGCCCGGACACTTGACGACTTCGCTGGAAGAACTCGCAGAAGGGCACGGCCTTTTGGCCGTAGCAGCGCTGCCGCCGATTCCCTTTACGCTCGTGGCGGCAGCGCTGCAACGGCCAAAAGCGCCCGGACTGTCGGCGACTTCTTCCAAAAAAGTCGCGAGAAAGCCCGCTTGCGAAGCGCCAACCCTTGGCGCAGGCAGTCGGCTTTTCTTCCCATCGGCCGCTACAGAGGGCAAAGTGGCCCCTCCCTAAATTCCCCGCCCCCTTTCTGCGCGCTGCGGGCGCTGGGTCGGTGGCTGTGGGATCCCTCTCGCCATAAGTCGACACGCAGCGGCCGGGCTTTCTGTGGCTTCCGCCGAAGAATGCTGGGCCCTTTACACGCTGTGGGGCCTATCGTAAAGAAAACCCTGAAAAGGGCCGGCGCCGCGGCTTCGGGTCGGTGCTGCCTCCCTCGGGCAGCCGGTCCACGCTGAGTCGATAAGCCCCAAGCGTGGGCCACCGGGACGCACATGAGGGCCCCACCTTTCGCTTCGATCTGGCCTACCAGAGTGAGGATTTGGGAGATGCGAGACCCCTGGTGGAAACTCCACTCGACTTCGCCTGACCCAGACTGCCGCTACTTCCAGCCCGGGCCACGAGGGTGCCCCCCTGAAGACCGGACACGCCCCAGCGCAGCAGTTTACTTTTCTGGAAGGTTGGGCGCGCCTGCGAAGAGCAAGCAGCCCTACCGCGTTTGTGAAGTGGGCGTTTCTCCCATGACGCGGATCTGTGCCAGTAGATATTGGTTAGATGGAAAGTCGTCTTACATGCTCGTTAACCATTCTTACGTTCTTGGAGTTGGAGCACTCCAGTTTTCTATATCCATGGCACACTCGTCTTGGCGGGGGTTCCCGCCCACACCAGCTTTGTTTTTGACATCGTTGTCTCGGCTGAGAGACAGAGAGAAACATGACGCAACTCAAGGCTGACGCCGGGAGGCCCTCGCACTGTTATCGCTCCTCGCACTATTATCGCTATTGTCATATTGGACGCGCAACGCCTTATCGCAGCTGTCTGGTGCGCTGGATTCGTCTTTTAGCTCGTGAAGCGTCTCGTGACGTAAAAGAAGTCCATCGTTTCAAGAGAAATTCCTTCCAGCGCTTCTTGAGGGCTCGTGCATATGCTTATCGTACTCTAATCCAAAAGTTTAAGATACCGCTGTTGTAAAAGCACACGGCCAGTAGACAGAGCCTACCAATAATGTGAATTTTTTACTGTATAACGCACGCACTCAGATATAGTAACTTCTTAAATGGCATATTTTTCTCGAGTGCTGTTGTATTCAATAATTTAAACGACCCTGGAGTTACTCAAGGAGTACTGGCAATGTTCTGTTTAGCTACAATGGCAAGCCTCTTCATTTTGGTGAATCAACACGGCTGCTGGCGAATCAACACCACTGTTTGTGAAACCTGAGACTCTTGGAATGATGTCGTTGCCCGGCGGCTTTATGATAGAGTCCGAGCAGTGGTGGGAAGCTCAAAGACAGCGAATTGACGAACATGAGCGGGCTTTACGACAATTCACTGGTGGTGAACCGCAGAACTCGTCTACTGCTGAAAAGCTTACAGGTCGTGTTTCTTCAGCAAGACCTCCGAACGGCGTGGACGCACACGCAGCACGCGGAAGAATATCTTCTTCAACAAGGCCGAGTGCTCGGGATAATATGAACAACATATTTGGCCAAGGAGGGAAGGAGGACCTCTACGACGACACCGCCACAGGAAGTAGTATACTTCAATCGTCTTTTATGAACCGACAGCCATCTATTGTCATTATCATAATTTTCTACTTAGGTAGATGCAACGTGAACGTGATAATGATAATAGGTTTTCGTTTCATATCTTTACCTGACGTCCGTGTTGTTACGCACACACGCGCAAGCCATCTGTACACTGCGGAGAGTCCACAGCGGAGAGCGCTGAAGACTTTTGCGGGACATCGAGGTCGTGGACGCGAGGTCCTCTATGGCACGAAGAACTTAAGCGATGCGGAGCGGCTTCGCACAGCAGAACAATACGCGGGAAGCGAAGAAGACGCAGAGCTCGTTAAGGCTAGTCGGTCACCATCTGGTGTTAGGTGTTTGAAGTGGCGTCCCCGTCGATTTCAAAGGGATTCTACTAAGGCGGAAAGGGAGCAGCCCACTTATTTTCATCAACACCGGATAGTGATTTTCAACACCGGACCGCTAAGCCTGTGCAGCAGTTAATCAACGAAGTGTGGTCTTTGAATAGCGCGTTGCGGACATGCGAGAACCAGATAACGGCCCTATTGGACCAGGAACAACGCTTGGCTTATGTTGCAGAAATCGAACGTGAGACAATAGAAGCGAAGCAGCAAGCGGAAGATGCGGCTAGAGAATCGAAGCTCTTCGAACAGGAAAATGAGAGAGTGGTTTCAGATCTCAAAATAGCTGAAGAAGCTGCGAGAGGGTATTTTTTACTTCATCTCAAAACATCAGAAAGAACAAAGCACCAAGAATTAGCCAGGTGAAAAGATCAAGTAATGAGATGGACCAAGATCAAGTTTTGCGCTTGATCTTTTGGTATTTTTTACGTTCTTTTGATCTCACCACCCAAACTTGTAGGACAATCATCTTTCAACAACAGCCTTAGGAAGTGTTTGAGGGGATATCAAGTACTTTGGTATTCCTCGTTCCATCTTGATCTTTTCACCTGGCTAAATTTTGGTGCTTTGTTCTTTCTGATGTTTGTCATTGATTAGATTTTACTCTATGCCGAGTGACTAAGCTGTATCGAAACTTCGTACCTATTCATTTTGGTTGGAGTTCTTTTGCCGTGATCAGCACGCATAACAACAATTATTATTCAAATTGTACAACCTCAACTTCTAGGTATTTAGAACGCATCTCCACCTTGGATGCTGAGAATGCACAGCTCGATTCTGATTTGCGAGAAGCACAGCAAAAACTTGTGGCTGCGGAAGCCACCCACAGCCGTGAACTGACAAACCTGCGATCTGAACATTAAGAAAAGATTTTCATTGAGTTCCATTTTCATGTATCTAGTAAGGATTGCTTTCCGTTTTTTATCCTGGACGATGGCTTTCCTTTTTTCGTTGTCAGGTGCCCTGCTATTTAGTGACAGCAAGCGAGGACAAGAGGTAGGACGGCGCGCTTGAGCACTTTGAGGGTAAATACAGAGGAGCCCTTGATGTGGCTCTTCTTTTTTAAACTAACCCTCTCATTTCCCGCAACTAGCCATCTTGGAATTGGATAAGCAGCATGCAGCGGTGCATCGGGACCACGAGCAGAAGGTCTTGGATATGCATAGAACTATGGCTCGTGCCTCTTCCGAGAGCCAGGCACAGTTGAACCGCATCCAAGCTAACCACGTCCAAGAGGTCGCTGCCCTCCGCGCCCAATTCCAAAAAGATAAGGCTGCGCTTCTCGAGTTCAACAAAGACTCGGTTTTAGAAGTGGAGGATGCGAAGCAACAGGTTTATTTGTTGCCTTTTCACTCAGCACTTTAGCGCGAAGGAAAAGTAATTATTTCCTCTACGGTATTGACAACTTTAAGCACAATGATAAAGACATTGAGCGGTTGTACTCCGATTACTTCTAGGTGATTATGAAATAAATATATGTCAACAAAATGAGGCCAATGTTTATCATATTAACGTTTATTATCAGGCTTTATTCGACATGCGTTCGAACTATAGTACCGAGACGCAGAAGCGGATTGAAGAGTTGGAACGCTTAGGGCGTGAGAAAGAGCTAGCTGCCACACAGGACAAGAAAAAAATTAAGGAGTTGGAAATCCGACTCGCCGAACTCCAGGAGAAAGTACAGGCCTCGACCGAATGTCGAAAATCTATTCGCGAGGAAGAACAGAAGAGCGCGCAACAGGAGGTGATTGTTTGGCTCATGTTGGAAAGTAGAGCGCCTTTTGATGGATTCAATCTAAATCGTACTAGTTTATTACCGACTATAAATTAGTGGTGGACGTGGATCAGTATCCTGTTGAAGCTATGTCCTCGAGCAAAATCTAACACTCTACAATACTCAACATATTGCCTCTTCCGTCCATCTTCTTTACATCACACACTAGATAAGCCGTCTCCGCATTTCGTTGGCGGACGCCCAAAGCACCAAAGAGGAAGCGCAGACACGACGCGAAACGATCGAGGCGCAATCAAATAGACGAATTGAAGCTCTGGAGGAGGTCATCGCGGGAACAAAGTCTCAACTCGCAGAGGCGGAGAAAAATCTGGAGAAGACGCGGGCTCAGTTATGCTTAGCTTTGATCGATCTTTCTCAGCATGGTCTTGGTGCCCTTTTTCCTTGTATCTTCTTTCCTAGCAGCACAATTTCATATTAATTTATAGTTAAGAAAAACTTGTTGACCTTCTGTTTGAAATAGGCTCGCTTTTCACTATTCTACGAGTACCTGTTCGTCCATCTATTAGTAATTGCTGTGGTTTATAGTTAAGATGAGGAGTCTTAAAACGGACTTGACCTTACAAGAGAAAAGGGCTGCGTGCTCGAGATTGGTCGACCAGATACGAAACTTGCTCTAAGTCAGCTTGCAGAAACGCAAGCCGGTCTGAGGCAGACGCGAACCGAACAGGAAAAAGCGGATAAAGGCTTGGAGGAGGAGAAGAAACAATTTGAAGAGGAAAAAGCACAGATCGAGAAAGAACACGGGAAGGAGATAGCGGAATTGAAAGAACATTTTACGTCTCAAATGACAGAACATGAAAAAGAGTACTTACTCCTATTTTTTACGAATTAAAGTTGGTTGATCTTGATTGATGAATGATATTTGATGAAGACTAGTCTTTTTCATTTTGGCCACACGAGGTGTATGACAAAATCTTTCACGACCTCACAGGAAACAAATTCCGACTCTCACAAATCCCTCTCTCTCAGATTCGACCGTCAGATGGCTTTGTTTGAAGCGAGGATAGCGGAATGCACGCAAGAAGCTTCTACGAATAAAACTTTGAGAATAAATTCACGGTGGACGATCTTAACAGCTGGTCTCAGATTCAGGCGCTTGGCTTTTTTGGCCACTGACGACATGCTCCTAGTGGTTTCCATGGTGCGCAAGGGAAAACGACGCCTGAAAAAAGCCCATATGCAGATATTATGTTGAGTACTAACGACCCATTCCAAATTGTGTCTGTCAAAATATGACTGACTACAAGTGTAAAAGAAGAACCGATGTCGTTCATAACTTGAATGATGCGCTTTCCTATGAGATTTTGTGAGATTTTTCTAATCACCGAAGTGTTGCAAAAAAAGCTTGCTGAGAAGAACGTCTCTTTTCCCGCAGGTGGGTCCGATCCACCCAAACATCATGGTAGGGCAGCAAGGAGGGATGTTCTCCAGACTTCCATCGTGTCTCCTCGAGGCGAAGCCGGGTTCTATGGGCGTCCTCAAGATTTGCCGAACGAAATAACTTCCATGGACAACATGCTAGAGGAACCATTTCAACAACAAGAACAACAAGTGACAGATGAACCTGTAGCGTTGCATGAGCCTCCGGCAGAAGTAACCTTTGGCTCTTCCAGCCATGGAAAAGACGAGCATGAGTCAGGATACGGAGGTCCCCTTGCTGACTTCGAGCGGGTTGATGCGATGGGGGCTGAAGGACCGGGACCAGCGGTGCAGCCAGAGGGAGAGACAGGCGAAATGTCAGAGGAAGAAGGATCTGATGGGCCATCAGACGATGAAGGCGTCAAAGTGTCCTCTGCAAACAGTGACAAGTATAGTCCTCGACAACGACTGCAACAACTACAAATCTCATCAACATCAAAGGCCTCTAGTAAAACTTCAAATGACCATGTGATGTTTGCCTCGTCACTGAAAGATGCTACAGACGATGAAGAAGAACGGGCTAAGCTTGCGCGGATTCTGGCTACCTCTGGTGGTGGAGCATACCCTGTCGCATCTTCTTCTAGTAGCAAAAGGCAATTTGGATTAGAGGAAGAGGGATCCGCCTTTTCGGGAGATGGTGTGGACAGTGAGCATGATGATCTGATTCAGGCAGAACACAGCAGAGCAAATAAAGAGATGAAAATACCTGGTATATCTGACAACTCCGAAGAGGACTCCGAAGAAGAACACAAAGCATTGGTCACGGCGTTTGTAGAAGGAGAACATAGTAAAATGATGAACTATAATAGAAGTTCTAGCAGCACAAGTTCTACATACGGAGTTGTAACAAATTCAACATCTAGTGCAGGAAGTGGATCATGTGCAAGAACGCCCATTTTCCAGCATGCAAAAATCCTTCAGCCTTCGAAATCTTCGTGTGCTTCGTCGGGTGTGCTATCCATCTCCGACCACACGACCTCGCCAACCTGCAGTTCTGGTCGCGGTGGTCGCGGAGGTTTTTATCCGGTCACTGGTCCGAGTCGAATCCCTGCACCACCAGGAGTTTCAGGAACAACAAATAGTCGAGCTCGTGCTAGTACTGACCCTGCAGAGCAAGACAAGAGTGCCTTTATTCCGCGGTTTGGGGCTCTTCTTCATGGTGGTACAGCAGCAACAACCGCTAGTCTCGGACCTGGTAGTTCAGCATCCAGTACTGCAATAACTACTTCACCAAAGAAAATAGCAGTGTACAGGGAAAAAAGTTTCGAAAGTATGTTGCGGGGACCCGTTAGGGAGCCAGTGAAATTTTTTGTTAATGACAGATCAGCTACGAATAGAACCAACAGAGGTGTAGTTGATGGTGCTGGTACTGAGACTTTCGGTGGGAGTACTAGTTCTACTTCTTCGATGCCAGTCGTCGTGGGACCTCTTTCCAGTTCTGTCAACAAAAACACTGCTGTTTCTCGCTCAGCAGCAGCTCCATTTCATTTTTTACCAGAACAGAGGTCAACAAGGAAAAATGGGAAGGGTTCTCGTGGTAGTAGTGGTAATAGAGGAGATCATAGAAATTCCAGCGCAGGAACAACTTTTGCTCGTGCGAACAATTGTACTAGTGCCTGTACCCAAAAAGAGGATATGAACACCATAGTAGGAAAAACTTGTAGTACAACCCCTTCTTCGTTTACAGGAGGAACAACGACGCCAAGCACTTTTAGCACACAGGTACTGCAGCCACAAAAACTAGAGCTCACCCAAATTCCAAAGCATGCAGAAGTTCACCTACGGCGCATGCAGACAGAATTAGAAGCTTGGCGTGCAAGCATGGCCCAGACAGTAGAGGATGAATTTCTAGCACTGAGTGAAAGCGAGTGGGAAGCCCCTCTTAGTCGCGAACTCATCGGCGACTTGTGGCAGCACGCTCATGCTGCTCTAGTAACTTTGAATGGCAGGTGGGTGCAAGAGCTATGCTGTGAAAGTAATTCGTTTTTGGAAGCGGGTTTAGCACTGCGGAATCGCCTAAGAAGTGTCTACGAGGAAGCTTGGCGCGCATGCTTACTAGGTGAGGAACAAATAGGTAATTGTGAAACTGGTCGTGGGGACGCGGCATTGGCACATTACGTCACTACGGAGTTTCTGCCGTCGGTTGGGTGCTGTTTTCAAGCTGGGAGCGCGATGAGCTGTGAGGGTATGCTAGCACCAATCAATGAAGAGCAGAACCAAGGACAAAGTAGATTATCCTCTTCTACCAGCACCATCAGTTCCTTATCTTAAGGCTTGGGAGTTGACCTATCATCTAAGAGCGTCTCTTTGTCTTCTTCAAGTAGGAAAGCCACAGATATGCGAGCTAGAGATGGCAACTTTCAACCCCTAAGTATCTGCAGAGGCTCGCAGACGTCAACTTCTCTGGGAAAGCAATAGGTCTTGTTGGCGTCGCGTGCGGAAGCGCAAGCCTTTAGACCTGTGGCGCGACGCACTGTTGTTGCAACCTGCTGTAGATGATTTCGCCCAAGAATTGTTACACAACTTGAATCGCCTGGAACCTACGCGGAAAAGGCTCAGACGTACCTACGCTTTGTCGAAACCACTTGCCAGAGGACTGGAGAAACTTGCGATGTTGAATAAAAACAGTAGTACTGCTATTAAGAAAAGAACGACCTCTTCATCTGCAGAAATAATACGAGATCAAAAGCAGAGCCAGAAGATACTTGCACTGAATGATATAGCACGCGCAAGAGTTGTTGTCGCGTCGTTGGCTGATGTTATCGCAGCATTGGAGTGGCTGCGGAAGGACATGGCAAATGCAGTCCAGATTTTGCAGATACGAAATCGATGCGAGAAGCCGACGATGACAGGTTGGCGGGACGTGTTGTTGTATCTGTTCTTTTATGATGGAAGCTAGTAAGTAGTTTTGTAAATGATGCCTCAATCGTATGCCCGCATTCCACCTTAAGTGCCTTGATGAGTTGTTTTCTTCTCCCTTAAGTGATGCACAACCGGGTCGCTTAAGTGATACAAAACCGGGTCGCTTGAGTGATGCAAAACCGGGGCGCTTAAGTGATGCAAAACTGGGTCGCTTGAGTGATGCAAAACCGGGGCGCTTAAGTGATGCAAAACTGGGTCGCTTGAGTGATGCAAAAATGTGTCCCCTAAGTGATGCAAAGCCGTGTCCCCTAAGTGATGCAAAGCCGTGTCCCCCAAGTGATGCAAAGCCGTGTCCCTTAAGTGCTTCAAAATGCTCTACCTTAAGTTCCTTCAAAATCCCCCCTCTTAAGTGCTTCAAAATGCTCTCCCTTAAGTGCCTCAGAAGCCCGCCCCTTACGTGCCTCAGAAGCCCGCCCCTTAAGTGCCTCAGGGTCGTGTCTCCCTTAAATGCCTCAGGATCGTGTCTCCCTTAACTGCCTCAGTATCGTGTTTCCCTTAAATGCCTCAGAGTCGTGTCTCCCTTCAGTGCCTCAGAATCGTGTCTCCCTTAAGTGCCTCAGTATCGTGTTTCCCTTAAGTGCCTCAGTATCGTGCTTCCCTTAAATGCCTCAGTATCGTGTTTCCCTTAACTGCCTCAGAGTCGTGTCTCCCTTCAGTGCCTCAATATCGTGTCTCCCTTAAGTGCCTCAACCTCCCCTCTCTTAACTACTGAAGTGCCTCAAGGTCTAGACTACTGTATTTAATTTTATACTGCGAAGAAAAATCGGACTCACTTCCTATTCCTTTTTCTAATCTGTCCGAGCGAAACCAGACGCGATATTTGAGCTGCAGTTCGTGCATTACAGAATGGCAGCCGCTGACCAACGTAGAACGGATGACTTCGCTCGCTTCCGCTTACTGGAGGAGTTGGGGTTTTGTACTGCAGAATAATTCTTTACAGTTATTAGTTCGTTGTGTGTCAGTTCGTTGTACAGACTTGGAAAGAGGACTTACAGATTGCGTAGTAGGTCGAATGAGCAAAGTGAAGTTGGTCTACTCACAAGATAGGCTTATGTGCATACCAGAGTAGTACAACTACAAGATGAGCCTCATGTAGTGTGCATGTTCATGTATCATTCATATATTATATGTAGAATATCTCAAACTGAACTATCTCCTGCTTTCGCCTAGCGCGTCGCCGTGCTTCAGACTCCGCCTGTGGGCCGTCTGTAGGTCTGTGGGTCGCCGTCTGTCCTTCTCCTAATAATGATTTAATTATCGACTATCATCGAATTCAAGTAAAAAACAGCAAATTCGTACTCACACTTCTTCAAAATGAACTGTTTTTCTCTAGCGCTCTCTCTCCTTAAGAGAACGACCTTACTCTGAAACACACTCCACTACTTGACAGTACAAACTTGTCCAAGACACTCTCGACGCTAAAAATTTCAACATTGATTTACTGTGCCATTTATGTGGCGGGACAAGAGATGCAGCTGTATGTTTGAAATAACTACATGCTTGATATGATAAAGATCTTAGTGTAATTTAGTACACTGCGAAGAGTGACGAAGGTCGGGTAGTCTTCTCGATAATAAATCGATCGGTTTACTTCGGTTTGTCAAGACGTCGTCTAATTCTTGTAGTTTCGAGATTAGTAGCGCGCTCGTGATCATATTGTTATTATCTGCCTTTCTGTTTCGGCTCTGTCGCGCAGTCGGTATGAAGCGATCGATGAAAACGCCGCTGTTGCAATTGTCAATTCATCGACTTGCTCTGTGACGTTTCATTCTTTGCTAGAAGGAGGAGTGGAAAAGATGACGTAGTGAAGAGCTTAGTTTTAGTTATAGATGAGAGTCTTGGCCGCTGATCTGCATGAAGTTACGGCGCTACTTCATCACAATTCTGTCTCGTCGGTAGCGGTGCATAACTATTGAGTGTTGGTGTAGTGCTCGTCCGCCTCCTTTGTGTTGACGAGATTAGTGTGCTTGTGTTGACGAGATTAATGTTCTTGTCCTCTTTCCCAAAGTCAAAATGTGCTGGGATAGGAGGTAAATTTAACGTATAGAAATGCCTTCAGTGTCGTTGTATACTCTTGTTGTTTCAAACGTAAAAACGAGAAGAAGGTAATTATCCCTTGTTTATGTTGATGTCGTCGAAGACGGTGGAGTTGATGCTGAGCTAACACAAAAAAGGTCCATGTCCTAAAGTCGGGGCACCTCCGGTAGAGTCGACGTCTTACCTACCGTTTGGGTGGTGCAATTTGGCTGCAGCTGTCCCTGGCGAGGGCAACAGAACGATTTGACGGCAGCCGCTAAATGAACTGGACATATTACGGCCTTTGCAACTACGACCTTTGCGATCTTAATTTCGTCTCTGATCCAGACTGCGTTGTGTGGACAAGAGACCAGTGCACAGGCGAAATAAGAGAAAACTTTTCTCGACCGTCACGATAAGAAAAAGACGTTACAAGTGACAACAGAGAAGCGGAGTATTGCTTCAACGACAAGACCTAGCTGCACGCGACGACGGTGATCACTTCTATTTGTGCGTCGACAGAGGACTACTTTAAAGTGAAGAACACGAAGTACTTGCAGCACGACTTCGCGCTACATCCATCTGCGACAACTTCGCCTCCCTGAATCCACTACTTGCCGATCAAGTACAGTAGAGTTGTTCTACCTCAAAAATCTCGCACTCCTCACCGAAATCACTGCAAGATGAACAAGTACGAAGTCGTTGGCGTCGTGGGTGAGGGCGCCTACGGTGTCGTCCTCAAATGCCAGAATAAGGAGACTGGAGAGCTGGTGGCGATCAAGAAGTTCAAGGAAAGTGAGGATGATGACATTGTGCGGAAAACAACACTACGAGAAGTCAAGATGTTGCGCATGTTGAGGCAGGACAATATTGTACAACTGAAGGAAGCGTTTCGGCGAAAAGGAAAACTCTATCTAGTCTTCGAATTCGTGGATAAAAACCTACTAGAAGTGCTGGAAATGTTTCCAAACGGCATAGATCCGGAAACGATAACCTTGATCGTCTGGCAATTAGTGAAAGCGATAGAATACTGCCACGCGCACGACGTGATACACAGGTATGGAATTTGATCTTTTTTTGATGCTTGCTTCGTAATTATTCTTTCGTTACCTCTCCTTGTCAACGAACCTCCTTTCCGTTGTCAACCTCCTTGTCAACCTCCTTGTCAAGATCCCCAACAAACCTCAGGGACATCAAACCAGAGAATTTGCTGATGAATATGGACGATCGAACATTGAAACTTTGCGATTTTGGATTCGCGCGAACCATGAGCAAGAATGCGTCGGAGCTGACGGATTACGTGGCGACGAGGTAACTTTGGGCTTCTTCGTCTTTGGGCTGTCTATTAAGTATATGATAATATACTCATACATCAAGGGGAACAACGCTCTATACTATTCATTCGTCATTAGTAGTCAATACTAATACATCAAGGGGAACAACGCTCTATACTATGATAAGCTGTCTATTAAGTATATGATAATTGTAGTCGCTGTGTTGTGAAGAGGATTTTTATTCAGACAGCAGTGTTTCTTTTGGTACGTGTGATAAATCACGACCCTTTTCCCAATGAAGAGCTGAACCCCCTCTCTGTAGATGGTACCGCGCTCCCGAGCTTCTGCTTGGTAGCACCCGATACGGCAAGCCCGTGGATATGTGGGCCATTGGTTGCATCATGGGTGAAATCCTCGATGGGCAACCTTTGTTCCCTGGCGAGACCGAGATTGACCAGTTGTTCATTATTCAGAAGATGCTTGGCGCCATTACCTCTGACCAGATGGACATGTTCATGAGAAATCCGCGCTTCATGGGCCTCAAATTTCCGGACATGAGCAAACCAGAGACATTGGAGAAACGATATGTGGGCAAGATACCCAAGCGATCATGGATGAACTTCATGAAGAGCGTGTTAAAAATGGAACCTAGGGAGCGATTAGACGGATCACAAGCAGTGGCACATCCGATGTTCGACGAATTGAGACCAAAGAGCTCGAAGATGAGTCACTTCGCGGCAGAAAGCAATTCAAACTTATGAGATGATGAAATGATAGTACATCGAGGGGAACAACTTATAATTAAATAATTATGAAATGATAGTACTAAAAGTGACTAAGTGGAGGTGCTTGTTTACAATGACTGTTGGGTTGTTTGGATAAAGAGGCCTGTTATCCGGATTCGCTAGGCCTAGGACATCAACCAGAACTCATTTCGCTAGAAGCGCATTGTTCCCTTTTTTTGTTCAATTTACAAGTTTCTTTCGTTCTCTAACGAAAGCCAACCACGGGTCGAACGCGGCCAAAGCGCCAGGCGGCCAAGCTCTAGACTCACCAGAAAGGACTGTACGGCCACAGAAAGCATCGAAGAAAGCGTCAAATGTTCCAAGTTTCGCATCAGCTACACACGGCAGTGGAGGTCACGGCTTTGTCGCGGACCAAGGTACTTAATTGGTTTTCGTTGTGATGAACCTTTTCGGCATCTCCGTAGTTTCAATCAGTGTCGGCGCAAGTACATTAGAACTTGTTCTTTTCCCCAAGACCACAGCTAGCATTGGTGTTTTCCCCAAACCACAGGTCCAGGCTTAAACCACGCGAATCCACTAGGCAGTAATGCCACCTTCCGACACGTGGCAAATCCTATGCCAAATCCGCATGAAGGTTTAGGACCCAATATGACTGGCATGAGTGCGACAAGCAGCGGCTTCTATCCTGGAGGAGGCGGGAATGTAATTTTTCTGATTCATTTTCTCCTACCTCTGGGTTTGATTTTGATGAGGTTGTAGCTTCATTTTTGTTGTATATTTGAGATTTGTAGGTCGGATTTTCTTAGACCCTATTCGGAATCTTTACATATTCTACAGTGACATAGGTTTCTAACCCCAAATACAAGACCTACCTAATTGTGAATCAGGCACACCACGCTCCACATCCCTCGACATCTTCCGGACACCACAAGCCGTCTTACGCGAAAGGCAACGAGTATCGAGAAAGCGGCACACCATATTCGGAGTATTCAAGAAGCAACCCTGGCACAAGTCACGGAACGGCAGGTCATGGACATGCAGGTAAAACAACATGAAATTAGTATAGATTTACAACTTCTACAACATTTTTTTTTAGTGGTTGTAGTAGTTCATGTGCTTCTACAACTCGACGAAGCGAACCAACCTTCTCTACTCCAATACCACATCATGCCGACTACCGCAATATCACATCATACAGGCTTCTACCCTGATCATACGTACCAGTATAGTCAACCGAACGAGGACTTCGACGGTGGAACTGGTGGAGGCCCTATGTTTTATGGCGGCGGGCACGATGGAGGCGGCGCCGCACCACCACAGTACAGCTACGGCGCGAGCACAGCAAGCGATAACAACACCGGAAGAGGACCAGGGTATTGTTGTTTATGTTGATGGGATAAGCCGGAGTAGGTAGAAATGGGTAAAAATTTCTAACGCTGGAATAGTACGACAGTGCTTAGTAATACTTTCATTCAAGGTGGATACGACGTAAATCGAATACCGTACGAAGAAAAAAATCATGACCTTCAACTCTCCTTCTAGGAACTTCGGTGCCCATTCGGCTTCTGAGACCAGGAAAGTGCGGAAACCAAAGGGGACGTCGCGGCGCGGCGCCGCGCATGACGAAGACTTGAATGACGGACATCAAGTCATCAGGAAAAAGAAAGTCACGGCGAGGAAGCGGATCGAACTCGAGGAAACAAGAGTCTTGCCGCATATAGAACACACTAGGGGAGGACATGGTACTGAATTGGATATTTTTTGCTTTATAATTCCTGCTCTACTAACTTGTTGGTCCTCCAGAGATAATTATCTACTAATCTGTTTATAATGAACAAATATCCTGTCTTTGGTCTTCCTACTCGGTTCATCAACACTAATAAGACGGTTTTCATCTTTATCTTCTGCAAGGAAGTGCTTCAAGGAATCAACATTGTTTGCCGACTCTTCCACTACCACAAAAATCCATTCTCCTCACAGGTGCTCGCATGCCCAGTGTCGGTCACCAGGATGAGGGATGGGACGACAACCACTGGCCCAACGCGCATTACAGCTTGCCTCCTAGTAGAGACCTAGTGGCTTTGAGTAGCCGCGACGGGACAAGTCGAGATGGACGTATAACTTTGTTGTGATATGACTCTTCCATTTTTTTCCCATTTTCGAAAAGTAAAGGAAACGCCTTTGAAGGCGATCAACACAAAGAAACACTCCGTCCTGCTTTGGGCGCTCTGCCCGCCTGTCTCTCTACACTTCGCGTGCAAGAGGCGGAAAGGCACCCTATCCTATCCTATCCTTTTTTTGTTACATTGACCAGGAATTAGTAATTCAAACGTGAAAAAGGGTTTCCCACTCCGCATCCTCCACAACAGTCGCTGTAGGCAGCCACTACTATCGCGGTGGAACCGGCGAGCGTAGACCTATGTCGCGAGAGACGAGTGGGCTAAATCATCGACGCCCGAGTCGAGACGAAGACCGATGGGCCACTAGTGACCACTTCTTCGCGCCACCCATATAAACAGCTGGATCAGGGCGACGCGTCTGAGCTTACAGCGTTTTGCAATTATTACGATGCTGGTCTGCTAGTAATTTCTGTCTAATATTACAAGTACTATGGGTGTGAGTTTCTGCTAACGACAACGCAGTACTACCAAGAAAACCTCCAACTCAAACCTATTATTAGGTAAAAAATGCTATTCAGGAATGTTGTTAAATGTGTCTTCTATCTTCATGTCTAATTGTTATCATTGCTATCGCAGTCTCTCTCCACTCAGGGGAATCTCATCGTTGTCTCTCTCTCTCTCTCCATTTAGGGGACGATGAAGAACTCACTAGTATTATTTGATTGCTGATCTACTACAACTTTCTCGATGAACAGTTTCGCTATCACCAACACAGAGAACAATATTTGAGTATCTTACAGTGGTGACGAATCACTATAGTTTGCTCGATAAATAGTCCACTCACACTTTTATAATTCACAACTCTGTCGAAAGTTTTTAGGGATAACCTCCGATAATCTTCTCCTGCTCCCTTGTTTTATTCAGTACCCCTATAATGATTAGCTGCTTTCCGCCTGCTCTCTTGTTTTGTTCCATCTCCCCTTGTTATTCACTGCTGAGCACCCATGTATGTTCCTTCCACCTAAGAAATTTATGATTATGTTATATATCATTATCAGCCATAGCTGCTCTTTGTATAGTCTTGTGCTGTAGTTAGTAGTGGTCTAGAGAAGCATTTTTATCAGAGCTAGAGGGACCGACTGGCGTCAAAGCAGTTGTGTTTCTCTCCTTTGATCTTGTCCCTGTTTCTGCTTCTAAGTCCTCTTGTTGTACCTACAAAAATGGGTGTTTCGAAGACCATTCTTCTTGCACAGAAAATTTATAGAACTAACTGTTAGTACAACAGTGTTGTTACAACAGCGTTGATGTGATTGGACAGTGGGTTTCTCTAGTGTGTTGTTTCGCTCGGAAACAAGTCAGTGAAGGACGCGCGCTGGCCCTTTGGCCGAAGACTTTGAAATTGAAAAAGATAGAAGTAATTGTTTCGCTCTACAACAAACATGTTCATCTTTTGATGAATAAATAAAGTTCGTGCTGAACTTCGCGAGGACCCCAGAAATATTATAGCTTCCTTTCGACTAAACGTATAAACAAAATATTTTAGATGAGCTCCTTCTGTACCCCAGTGAGTTGCTGTGTACCATAAGCAATGACTCAGTATGTGGATGCGCGACCCATCTTCCCCAAAACAAGAGAGAAAAGACAGAGTTTCCCCTTACAATGCTGCAGTGTGAAAAATGACAGCTCCACCTTCGAAAGAGTGCTCGAGTACTCCTATCTCAAACGAGATTCTGAGACTTAAATCGTGTTCCGCGTAAGATACTTATAATCTTTCAAATGAGCAGGAGAGTCGTGATATCGGTTGGTAAAGTAAAAGTGAGTAGTGATAACATGTGTTGTGATTCTAAATAAGTTCATTACAGATGATCTATGACCATGACGTCGAGAGGCACCACACCCATAATTTGGTACCTCCTCAGTCATCCTTGTTGAACAGGATTAAATCATCTACCAAAATGAAGAAGCACCTGAGGGTGTCGCGGCAGGTCGGTTTTTGAGCGTGTCGTGGTAAGAGACCGATTGGATACTTTGTGGTTTTGAATATCGTTGTTATATTCGAAGCTCTCTTGGAAATTGTTGCAAGAAAAACGCAGCATCGCCTCTTCGAGAGCATGCAGCATCTCGTGAAAATTTTGTGACTGGTAGATGCTCGTTGTTTCGTGTATAATTTGTTGATATTCCGTTCTTGTTTACAGAACTCCTTCCACTTGTTGGTTTTTCTTCGATTTTTTTTCGATCTAGCATTAGAATGAGTTACATTTGGTAAAAAAGTGCGTCGTCGTCGTTACACTATACAATATTCAGTCAAGCAGATCTCATTGTTTTCGCGTTCGCATCGAATTTGTTTCGTCCACCATCAGCGAATTGCGTCGTTATAAAGTTTTGTAGTTCATCACCTGATATTTGAATGTAGAATAGAGCGTGAGCGTTTGAGTTTCCAAGAGATACAAAAGCAACTTCATAACTCCATGGATTAGCAACCCTCGTTCTTCAGGGAGTCTTTACCTCCCTCGACTGCTCGTGCTAATGTGCAGCTGGTTTAGAAGTTCCTCCGCGTTTTAGGGGAACGAAGTGCTGTGGACGCAGAGTCGTGCTGCAAGATGTACACTTTCTGGACGACGCCGACTACGCAGAGCTGTCCCGGTCCACGGGCAGCACACAGCTGCGATGTCATCGATATGAAATTGTACTAATTTTTTTCATTGTTTTCCTTTGGGGTTTAGGAATCCATAACCTGACCTAACCTAGCCTCCCTTTCCATCGAATATTCTTAAACAAACTGTAAGGAATATCATAAGTAACTAGATGTTCAATTGCGGATCACTGCTTGCAGCATTGTTCAGAGGTTCACTCAGTACTTGTAGTATTAACATGTCGTTGTCGACCTTATTTTTTTTTTGAGTTCGGACTATATGCCGCCACCCTTTCAAACAATCATCTAACTCGTTCAACTGTTGCCTGTCACACAAATTACATACTGGGGCTGCATAGGACCTTAATGTACCATTTCCCCACTAACCCCCTCAGATACGTATTCGGCGGTTGGAACGGGAAAAAGGCCTTGAACGACTTGAACATCCTTTCAGTATCCAATCATCACTGGACTGAAGTTTTGCCGAACACCGATGCCCCGTCAGCAAGAAATAATCACTCCACGGCAGTAGTGGACCAAAAATTAATGGTGCATGGCGGTCACGATGGAAACAAATGGTTGGCGGATATGTATGTGCTAGACACAAATGTGGATGGGCAGTATGACAAACTTAAGTGGAACAAAGCAAACACGAGTGGTCAACCACCAGCAGCGAGGGCGTGTCATACGTTGACAAGGCTAGGATGGAAATTGTATTTAAGACATAGAAGTTTTTGATGCAATCAATGCTATATTTTTCTGAAATCAGAAACGCTTTCCTGTACTAGAAGTTTCGAACTCATTTCAGACACTCAACACCAGCTTAAATATCTTTCTCTCGACGTCATCATCTTTCTCTCGACCACGTCATTCCAAAGGTCGTCGTCTTTCTTCCATCATGCCATAGGTACATGTTCGGCGGCTATGATGGCACGAAGTGTTTTAATGACATGGACATTCTCGACTTAGAGACCTTGACGTGGATGCATCCTACGCTTTCCGGCACACTACCGCAAGCTAGGAATGCGCATACCATGACAGTAATTGGTGTCCACCTCTACCTCTTCGGCGGTCATAGCGGTAACAAACACTTGACGGACTTGCACATCTTCGACACAACGAAACTGCAGTGGTCACAACCGGAAATATTAGGCACCCCTCCTCCGGGATTGAGGGGGCATACAGCGACCTTGATCGGGCATAAAATCCTGTTGTTTGGAGGCTACGACGGGAAGGGCAGGACGAACGAGCTTTACATACTTTTATGAGGATGATGAAGAAACTACTCCTGAGCATCATTTTTTTTTTGAGATGTTTCTTTCATCTGGTGTTGTTATCTGAACAAGATTGGCTACTTACGACAAGTAAATTATACCGATACCCACAGTAGAATTCCTTTTCCCAACAACTAAGCCGAAACCGCTGCTCTAACCCAAGACGCTCAGGAGCGAAAGTGGCTGAGGCCAACGTGGCCGTCAGAGAGTCCGCAGACGCCGCCAGGGAGGCAGAGACACTCAGCCTCACTCATAGGAAGCAAGAGGATATACATCTTCGGTGGTTTTGATGGCAATAGGTGGCTTCAGGATTTGCATGTGCTGGACGTAGGCAGGATGGAGGAGAATGATTTGGAAACGACAAGCGTTCATACGCTAATACAGAATTTGAAGGGGGTACTGCTAACACTATTTTTAAGAGAATTTTTCTTGGTGGACTATTTCAAGTTGAGAGGATTTGCTTTTATTACTTAGACTTGTTCTTGTTTTTCTTCACATGTTTGTTCTACGACTTCACACGTTGAGACAGACCACGGTTTCGATTTTTACAACGAGGAAGCGACATCACCACTTTACAGCTGCTGAACAATGCGGAGTTTAGCGACGTGACGTTTACGGTCCAGGGCAGAAAAATACACGCGCATAGGGCGATATTAGTAGCGCAGTGTCCGCATTTCAAAGCCCTTTTCTCAGCAGGGATGAAGGAAAGTACAACAGGCTTACTTTGATACTTTTGAAGTAGTGGTTTAAGAGTGAATGCATATGATAAGATGAAGCTGATTCCCAACCCCTGAAGCAGAATCTCACTTCTCAGACCACTAAATCTCTTGACCTATCATGAGGATATAATACCTATCATGACTTCTTACCAGGTATAGAAAAGGAGATAATAATCGAAGGATGGGGAGAAGTGGCTTTTTTGGCATTGCTTGAGTGGATATATACAGGCAGAGTGCCACAAGATTTGCCAGTGCAGCACATGACAGAAGTCCTCGGACTAGCAGACCAGTACTAAAATGACGCTTTGGAACAAGAAGTTGTTAGCTCTTCATGAAGATGATCCTTCATTTTCGGTTCTTTCTTGAATCAACTTTTACTCAGTAAGGATGGATCTCTACTTATTTTGCCCCGAAAGTCTACTCTTTTTCAAGAGTTACAGCTACGATGGTGGTGCTCGCTAGTAGCTTGCACCACCGGCTCCTTCATAATTCTTGTGGAGTCGTGGCTAGTCTTTTGGGGCTACAACAAGATTCATTCGTGGCAATTCTAATGCAGGCATGGCCGACGCGCAGTTCGCGTCCTCTATGGTCTATGCTCTGTTTCGCTGTTGCCTTACACTTCCGTATCGATAAGGATTTCGATTTATATTAAATAAATAACTACTTCTGCGATAACGATCAATTATCAATCAAATCAAGGTACACTCTCGATTCTCTGCAGCATGTTTGTGAAAATATTTTGATCCATGACGTGGAGATCGAGAACTGCTGCCATCTTCTGAAGATCGCGGACCGACATTTGGCGCACAACCTGAAAAAACACTGTATGTCATACTTGCTCAAGCATTTTGAGGCTGTAGCTAAGACGGTGTCATTTGAAGAACTGTCTTCCGTCCCGTCGTTGCTGCTTGAAGTTACTCGCGCCGCGGCACAGCAAGGTCCACGCAGCATAAACATGGGCGGAGAAAGTGGGACGTCGTGAGGATGGGATGCTACTAAATAATATGGCTAGTACTAACAGCACTTAGCTTGATGCTTCAATCTAGACGAAACGAATCTGATACAATGTTCTATCGTGATACACACCTAAGATTAACCAGTTAGGATGCGAATCTTCAACGAATCTGATACAACCTAAGAATCTTCAAAACGAATCTGATACTCGAGATTGTGATGCTAAAAAGGTGAATCTTCGATACAAAGTTGGATTAAGTGATTTTTTGTAGATTAGTGCTATTCGTCACGACCACGCGGCACGAGGTCGTACATTGGCATGTGCCGGTGTAGTAAATGTGCTAAATCATAGGGCTTTGTACGCGCCTAGGTTGGCAACGCACATCGAAATGAATGGAGCTTTAGTAGAATCCAGTTTGCTAGACCTCTTTAGATCATATCCCACACCAGCGCTGATGTGACTTTCCCCGTTTATTCTCCCCAAGCAGATGTATGACGCATCATCTCGTTGCGCTGTAGTCCAGATAGCCCCTCCTATCAAGACTTGGAACTCATTGCTTTTCGAGCCATCCGAAAAAGTGGTGACTCGAAAGAGAAATTTAGTGCTAAAGAATTCAACGGAAGCAAAAAGAAAGAAGAGGTAAAAAAGAACACAAACAAGGTTAGTTTCTATCCGTACGGCAGTTGGTATGATAAAGGACGATGCCCGAAGTGTTCTTGGATAGGCGATGGGAATGAGTCGAGCTCTCACACCAAGGACGATCTCCTGCATGTTCTTTTCATCTACCGTAATTACCTCTACTTTGATTTTATGCCATTGAAATTACCACAATGAAAGGCCTGGCTACTAATACCTAAACAAGAAACCATGCTGCGACAAACAAGCAAGAGTTCTGTCACTGCTTTCCTCTTGGCAGGAGCAGCGGTCGTGTCCTATCTGCCTCCGCAGGTGCTGGCTCTCAATGTTGGGCAGACCAAGGTCCGGTCTTCTTCCGGCTCTTTCTTTGGTGGGTCTGCGGATGAGGGATCCCTCTTGAAGCCGATGGGCACTGGAAAGCACATGCTCCGAGTGTGCAACGCGTTGCCGCAAAGCGAAATTAAGGTCAGCATTGAGTGTCCATATTTCTTGGCATCTTAGTACCCTTCTCCCTTGTATTCTCATGAAATACAAGGTACAAGGGGCCAAGATGAGGGGGCCGAGATGCAATCTAGCAGACTCTAAGGAAAGCATCGAAGTCTTTCGCGGTGAAGTCGAGAAATTGACGGAGAAGCCCCTCCAGTATCGAGGATGCGTCGATTTGCACACTGAATTAGAGGCAGGCGATCAGCTGCATGTTCGCGTACTTTGAGGGTTCATAGTATGATAGATAATTTGGGGATTCTTCAATAACTATGTATTGTTGAGATTCCTTGAATAAGTATCAGCTCTACAACTTTCTAAGTCGTCATTCAAAACTGCATTATACTAAAGATGAAATTTCAAAGAACTGCATAAACTCTCAATCTTCTTACGACACCCACCCCACCTCAACACAATCTTCACAGAATGCCGGCACCACTTCCGCAGCCGATTCTTTGGGTTCTTTTTCCTTGAATGAAGTACCTGAGAGTCCGGATGCTGTGCTTTTTCTCGCTGTGTACCGACATGACGCAGTCTCGCGTGCAGTGTCCTTCGCAAGTCATGTTTTCGCCAGTCTCCAGAACGCACAAATTGCGGTGCTCGATACCTACAAGGGTGCGAAGAAAAGTCAGCTGTTGTTATGGCCATGCTTCGAACTATCTCCATGTTCTTGCTAGTGAAAAAATAGTTCTCTTGATTGAGGGTTCGATTGAACGTCGTTAATATTGCCTAGTACTAGGTTCTGTACAACTCTGTCTACTTGAAAAATGAAGAACGTACTAGATATTCTAGTCGGAGGAGGAGTCTTTGGAACAACAAAAAAATACTTAGACCTAAACAGAACTTCGTTTAATATCGTCACAAACACTTCTAATCCGAATTTCCGGCAACTATGGCCGCAGTGAGGAGCTGCGCTTTGATTCCGTAGTTGCCGTCAACCCTGGCCGTTATCGCACACAACTCGTTGATTCCAGCACGGGTCGGGAAGAGACCTCAGCCCTCCTAGACGCCCAGGATCGCCAGGCTTATGTGGTCTTGCGTGTGGGGGTTGATAACATTGAAGATGGTGGGCGGAACAAGGATTCGACGTCGTTTATGGCGCTTCTAAATAAAAAGATGTACTCATTTTTTACTCAAACGCAGTTTAGCTAGGATTTTTTTAAGTGGGAGCCTAGCTGCTATGTTTTTGAGTACTATGTATGAGCACACTTTTCCCTGTCATGTCGTTTGGTGAGAACCTATTGGTCTTTCCTTCGGAAGAGGATGAGGGCGTCTCTTTGCCGAGGAGGATGATCCGCAGGGCTGGCGATTGGGTCAACATGGTGTTGCGCTAAGTGAAGTGGAAAGAAGCAACACATTATATGTTGTTGGATACTTCTGTGTCCCAGAGGCTGAGGAAAAGAAAACTCGTCATGCATAGGAACTGAGCTCGTCGCTAGGGTTGCTGTACAGAAGCGATACGAAGTACATAATTATTTTTTCCAAGAGCAGGTAAACTCGATGTACAACAAGTTGAAGATGTAAAGATGCTGTCTTTTTTCCAGAATAGAAGAGAAATTGAACTTTTGAAGATTCCCTCAAACAAGGCAAGACTGATGATGTCACGCACGCAGTGCATCGTTTGCTGTTACCAGCTGAGAGAAATGGGAGAGAGAGAAGGGAAAGCGACGTCCCGGTTGATTCGGTGTCATTTGGGTTAGAAAAATAGCTGCTGGAGTGGACATTAGTTGTGTGGGAGGAGAGAGCGGCACTCACACCTACCATTTAACTTTGAGGAAATTCAGGAATTCGCTAGGAAATTGGGAAAAGAAAAGTGCCTCCAAAAAGGACAAGCAACCCTTTTTTCTAGCCAAACAAGTACCCTCAGCAAGTTGTGGCTCCACCTATTTTTAGGGATTCATTATACTCCTTCTTCTGGTTGTTTCGATAGACGGATATGAACAGAAAAAATTCATCCACGACAACTTGTTCTAGGGAGGAGATATAGTAGGAAGCGTAGGCCCGTGTGCCTGCGTGGGTTCGTACTGAAGATGGCTACGGCGAAGAGAAAATGGCGACCGCGGTTGTCCTTGCCTCTGCTCGCTGCTGCAGGCCGTGCAACGATGGTCGCCGCCCGCGCCCGAAGCAGAATGGCGATGGAGGAAGAGGCGCTCTTGTTCGCCAGATACAAGATGGGTATGGCGACGGTGCACAAAACCGCTTACTGGGGACAGATCGAGCTTGGCGGAGCCGAAGAAGGGAAAAGCCAAAAATTCAACGTCATATTCGATACGGGATCTGGTACTTAAAGTTAGAGGACTCACTGTTCTTCTTGTTTTTCGAAGTAGTTGTACCTTACTTCGTACATCTGTATCCCTTTTAACACCAATCCAGGCAACATGATCCTTCCTTCGTCGTTATGCCATGGACCTGGCTGTGACCGGCATCGCAAGTATGCGTTAGCGGAAAGTGCGAGTGGACGCGCTGTGACCAACGATGCTGGACAAACAGAAGCCCAAATAAGCTTCGGAACAGGCGATATTCAGGGTCGCTTTGTCCGTGACAAGCTTTGCCTCGGAAAGATCTGTCAGCCTGTGAATTTCATCGCGAGCGTTACGCAGAGTGCAGGTACTGCTCGGACTTGTTACCTGCTTGGACTTCTTGTGTTGCTTGTTAGGCTTCTAGTGAGACTACAATAAGGCACATAGTTCCCTCGTAGTTGGCACGTGATAACAGGCTATTTCCACGTCAAGTAATATTGTTCAAACTTCTCTCTGTTTCTACCTGTGATTTATCAATCTCTTACGCTTCTACTTCCCAAACCCAAACCAGAACCATTCGAAGCGACCCCCTTCGACGGGATTTTGGGTCTGGGTTTCCGAGACCTCTCAATGGGTGGCGGTTTTAATATCATGGAAGAGATCTCAAAAACGATACCTAACGGGATGATTTCGTTTGCCCTGACCGACGATGGGCCGAGCTCGTTGACGTTTGGAGGGTAGTTGATTTGTTTTAGACCTCTGCCGTGATGACTAAACATGATAGATGGGTCTAGTATACTTGAAGCTGTTCTTGTTCTTGCAGGTGCGTCCTCACCCTATATAATTTCCCACAACATAATTCCTCTCACTTAGATACCGCAAAGACCTGTGTGCATCTCCGATGGTGTGGGCGCCGGTTACCTATCCATCCTATTGGCAGATTCGGGTTGGCGACATCACCCTAAACAATCGCAAGACGAACCTGTGTCCTGCTGAGGGTTGCCAAGTAGCAGTGGATACTGGCACTTCTATGCTCGCAGGACCGACGAATCTAGTTCAGGAGCTGTCTGGACGGGTATTCCTTAATGCTTATGACAATAATTTTTTTCCGGACAACTCGGACACCCACTTAAGTACTTTGATCTGATTATAGTTTCGTTACGAATGACAGGTATTAGATGACAGGTAAACGTTGCCCCCGACTGTTCGAATTACGCGTCTTTGCCGAGCATCGGATTCCAAGTGGGAGACCGCGTTCTCAACCTCAGACCAGACGAGTACGTGGACAACGACAAGAACACATTCTGTTATGGACGATCATGGATGTGAATGCAATGTTATTGCTCCATCTTCAGAGAGTCGATCTTATTCCTCGAGCTAGTACTTTAATACAACTTTTATTTGCCTTATTAAGAAACAATCTTTCTTCCTCTAACTCCCCAGCATGTCTATCATGGCCTTGGACGTGCCGCCGCCTAAGGGCCCACTGTTTATCTTCGGTGATCCGTTTCTGCGACGTTTCGTGACCGCTTTTGACAAGAAGAAGATGCGAGTAGGGTTCGCCGTAGCCAAGGGTCTAGGCGGAAACGATGCTATTTTAAGGCGACAAAAACACGGCGGCAGAGCTCACACTTGATAGAGACTCTAACTAAGTACCCTGGAGTTGATAGAGACTCTAACTAAGTACCCTGGAGAAACGAGTCCCGGCATTACCTGCTACACATGGTTCACCGGTAATAGATGAATCTAAAAATGGTACTAGAGTCCTCTGCTTATGAGAGCTGAGTGTGAGCGAGTACAGCCTTACCTACGACCTGCACTTTCTCTTTTACCCCGAAGATCAGGGGCAACGACTGGACAACTCGCTCTCTCTCTATTCTCCTTTGATAATTTCTTCCTTTTGACATTCATCTAACTCTCGCTGACTTGGAGAAGGGTGCTGATGCAAGGACATCAAGCAAGAGAAACCTGTCGACGAAGCGTGACGCTAACCCAGTACTGACTGAAGATTTCCGAAAGACACGTGGCACGGACTCAACCAGCAGAATATTGACCGACTTATCTTCTTCTATCAACAGTGGTGCTTCCCCAGGTAATGGGTCGTCCAGTGTACCAGTAGAGGTGCTGCCACTCAGTGCAGGAATGATGCATAGCGACTCGCCACCAACGATGGCGTCCTACGAAGAGGATACTTTTGATTAGGACTTCAAGGCTGTGCTCTCTGAAAAAACTTGACCGTTCCTGGCCGTCTATCGCTTCTGCTCATTTTCAAAAACGTATCTTGATAGACTCTAACTCCCTGACACTGGGCGCGAGGATTTGGAGTATGTAGAACCACAGGGAATGGCCCTAAACCAGCAAAGTTTTCTGGAAGGTGGTAGCTCTCTTGCTGCTGGCAGCTTCCTTAAAACGGGTCACGTTAAGGCGATATTGACTCCTACAAATATTTTACTCCGTGTTTTTTCCGCTTTTATTTTCATCAGGCGAAGATGTTGAAGCGCAAGATCTGTTTTTAGTAGCTAGTTCTTAGCAGGAGAGATTTCGAAATACGACAAGAGGGTAAGAAGCCCTCCTTTTTGTTTCAAAAATTTAGTCTCACATGGAAAAAAGAGACTTATCCTGAAGGATGTTTCGCGTTGCAACCTATAAAAATCCCAAACCGCCGGCGATTGAGGAGGAGGAGGATTTTTCCGACAGTGATCTATTTACTATCGAGTTGCACAAAACGAATAAGGTGAAGCCACGACCGCTCTTGTCATTATGAGAATGGTCTATTCTCAACATTATTAGAATCCCGCACACTTCTGGATTCATCTTCCTGGCAATGGTTCTTACTAGAAGATAACACTATAAAATAAGGAGGAGGAGGTGATCGTAGTACAGATACAGTCATTTTGTCATAGTCGTGAAAAGCCAATGCAGTGATGTTTCTTGATGTTCCCTACTTGATTTTCTTGCATAGATGCACTTGCTACACTAAGGTGCAGTGGGTAGTTTCAATTCAACTGAAAAGTTTTAGTCTTTTTCGTAGCAGTCGATTTCGGAACGCAATACTGGATTTCATGAAAAAAGATTTTGATTCAATTTTTGAAAAAAAACGCACTGGAAAATTCTATTGGTCGGTTTCATCATTAATGTCACAGAACTGCAGAGAAGAAAGAGGAAGCGCAATATCAAAGGCAGTGGAATACTGTCATTGTGCTTTCTAGATGTCAGGACTGTTTGTGTCAATATCAGAAAGAGATAATTTTGTATCTGACGAAGAGTAAGCTTGTTGTATAACGGAAAGAAGAGCTGCAAAGGAAAGAAGAGAAAACTAGAAGGAAGGTAAGAAAAAGGAACGGATCTCTACTGTAATATCTTGCACCAGTTTAAGACTCTAGGGATAGTCCCTAATTTGTTAGAGGGTTTCTAAATCGCATTCTGTCAAAATCACGTTCAACTGTGAAAAAAGAGAGATAGAAAAAAAAAAAAACTATATAAAGGAGTGTTCGTCTGTAGTTCTTTTTTGTATTTGCAGTCTGTGGCAGTCTGTGAAGATGAGAGACTGGAAGAGACGAGGGTGCAGTAGCGTTGTTCCTGGTCTGTACTAAGAGAGCATGGCGATTAGGATCTGTCCTCTGAGAAAATGGTGTCTGTCGAGTAGCACAGTTTGCATGAGAGCGAAACCTGTCTTGCTGTAAATGTAGATATCTATCCCCTGTGTAAATTTTCGCTTTTGGAAAATTCCTTCTCCTTGCAGTTTAAACTTTTCAATTTTCTTGTCCCTCGCTTTCTTAAAAGTGAAAATCACAATTTTTGATCGAACTTCCTTCGCAGATAATAAAGTGTAAATATGAAAATTGGTATCTAACTATGGGTGAAATAGAATTGTGGCTCTCGAACAAATACTAGTTTGAATGAATACTTGTTAACGTGTAATTGGTTAAATAGAATGAATACTTGAAGACGTTCAGTACAAAAACATGACGGAAGAGGTGCAAGAATATTGTGGACCCATAATTTTCGGCGAAACCAAAACTACAGCGATAACAGTTTCGCCTGTATCCAGGAGCACTGCTCTTGATATGGTTCTGCGTGATTACAGCAACAGTAAGGGCAACGTTCGCATCGTACGCCGCGCGAAACACGACAAGAGAAGCACACCGGTTGGGGGAGCAAATATGGCCGCGTCTATCCCTGACTTTCCTGTTGCCGCTGATGCAACTCCTGAAGAGGAAGTGCTGCTCTTCTTAACAGCGCCGTTCTTGTACATGAACGATGAGAACGAACCTGCCACTCCTACCAGGATGTCTGTCCGCAAATCTGCAGTACCTTTAGCCTTTTCTTCTTTTGACTCCATGACGACATCTAGCGATGACGATTTTGAGGACGTGCTGTCACCACAGTCGTCTACTTCTGACAATGGAGGAAAGTCTAACATGATGCCTAGGACGAGGAGTCCGAGGAACCATATGATGGGAGCAAAGGCTGGCGCTTCGCCATCCTCCAGCACAACGACAACTTCTGCGCCAGGGAATAAGGATATGAAAGGTAGAGCTCTACCACCTAAATTTGACAAGTTTTTCCGGCAGGAGCTTGAGGAAGATAACGTCCCGGAAGAAAGCTTCATGACGCCTGCTAACGCTTTCAAAGCAGGCATGGCACTTGCGCAAAGCAGTACAACTACGATCACGAAAGAACCTGATGATGTGACAAAAGACGAAGATGGGCGTGCTGCTGGTGTGAAGAACGACAGCTTGGTAGAAGAACAGACTCGGCGTGCAGCTGAAGTAACAGCTAAGCTTGTGTCTGATCCTGAATCTCCAGCAGAAGGGATTCACAAAGGCCCCCTCCCTGAGAGTCCCAGAACTACTGGTAACGGAACACCTCGTGTGAGTTTTTCTGATGCCGAAGATGTAACCTTCATCGAGAACAACGCTAAAAATGGTTACTCAACAGAAAAGAAGGCTACTCACTCTTCTAAGAATGCGAATGGGGCTCCTGCTGCTCCTGTTGCAGCTGCTTCTAGACCAGAGGCCTCATCAACGCCTCAGGCAGAAGAAGACGAAGAAGATGCTGTTGTCAACATGATTGCTGATCAACTGGTTGAGGAGTTCGCGTCCAGTGCTAATGGCGACGTGCATCTTTCTCCTACGCAACGATTATCCGACTCAGAGTTGGCTTTTCAAGCGAATGCTCGCGGAAAGTGGACGATGGCTGATTTGCATACTAAAGATTCCAAGACGAGTTCCAAGACCAGTTCGGCGAAGGCTAGTATGAAACCAGAGGGTGGTGCACAACAAGCAGAAGAAGCTCCAGTTGTAATTATATCGACAAAAGATTTCATGGATCATATGGAAGACGAAGTGGGTATGACACATCGCACAGACACGAGCTTTCGTACTGCTATTGACAGTGGCTCCAGCAGTCCTCTATACAGCGACGACGATAACGAAGCTTTTCAAACGCCAAAGAATATGATGAGTCCTCGGACCAATTCTGGTAAAAGCAGTCCTGCGCGTACCCACAGGAGCAGAGCTGCAAGCCCGTCTGACAAGGCAGCTGCGATTCTTGATCGCGCTGGTATGATGCCGGGAAAGCGCGAGCCTGGTTCTAAGCCTGCTCCAAAGAGTGTGCTGGAGAGACCACCTCCAACTACATGGAGAAATCAGACAGCCGGAACCGACCCGACACCTTTCTCACATTCGAGGAGTGCTGCCAATAATACTTCCACGCCCAGAACAAGTAATATTAGAGATGGGAGTCCGAAAGCGACACCGAGAGGATCTGGCACTGGCAAAGCTGCCCTTGATGCAACTACACCGAGGCCCATGTGTGTTTCGAAAAATGCTCCTGATGTAAATCCACCAGCATCTCCAACAGAAGCTCGAGCTCAAGAACAGAAGGCTTTGCCTCCGCCAAGTGGGCTGTCGATGCCAGGAACCTTACCATTGATGCGCAGTGGCGGTCCTCCAGTTCCAGTCCCGCAATTGAAGATGCAAGCTTCAAAATTCTTTCCGCTCATGGGCACACCACGAGCACCGCTTCTGCAGAGCACTGGAGGACCGACTTTGCCAGGTTACGAACAACAGGGCACTACAGAATCGGCACGTGGACCAAATGAGGAGGATGTTCTTGAAGAAGTGAGTCAATATCATTCGGATGATTCTGATGTCGTGGGTGATGAATATACTGCTCGAGGGCGCGGTCGTACTTTGGATCAATCACGACAGACCTCTGCCCCTACGCGCACGCCTAGTCCGAATGTCCTGACTAAACGGCGCAATCTTTTCGTCCCGCCACCGCCGAAGGAGCGGAAAATTGATCCCTTGCCGAAGGAATATCAGTTGCAACTGCAAGCGGTGACAGACAAACTCGACTCTCTCAAGTTGAGCAAGGACCAAGCGAAGCAGAGACAGTTGGAGATTGCAAATATGCGCAGACTGGAACAGGAAAGGTTAATACAAGCTCAAGGAGCTCGGAAGGGACTCTTTTTTCCACCGGACATGCCCAAAGTACCGGGACCAAATCGACCCGAACTCGCAGAACCCGATCTGCAGGCGGCTTTGGACGTGTTGAGAGGGAAGCAAACTGCATCGGCTCAGTTACAGATGCTTTCTTCAGCGCGAACAACACCTAGGCAAATGGTCCAAGCTACTGGAGACTACGACCCGGAATACGTTTCGCCTGAGCACGTTGCATTAGAATCTACCGCTAGAGCAACACCACGAGCGCTCGTCACTGGTAAACATCCTATTCACATGTGGGGTGAGTATCGTCCTTCTCCAGTACTACCATCTTCTAGGGGTGTCAATCGCGATATTACAAACGTGGATGAGCCAGATATGAATGCAGTCCCAACAACTACTTCACAAGTTTCTTCGCCAACCATGTCCGAGGCTTCAGCTTTGACCATCATGCCCTCGACGCCGTCTTTGACACCCGCTGCTGCAGGCGGCACACACCTGATCCCTATGCCAGCCTCGCCACGTTTGCCGGCGCCACCGGCACTTATGCCTATACCTCCGCCAAATGTCACAAATTCCGGACCACAACTGCCTCAAAGAGCCCAGATGACGCCACGAGATCTCCATCAGGAGATCCGACAGGCCGTTCAGGGCATTCAGAGACCTATAATTGGAACGACACCGATAAACAGTCCAAGAATGCGGACTCATGGTCGCGTCTTTACTTATATGTCAGAGGAGCAAGCGGCAATGGCAGCAGCGGAACGACGTCGGCTTGGCACGGATTTGTTGCCATTGCCAGAACAGGCTTTGTCGTTGTTTTCTAGTTCTGTAGTTGGGGGTAATGATGGAACCGATCAAGCGGGTGATGGAGAAGGTGAACGGGAACAAGATGTCGAACATCAACAAGCTCCCAAAGAACGAGAACAAGTAGAGGAGGATTCAAGACGAAGTCGTCGTAAGGCGAAAGGAGACGCTAGTGGGCGCATCGTCCTCATGGTTGGTGGTAAAAAACACTATGGTCCCCCAGAGAAAAAGCCTGAACCTGAAAGTGAAGAACAATCTGTAGCAGCTAAACAACATCCTCTTGCTAGATGGTCCAAAACGTTGCAGATGCCGGTGAGCACTCTCAATGTGCCTGCGATTAACGTGATTGCTTTACCCTTGAAGCAAGTGCAAATTCAGAGTACCGCTTTGATGCTACCGAAAAGGGAACCGCCACCGCCTAAGATCAACGTTAAGCCGCCACCAGGCTTGCCGTTTCCAGATTTGATGTCCAAGGGAATGCGCAAATTAGGCGACGAAATGCCAGCGGCACAGCGGAGACGGGAGGCCACGATGAACAAAGGCAAAAACTTGTTTGCAAGAGAACAACCTGTAGCAGAAGAGAGTCCTTTAATGGCAGCTTCTCGACGTCGACGCGGTAGAGACAAAAGGAAAACTGGAGTGCACGCGTTGGATGCGGAGAGGGGGTTACTGGATTAAGGATGTCAGGTGGACAAGAAAATTTCATTTCATTTCGAGCTTCAGGAAGTTAGAATATATTTTGAAGATAAGGACTATGGGTGGGAAAAACTAGAACAAAGTCCATAAAATTCGGACTCGGAGATACTTTTGATTTTGTACTTACAGAATACTGTCGCAGGAAATGGTCGCTGTATTCTTAAGTACTTTTTTCACACGCAGACGGACAAGAGCAGATAATGCAGATTTTTATCCGGGCTTTGCTCCAGAAAAAGTACTGTTAGCTTGTTGCGCGCGGCCGGAAGATTTATGTCGTGAATAAATTTGTTTTTTTCTGATGTAATTCATAGTTCGTTGTAAAACGAATCATTCATAGTGGGCTGAATTGGTGTGTAGCGCAACGATCTATCGCAAGAATACAGGGACTTAACGGCGAATTTTCAGAAATCATGAATACTGACTGAATACTTTGATCATGTATTTACTTGTATTATTTCATCCATCAATTAAGAAAAATAACACACGAAAACGATGAGACAAACGATTTCAATGTAGAACCACACAAAATGCCTGTTCGCGTCATGTCATCAATGTGCGGCTCTACTAGCCTATGCCTACTTTGAAAAAAATCTAGGTGGACCCTTCGAGGATGTGTGTTCGCATAATATGAAGTATGTCACTGCGGTGCATGATCCCTGATGGCTACTTGCTAGACATGATCGCACTGATGGCTTACTCACGTCAGGAAAGACGAGTTCTGTACTGTACTACGAGGACAAAATGGAATGGACTTCTGTGTTGTGTCACGAGAGAGGAAGACCGAGTCATCTGTGCTACGGCAGTGAGAGATAGCGACACAGAGCACATAACGACGAGGTGATCTGATAGTCTGGAGTCGCAGAGAAAAAAACTCACTTTGATGATTGAATATCTGTGTGGATGACCAGAGTATAATGATCGATGAGTGTCTCTGTTGATGAGAGCCTCAGTTTTGCTTTTGCGCAGAGTGTGCTCAACGCCGCAGCGTAGAGAAAAGTTGTTCTTGGAGAGGCTACCCTTTGCTTGTGGTCATACTTGTAGTGCAATAAGGTAGAATTAGTCATCGATGAGAGCTGCTTTCCCCGGAGTTCAATATTGCTGCTATTCTTTTGCCCGAAACTTCTTCCTATTTAGATAACGCCGCTTTAATTATACCGCTTGTTGGGCGCATCGTTATCCTCATCCTCGATCTTTTCTTGGCTGAACTACAGGAGGATTCCCCGTGTTTGAAGATCTCGTTTTTTTCTGGTGTTTTTAAAAATCGCTTTGGTGTTTATTAAAAAATGAATACATTCACGTGATTTTGATTGAGACTACATCTCCTGCTTCAGTGTGCTGTTGTAACCCTCTCACAGCACAGCTCGTCAGACAAGCCGATAGCGACTTCGGTGAAAAATATAGCCCGTAGTTTCTTCGGAATAATAGGCAGATAAACACGCAAGCTCTTCCCTTGCGGATAAGCACGGCGCTACAAAAAAGAGGCGCGCTATACCGAGTTGAATTGAGCAGCCCCCGAAGAAGAGGAGACCGAGCAAGAAGAAGAAGGCTTTTGAAGACGGAGTTGTCCGAGCAGATTTTTCCTCGAGAGGACCAGTTTATTTTGAGCATTCATTTTCTTCCCACTTTGAGCGGTGGAGAGCAACAGGCTCCCCCCTGTGGACGGCGAGTCAACTCCTATCCTATCCACCTAGAGCAGCCGCATATAATCAGTACAAAATGGTGAAAGGAAGCATCGAGCAACCAGTAACAACAACAACTTTGTTGTCGACAAAGAGTGCAGTCGTAGCACAACGAGCAGTCTCGCGGGAAGTCTTGTCCGACCTAATTGGCACAGCGTACGATGACTTGGGAAAGCCGCTAAATACAGATGGTATATAATAACAACTGAGTAACAATATATGCGTAAGTACCTTAAAGGTCGAGCGACGCTCAAAGCACTTAAATAAACAGCCGGCTTGTTTTCCTCTTTCTACTTTTAGGGTATCCCTTCATGCAATATACGCGCACGTATCTTCTCGGCTTCCCTAGTTTTAGTGGGCGGCCGTCTACTTCAAGAGACACTACCATCTTATCGCGCAAGTGGTAGAGAACGGCCATGATCTATGGCAGTCTTTTAAACCCAACAACCACAACAGGTCTCTCTGTGACCGAACGGTCAAGGGGGAAACAGGTTCATGGGTCAGCAAAGACTAGCATCCAACAAAAACCCGAGGCAGCGAAGATAGATGAAAAGTTGGCCACGCTTTTCCCTGATAGAGATCAGCGCTCTGTGTGTGTGGTGGAGGTACTTGTAGCTACATTCTGCTTGTTCTCCACTTATTTTTAGTACGCGCCAACTAAGATAAGTGGAGAAGGACAGGTCGTGCCCTCACGAACTCAAATGGATGTTGCAGTTAGCAGCTCCTTCTGAGATCCTGTGATATTTGATTCGCGTCAGAATTCTCTCGTAATTGTGGCCTCTCTCACATCTCTCCCGCCTAAAGCATCTGACATTGATTAGAATTGTCAGTTATGATGTTTGATGGTTTACGGGATAAGCAATAAGAGATACGCTGAAGTAAGTTGATAATGGTGACAATATCACGACCACAGGCACACGTGCAAACGCAAAAATTTGTGCACGAATATTTACCGGATTTAGTAGGCGCGGCCTACGATGAAGAGGGACGCCTTGTAGAACGGCTGCCAGTCCCAGCGACACGGACACGTGGCAAAAGAGGCTACCACGTCACGGCAGTACTGACTTTTTGAAATGATAGAGCTGAAAGAGTAATTACGATTTCACTCGTTAAATGTTGGCTAAATTGAGGTCGGGAGGTCTCTCTCTCTTAGCGCTTTTAGCGCTATACGTTTTGGTGACAAATTATGTCACCATCTTCAGGCCTCTTTGACTCTTTGTCGTATAAGTATCGAGTGAATAGTCGAATTTATGATGATGAGTTTTTAATTTAACTCCTAGCCATTCTCTTTCTGGAAAGTTGTTTCCATGTTATTTAACAGGAGACGAAGATACAAGGAGGGGCGACACCCGAAACAGTAGATCCGAAGGATATAGAAATTGCGGCTGCTATTCCCGATCGCGATGAACGAACCCCCGTAGCTTTGCCAGGCCTCCATATGAACACGAGCACATTAGTAGCGCCACCGGAGCCTACAACTCCCCTCGAGAAGGTGCAAGTGGGAGCTCCAGGAATGATGGGAGGCGGCACAGCCGCGGGCCAAGGATGGATGCGACGACTGTTCCTTAAAGCTGGATCCATATGCGCAGTTTGCTCGTAAACTTTGCTCGTTTCGTACGGCAGCAGAAGGAAGTCGACAATTGTGTACTAAAAAGAAGAGCAGAGAAGTTCTTTTGAAGGAGGATTTTTTGAACGCAAGTATATTATGATTCGTTTTGATGGGAGAATTGTTTCCTTGACAGGAAGAATCAACAATTTAACCAGCCAGCATTTCGTTGGTTTTCCTTTTCGTTGACCATATGATGCCTGCATATCACGCCGGTTCATGTTTCTTAATTTAGAACAAGGGGTACCTTCAACATATTGTCTTTATTCGAGGACCAAAGAAAATGTTGTTTGTATTAGAGGAACGAAGCCTAAACGACGTACTAAGTGTGCGTACTAGGCAGAAGGCCAAAACTGTCCTATAGCTGGTGTTTTTGACTGAAAATCACTCATTTAGCCTTGCGTGACCTCGTCACTATTATCTGTGATGCAGAAGACGGAAGGTCGCTGGGCTCGACGAGTTCGCTCCTCAGCCTCCGTTAGTATAAAAAACCCAACTCCTCCACCACTATTTAACACAAACATCACAAGCCATGGATCAAGAAAGTTCAAGACAACTTACTTTTCCTCTATATTCTTATACGTCAGTGGGACATGAAAATTATCCACGATAAAACAAGGACGCGAAGACTTCTCCTCCATAGATCGATACGTCAAACGGACATGAATACGAAAGCCCTCATCCGCGAGGAGAGGGATTCGAGTTTATATTTAGTACCCCGTGAAGGTGAAGAATGGGTTTCCCACTGCTACTACTCCTAGCACTTCTACGCTGTGTTGACTTGTAACTTTAACTGAGGAGAAGTAAGTACGCATAGGCTTTTCATTTTGCGATTTGTTGTGATGTTTCGCCTACATCAAACTAGGTTTTACTCTCACGTGAATTCCAGAAGCTGTTTTTGCTTTTTGTAGTGCATCTCACTGCGCCCTGATTGTGGGATTTCTTTTTCCTTTGTTTTGTTCCCTGTCCTCCCGCGTTCCTGCGTGGCCTTGAACGGGATAGTTTTTTCTGTACGTCCGATGTATTGATCAGAGATGTCACGGCGGCGCGGGGTCGTGATTCTTCTATATTACTTAGAACATTTTTTTGCGCAATTTGTCGCTTTAGTTATTCTCAATTGTAGGAAAAAGGATGTGTAAAAGAATTGAATGGAACTAAGATTACAAATGAACTACCGGTATCTGAATCGTGAGTCTTTTCGACGAAGAATATTGTGGGTGAAGATCGATGAATCTTGTTGTTGTAGTGGTTGGATTAGCCATGACTCTTGTCGCACTACTCTCAAACGTTCTTGGCTTTTGGTCGTTGGTGATGGACGGAGAACATTTCTCTCTGTACTATCATGGACCAGCAGATGATAATCAAACTGCGAGTCGGGATACCTGCAGAATTTTCCAAGAAATTGGAGGGCGGGCCGGCTTCTCCGCATCTTTCTCTCTGTCATTACCGAGGAAGGATATTTTAACCAGCAACGGTCAACGCCTTTGCTTCCACACCAGCCTGAAGTTGAGAAGGATATCCTGCCTTCTGGGGAGTGCTGCGAGGAAGCCGGTATTTTGAACAGGCTTATCTCGTCTTATGAACTAAAATATTTCAATCAATATGAAGCGCGCTGTGCTAGTGTTACGCGCAACAAAGACCCTGAGGTCTTTGCTAGGCGCCATTCGATGTTTTAGGGTAAAATTTGCGTTATTTGTCTCTCGAACAAAGAGTGTGCAAGGAGAGATAGCCTCGAAGAAAAGTGTGTAAAGTGAGACAAAAATGCTGGCACTTCAGTGTTTGCGTTCTGGACATCCAGGCTGCTCCCTCATTATGCGTGTAAGTAAACGCCACGCAACGGTGTCGGAGATCTGCTAGTCACGTCCCGTAGAGAAAAATGTTGTAACCCCTCGATGAAGTAGAAGTGTAATCGATCAGTGTAAAATAAGGATATACAGTTAAAAAAGATGATGATTTTCATGCGCAATTATAAGTAAGAGCAAGAGATTAATATGAGGTAGCGGGAGTTACTCACTGGTTCTTGTCTGCTCCAGCGTTTAGAGTATTTGCGTGAAGTGAGATTCGATGACTTATCTCTTGTGCTGTTCGAGGAAAGTTGATGTAGCTCAAGGGGTAGGGACACGAAACCCAACGAGGACACGCGGCAAAGCTTATTTGACAGAAGCCCTGTGTTCAGAGCTAGCTTTGGGAGGTACCGACTGGCGCGCAGAAAAAAGGGTAGCACTGAAGGAGCAACGTTGTGAAAGCTGTGAACAAGTCGCGAATATGACGAAGAAGCCAACGTCGAGAGCCGCTGGGAGGCGGACCCACAAATTTAAGACTTGACGGCGGTACAAAAGAATCTAAAGAATTCTTTACCGGTGTGCTCAGATGATTTTTTTGCTGGAAACAATCGAGGTGAAAATTGGGATTTCGAATTTTTCAGCTTTCGAGAGAGATCCCTGAAGAACAACGAATATCAAAGAGGAATGACGACCATATCTGTTAGATCAGCCATTTACCTGTTTTGTGCGCGACTAGCTGTTCTTATCGTATCTGCGAAAAGCAGTAGCGCTTCTGGCTTAAAGATCCTCTTGAAGCAAACAAAATGAAAGGTCACGCTTCTAAATTCGTGCTGGTTCAAGAAACAAGTCACATGCTTTTCTGGCGACAGTTGCTGGAGATCTAAATATTTCATTTTTGGATGTTCTTGGTCAGATTTCTCACTGAAAGCCCTAAATTACGTTACGATCATCACTTACAAACTGCTCTCCGTGCCTTCCCGAGATCCTTCCGCTTTTCTGGTAGTGCATATACCTTGTAGCCTCTTCGCTTGATAGATCCGTGCTCGACTGCATTTTCGCCAAGATCTCTTCGAGGGGGTCAGTGATATCTAAATAGACTGCAAACAAGACAAGACAGCTCAAGAGATCTCCGTGACAAGATCTAAAATTTCTTGTGATAAACTCTATTTTGTCCTCGCTCCAATTGAAAATGCTTCGAACAACTGATCCTAAGATAGGCTAAACTCCGACGACCGACGATTTCCATTTTTCTTTGAACGAAGACCAAATCATCGTACCATTAAGAGACCTACAACAATACCACTTTCTAAATTACCGCAACAGGGAAACGAGACTATCTTCTAGCCCTTTTGGTGGAAGTAGAACCTTCGAAAATGTCAGCACCAGCCGCTACTTTTGAGAACGCCGTTGAGCCGAAGCTCTTCGGAAAGTGGGAGTTCAATGACTTGCTCTGTACTACTTACTGCTTTTTGCGTTTGGAGATTTTTTGATGCTGGTTGATAATCTAAAGATTTGCTTTTGTGGAGGAAAAAATGACATATGGAAAGTAAGATGACTTTCTCGAGAACCTGCTATCAACGAAAGCAAACAAAGGGCACCTCATAAGTGAATATTCAAAATCTAAAAACCAATCCAAACAAATAAATATCAGGCGCCGAGATCTCTTTGGTCGATTACATCAAGACCAGCCCGGGACACAGCAGCGTCAGCGGAATCTACGTTCCGCACACTGCCGGTCGCTACCAGCAGCGCCGATTCCGCAAGGCTTTGTGCCCGATCGTCGAGCGCATCGCTTGCTCCTTGATGATGCACGGTCGCAACAACGGTAAGAAGTTGAAGGCTGTCCGCATCGTCAAGCAGTCCTTGGAGATCATCTCCTTGTTGAACCCGGATACCAACCCGGTTCAGGTACAACTAGGACAACTTGTGAATTTTGCATGGATATGACTTAGCAGCTGTCTACTGATGAAATATGGTTGTCACATTCGAAGATCGCATCAATTTTCAGCAACTCATTTTCCGTATCCACCATATGCTCATCTCATTCACGGCTAACTAAACAGGTCATCAACATCTTCTAAAAAAACGCCTCTTGATCTTTTACTAAACAAAAAACAGATCTTGATCGATGCCGTGAAGAACGGTGGTCCTCGTGAGGACTCCTGTAAGGTCGGTTCTTCCGGTACCGTCCGTCGTCAGGCCGTCGATGTCTCCCCGATCCGTCGTGTTAACGAGGCTATCCACCTGATCACCACTGGTGCTCGCCTCGCTGCCTTCCGCTCCATCAAGAGCATCGCTGAGTGCTTGGCCGATGAGCTGACCAACTGCGCCAAGGAATCCTCCAACAGCTATGCGATCAAGAAGAAGGACGAGATCGAACGTGTCGCCAAGGCGAACCGTTAAGAATCTTTCTCGGTGTTGTTTCGATTGGATCGACGTATACTGGAAAGGAGAAGCTTTGCTTTTGCGGAGTATTTGTCATTGTGGAGCAGCGTTGGATTCACGCAGAGGAAGGGAATCTAAACAACAGAATTCTTCGAATCATCATTGCAGAGGAAGAACATTTTGAGGATGTGGAAATGAGGAGGATATGTGACACAATTGTGTCAACTGCATGTCATGATGATGTGAATCTGTGGCTACAGGATGAGACTGCATATCAGAGATGTAGTAGTTGACTTTTCTAAAGAAAGCTGCTGACATAGAAAGCAAGGTTCTGGAAAACGTACTCGGGTGAAGGCAACAACGTCCCGCGCCGTCCTTTTGAGGGAGAAATCACGTGTCTATCTTCGCGCTCACGTGATGGAGAAAGATGAGTACCAGGAGCACAGACGAGAATTTGAGATCTTAAAACGTGAGAGACCGCCGGAAAAATCTAAATCTTTGATGGTGCAAATATACGATCCTGCGGATACAACAGTGATTGTAAGGAACCACAACTAGATCTAAGTCGGCAACTGTTTCCAGCTTCATTGATTCTGAACCAGCACGAACTCATTGTCAGCCAGAGATCCCTTGTACGTACAGCACTCTAAGGTCCCGCGATCAGATCCCACGTTCAGATCCATGACAGCGAAGACACACAAGGCATAACCCGCACCAGAGATCCAATCATACAGATCTAAAGAATCCCATGCCGATCGCGATCTAAGGAATCTGATCGGCAATCGAGATCCTCATAGAAAATTGCCTTCTTGTAAATATGTAATACACACAAGCAATTACCATTCTAAATTTGTCTTCCGTTATGTCATCCGTAACAATCCTTCACTGTTCACCTTCTAAACAGGGACAACGAAAGTAGCGACCACACCAGGAGGTGGCTGCTAGAAGTAGTATAGACTCTGTAGGGAACCACTAAAGAACAAGATGGGTATCGATATCAAGTCTGGTGGCCGCAAGAAGGTCACGAAGCGTACTGACGTGAAGGGAGATGATCCGTACCTCAAGCTTTTGGTGAAAACCTACAAGTTCTTGGCTCGTCGTACGACGTCCAACTTCAACAAGGTTATCGCCAACCGCCTCTGCCAGACTCGCGTTCAGAAGTGCCCGATGTCCATGTCCAAGCTCGCTGAGCACATGAAGGTACATGTCTAGAATGAAATTGTTTTCACTTAGTTTCGTATCGTAATGCATCGCGTGTAAATCCAAATCTAGCATCTAAATTTATGACTCTCGCTCTCCATCCTAATTTGATATGCCTCATCTAATTCTAAAAAATAGGGCAAGGAGTCCAAGATCGCAGTTATCTGCGGAACTATCACCAACGATGTGCGTTTGTTGGATACTCCGGAGAACTTGAAGGTGTGCGCTCTGCGTTTCACCGAGACCGCTCGTAAGCGTTTGGAGAAGGCTGGCGGAAAGTGCATGACCTTCGATGAGCTCGCCATGACTGAGCCGCTCGGTATTTGATTTATTTCGATTTAGATTTGTGCAGCACATAGCACCTTGAAGCATTGACTATCATCAGTTTAGTAGTGTCACTTTGCGGAAGGCCTCAGTGGTAGAATCAAAGTTGAAAGACACAGTTTCCTATGAATTCCATCAACTCTTACACAACTCAATTCTAAAAATCCCGAATACAACAGGCAAGAACACCGTCCTCCTCCGTGGCCCGGTGAAGGCTCGTGTCGTTAACCGTTACTTCGGAAAGGCTCCGGGTGTCCCGAACTCCACTACCCGTCCGTACGTGCGCAAGGCCTCCAACCTCAAGCGCAAGGGACGCAAGTTCGAGCAGGCTCGTGGTCGCCGAAAGTCTCGTGGATTCAAGGTGTAAGGAGACGACGCTTTTTGCTGTATTTGGAGATCTCTTTTCTACGAAAGCAGGGGACAGCATACTTCTACACTTGATGAGACGCTTAAGATGTCAAGTTTGATGAGATGTCCCTGTTCAGATCAAGACAAAACTGCGTTTAGAATCGTAGAAGGGTCAATCCCCAAGAGTCTATAACACACAAAAAAAGTTGAAATGTCACGCCTCTACAATTCGTGGTAGCAGTGACGGTTGAAATATGATGGAGGAGCTCGGTGTTCATGGCGCAACGAAAGATGTCAGATGGGGATTATCTTGCCTCCAAGGTCCTACGAGTGAACATGTAGGAGGACAAAAGTATGCACGAGATTTCAAAAGTACGCTTGTGCAAGACAACAAAATCGAGAGAAAAATGCAGTAGCGCTAAGAAAATGCTTGAAATGCTGTACCTTAGGTAAAGGAGCATGTCCGCAAGGAAGTACGACTAGCCTGTCCCAATGATCAGTGATTCCGCGAGTCTGCCATTATCAAGAGGAAAACTCATATAGCCAGGTAGATCCTACTTTTCAACCCAAAAAATGGTCGTGCCGAGCAACGTCCCCAGGCTCTACGTCCGCCAGGACGTCATCGAGCAGGCGATCTGCAATTTCTCTTCACCGAAATGGGGAAATGGCAATACGGATACGGTTATGGAGTTCGTCAAAGGTCTTCTGTACTGGATCAATTGGAGGAGACCACCGCCACCGAGTGCGGCCTCGGTAAAAGCGTGTACGTATCAAGAATTCCGAGTTAAGAAAGTCGATTGGCTGGACTACTGCACGAAGCACGTGAAGACGGTGCAAATGTATGGAGAGGTCTTTTGCAAATGATAATTCATTAGCGTGGTTCAGCATAACAAGTGTAGCTGTAGGTGTAGACATCCACAAGTGACGTTCGGGGTCTTGGAAGATGGATCTCTGGCGTTCTGACTCGTAGGAGAGGGCTGAAGGCACAGGGAAAGTTTTACTGATTCGACACTCGGAGGTACATGTAGTATAAAAGTTATCACTTAGCTGATAGCTTCAAAAGAAGCACTTTCTCTCCCGATGGCATGACTTCCCACCCTTCTCTTCAAATTCCTTCGAACAATGTAGCATGCAGCTACTGGGCCATATTCTCCACACTAGCGGGGATGATCCTGAGCCCTGGCACGACCTCTGAAACCTACCTGGACGCGCGCGCCATCGCGATATTCATGCTGTTGCAACCTTATACGCGCTTCAGGCAATGGATGGAGAAAAATACGAATCCCGATACGTCGGCTTACAATGAAGGTGAGTGAAGACTTGACGGCTCGTTTTTTTCCTGCTCAACCTGTACATCCACTTCAAGAATAGGGTTAGTAATGAAGCACGTAATTATTATCCTTTCAGTTTGTTTGCTCGAGACGCCGTGATGGTGGTTTTTCTTCATCAATTGAAGATGCACGTGGAGAGGCCTCATTGGCATTTATCTGATTAACACCAAACCCACTAGGTGCCAACCCCGCCGCCAGTCCCCGAACAGTTTCTCCGCGTTTGCAACAAACCTATTCGCCACGAGGGTCGGCGCGTGAGCAGATTGGCTTGTCGGGTACTGTACAGTTAAGGGCTGCCCCGTTGAATTCTTCACTACCATTCTTGACCTTTTTCCGAGTGGAAATAAAGGAGGCAAGGATGAGTTGAAGAGACGACATCCAATTCCGCAGCCTCTAATACGCGACTCAAATTTTTCGAAACATCTAGTGAAATACCTCAAGGCAAATGTCCTACCACGCCTCTTGAACGACCTGCTTTTGGTCGGCGAGCCAGAGTCCGGCAGTCAGAGGTTGCACGTCCAACAGGCACAGTTCTTGCGCCTCCTAATCGAGTGTGAGGCACCTGGACAGACAGTGGTGGATGTCTGGCGAAGAGAAAACGCAGGAGGACACGAAGATTTTTTGAAGCTGCTTGAGAGGCACGTGACACTGAGTGAGAAGGTAGTACTTACTCTGATTTACTAGCGACGTCGAGTCGTTGTGACTTACGAGTCGTTGTGAAACTGAGCTAGAAAGTCTTCTGTTTTGTAACCTCATGCTAATCATATAGGTCTACCCTGCTCTGGAGCGACGCCATTGTCAGTCAAGCGACGAAGTGGTGCAGGGAATGTACCAGCTGCCTCATGCCCAAGCGAGCATGACTGCATCGCTGACAAATTTTTCAGCGAAGGATATAGCAGCTGCAGCCGGTCCCGCTGAGGAGAGGGACACAGCAGTCGTCTGCGGTCTACAAAGGATGACGATAATCGAAAGCAACGCTTACTCAAGAGTTTATGTGGTACGTATCAGAACTTTGAGGTTTTCGACTTGTAGAATGAACGATTTGACGTTGGTTTTACTCACTTATATTTTCGTCGCAAAAAAGCTTTTCTTGAAAGTACCTTCTAGGAACTTTTCTCGAGACGGACAGATTCAAATCCCATTCCCCCACACACTAGGCCGGCTGCACTTCATGCAACGTTTACATCACGGGCCCGTGCCAGTCCGTCCTTGTGTCCGGATGCAAGGAGTGCGCAGTGGTTATCACTGACGCTGAAATGGTAACATCGCATGAGAATCAAGAGACGCAAGTTCACGCAGCCGCATCATTGGTAAAAATCGACAATAGCATATCGTGCACTTTTTACCTAGCTACGAAGAACGCTGCCATCATCTGCGGCGACACGCGTAGCATCAAACTCGCACCATACAACGTGCTCAGTCACGATGTACCGAGATCGGCGCCTGGAATAACTGGCGCGTTTGGGAAGGAGGACGTACTCTAGCCATTGACTTTTCAAACGCGTAGAAACCGCGGTGAGATTGAAACCGCGTAGAAACAACTTCAAATGTTGAGTTATACTTTTCTTTCTTGCAAAATGGTTCCTCCCGGCTTGCAGCAGCACTTGTGGATTAGTAGAGTAGCTAGTTTTTATCATTTCCAAACCATACACACATACACTTCAAAGTTCTGTTCATCGTACCGTCAGGAATTGAGTGATGGAATCATTATCTTCCCTATCAACAACAGTCCGCCGTCCGTGATCATGGTGAGAGGCTAGCGACTCAGTGGGCACACCCACTCTGCTGCACTGGTCGGGAAGAGCAATATTCCTTCGTGAATCCGAAAGATTTCACACCGCTAGTGGTTCCCGGAATCTCACCAACAGGCGATCTTAGTGAGGAAATGCGACGTTTGGGTACTGGTGGTGGTGGAAGCCACGTTGTGGGTGGTTCTAGTGTCGGTGCTAATGGTGGAGATGGCAACGGAGGAAGTGACTCAACATCTTCTGACGCGACATGGTGGATCAAGGGGTTGCATCTGCCAGAAGTTTACGCCAAGCAGCTTTACAACCGAGTAGACGACGTGCAGCGTGCGCCAGGAGGATACAATGCGCATCAAATGGAGAAAATCATAGAGAATTTCTCAAATTTCTTAACATCTGATCCTCGAAAGCACAAACAGCTTTGTGATCTCGCAAAGATTCAAGCAGCTGTAAAACAGCGAGCTGTAGGATCTTCGACGAGGATATTGACGAATTAGTGTATGTTGAGGCTCGTGTTGCATTTGACAACTTTCTACAGAGAATTCGAGATAGCAAATTTTGACTTTCTGCATGCGCGCGCATAAGACATCGTTGAAAAAGACAACACATAAGACGACTGGTGGTAGTCAAGAACGAGTCCGTTCGACCGCGTGTTGTCAATCTCATAGGCGTAAAAGTTTAACATTGATATCTCTCCTCAATCTACTGTGCTAAAAAAGATGGTCGCTAGTGTGGTCGGTTGAAGTCAGTCTATCGGATGTGCGGTGGGATTGCAATGCGGATGTATGTCATACTATTCTCATCGGTTATCATGAGGCGAACTCGGTAGGTGTCGCAGTTGTCGGTACCTGATCGGCGGACCAAAGTAAAGACCCTGCAAGACTTACACCCCACCCACGAAAAAACTTCTCTTCCATTACACAAGTCAATAAAAACTAACTGTACTTGAACAAGTAGCAATATGGCGCTTTCTGTCTTGAAGAAGAAGCGATGAAGAAACGATTCGAATCTCTCAAAAAAACTACCTTCGCTAGTGGAAACAGACTTCTAGTCCATCATACTATGGACTAGAAGTTTGTATGTGGTTCTTTTTACCACGTATTTTTTTTAATCTCGTAAGAGAGTTGAAGCAGAATGTGGTCTGGTCAGAATACTAACTACAACGAATACAACGGCCTGAACGACATCCAACGACGGGGAGCGCGCTACACGAGTCGGAAGTGGCTGCCTCCACATCATGACGAGTTCTACGTTGTCCTGAAGCCAGGTGAACGCGGTTTCATCACGGGACCAAGAAATGCGATGGTACAAATTCGTATCATTCTCTGCTGGTTCCATTTAATTACGGAGTACATTGGCATCCAATTATAAGAAGGATTCAAGAAGTAGATGCGAGTTTGATGATCATCACAACTTCATCTTTGCTATCAACACATCAACGGAGGTCGCTCCCCTCCCGCCACTGAAAAAATTCGATGATGGTACACGACCTGCGCCGTGGTCTCCGCGGAAAAAAGAACGGTTTCTGATCCCACCACCTACGCCACTAAGCGCCAGGAACAACAATGCGCAGAACATGCCATCTACTCGTAAAGGACGTCGTGGACCGCAGATCATGTCCTTGGAGGGCGGCGATAGCTTCTGGCACCCACCAGCGGCGAGCACGGTGACTGGGCTGAAGTTCACTGGAAAACCAAAGAGACAGTTTGACTTCTCCAAAATTCTGGATGAAGTAGTCCTCGAGCCGAAAAAGAGGGAAATCGTACTTGTTTTTTTCATGATAGAGACAGTTTGACTTCTCCAAAATCCTGGATGAAGTAGTCCTCGAGCCGAAAAAAAGGGAGATCGTACTTGTTTTTTTCATGATAGAGCGAGTTTTTGCTGGATGAATTTGTAATAGTGATGAAAGATTGTGTTGAAGCAAGACGTTCTCCCACATGCAATGACACTGAACCTTTCATTACACTCACCTCCCACTAACCTTTCTTTCATGACAATCAACAGGGCGATCCGCCGTGGAACGACTGGTTGCCGGCTGCGGGACAGAAGGACCTGACGTACAACGGTTTAGCGCAATTTCATCCGTACTGCTTCACGGCGTAATGATAGATCGGTGTGGGAGTTTACGCTCTCCGAATGGATTGCACATCAAATGTTTTTTGTTGAAAAAATGGTTTACGTATGCAGCACACTGTATGAAAGTAGACAGAACAAGTTTACCTAGTAAGTTAGAGCATGTAGTTGAGGTTACGTAAGTATAGTGTTGGACGACCTAGTAGATTCAAAATCAAAAAGCCTACGTAGCAGTATCTAGGTAGACGCGAAGAGAACGAGTTTGGTCTTGCATGGTCACTGTGATACAGAAAAGGAAAGAAAAGTAGTGAAAAAAAATTTTCTTTCTGCAAGCGAGAGCTGGCCACTTCGTGGTAGTATAGGCACAGTAAGTAGAGGTTCGGATTTCAGGCGTAGTAGACGCATTCAACAAGAACAGCATGGTTTTGCAGCATAGATTTTCCTAGAAGGAGTTTCTCGACACTACAGATCGTCCAAAAATAATTTGTTTTGATTTCCTTTGATTTGTCGCGACACTGTGTTGTCGAAAAGTTCACATTGTAGTATCACTGGGATTCACAAAACTTGATGGTGCTGTGACGATGAAACTGAAAGAAAAGATCCGATCGATCACTCTGAGAAGATCCGACAGAGTTATTAAGCCGCCAGGTCCTGTGAAATTGCAAGACAATCATGGACAGATCCTTCGAAATAGAGCAGATTGTAAATAACGCGGTCCCTAGTAAAGATCAAGACCTAGAAGATCTGAGTATCAAGTCGTAGCTCTTCATTGATCATGTCGTTGTTAGGCCTGTAATCAGTCTAGTCATCTACCACATAATCACAAATACCTTCATCTGTTTTCTCACATTCCCTTCTGCAGGTTTTTCAAGCGTAAGATTTTTTCAATGGTTGTAGCTAGGTAGCTGATGTCCAAATCAGAATATGAAAAAATTTCTTACCGATTGGCTTTACAACTCAACTGAATAATTCATATTTTTCTACCCCTAGTGGTACTACTCAGGATAGTACAACATCTACATCATTAAGTAATCAGTCCCCTAGTGCCACTTCTCAGCATTCATCATCCACATCATCAAGTAGTACGAAAAAAATGCCGAGTTCATCCACTAAACGTTCTTCTTCCAGCTCGGTGAAAGCCTCTTCGGGCACCTTGAAGCGAGGGAGATCAGAAAGCACACCCAGAGCACCGAAAAGCCCTCGTGCGTTGAGCACCCCACAAAAAACAACATCACCCCAAGGCTCTGTGAAGAGAAAGTCAGATGAAGCAGGTAAGGCAAAAGCTTCTGGATCAAACGTGAAGGCGGGATCGAGCGGGAAGGCCGGCTCACCTGCGAAGGCAGTAGCAACACCGAGCGCGAAAGCATCAGCAGCTTCTGCCGCTTCGAAGGCAAAAGCGGCCTCGAGCTCGAAGGCGGGGGTTGCCAAAGCAGGAGCCGTTCCAACTGCCAAAGCAGGACCACCGCCCGCTTCAAGCGCGAAATCTCCAGCCGCCTCTACTTCTAAGGCTGTGGTTGCAAAAGCTGCAGCCGCTCCGAAAGCCAAGGCTGCAGTTGTCAAGGCAGGATCAGTTGCGATGAAGGTAGACGCTTCAAGATCTAAGAAAGTAGAAGCCTCATCTTCCAGTAGCTCGAAAAAAGAAGCATCAGCTTCAGCCTCATCTTCCAGTAGCTCGAAAAAAGGAGCATCAGGAAGTTCTGGTAAGGCTAAGAGATCATCAGCTTCTTCAGTTGATGGATTAAATTTGAGTTTCGGCAGTGATCGAAAACTGAAGGATCCAGAGAAAATAGTAGTAGATGAAGGATCGCAAGAAGAATTGGAAGAGAATAGAGGAGCAGCAGATCAAGTGGACGAAGACATGATCAGAAAACTAGAACCAAAACAAGAGCTGAAAGAAGATCAAGAAGAAGAAGCTTCTAGAAGTACAGGAGCAGCCTTGGATGCTCTGGATGATGATTTTTGGGCACAAGGACCTTCGGCGTCTTCTTCTTTTCTTGGGTCTAAGAAAACTTCCGCAGCAAAAGCGAAAACTGCTGCTGCACCGAAGAAAGCTGCTGCTGTGCGATCAAAGTCAACAAAGGCTACACCCAAAGCCTCTGGAACACGCGACTCTGCGTCAAGTGTCGAGAGCACCGCTGATACAGAGGATTCTATGGTTCTAGTGGACAAGAGTGCACAAAAGGAGAAGGCTTCCTCCGTCTCCGTCAAGAAGAATGGTCCAGCCCCTGCACCTAAGAAGGACCAGTCTGTCGAGACTACTGGAGAACCAGGTAGTGCCAACGCCGCTGAAGATCGTGCAGCGCGCTTTCAAAATTTCGATTCTTGGTTCCGCAAAAAGTTTCGTCCTGTGAAATACGAGCCACATCTCTGGACCGACTTCTTGCTCGACTTGCAGAAGAAGCAGGACCCAAATCGTCTGACCGGCCATCATGTCTTAGAGCCATTGGCTGTTGCACCACAGCGGGGATTGGCTTTTTACGATGACATCACAGATGTGTTGCTTGGTTTTGAGCTGGAGCGGCGGTTCGGGTTTGCGGGAGATCAATCAACGCAACTGCGATTGGCTGGATATGCAGCGCCGTCTTCATCCACATCTTCTAGTCGTAGTCGTCTTGATCTTCCGAGTTCTGTCGAACAAGAGCAGCCTCCAACCTGGGAGCGTTTCCGCGAGTACTTCGTCAGATGTGGTGCTGGCGTTATTTGTCAGATCGATCGACAGCGAAATGAGGGCTGGCTCGAATGCTGGGAATACTTCATCTCCATCGTTCTTCCGTTCGTTCGTGGCGAGAGGAACATCACGATTGAAATAGACACATCTTCAACTGAGAAGAAGTCTTTTCCGCCTGGACTTCGAGAAGCTGTACTTCGAGAACAAAGTAGTTCTAGCCGTGGGTCTTCTTCCTCTTCATCTTCCTCTAGAAGTGCGAACAAGACCACGACCACTGGCGCTACCTCTTCTTCAAGGATATCATTGTCTTTTGATTTCCGCATCCCAGCACTCTTTTTCCTTGCTGCAGCTTTCTACAGCCAAAGACATTATTTGAAGGTCGATCAGCAGGGCGCGTTGGAGTTGGCCGCGAAGGAACAGTGGGCCAAACAAAAGGGAAAGAAGTTGACGACGGAGCAACTTGCGTGGCCGCCACCAGCGGAGCCGCATCAAGTAGAGAGCAAACGTAAACTTCTGCATGATCAGCTGAAGTTTTTCCGCTTTCCCAACGAGCGCAGATGGCACAACCATGTTATCCAACCTGTAACGATCGATGAGCTCACTCTAAAGTTCCTACGACAAGAGATGGCTAGGAATCCACAGTTCCGAAGATATGCTGGCCCTGTGTGGAACCAATTATACCATGAAGATGAAGCAGTGCAAATTGGCGTGCTTTCCTTCAACTATCGGATGTGGCAGCCGGCGGCGCCCCACATGGGCCGTGGAGGCCACTTATACCGCTATGTTCCCTCAGTCCGCACCCAAGAGGGCTATCTTGTCCGATACAACAACCTGACCGAACCGCAACACCTCGTCTGCATGCGCTTGCAGCATCAGAAGGAAGAGGAAAAGCGCGTGGCGAAGGCAAAGCGGGAAGCCAAAGCAGAAGCTAGGAAGAAACAGAAGTTGGAAAAACAACAAAATCCACTCAACAACGTCGGAGATGGCGATGACTTCACCTCCGAAGACGAGGAAGATATGCAAATATCAGCGGCGCAACGACTCCTACAGTCAGCAGCTGAGCAAGCACAGCCAAAAACACGGTACACGCGAAGTATCAAGCAACAAAGGAGACACATCGATTGTCTGGGTTGGGACGAAGCATGGGCGGCCCACAAAGCGAATCGCAAGAACAAGAACCAGAACAAGGCGGGTGGAGGTGCTTTAGAAGATGCAGCTGCTCAGGAGCAAGCGACGACGGGTGGACGTGGAGGTGCTTTAGAAGATGCAGCTGCTCCTCCTGTTGTAGCAGCTAATCATGTTGTACTATCGAGCCGCAGAACAACTTCTGTTTCAAAAGCGTCCAATCCTCGGACCTCTTCAACCGAACAAGGGCGTCTTTCGACCATTGTGGAAGGGGAAGAAGCTGAGGACAGCAATGACAGCTTGGCTGCCGCACTGCAAGAGCATGGGCTGGTCTAGGATTTTTTAGTCTCTCGAGGACATCGCATCCACGGTGATTAGACGGGGAAGTGGCCGCATCACCTTCGTGATGAAACGCATCTAATGCGCGCATTTTTTCCCAACGTATCGCACTTTTTGGACTAGAAGATCTCTTGATTCTCAACAGTCGACCATTCGCAGGATGCTTCTAAACAGGAGTGGTCTATAAAGAAGAATCAATCCTTGTCCATCCTCATTCAACAGTCAGCGCACTGCAAGAGCATGGGCTGGTCTAGGATTTTTTAGTCTTCGAAGAAGCTCGTCGGCGCTTCAGCTGCCGTTGTAAAGATACCTAGTTTTCGTGCTTGGTATGTTCCGGAGTTGTTTTTTCAGAAGCTGTACACATGAATGCTGACCATTAAAAGGCTCAATGTATCTTCGTTTTTCATTATGACTTTTACCTTATCCTTATCATACCTGTGGTCATCACATGTTGTTTGTTTGAAGAATTGGAAGGATTCACCGACTACGTCAATAAAGATGTCTGTCGGGGAATGAAAGACAAGAGGCATGATCGATCAATCAATCAATGTTTGTTTGTTCGTTTTTAGCCGTGATTTAACGTTCGTGATGGGCGATCGCAGTCAGTCGGTCGCGGCAAGTCGAAGATAGTGATCGTGTTCAGCAAGGAGCTAGAGAGGTAGCACGTAAGTATGAAGATGGTGCAAGGTGAGCTGTTTGAAGGAGGCATGAAACGAAGCAACCGAGAGAAAGACTTTTTGAAAAATGTGTAACTATTCTTTCTTCTTGATGCAATGCATGAGAATTTCGAAGATTCAAAAACAGACGGTAATTCACGATGAGCGTAGTCTTGAAGAGAGTTTTTGTTATTGTGAGAAAGCTACTATTCTTTAGAAGACCGTCATGTTTGTCACTCTGTGGAATTTTTCTCTTACTCGCACATCTCGTCTCCGCTGATGACGTAGTCTGTTTTGATCAGCATTTCACCTACACAAGATGTTGCATCGAAAGAGACCCTTCTTGTCTGCAAACGGGGAGTTCTGCAGCAGCGTCTCCCTCTGCAGCAGAAACAGCGGACGGACAAGTACTAGAGGATGGGACAACCAATCAAGGCTCGATGTCCCGACAAGAAGCGCAACGGTTTCTGCTTTTCTGCTGTTCTCCAGTGTCCAGGGCCTTGATGGTGCACGACTGGCCTGCACATCTGGGAAATGCCATGATCGTGCTGTCCGAGACGGCGTTCTTGTCCTTCGTTTTGAGAAGGTCGGTTTTGATCCCGTTGCAAACCCAATTGTTTCACGACACGATGGCAGATATGCGAAAATTGTACAATATAGTGGACGAAGAGAAAAATCCGAGGATAGACTTGCTAGAACTTCTCACAGAACAGTCGATACATGCGATTCGAGATCCAGCGGTTCTGAATGGGTTGTTTCCTCCAGCAAAATTAGCAACAGGAGGAAATCGAGAAGACCAACAGAATCCTCTAGCCAGTCGCACTGTCCATTTCCGATTCGGACAAACGTTTTTCAACCTACGTTGTCCCAACGTGCATCTGACCGATCCGCCAGGTGGCTCTGGGCGTGATGGGCCTTTCAGGTTCGTTTTACCTACTGACGGCGATGAATTGTTGCGTACTGTGTTTTCGCAGTACTACCTTGGCTTTTTCCATAGTGATGGGTTGGAAACGATCAATGACATGGCGAGTAGTGGAGCTTTATCGAAAGAGCTTGGCGCGTCAGGGAAATTCGATCCGAAAACGGGCAAGTTTGATCACTCACGACGAGCACAGAAAGGAGATCAGGAGGGAGACCAGACTATAGAGCAAGAGATGGATCTAGAAATGCTAGAAGCTCATTATTCACATCTACAAGACAGATACGTTGGGCGGTATAGGCTGAGCCTGGCAGCTTTGGGGGAAGACCATTTGCGCCAATACGATGCACGGACGACACGGCAGATGATAGCGAGTGGTAGTGATGGGAAAGAATTGGTCTTCGCGACGTTGCGGGATAGATTGGTGCAGGATCCAGCCTTTGGAAACGAACAGTCGTTGGATGAAGAAACTCCCATCGTGGGAGATTTGGATGAGAAAAAACAGGCGATTTTACGACGATACCTCACCAGGCAGGGCGGCGACTCAGCAGTACCAGATACAGAACAAGAACAAAGGAGAGAAGAATTTGCCACTATACTCGACTCAGTGTCAGACACGCAGATTCGAGACCTGTATGAGTTTCTTTTTCTAGGTATGGCGCCCAGCCGAAAGCTTCTGCCGAGACTTGTCTTGCCATTCTTAGCGCGTCGCTGTGGGGAAGCAGACGCTGGCTCGCTAGAAGAAGTTTTAGAGCATGAGTCATCGTCGTCTCCAGAATTGGGTACAACAACAACTACGTCTTCTTCTTTTTCATCCCAAATGCAACAAATGGGCCTCACAGCTTCACGCCATGGCAGCACCTTGACTGAGATGCTTGATGGTGGCAGACCCTGCGCTATGGATTACTATGAAAGTATGTTGTTACAGAGTGAGCGCTGCATCAACTTTCGACAACTCTTCGCAGCGTTAAAGTGGAACTCGTATCCTCAAGCCGCAGAGTTTCATGGTATGTTCCACCGCTTCTTCTGGAAAAACGTGCTGGAAGCATTTGTCGTCGTGCCGTTGTTGAAGGAAGGTGGGGGGCTGGCATCGCAACCACAACCACAACTACATCACGAAACTCCTATCCTCACACAAGTTCTGAATCAACAACTTCTTTTGAATTTGCTCAAACATCGTGTTGTGGCAGTACATTTACGCTCTGCTTTCGGCATTCATCCTTGGCAGGAGCTTTTGGAGGTAGCTGTGAAGGCTGATTCTAGAGTAGTTTTCGTTGCGTCTGATAAACCGCAAGATCCAGGAGTGGTGTCTTTCGTCTCCAATCTCCGAGAACAGAACCTGTTGGTTTTCACGTCGGCGGATCTGAATCGGCCTAAGAGCGGTGGTGCTGGTGTGGGGGGTGATGTTATGACAAGAAAACCATAGAGATGCACATGATTATTACTAGTTTTAGCGCATGATGAAAAAAGTCAACTTATCACCGACTTTTCACCTTGTTGACTTTGTCTTGTTTTTGCATATAGATTATATCTTTGTTAGAAATTTGCTTTCATAATCCAGGACACCGACACGCGAGGCAAACTTGCGGATATGGCACTGCTGATGGACGTAGCTGTTTGCGCCCTCGCTCCTCATTTCGTTGGTTCGGCGTATAGCAGTCTCTCGTTTCTGGTCGCAAAATTCAGATTGGAGATAGAAAGTATGTATCGACGAGCAGACCGTAACGTTGTGAAAGCAGAAGTAGTACAGAAAAAGGACCAGCATAGCTCAACGACCGCTGCTTCATCTCAGCTAGAACGTGAAAGAGCCGTCGTCCAAAATAGAATCCAAAAGTTCGATTACTTCGCAAAAAATAAACCTGAGGATGCGACACTTTTACTGAGATACTATGAAAACTTGTGGGCCGCTGATCGAAAGACGCACTTTTTCCCAGATGGGCCTGCAACGGTGACAGGAGTGTTTCCCTTGGAGTTCTACGCTGAAGATGTGTGGACTTGGTTGTGGAATTTGGGACAGGTGATGTTTCGGGCGAATGAGTTATACCTCAGTGGAGGAGCAGCGGAACAAATTGAGTCATCGCCCACAAGTGAAACTACTACATCGAGCTCGTCCCAGAGTGCGGGTCCTTCATCTCCTTCGTCTATCCACACCAAGCGCACGGATCAAAAGTTGTGGACTCGTGACGCCGTCGTTTTCAGACGGGAACTAGATTTCGTTCGGTTACGAGAAACCCATTATCAGGCTTTTTACTCAGCCACAATGCCTGGTGACAGCGCGCGACCGAAGCCAGAAGATTTCGCCAATATCGGAGCTGAGGCGAATCTGTATCCGTGTGAATCAGATCAGGCGAGTCTTATCTCTACGGGTGCTAAGAACAAGAACAGCATCATCAGGGATAGTACACACATGAAAACAGACGTGAAGGAAGACAAACCGGCGAGTGAGTCAGATCATATAAAAAGAGCAGAAGACCACGATCCAGGAGAGCCTCCATGTCGCGCCTCCTCTTGGCACCACTGGTCGATTGATAGTGTGCAAGCTGCTACACAGTTCTTCGACTATGCTTCTCGAAAACTTTCCTGTACTGTGGGCGTTTGGATACTGCGGCTGCGTTTTTTGTTGTTCTACTTTTTGCAAGCGAATTACAGTGAGGAAGCTTGTCGTCACAATCTTGGGTCCTTCGGCTACTTGACGCACAAATTTTTCTTCAGTGTGAAAGAGGAAACATTGTACAACGTGGCTGGGATTTATAGACGAGCTGCGTGGCCATTGTTGAACTTTTTGTATGCTGTTGTGAGAAAGACGCGATGTCGAGGACAGATATTGCATCGTTGGACAGTGGAGGGGTCGACGGCTGAGGAAGAGAAAGCGTTATTCGCTGTAGCAAATGATGCGCATAAGATGGCTGGTTTTTACGGTAGACAACCAGATCTGCGTCGCGGTAGACCGATGTTGCCGGAAGAAGATACAACTTTGCTTGAGCCCGTTATTGGTGGTCATGCCGCGTCTAGAACGAGAGCGTCTTCTGGTACGGAAAAACTATATTTTCTCTCACCTGCTGTTTCCTGTGCGTACAACCGGACGTTAGCTATGAACCTTCCAGGAACGTGCGATTTAGGGGTCGTGGGGGAAAAGGAGCAAATGCTGAGAGAAGAACCTTCGGTTGAGCATAGATCAAACTTCAACCTTCTCGAGACAATGTCCAAAACTCTGCGATTACTTTCTCAACGCGGCTTCGTCTCATACCGCATCGCGAACTACAATGCCCCTGCGCGAACAAAACGAAGACCCTTTTTCAGAGTCAGATTCGATTTCAACTGGATAGAACTTGTGTTTGCTTTATGGATTGCGGATGAGCGGTCAGAGGAAGCGATAGCTGCTGAAACTAAGCGTGCCTTGGAAACTGTCGGTGTAGCAAGCCTAGTGCCAGACGAAGCAGAGTTTCTCTACACTCTGAAATCGAAGATCTTGCGTGCAGCGCCAACAGTGAGACGACATTTTCGCATACGAAGTAAAGGGGTAAAAGTACCATTGAACGAGTCCTTGTCGGACCCTGGGGAGGTTAGCGGCCGACAAGAAGAGAGAGGCGCTGTTTTCGACCTCGCTAAGAGTAGAGTGGAGCCGGGAATGAATCTTCAGTCGGCAGAGAGGAGTGGCAATGTTACCAGGAGTGGCAATGTTACCTCGAGGACTACAGCTGCAACCCATACTGATAATTCTGAATCGCAAGATTTTCCTACCTTTTCATTCTCTTCCCAAGAGGTCCTTTACGTGAGGCTGATGCAGCGTCTACTACTAACCCTTGTGCATAATCCCATCGTTGATACAGGCACAGACGTCTGGCGCCAGATTCTCAAGTTGAAGGCTGAGCCCAAAGCGGTAGATCAAACGCTAAGATTTGGTATGCACTGCGTTAGGAGAGAAGACTCGTTTGCGACTGGAGGGTCTTAGAAGTAGAGTATGGGAATAACATTCGTAAACAAGATTATGGATGTCCTTATAGCTAGGCGGACAGGATAATCTTCCATCCCTTGCTTCGTTGGTGACCTTGCTTGGGTGTGTTCCTTGGGATGCGGCGGTAGCACGTTTGGGAGTGCGTAGAATCAGCGAGTTTTTGTATGTAATCGTGGGTCGTTCCCAGTATGGTGTCCATGAAAAATCGGTTCTAGAATTTTGCACGGAAGAACTTGGAGGGATACCGAGAGAAACCGAGTGTAGGTTCTAAGTCAGTGCATTCAAATGTGGGACAAGATGTGCTGTGCTGCATCTAGGAGGTCATGAATACGAGAAATCTAGAGATGATATGTTTCCTTTTTTTTACTCGGGAAAGCAGTCCTTTTTTAGGCTGGTTCTGATGTTAACAGAGTACTTACTTTTTCATGAAAATAATGCGTCCACGACGACGACATCTTGTCTGATGGTCAGAGCTCAGGCCTCTTGCAAGAACGATCTCTCACGAGGTGTTAATTTGTCGCGCCACCCGGGGTACGGAGCAGAAGGTGGAATTGTAGTGATTCGCTCGGGCGGCATATTGCTTCACATTCATAACAACTCACGGGAACAGCAGATATTTGTCTGTTAGCGCTTGAGCTTCATTTTTTTTAGATGTTTCAGGGCAATATTCTTTAACAAACTTGACAAGATACCGTTGCATGCTTAATTCGATCGATTATGAGACAGAATCAATAGCCCCCTCTTGTGAATAAATCGACATATTAAGAAACTCTTATTTCTACTTTGTCTACTTGATCTTCATTTCATATTCATTTCTGAAAGTATCCATGAAAGCAGCAAGAACACCATGGCTAACAAAAAGAAAAAGAATAAGGCAGGTGGCGCTTCAGGCGGCTCTTCGGATGCTGCACATGGCGCCAACGCCCCTGAGGCCGATGCAGCTAAGCCTGCCTCTCCCGTTGTCAACAGTCCGCATCCTCTACTTGCAATCACTGAACAACAAGCAAGTACTACAAGCACAACTGATGGTTCCTCGGATGTTACGCCGATAACTGCAGGATCCACTGAGGAAGAAGAGCAGACTCAGACCACGGGAAAGACTAATAGCAAGTTACTAGGTCGCAATGCCGAAGATGCAGATGAAGAGCCACCAGATGACGTAGTTGATCCTGAGATGCAGTCCCTAATGCAGATAATACACGGAGCGCTCGGTCCTGGCAACAGCGTCACGGTGAGCCAATTGAACAGTGTCCTGCACTGGAAGCGACTACTGAAGTTTCCGCTCAAGGACTGCAAACTGAAAGCGATTCGCGCGAAACATTTCTCAAAGTTTGAGCGTCTCTTTCACGTGAATAACGGGGAAGAAGTATGTGCCTTGTTTCCGCAAGGGTCGTCTCCTTCAACGTTTTCTCGTTCGCATGAGCAAGGGTCGTCTCCCTCAACGTTTTCTAGTTCTTGTGAGAAAAGAACAAGAAGAAAAGAACAACAGGTTGTTCCTGCAGGTGGCCCAAGTGCGTCAAGTAGTTCTTCCTCGACATGTAAGGAAATTGTTGACAGCGCATCTGGATCTGCTACGAATAATTGGACTTCATCCGGTTTGTGGAGTTTAAAGCCTGCCAAAGGAATCTTGAAAAAAGTTTCTGCCTATCCGGATCCAGAAGAAGACGCGATGGTCTCTTCACCTTCACCTAGTAAAGACCGAGCAAGGAAAAAGGAGGGAGCGACAGCGAATACTAAGGCGAGCCACGCATTTTTTGGATTTTCAATTTGCTTTCATTCTTCGTTGTTGTAACTGAACTACAAATGATTATCGGTGTAATGCGGTTTTTGATGTCTCTATTGATTGAGGTATATGTTCATGACCCCAAAAGGAAAATATTTTCTTTCAGCTCTAACCGCAGCAGCGACGACGAAAGCCCGCGTAGTCCTGGCCTCAGTGATGGGGAGGAAGCACATTTAGAAGGTGGCGAAAGAGATCTAGTAGACCCGTTACCAGCAAGACTCCAATCCAGCTCTTTTCAAGAAGATCTAGTACGCAAACGGTTTGCTGCTCACGCAACGAGCGCCGTGGCTGACGATTCGAGTGCCACATCAAGCGAGGTCACTGGTGGAGGATCGACGGATAATCTGTTAGCGTTGTTGGAGGAAGAGGAAGGCGAAGGGCAACAGGCAAAAGAGGGACAGGGAGGAAAAGAGACGACAACTGCAGAGGAACAAACATCACCATCAAGCGTACCTACTCTCTCTAGCACAATACCTGCATGTACCAGACACACGAGCTCAACATCTGCCTCTGACGCCGCCGTCACAGCCTATTTGAGAGGTACTCCGCAAACTGATGATCGCAGGGACGATCAGAATCTACTTGTTGCGCAAGGTACTACGCCATCTGCTTATCTTGGAGGAGGTATCAGTGCCTCTTCTCCGAGTTCTAAAAAACTACCACGACCGCTACTGGATCGAGCTACTATCTCCAATGCTACTGTTTCGCAGCCTGTAGACGAAGATCAACAACATCAGGGCTTCGAAAAACAGAGTAGTGGTCTGCCTATGCCCCTGACTTCACCTGCCAGTAGCACTTACGAGTCACCGCCTGACTTAATTGACGGGCGGCATAGCGATCCTAACCTCTTCGTCCATGCGAAAGACAGCGTACTTCTGGCGCTGAACCAGTCGGCGAAGAGCATGCTTGACGAAAACGAGGATGAGGCAGAAGAGGTGCGACTGCGAACTTCCGAAGCTGGTGGTGCCCATCTAAGTTCATCATTGGGCCCAAAGCCCACCGCTTTGATTTCGCCTAGCGTCTCTCGCTTGGGCTCAAAAGAACGTCGGAGCGGGAGCCCCATCAACCCGTTGCAGGAACTGGCAAGGTGTAGCATAGGAGAGAAAGCAGGTGCACGTTTTGTCAATGAGCATACCACGACAGGCGCCGATGCGCGTACGTCATGGCTTGCAACGGAGACGGGACAACTGCCTGTTGTTAACGATTTTGCAACACGACTCGTGACTACGATTTCTGGCGAGGAAGGTTGTTGTACACCTCTGAGCAGTGCTGGCGCTGTGGAAGGCGGAGCCTCAGTAGCAGTAGAAACAACAATAGACGATGATGAAGATGAAGGTGACGCTGTTCTAGATCCTAACGATCTCGTGACACCTCCAACGACTCAGATGACAAAAATAGCGGAGGATATCGAAACCGATTCCCGAGCAGACGCAGCGACATCAACACCGTCAGAGGCCTTAGCTGAACTAAAGAAGCCTGTAGATACGCCTCCTCCTGCTCCAGAGGCAGATCTTGACGTCGACGACGCGGAACCTTCACCAGAGAAAAGAGTTTTTGATCGCCAGTTGCGGATAGGAGGTGCGACACTGAATGCCCGGGTTCGGTTCAATTTGAAACCAGAGATCCGCAAGATCGATCGACGACCGAAGAAAGCTTCACTTGGCGCCTTTCTTGGCGGATCACCGACGGGGAGCAGTGCAACGTGGCGAGGAAACAAGCGCAACAAGGGACGCCCGCAACAGGCCGAGGACGAAAACGACGAGGAAGACGGGCAGACGGTTGAGAGCGATGTGGTAGGAGGTGTAGATGTTGTAGTAATAAGAGTGGACGAGGACGCAGGACCAAAGGATAACGCGGCTGGCGAGAGAGCAAGTGTCGTCGAAGACGCAGACGGGTTGGAAGGTAGTCCTACGACGAACAATAGTTTTTTGCAGCCACCGAGTCCGAAAGCAGAAGCCGAGACGGGTTCTACAGCAGAAGCGCCAACGTCAGATGGGACAACTGTTAGTAGTATATTACCGCAAGTAGAAGTAATACAACCACGACCAGATGAAGACGTGATGTTTGACACCACTTCTTCTACCTCTCCAATCCCAGAACCTGATCTCGCGGCTCCTGTACCAGCCGGAGACATCGTGGTGGAGGATGTTGACACCGAGGACAGCATTGACATGAGCGTGCCCATAAGCCAAGCGAGACAACCAGCGGAGCTTGATGGTGAAATACATGGCAAGGCACTGCCAACACGAGCGACAGAACTGCGACTATTATCGGATGACGAAGAAGAACTGGCTGCAATGCATAATGTCGTGCGTCGGGGGGCGTCGAATTATGAACGGCTCTTGTACTACCATACAGATTTACAGTAACAGTATCGTAACTCTTTCTCTTTTTGATTTGAAGACTTCGTACAAGTTACTTCGTATATTCCTTTGTGTAACAACTAACTACATGATAGATGAACTAAGAGGACAAAGCAGGATCAGCTCTAACTTAAATCTCGTTCAAGGGAGGTGGCACGCTTGCCCTCAATGAGGGAGATGGAAATGCAAGGAGGTGGTTCAGAAACCGAATCTCAAACGACCAAGGAACCACACGAAGAACGATTTGCATCGTTGAACTTGTTGTTATGAAAAAATGCAACAAAAGGAGCGCTGCTAGTTGTCTCACCTCTTTCGATTGTCCTTCTAGGTCTAGTGTCCATAGGAACCAACGACAAATTTCTCACTGGCTATGACAAATACATAGAGAAGTCTCGTCCAGCAGCATCTGCCCCCCTACTAACTTCTAAAATCCTATCACACCAGTGTAAACCAACTCGTGGGCGTTTCGGATCGGCGTGATCGTGAAAATCGATTAATTTTAAGGCTACCGCTGAAGCATCCTCAGGATCATCATCCTTCGCCCTGTTTCTACTTGAAAAACTGACCAAGGATACAGCCAGGGATGCTAACGCGGTAGTTCTAATGATTACTGCACTTAAGCGTAGCTTGCGTTGCGAACCGCCGGTTGCGCAAGTGTGGCTTTGGCAAAAGGTATCCCAACATGTGAAAAGCAATAGTGCGAGGAAACGTGTAAATCATCAGCTGGCTGCGCTTCTGACCGAATGAGTGACGAAGTTCGGTCCTTAGACTTGACCCAGACGAGGCTAGAGTCTGTTGGAGACCCAGACCTTGTTTTATAATCAATGAGAATAGGTTTAGGTGGTAGGCAGAGGAGTATCGCTATCTTCTTCGTTTAATTAATCATGAGCAGGTCTTTTACGTTTCGTTTCGTTTCGCAGTCCACTGTCTTGTACAATGAGTTGGATTAATACTGAGGTTCAGACATGAAGTACATGACCGTCGGGTCCTTAGACTTGACCAGGGAGGTTTAGGCATGAAGTACATGATCATGGCGATGACCCGAAGACCTAAAAATAAGTTCCAGTACAACATGTTGCTGCTCCTGAGTGAAAGGGGTGAAAGGGAGTAAGTGGACTCTCACTTCTTAACCCTATGTATGGCGCATTCTTTCAACACTGCGTGATGGTACATTCCTTAGTCTTTAGAGTGCCTGTGACTTAACTTCGCATGACACCTTTGTTCTTCAATAGTACTTACTAGTCTCTAGTAGTCTACTCTCCTCACTAATCATTCGTACCTCTTTAGGACTAGCTGGCACATTGATTCCCTCAAGACCACTCGGTAAGAGGTTTCGAAGGAGCATGTGGAGGAAGATGTCCAGCTGGCGCTCCAGTCGAATCTTGCCCCATGCTCGAACCTTCAATTCCTCAAAAGACACAAATTTTCACCAATCGACCGATAGAGGGGCACGCTTATCCCAAAGCATCGCGTGCTTCACGTCCTCCTGTAATAGTTGTTTCTCCAACATCATGAATAAGAATAAGCGTAATCCTCGTTTGCCTTAGTATCGCTTGAGAGCTTTTTCCTTAGGACCGAATACTAGCACAGTAGCTGAGATACTTGTAATGATATCGGATATCCTAATCCTTAACCTTAGGTTAGTATACCTATCCACAACTTAACAGCCCTAGTGCCATGAATTTCCTCCACACACACGACTTAGTGCATTTTCTTATTGCAAAGTAACATATCTTCTACATAGAAAGCAAGACTTTGACCGCACCCGCATCATGTCACACGCCGGCAAAAACTGACTGCGTCGTAGGCTGTTTAGTCGACTTGACGCGTGACGGGCTTTCACTGCATGACGAGCACTTTGTCATAGAAAGACAAGAAGGGCAAAAAGCAACACTCGTGATACTTATACATCGGTATACACAAACAACCAAAAAGCAGCATGTACCCCTTCACACTCCCACGGAAAACTACGTGGAATGAGATGTTACTAGCAGTAGTGAATGGAGAAGCTTTTCCCTCATTTTCCGCTTCCGCATCATCTTAGCGCAGGGTACTGATTCTACTGCTACTGCCCCCGAATCATCTCTAGCGCTATTGTGCAGTAAATAGTTACAAGGCCGTAGAGCCGCTCTAGACAGTCCCCCTACCTGTGCGTGCGCGGCATTGTACGTAGCGACGATAGCCGTGTTTTGACGTCGCCGTGACCTCCATAGATTGCAGAGAAACAGTAAAAGACTTCATAAAAGCTTAGGATTTCATACGTAGCAGTAGCCCTTCCACCCCTCATCCTCGGAGTCGAGTAGGTGCCGGCGGAACTCGATGCGAAGGATCCATAACGTAATCTAACCTTCACCGGCACCACGTCAAAAGGCAGCTTTTAGTTTTCCTGACTTCCACTGTCTTCTACTTCTAATTCAGCTTAGTTTTCATGATTACGTCTACGTGGTCGTTGTGTCTTCCAATTAAGCCTAGTTGATAATCGTAATCTTCCTTTTTACCCACGAAGACTCAATCGCAGAGGATGACCGTTGTCGATGCGTGCGAGGGTTTTTTCAGCCATGATTTCAGTAAGAAGTTTTAAGTTTTTAATTTTTGGCTGTTATGATCATGGGGATGGGAGTCAATCAATAGGTTCTTTTCGCGCCTTTTATGGTGCTTGTTGATCATGACATTGTCACAATCGCAAGTGATCCAATAGAGATGAAGGCTACAATCGCAAGTTTGGTGAGACACTGTATTCACGTGTCTAACCCTTGATTACTGTGGTCGAGACGAGACACTGTATTAATAACGCGCCTAAGACACGGAATCACTAACTACACCATCTTCCTTCTACATTGTTGTTTTGTGCATCATATTTCCCTACAGCTACAGGGAGGACGCTCCTCAAAAAACGAATGCAAAGAATCGCTTCTCATTTTGTTCTATGTTGTGTAACAAATTTGCTCCTGTGCCGCGCTTGTTGTAGTCACAATCACATTGTGATGTGGGACCAAAACGTATTCCATGACTAGTGATTTTGCCCGATGACAAAACGGCTCTCCGACGAGGAAAAGCGCATGAGAACAAGGGGTTGCTTTCTGTCACAATGTGTTGGAGAGAGAGTACATAGTCCCTAATTCAAGATAGCGTTCCACTTGAAAACGAAGCAGGTACTAGTGCTAGCCTGGAATTGCAGACGAAACAAGAAGTTGAAAAGATACTTAGAGGGCTAGCTACTTTTTGACACTGTAGAAGTTTTAGTAGCAGAATAAGAAGTAACTAACTCCTGATAGTTGTACCAACGTATTTGCATGATTTTGCAAGAAGAACTGTTTTTATCAGGAATTATATGCGTGGCAACGTCGAAAACAAACACATGGTCGACTTTCTCTCGTTGCTCTCCTCCAATCGAATCTGCCAGCAGAGGAGCAAATGACGTTCTAGGAGCTGCTGGCCATCAAGACCGCATGCTTGTTGCTTGTTAGAAGCACCACAAGCTTCCTGATCCCGAAGCTCCTGAGAAGTAGCACTTCGTTGCGTCAACATTCAAGATGCCAGCAGCAGTTGGTGCACGTCCCATGGATGTCGAGGGCGGCGATCCTGAGGACGTAAACCGCCTTTTCATCAAGCAAGTGATCATTCACGGATTCAAGACGTACAAGGACCAGACGCCGCTGCCAGTCGACTTTCACCCAGGAAGCAATATTGTTGTTGGTACAACTTTTTTCGTCATGTTCTACCTGTGTGCGTGTGGGTGTACTGTAACATATTCAGAGTTCTTCGAAGCAATGTGGTGTAGAGAAGCATCTGTTCGCATGTTTTTCATTCATCATGTTCGTATCCCTTGTGGAAGAAGCAGGTCGCTTAAAGTTCAATCAAACTGTAAGACCAGGTTTCAACGGTAGTGGCAAATCGAATTTTTTTAATGCGATTTTATTCGTCATTTCCGATGAGTTCGGCCAGTTGCGTCCGGAGGTGAAGAAGGGCTTGCTTCACGAGGGTGCGGGTAAGCAAGTACAGACTGCCTATGTGGAAATCGTTTTCTGCAATAGAGGAGGAAAATTGCCAATTCAGAAGTTAAGAAAGGTAGAAGTAAGTACTAATTAGTTCCTTGAAAAATGAATTATAAGCCAAGCACCATTGTTGGATTGTCGATAGTATGCACCTTGCTGGATTTCCTAGAACCTACAACGAACAGGAGCCATTAAACAATAAGGATGAATTTATACCTGCAAATCTTCTAAAAGCCGAAGAAGTACGGCTTCGACGGGTGATTGGGCTCACGAAGGATAATTACATTCTCGATGGACGCAGCATCACGAAGAGTGAGGTTTTTAACCTCCTGGAGTTAGGGCTTCCCGTAATTCATCTTCAGAGGCGTCTTTGCCACGTTTTCAAGGGGAAAACGTTTCAAAGATGACGCTCAGGATGAATGTGGGTAAGCTCTAAGAGAGTCTGCAGGCTTTGCGAAGAATAACCCCTACTACATCGTGAAGCAGGGCAAAGTGCAAGAGATGACCGTCATGACGGACGAAAGGAGATTAACGCTGATTATGAAGAAGACCAAGACTTGTCGTGGTTAAGTCTATCTAGATTGAGTGTTGGGGGTAGATTTTTAGATAAAGGAAGAAAATACAAACAGCGTTTCCAATAGGGTTGCCTAAGTTGAAGTGATTTAGATTTTTTCCCCATGTCATCTATGGTCCATTTTCATACCTCTGCAAGAGATCGCTGGCGTTACTGTCTTCGACGAGCGGCGGGATGCTTCTTTGAAGAAAAAGGACGAGATCGAGAGGCGGAAAGATGATAATGAGCGGAAAATTAACACGATGCAAGCGCGTGTGGATGAGCTAGCCCAAGATCAGAAGGAATTGATGGAGTTCCAAAAGCTGGATAGGGAAGATCGCGCTCTGAAGTACGTTCAGGCCATGGCCACGCAGAAGGAGAACAGTAATAGACTAGAGGAAATCGAAAGAGAGCTGCGCAATCTCGGTGGTTCTGCTGCAGAAGCTCGATTGGCTGAGTTGGAGGAAGAAAAAAATGAATTAGAGGGCAAGAGGTTACGGGCTAACGACGATAAGTGTAGGGTGGAGTATGCTCTCGACGATTTGGATAAGCAAATCGAGCAAGTCGACAGCAATAGGAAGGCTGCGCAGGACGAATTGAAGCGAGCTGAAAATGCGAAGGCGAGTGAGGAGAAGGCAAGACAGGAGTTTCAAGAAGCTGTGAAAGCATTATGAACTTCAACCTTTCATATATTATTGGCTTAGGGTCTCATTCCACGTTATTCCGCAAAAATATAACTCTTTTACTTTCCTTTCATATAGTTCATGACCTTCATGGGTACACTTGTGAAAGTGTATCGTCCCGCCGGTGATCTAGGAGTATCACCAGGGATGCCAACCAATCATATAGTTCATGGGGACTGGGTGGCATAATCCAACCCATCGCCCCTTATACTAATAAAGCCTCCCACACTTTCATAGCCTTGCGAAAAGGAATTGGCACAGTGTGATAAGGAGGAAGCAGACAAAAAGCCGAAGCTGGAGGAGTTGAACGAGGACATGTCGAAAAGGCAAACGGAGCTGACCGAAAAGGATGTCCGGTTGAAAGCATTGATTTAAGGCCTGTTGATTTTCTGTGCAAACCTTTCCTGGCTTTTGGCTACCTCTCATAGATTTTGCACCGTTTGGTCAGCTACTTTCTTTCCTGTCTAGGATTTTGAGCAACGGATGAACCTGAACTGTTTGCGTTCCTTGGTTCGCAAAACATCCATGACTAGAGATATCTCTAATCACTGGGGAAGAAGGTAAATGAGTCGAGATACAAGACGGTCGCTGCAAGGGATAAAGGTACTTACAGACATTTTTCTTTTTTGTAATTACAGACAACTTGCTAGAGATTTTTCTTTTCGTTGTACGTACTCGCACACTCCTGGTTCCTTTGATACATAGAACTATGCACTTCTACTTTCAAAGAACGAGAAAGAGTTTTCATCTTATGCTTGCTGCAAGAATTTGTGCGCTGAATTGTTCTCTTGGTTTGCACCAAGTACAACAAAGAAGTGCAGCATTTCTCCTCTTCACCCACATTATTTCTCCTCTTTAGCTTTGAAGAAGGAGATCGCGGATAACGAACAGAGGTTGCTGGACTACGAGAAGAAATTGAAGGAGACAGAGGCCTCCCGCGTCAAGCTGGACGCAGAGATTATCGACTTACAAGGCCAGCAACAAGGAGTGAAAGAAGAACGTGACAAAATCGAAAAGGAACATTATGAATAATGCATTATCATTATTGATGGATTCTTGCATGTTGTAGTTTGTTAAAAAAAGTTTTGATTTCTTGAGGGAAAGGGGTTGCATGTTTATGTTACAAAAAAAGGTTGAGCAGGTCGATGTTGAAGTCCTTATCCCAAGTAAGCAGTGGTCTAAATGTCCTACAGTCATCCTAGTATTCATCCTATGCTCTTCCCAGTATTCTCCCGTGTTTTATCATCTCTTCTTCTTCTTCCTCTTCTTCTTCTTCTTCTTCTTCTTCTTCTTCTTCTTCTTCTTCTTCTTCTTCTTCTTCTTCTTCCTCTATTCTAAGAAAGGCTGCAGCCGAATAGGCAGCAGTACAGTGAAGTGGACAAGCATTTGACAGAAATGCTTGAGAAGAAGGCTGAAAGTGACAGACTTGCGCAACAAGTCCGTACAGAGATCGGGAGGATGAGAATTAAGGCCATAATATGAATCAGAGTAATATAAAGGGCTATAATAATGATATCAAACATTCATGGTGGAAACCTAGAGACAATATTGGAGTGTTTGATTTATCACTCTGTTGACATCGATTGCTGTTGTAAGTATTCTTTTTCAGTTAGAAAATGGTGCGAAGGATCATGTTCCGATCTTTTCACGTAGGAAAAAAGACAGGTAGATGAAAAGGAAGCAGGATGAGAGAAAGCATCTGAAGAGGATAGCCCTCAAGAAGGACATCACCCCTGACGCTCAAGGATAGCCCGCCCTCAAGGATAGTCCGTTCTCAACAACCCACTCTCGTTGAGCTCTAACGCCTAAGACGCTGACCACAGGCGATCCGATCTCATGAAAAGTATACCGTCGAATGTCAAGAAATGCATCGAAAATCTGGATTGGTACATCGACAATCCTGCCTGCGAGCCACACAATAGTTAAGACTGAACACTTCTCATAACACTTATCCCATTTGGAGTGCAGTCAGGAGAACTATTCTATTTTGGTGTGCAAAAACAGGCTATATCACGAACCAACGCATGACCTAGGTTATCTAGGATTGCAATTTTTACTACTAATGTAGAGACTTCATCTCATAACTACATTTATTCCACGTTTTTACTACTATCGGTCTTCTAAGATAGAATGTCCGAATTGCAGGGAAAATATTGGGGACCGTTGTTGCGCAATATCTGGGTGAAGGAGTCCTACAGAGTTGCAGCTGAGAGCGTGCTGGCAGGCAATCTTTTTCACGTACTTGTACAAGACGATGAAGCGGGAGCTGCGATCTTGAAATTATGTTCTGGCTGGTAACATAAACGCTTAGCAAAGGCACCTTATCCTATCCCATCCTATAGGGTTGTAGAAACTAATATTTTCTGCACCTATGAACTGGAAAGATTGAAAAGTGGGACACTATTCTTCTTATCGTTGTTGTACTTCTTAGTTAGGACGAAATAGACGGCGCAGTTAGCTTAACATGAACTAGTGTGGTCTTGGAAGGTACCATACATCGAAATTTTTTATAGCGGCAACGGAATGCAACATAATGCTCTAAGTCTAGCCGTCAAGGAGTACAACATGGGTCGAGTGGAGTGCGTGCCTTTGAACAAAGCCGAAAAACGCCCACGACGAAATTATCCGAGTGGAGGTGGCGGACGTGATAATTACGAGAAAAGCGATCTGCTTAGCTGTAGCAACTGTGTGTATTCGAAAACTGAAAATAATCGAGTTACTGACTGAAATAAGGGAGGTAGCTTAACGTCAAGGCTACTCTTCCTTCTCATCGGTATCTCGGTTATTCTGATCAGTTTATTGCTTATTTCAGTTTTTCGAATAAGTATATAAGGAGTATATCGGATTATCGCTGTGTAACTGGAACTACTGTTCTAGCCTATAGCTTTTTTTGCCACGAGGAGGTGGAGGTACGTAGCTTGTTAGAGTAAGGTGGAAGTGCACTGCAACTTTGAAGATCCTGAGGTTCTGCATCCACCTTTCTAAGATTTTTCCTGCGTACCGATGATCGACGTTATTGGCTGCCCTGCGTGGCTTAAACCGGTGGTCGAGAATCTGGTTGGTTCATGGCTCATCTGCAAGGACCTCGATATGTGTGCTCGCTACGCCAAAAGCGGCGAGTTCGATTGTATCACCCTAGAGGGAGACAAGGAGCAACGCACGGGTATCATAACCGGTGGCGCGCAGAAGCCGAATAGATGCGTCAGATTCAAACTTCAAGCTGCCTTAACGGAAGTAGAGGACGATATCATTATGCAAAAGTTTACTCATCTTCAAGAACAGAACTATATAGAAGATGCTAACAGTACTGTTATATATCCAAGGTTAATCCCACCAAGCAAATCAATACTCCGATATTCGTAGATTTGTGGCCGATTGTACGGTCTTATGCGCCCCCAGTATGTAACTTGGATGATCTTAGTTGAGCATGTTAATTAATTGATTGAAAGGGCGGTGGTATATAGTCCTAACGCAAAAAAAATACCCGACATCTTCAAGTGTTATCAGCGCTAAACAAGCTACTTCTAGAAAAGGTCTTTGTTTATTAAATCATCCTGTCTTGATGTCCCGCCGTCCAATTAGTAGAACTAAGTCGTTGGATACACGATCAAAATCCGTTTTCACTTTCAATATTTCCTCATTGATATGGTTGAAGATGAAAATACAGTTTGGTGGTTGCTGGCATGATCTAACAAGCAAGTGAAAGAGGAGAAGTACAATACGCGGAGACAGGAAGCGGCGGAGAAGGAGAGGGAAAGGGCGAAGACACAAGAAACGTTGGACCAGCTGAAGGAGAAGAGTATGCGCTATCAAAGAGAGATTAGCAGTAAAACGGAACAGAAGGCTTTGCTTTTAAGGTTCTTTGACGTATTTTCAAAGATGTTGGACTACAGGGTTCAGGATTTGCATAAATAAAAGTAGAGTGCCTGTTGTAGTTTCTTTCTACCCAAACCCAATAAATGGGCACGCCACTAACCGACATCAATACTGCCACTAGCGTGTGGCATCACTAAGACACGACACTAGACTCGAAGCAGTATCCTTGTATGATCAATCAATCTATCCCTTGTGTGGCATAGATCCGTTGTAGTTTCTACCCAAACGATCCTATCCGTTCTAAGACTCGGGGACCAAATCGCTGAGAAGGTCAGAAAAGCGAACGAGATGAAAAGCGACTGCGAACGGACAGAAAGAAGTAAACTTGAATGCCAGAGGATGATTGAGCATCGCAAGAATGAGATGAAGTCCAAAGTTTTGGCTGGTATCTATTTTTACCTTGTGCCTGTTATTGTCTACTGGTGTTTCTATTCTTGTGAGTTATTTACTTGTATGTATGTTGTTAACTTCTACTTGTTAGTGTGGAGTAGTAATATTGATGATGTTGATAACAGGTAGAAGGATCTTCAATTGCTTTGCTATACTTTGTGACGTTTTCGTTCTTGTCCGGGAAGAATCTAAGTGTAATAAAATATTAATTATACCTTTCTGAAGATTTCCATCATCCTCGGAGGCGAGCAGCGGGTGCCTGTTGGGCTCGTTGTGAAGGATCCATAACCTAACCTAACCATTCGCTGCTAACTGACTCTCTTCGTGGAACACAACTTTCCTCGCCATCTTCTTCAATTTTCCACGACGCCTCAAGGTCTTACGGAGGCAGAACATGAGGAGTTGGATAAGCTGAAGGTGGACGTTGAGAATGACGGACAAGCCGTGAAGCAGCTGGAGCGGAACCAAAAGCAGCTCCAAGAAGAACTAGCCAATTTAACGACAAGGAAAAAGAAAGCAGAAACCACGCACGCTGCAAATGAGGCGAATCTACAGCAGACGACATATTTATGAGCAGGGACAGGAGGTTACAATTACATTTTCTCGTAGAAGCTTTTTTTTACCCTAGTTAGTAAGAAGGTGATCTTGCTTTTTTTTCTTGTGTATTCTGAGGACACCGGCGGACCTAATTCGATTGTGTGATGTACTAACCTCTGTTGTTCCACCCGTTTCCTCCGCTCCCTCCTTGCTGAAGAAGCCAAGAACCTTTCCACTTGTTCATATTCGAGTCACGAGAATGACGAGAAGATCAAAGAGCACGTGGCGAAACTGGCACAGATAGACAATGAAAAAGCAAAAATCAGTCACGAAAGAGAACTACTGGAACCAGAGAAGCGAAAAGCAGACGCTGACTTCGCAGAGGCGTTTGACAAGCTCAACGCGGTGATGGCAGAACGACTTATGTCCAACGTAGTTTGTGAGAATGAGATAATATCTGAAAGAACAAAAATCTCTCGCAATATCATAGGATATCTGAGATTCCATCGTACTGAGAATTCACCGTCAAGGAAAAAGTCTTATTCCTCTCTACTTAGGTGGTCGTAGTCTGCATCAAAATTTTCACCTTCCTGACCCTCTCCTAGATCTAATTTTCAAAAGATTAGGGAGGAAGCTGAGGACAGTCGTGGGCGACGCAGCGAGCTTATTACTGAGCGCGATGAAGTGACTAAAAGGTTTACAGCAGCTGAAGAGACGAAGCGTAATTTTGCCTCCACGGGCGCTGAAGTGACGAGATTTGAGCAAATGACTAGACAGCAACGTGCAAAGAAGCAAGTGGAGATTACGGTACTTCAAATTTTGTAAGGAACACTTGGTGTTGGTCTTGGAGCCGAAGGTAAATAATAAGTTGCAATGAAATACATACTTGCTGACTTTATGCAAGTCGCCCATCATCCTCTGAGGCGAGCAGGTGCCGGCGGGGCTCGTTGTGCAGGATCCATAACCTAACCTAACCTAACCCAGAAACTAGATCATTTTCATTTGCTTCATTCTCCTAGCTCCCAACCAACCAACAGCGCAAGCTCCGACAGTTGGAGGGTGTAAACCCGAAAGCGTTGGACCAATTCGTCAAGTATCATGATACAGTGCAGGCGATGCGTTCAGACTTGAAGCAGATCCAGAAAGAACATCTTGCTATGGCTGGTTTCGTTACTAAACCTAAACCTGAACCTAAGTGAAATTCGGATTTATTCACTGATTCTTGTGTGAAAGTAATTAGGCTTATCGGATTCATTCGTGTGTGATATCCTCATTGAGCAATTACCTTTGAGCAATGACCGTGGTTGCTTCGATCTTCCGTTTCTTCTCGAGATGAAGGAATCTTTGATCATGGTCGTTCGAAATTCGTTCTCTGACTAGACAAATTGGTTACGGGATTATAGGCAGCTAGAAGTATCGGCGATGTAAGTGATTTGGACACTCCTTTTGTCCTGATAGATTACATGATAAGATACGATGTTGGAGGACATGATAAAATAGGCGGTCAAAATTTCAGCCTTTCATTTTTGCGATCTCAGAGTGGATCAAGAAAATCGACATGGATAAGCACCACACGTTACTGGAGACCATCGGAAAGGTGGACAAGCATTTCCAGGAATGTTTTCGCGCATTAGTGCGCCTAGGAGACTCAAGATTTCGAGTCATCAAAAATCCAGAAACGGGCTTAGGTAAAGACTGACTACAAGATCTGACAGATAATGATCATTTTACTTGAGTCTAATCAATCAATAAAGTAAGAGATGAGTCGTGCTTAGTTGTAGAAATTGCTCCTTACCAATACTACAACCCCTTTCTGACAACTCTTGGACGATGGTTTCTTGTTGTCGTTATTTTGTCGTTATTTCATCATTAACCACAACCCCAGTGACCGGAATCCGTGTGGAAGTTGCTTTCACGGGTAAGAAAGCGAATTATCTTCCGATGAACCAACTGAGTGGCGGACAGAAAACGGTGGTGGCGCTAGCTCTCATTTTATGGCTGTGGTTTCTTTAGATTCTGTTGAATTGTCAACGGTAGTTCAGTGTGGATGGCAACGAGTTGTCTTTAAGCAAAGAGCACGCAGTTCAAAAAAAAATAGACGAAGGCACGAAGAAGAAGCATAGCGAGACAATATACTTTCTTTTCCAAAAAAAGAAACATTCGTACTAATACATAGTATGTCCAGGAAGAATTAAACAAAACCGTCCTCCTCCTCCAAAATAGCCAGCTCTAATGAAATTCGCCATTCAAAGACTGGAGCCTGCGCCGTTCTATTTGTTCGATGAGATTGACGCGAACCTGGATACCATGTACCGATCTGCGGTTGCGTCGCTTATTAACAGAGAAGCGGAAAACTGTCAAATGATTTTGTTATGGCGATAAATGTTGTTCTGTTTGTTCTTTTCATCGGATCTGCTTCGTGTCAAAAAAGATCTGAACTTCAGGGGACTTTTTAGAGATACTTCTGATACTCTTAACACAAAGACTTGAATTTGATATAGATAGTCCTCTAGCGAAGCTGAGGTTTTTTTTCATGGCAGTAAATTGCTAGAAATCTACTTTCTAGAGGGTGAACATTGATGTTGGTCCCTCCTGCTTCTCAAGAGTAGAGCTTCTCTAATCTTAACCACCTTTCGACCAGAACTGATCGAAGGGGCATCGCGGTTCTATCGTGTGTACATGAAAAACCGGACGTCCCGTGTCGATTGCGTGACCAAGAAAGACGCAAAAGCGGCCATTGCGGCTCAAACCAGAGCAGAGGGACTGGATAACTAGACGGGCGGAGAAATTGGCCAACTAGAAGGGCGGAGGGGTTGGCCAACTAGAAGGGCAGAGGGATTGGCCAACTAGACGGGCAGAGGGGTTGGCCAACTAGAAGGTCGGAGGGGTTGGACAAGTTCTAGATGAATTGGGAAGGCAATCGCAACTGCAACCTCAGATTGTAGCTCGAGGACTATTAAACAGCCCTGGAAGAAGATGAAGATACAGTACAAACCCCTGTGATCATCCCCTATTTCAATTTAATTGCTTTTACCTTTCAGAGACCTGTTACTTCCTCAGAGACCGCAAAGTAGACGTCATCAGAGACTAGCTTCAATGTCTTGCTGCGAGTGCGAATGATACAGGTTGATGTAGTAGACAGAGACATTTGCGACACCGCAGTATGGGCGACAATTTGTGCGTATCTCAACGACTCTCTTCAAAGGAAAGGTGAAGTATACGTTAAAAACAAAACTATTGCATCTACAACTTTAGTAAAAGCGCCGGCAACAGATATGTGAAAAACTTGTTAGAACACTTGAGGAAACGAAGAAGTATGACAGGTCTGAGGGATGTGTTGCTGTCGTCAAAATTAGAAAGGAATTGCATTTTTAAAAAGGACTGGAAATGCCAAAGTGTCAAACAGGTGAGTGTAGTGAGAGGTGAGTGTAGTCAAATTCGATGATTGACTAAGGACATGCAGTTGGGTGAAAAGTAATGAAAGCATACATGAGACTTGAAATTGTGGAGTCTTTCGTTTGGTATACGACAGACACCACTAAAGTTAATTCAATTCTTTGTCTTTCTTCCGTCTTGTATACAACTACTAATAAAGTTAAACTCACTTGTAGTTTTTAGTATTCAGATTCCTACGCGACTCTTTCTTGCAAAAATTTTTATAGCTTTCGCGATCTTTCTCATCGGTCACAGATTCTAGTAATTTTTGATCGGTCAGTTCTGGCAGTGGTAAGTTCGAAAACTCAAAATAAGCGAGTTACTGACTGAAATAAGAGAGTCTTGACTAGTACACTCCTCTTCTTTCAGTATCTCCCTTATTTTCAATATTTACTCAGTTATTTCAGTTGATCGAATAATTTTTGATCGGTTATTCGCTAGGGACCACTTCATCTCCGTGGTCCAGAGAAAATGCCAGTAGCCTGTATTTCTGCTCTGCCTGTATACGAGCCTCTCGCCACTCTGCCTCTCTCTCGTCTCTGTCGACGAGGCTCATGTCTGCACCTCTCAATGTCCAACAATCATCTCCCCTCTCCTCACGACACGTGCGCCCTGTCTAGCTAATTGAATCTATCTTTTTTAGGTCCCTCTGGACGTTCATTTTCTTGTGTGTTGGAAATTAGAAGAAAACGTATCTAACGTTGCTTTCAACTGAGTATACTTTCTTCTTTCGGACCACCAGCCTGAGCATGTTATTTTCAAATGATCTTTTGCGCGGCGGTTGCTGCTACTTTTATTCGTAGTCGTAGATAACAAGTTTCAGTGAGTGATAGCAAAGCAACGACACGTCGTTGGAGTCACTAGTTCGGACGAAGTTCAGAAATACATGCCTGCCCAGAAATACATAGTAGCACAACATCTGAAGTTGCGAATAAGAAACGTCATCAGTACGATTTCCCACGCAGTGAGACCCCACATCTTCAAGAACTACCTCAGCAGCTGAGTGGAGGACTCAGGGAGGAAATTAGACCAAGGCCGCCGCTAGTCGTGTCGATCCTCGTCGTAGTAGTACTGATAGTGGAAGATAACGTATCAGCATCTTCATCAACAGAACATCAAGATTGATCATGGGACAAATTGCGGGCAAGCTTCGCTCCATAAGAAGCAATACGGCAAAAGTAAACGAGCCATCCTCCGACGAGTTCTCGCCAAAGGAGTGGGGTAAAGACACCTGGGAGGAATTCTGGAATTCACCTTTCGGTCAAAATTTCGACGATCTGGTTGAGGGCATCGGACTCAAAATCTACGACCTTAGTATATCAAGCTTGCACTAATGAAAACCCACTTGTGCTTTGCTTCAGCGTCCTTGTTTTTTTTCTTAATCGTGATGAATGTTCTTGTTGAAAAATATCAATCTTTTTTTATGTTCTGGTGTGTCTCTGTCTCTCCACTTTCCCCGTATAAACTCCTTCTATCATCTTTCAGCGGAAGCCATGCAGCGAGGAGAAGACCATCCGTCGCAGGATTCAACGAAGAGTACAATGAAGAGTGCTACGCGTTTGTTACTGAATTGCTTTGCACAATACAAGGAGCACGTCCTCCACAGCGATAGGGAGGAAATTATCGATGTTTTTGTGGACATGGCCAGAGTTGAAATCCAGCCGTATCGTTCTACAGAGAGGTGGAACGCTTCGGTAGTCAAAGACTTCGTCCGAAGGTTCTTTGACTCCACGACACGCACAATGCCAGAGCTTTTTACGAATTGATGAACGCTTCGGATAAGAATTGAAAATGAATCAGCACAATGTCAAACGCAAGTAGAAAGGAAGTCAAAATTATAATCGGATCATATTCTTGATAAGCTTTCGAGCGAAGTACTTTTGTTGGGTATAGAAAACTAGACCAAAATCTAGCAATAGACCCCATGATTTTACACCTTGACGACATTTTCTATTATACAATGCATGGATGTTAAGGCTAACAGTAGCACGAAGTAGATAGTGTCCTTTTCTGTGGTTGTGGGTTTATTTGGTGAACCGGTACCCCATTGCGAATAAACCTGTGCGCACAACCATAGAACTGAGCATTCGCCGGAGGCGTTGCACAGGGCTCCGGCCTGCCTTCGAAGGTGAGACCTCTGGGGCTGACAGGACCACGACAGCGCCGGCGCTTAATTAGTAGGAGATAAGTTCTTGCCTGACCTTTCTTTTTTCGGTTTTTGTTTTTTCCAGTTAGATATGCTCCACCAACATTATACAATGCTCAACAAGATTTTTTCAGTGATGATACAATGCTTAACCTTTGACGACATTTTTCATGATGAAATTGAAAACTTCAAACTCTAACAAGAATAAAGAGATTCTGAAAGCAGTCGACGTAAACGCAGTCTCCGTAAGCGCAGGCGACGTAAACGCAGTCTCCGTAAGCGCAGGCGACGGAGGAGTCGGAGACGGAAAGCTGGCAATTAATCGTGTGTCTGCTAAGGACCCGAGGATGCGTGCGACGTTTTACCCACAAAGTGAAATCGACCGAATCGGCAAAGAAAGTGAAGGATCTGAGCGCGGGGTCAAAGTTTTCCGATATTTCGCAATAAAGGAGAAAGAGGACTTTTTGGAGGAACACTGGTATTACATATGGTATGTTCATTCATCATGTCCTTTGCGTTTTTTTACACAGGGGTACGTTTACTTTTTGCAGATACAAATAAGTGATGACTAGTTTTTGGTATTCTGTTGTTGAGAACAATTTGCGAATGTCCTTATATATTCATCGTTATCCTTCTTCAGTCTTGAGTTTCTCCATAAACGACACAGAGGTACTTCCTGTACTTAGCGGACACACCTTATAGAGAGAAGAAAATAGCTATAAGAAGATAACCACCACAAGAGCCACAATAAACACCACTATCACCAGGGATCTGGTTAAGGAGTTCGCTGAGAAGGAGAAGTGGGGTGCACCCCTATCGTCGCCGGATAATAAGGGAGCGTCGAGTTTAGGGCAGATAACGCCAGACACTGCATAGTAATATTCTTGCGTTTATTTTTCCACAGGTTGCTAGTGCAGAAGTAGGACTTCCGGTACTTTCCTTTTTGGTTGCTGTTGTTCGATGATGTCAACAAGAAATGTATGTACTCCAGCATACTAGAAAACGAAAACATTTTTCCTTTCTATGGACAAAGAGTAAGTCTACTAATACTTTCACCAAAAATTTCAGCGACGAGGCCGCGCGGATCGACGCCGCAGAACGCTCCGCATCGGCAACCACTTCCTCCGCGACTCTCTCGACTATGCACTTTGAGGCCATGGCCGTGATGCAGATTACGACTGCCACGTTTATTGCGAGTTTGGTTTTGGTTACGGCTAAGTACTTGTTATCCATCCCCATAGGGCTTTCTCGGTGTATACAAGAGACGCTCTTGAAGGAGCCCCTATAGGGATGGATTGTGGAGGTGAGCTCTAATTTGCGCTGGTGTCTCCGTCGCCGCTGTGAGCGCCGTGGGCCGCGCAATGACGCCCCAGCCCGGCCGAAGGACGAGGGTACCTCAGAGGAAGAAGAAGAAGACTGCGATCCGGAAGAGTTTTAGACTTAGATGTGTAAATCTTTTCGTACATATTGTTAGAACAAAAGTCCTTCTAGGTAAGGGCACAGTAGATCTAAGAAAAACCCTGACTCACTCTGATAAGATATCTTAGTCTTACGTTCGTAACTCGTATGATTTAGATTTGTGGCACTCAAAACAGCACTCTGTTTCCAAGAAAAGATATATATTTCAGCATTACAACATGAAGAAAGCTATTATTTTGCTCGTCCACTCCTCGCAAATATATGCACTTCACTTGAAAGGGCCCAATGAACTAGCAAGGAGCACTAATATGTTTCTGTTGCGACACAAAGCGTCTCTAAGTACGCTTTGAGTCGTCTCGGACAGTCTACGCAGATATTCGTGAAGCTTAGTTTTATCTCTTTTATGCCTAGTGATTGTTGTCAATCCTAAATTTCATTTCAATTTCTCATTTACAGTTCTGTCGAGTCAAAAAATTATTATCAACCTTGTTCACTCAAAATCAAACATTATCATCTTCATTCGAAATGTCTTATATCTATGTAGCTGAGCTCATCAGCTCTATGTTTCTAAAGTCTAGAATGCACAGAATAATGAAAATGCCATTAGATGAATCAATCATGAGACGAGAACGTCGTAGCCTAAAAAGAATAATCATCACGATTTCATTATCGCCCAAAGAAAATGAACCGACGAGCCTTCCCTCGTCTTAGTCCCTTCACCCAATGCATCGCTATCACGATCATCAATTCGCGGATCTGTCTGTAGTTCGAGGAGTTTCTTAGCTACAGTGTGACTGAATCGACCGGCAGAATTTGCAGTGAAATTCTCACTGAAAGGACTTTGAAGCAGGAAGGTGCTAAGTCGTAAGTACAGACTTTGCCTTCGCTTCCTAAAAAATTTTTGAGGACCTGACTCTCCGAGTTATATTTTTACTACATTTCGATCATAAATATCGTCTGAAAGAAGCGGAAATAAATGTACCCAAAGAATTCACAAAATGTACTCACTACTCCTCTCTACACCACCTCACAGGAATCCTTAGACTTGGTACTCCTCTCCACCACCTCACAGGACTCCTTAGACTTGATACTTCTCTCCACCACATCACAGGAATCCTTAGACTTGGTACTCCTCTCTCCACCACATCACAGAAACCCGCAGTTCGAAGCAAGTATATCTTCAAAGAAATATGGTAGCAACTTTTAATGTACTTTTACAGAACTGCCCAAGTGGTAAGAGATGGAGAGAAAGGACTATAAGCGGCTGAAGTCTCAACACATCAAGTGTCATATCTCTTCGCAAAGAAGAACAACCGGTTGGTGTTCCGTCGTATACCAGAGGTGAGTCAACAAAAACAACAGCAACAACAACACCACAGCCCGAAGGTAACTCCCCCGCATTGCCTGGCGCAGTACTTAGGGCCGTGAGTAGTTGGCGTAAGCGAAGTAGGGTGACTAGGTTAAAGTCGTTTTTACGGCGATCGGGCTTTTTTCACTCGAGCGTGTCGGCATTACTCATGCCAAAGCGCTATCGGTGCTCTGCCGCGTCTCTATTCGGGTCGCAACGGAATCAGGCAGCGGAAGTTGTCACGTGGTTCGCCAATGAATGAATGACTGTAGTGGTAGGAGGTAGTCGTAATAAAGGTCGAAAATGAGAATATCATCACATCATCAGATGCTGATAGGATTCGCATTTTTCTAATGCAAATCAATGCAATTCTTGAACCAAACTGGTCGAGGAAATTTAGACGAATATATAAATGCAAGGCACAAAGTCGTGCCACGACCAAGCAAGGTGGAGCTGTTCATGCTTGTATGTTGAGAAAATAAGCGGATATTTTCTGGAGCAGAAGTCGTTGGTTAGGGAAATCTTAGGCAGATTGTCGAACAGATTCGCATCGTCAGCATTTGAAAAGCAGTTGCACTTGTATGATAAGGGCGCTCCTTCGACTCGCCTCTACTTGCGCCTTGCATGTGGCGAGGCCTATGAGAGAACGGCAGAAGTGAGATTCTCTATTGCGCCTAGGTCTGTGAGAGTGCCTGTATCTGTCCGCCCATGAAGATCAGTACTCGTCGGGCACATGCACATGTTTGAATTGAACCAATCTACTCAGAGGTTCAGAGAAGAAGTATCTTCGTTGAAGGTCGTGGAGTGGTTGCATTCCTAGTTGTATTTTCTGTTGATGAGGACGAAACAAGAAGGATGAGTCTGTGACAGTGTATACTGCCAGAGAGATATTATAATTAGATACCGCAGCTAGGGTTACACCTACAGCATGGCTCCTGTCTATTCTGTGAGAGATATTGTTCTGTATTCTGTATGGTTTTTTTCATGCTTGTTAGAGTCTATCTACGAAGAAGCACTGTGACTGTTTTCACTTACAGGCTACAATGACATCCCCTTCCTCCTATGATCATGTTACTCTACTTGTTTTCCCCTCTACTTGCACTACTCACCGTGTCGTGAAAGAGCAATTTGGTTTCGTTTAGTTGTTGAAATCATCCCTGGTAAAAAAATCTTGCATTTAACCTCCACCCATCTCGTGCAAAACCACATAACGCAAGCCACCTAGTCTATGTACGATTAGAACTAAGTTCTCAGCTGCAAAAGAAGACAAGCATCTAATTAAAGATCGTCCAATACCTCTTGTTAGGCACATTCATTCATTCACTCACTCATTCATTCATTCATTCATTCATTCACTAAGCGCTGTTATTTCTACTGAATTTCAGAAAGGAATCTACGTCTACAACTCGTTCTCGTCTACTGAAACTCTATCAAGATGAAGTTTCAATTTAAGGAGAAACTAGTTGAGCAACTAGGATTCACCCTAGAGCATGCTCATGCAGCTGCTGCCAATGCCGTGCCAGCTGTTACTGCGCCCTCCTCGGACAACACTCGCGTGATTGCCATAGCAGCACTTGTCATATCAGCAATCTTGGCAGCGACGTTGGTACTTTATTTATCTTAAGCGGTCTAACCCGTCTTGTTCCTGACCACTGGGTATCTCATCGTCATCATTTGATTTCCCAGTTCATCCACCTTTTCTTTCTTACATAGGTAGGAGATCCCGTCCTTCACTATCGTATTTAGGTCGTAGAATTCTTGAACTTGAAGCTTTATGGAGATTTAGTGACTGATCCATAACCTATATTAGCCTACTTGAGAACTACCAACAAGATTCAACTCCCCTGCTGCTCAGGTCCTCTGCATCTGCGGTTGTTGTATTGGTATGTGCGTCGCACGAAGTAGGGAAGCAGAGCAAACTGGAGCGTTGGATGAAGCCAGGAGGCTGATTGACTTTGCGCAGAACAACGAAGCTGGCGGACCACGTGAACCGTCGCAAGCAGCTCCGCCACCAGTCGTCAATTTCCAAGGCTCAGGGAGACGACTGGGGAGCACAGAGTCCGAACGGACACAAGTGGCGGGGCTTTGAGGCTGAATTGGAGATGTTTTGCACGCAGATGCATGGAGAAGCTGTAGTGGTCCTCAACCTAGTCGTGGGAGACTGACGAGGAAGATAAACTGCTGATATTGAAGATAGTAGTTGAATATCATACCAGGAACGAATCAACGATGGGGGGCTTTGGTTAAGGTGCCCAAGAACTTTGTAAAAAATTTGGATTTGATTTTTCTACACGATGGAAATACAACGCGCTATTTGGAAGCAACTTCAAAATTTCATGGATACTTTTGTCCGTAGATAAAATGAATTCTTTCATCTTGCTGTTAGCTAGTTGGTTGTCCTTTATGTTTAGATGGTGATAGGTGCATACAAAATGAATACTTTGTTTTTCCTCTAAGTGATACTACATCATCAAAAGGAAACTAGCCATAGACGATGACCAATGCATCGCACCTCATGAGCGAGGAGTGCGCAGTCTTAGATTGACATTGACACGATGCATAGTGGAGGACGATGAATATGACAGATTTCTGTGTAGATGACGCTGTCATTTTACCACAGAGGGAAAAACATCAACATGCTAAAACCTGGCGCTGGCCATATGCCGCTTTTAGAACATCGTTCGTGCATCTTGTTCAAGCAAATCTTAATCTTTTCCTTGCTGCGTAGGAGGTTGAGGTAATAAATGGAAAGACTGGTTCAGAGAGGCAAGACTTCCGCGAGCAAGGAACCCTTCTGAGAGTATTTTTGATTCATGACGAGTACTTTTTTCACGCATTATTTTGCGCTTGAGAGAGAAAAATGGATTTATTGAGCAAGGTTTGTTTGAACTGAGTTACATACTTAGCTTGTTTGATGATTGATTGACAATACTCTGTGCATGTCACTCTGTCTTTTCTCCACCTTTCGTGGTCTAGATTTTAATTTTCTTGAGCCACAAAGGAACAAACGAACTCCAAAATAACGTCAAAACCATGGCTACGGCATCGAGTCGTTTCGCATGGTCATTCCTGTCAGAGGGTATGACTTTTAGGGCTGCGCGGTTATACGAAACGTTTTGGAACTCACAGTCAAATTTGAAATGGGGTCTCGTTGTTGCCTATCCCAGCTACCTCTTCTACATCAGATGGAGAGCGGAGACGCAATACAAGTAAGTAGCACTGATAATATTTTTAGCTTGTGTGCCATCTATGACGCCCTTATGGCAGTCTGCACTGAACTTTGTGCGAGTAGGTTTTGATATATCGGAACTCGCTCACGATACAAAAAAAAAAGCGAGACTAATTGTATTGTATTGTCGCGTCACTGTTGCAGTTGTACACTTCACAACTGTACTGCTAAGTAAGGCACCCTGTTCCTGGAAAGAGACAAACTAAAACCAAGATAAACCTACCAGGTACATAAGATCCCTACATGCTGACTCCCTCCTCTCTGTTGATTGCGAAACGTACTGTGCCCCTTTTGGTGGCCAGGGGCACTAAGCTCCGCCTGCCGCCGGTTTGCGAACTGGATAAAGCTGAGGCCGCTCTTTCAGTAGCCCCAGGATACAAAAAAAGAAAACTTTTTCCTGAAATCTCCAAATCCCAATCCGAATAGGTACAACGTCTATCTCGAAAAACCAAGCCTGTATCCGACTATGGCCGAAGAGCGTGGGATTGCACATGCGCTACGGTCAGTCTTGTTCGGCGCAGGGTCAGTTGGTGGTGGCTATTGGAGCAATGGATCTGTTTTCTACGGTACTTTATGAACAAGAGAGTATACAAGAAGAACAATAAGATTCTGGTGGTATCACGCGGGTGTAGTAAAAGTGGTACATCAACAGCAGGCGGAACAGAAAAGCTTTTTACCTATTAGTTGTGTGTAAAACAGAGCTACATGAGCGTGGTTATAGGCATAAGTAGAAGCACTGTAATATGCAAGAGCCGCGGCCACAAAAGGCAGTTTATTACGCGAGCAAGCAGTCCCAGTCGCTGAATAAGACTAAGATACACATGAATGACGCTCTTGGGATTCACAGTCACTGTCTCTAAGCACCAGCGCCATGTCAGTAGCAGATTTGAAGACTCGAGTATACGGGAAAGAAACGCCACCAGCAAACCTGAAAGTAGGTTGCAGTTATGAGATTGTCTCGAAGATTATTCCTGTTCAGTATAATTCATAGGCAGACCTCCAGTCAATTACATTTACAACTACAATTTGTATTGTGTTTTTCAAGTGCAGTACATTCAAGTGCTCGATGCTGGTGTCGAAAACAAATAGCTCCCTGCAACATCGATTTCACTCATCGTCTTTCATAGAGGTTTTGAGAAAAAATGTAGCCTCTAATCCATGGGCCGAATGATGGAAGATAGCGACAATCTTGCGCTCGCCGTGAAGTCGTTTTGCAGACGGGACCCAAGAATCTTGATGTGGGTGGAAGAGTAAACTTGAATTCAAATTGTTGTGATTTTTCCGGTTCAGAGGACACTTGTGACATAGGCAGTACCAAGATAATCTTCTCAGATTGATATCTTAACATCCATCGTGGCGCCAGTAATGTCAACGAAGACACGTGGGTATAAAAGGCCACAACGTGCAAATTTAAGCGTGTTTTTCTGAAACGTGTTCGCTTGAGATTGACCCAAACGATAACTTCTGTGATTTACCGAAGACAATCAAGGAAGAATTGAATCTAGGAGGCAGGACGCTAGTGGGCAGCACCATAGCATATTGAAGGAGCGGGAGATATCATTTTTGTTCGGTATGGAGATGAAAGATCGTTTTGAGTTTTTGTTGCATGAAACTGTGTTTACCTTATTTGATTTCCTCATTTTGTAGTGTAATCCGGTACTTGTTCTTGATGCCAGCGTGTCCTTTGCAATAGTCAAGTTCTTTGTAACATCACTTCTTTGTTGATGTAACTAAGAAACTGGAAATTGATTTAGAGAAAAAATGCAGTCGGTTAGTGCTCCCTTGTCATCCGCGAGGCCTCGACGATACTTCCTCTGCCGACGAAGATCGTAACAGCGCGCAACCGCCATTGACGAAGTGGACGCACCCTCTATTGGACAAGACGACGACGATACGATAACGAACAGTTGCCCATATTCGCAGGCGGACGATGGACGATCACGATTTGCATAACTAAGATGCAGAGCAGCTGTACTGATTTGCGAAGAAAGCCTGCTCTCAAAACTCGAAAGGAGTGAATCCGGCTGCTCGTGGTGGTCAAACAGAGTTTGTGCTTGCGCTGCTTCTGTCAAATCGTGAAATTGCCGGTTAACGGCGCCGTGCGTCAAGATGCATACGTATTCCGAATCTATCTCTATGTCTATGCGCCTGCCCTTCATAAAAATGTTCTCATGTTGACGCTCGAATCCTCACTGTGTGCCATCCTTCCAAATTGACTCGACGGCTTATTTTTCCACCCTGACACAGTTTTTGCAGTCACATTCCTGTCACTATCAACCACCACAGGGGCAATCATCTTTCGAAAGAGTTCTTTGAACTCGTAAAGGCGATAGGGGAGAGCAGGAGTAAGCAAGAGGAGGATAAGATAATCCTGAATGAGCTTGCTCTCCTCAAAGCCACGATTAATCAGCCAGGAGTGCCGCTGAAAAAAATGAAAGAGTACTACTCGTCCACCTAGTAGCAAATTGAAGTTTGTTTTTCGTGTTAGGAGAAGTCGATAGCGTACCACGTCTATCATCTTCTCTAGTACCTCAGAATGACGCATGTAGACTTTATCACATCCATATGCCCGTCTCCACCACAACCTAAAAACCCCTTCTACAGGTTCATGATTCGTGCTGTGTACGTAGAGATGCTTGGGCACGATTGCAGCTTGGCGTATATCCATGCTGTCAAATTGTGCAACGAAAAGCAGATCATGGCGAAAAGAATCGGCTACCTGGCGTGCAACATCTTTCTGCACAAAGACCATGAATTCATTTATGAAATTTTTGGAATTTGAAAATGGATTTAATACCCCGCCGCAAGTACTACATGTCACCCTCATTGAAATTGACATGAATCAAGCAATTCAACATTGATGTAGTATGCGCACACTTCCACCTTATACCATAGTGTTACAACCTACCTTCATAACTGAAGGATCTTCACCAGCATCCCCCTCCTTTCATCCACCCCAGCACTCTCCTCCTTTCATCCACCGCTTCTGCTGATCAATACGCTGCAACGAGACTTGAAGAGTTCGAACCACTTGGAAGTAGCGGGTTCGCTTGTAAGTATTTGCCGTCTGGTGAATACTGAGATGACGCCTGCGATCCTACCTGAGGTGCTGAAGTGCCTTACGCACAGCCACGAATCTGTACGGAAGAAAGCTATAATTGCCCTGCACAAAATCTACAAGCTGGATTCATCGGTGGCGGCGGGCTGCAACGACGCGGTGCGGAAGGTAAATATTTTACATTTTACATTGCAATTATGTAGATGTACTATGTATGACAAGTAGGTGGCCCATACAGTAAAACAAGAACGGGATGATTTTAGTACTACAGGACTCATTGGGTTTCGGAGGACGAGAATGGAATGAAGTCCTTTCTTTGCCCTTCACTTCTCACCAAACGCTACCCATTAGGTTCTCTGCGACCAGGATCCAAGTGTCATGGGCGCTAGTCTGTACATGCTCCACGACTTGGCGAAGTCCAATACTAGCGGAAATAAAGACCTAGTGCCTAGCTTTGTATCCATTCTGAAGCAGATAGTAGACCACCGATTACCAAGGGAATTCGACTATCACCGAGTGCCAGCACCATGGATACAGATCAATTTATGACAGACAACATTCATTATGTGAATACTAGAGAACCAAAACGAACAACAACTCGTTGTTCTAACAGCGTGGCCTGCTCACCGTCCTCTCCCCAGTACCAATTTTAGTTCACCACCACTTCTAATCTGCCTGATCTCAATTCTGGGTACGCTCGGCGCCGCCGACCAGAAAGTGAGCGAGCAGATGTATCCTTTATTAGCAGACGTGATGAAGAAGTGCGATACTGGGGTGAACGTTGGGCATGCGATCTTGTACGAGTGCGTGAAGACGATCACGAAAATCTATCCCCATCCACCTTTGTTGGAGCAGGCAGCACAGAGCGTCTCAAAATTCATATCCAGCGACAATCACAACTTTTAAGGCTTCTTCTAATCCATCTTGACGGACATCCTTAAGAGGGATCTCGAGGGGAAAAGGTGCTCAGGATGCATCCCAAGATGGATTAGGGCGAACTCTAAAACTTGAAGTATCCCTTACCGTGGTTGTGCTTTTTTTTTCGGCACTTCTTAACGTGGTTGTGCTTTTTTTTCGGCACTTCTTGACTCACGCTTATAAGTACTAGAATGCTCTCTACTGCTGGTTGACATATTAGCGTATCCGTAAGTAATCGTAATCCTTGTTCTACTTCTTTGACTAGCTCGTTTCTTCCCACCTACCTTCAATTCTTCCTCACTACCGCAACATCAACAGGTACTTAGGAGTAACCGGCTTAGCAGCAATAGTCCAAATGAACCCGAAGTATGCGGCAGAGCATCAGATGGTGGTTGTGGATTGCTTAGAAGACCCGGATGAAACATTGAAGAGGAAAACGCTTGACTTACTGTACTTCTCTACGTGGTTCACAGTGACTATTGGAACAATCGACGGTCATGTTGTTCTAGTGAAAAAACACTATCTCGTGTACTACATCGGACAAACTTCGCGCGTGCCCCACTCCAGAAAGAATTGTAGAACCTCCAATTGATTTTTCATTCCCGAGATAAGCAATAAGAGATACGTTCTTGAAGTAAGTGGATACTGATGATGTGGCTTTTACATGCGTGCCCCACTCCAGAAAGAATTGTAGAACCAATTGATTTTTGTTTTCCTCCAGGTACAAGATGAGCAATCCGCAGAACTGCACAGTAGTCGCGGAGAAGCTGCTTTTTCACCTACAAACAAGTCAAGACCAACACTTGCGGAAAGAGCTGACCCAGCGGGTCTGCACCCTAGCGGAGAGGTATGCACCCTCAAATGAGTGGTACATATTATGGCACACAAAAATGATCATCCTTATAGACTTAGATTCTTTGGTCGTGCTTTAATATAGCAGAAAAAATATTAGAGTAGTAGCTTGTGGACGAACTGGAAACAGAATTTCTTTTTTCATCAGTGAGAACGATTATTATTCCTATTCGTCCCGATAGATAACAAATCTACGTTATTCCCATTCATCCCGATAACCCCGTTTCTAAGGATCGAAACGATGAGTGAAGTGTTTCAACTCGGTGGCGATCTTCTTCCACCATCAGTATCGCATAATCTCATGCGCTTTGTAGCTGAAGGAACGGGGATGAGCGATGAGGACGACAAAAAGCTCCGGACTTTCTGCGTCAATATTAAGGCTTCCCGTAATTCATCTGGAGAAGTATCTTTGACACGTTTTCAACGGGATGGAACGTCAAAGATGCTGTCAAAGATTTTAATTTGAAGTAAGCTCTAACAATAGCTACGTCAAGATTCTAGAGAAGGGTGCCAGCATGAAGAGGTGTCCGGACGTTTTGGTGCAGGTAAGATATCTTTTGGGTTGATGTACTTCATGCGAGGACACACGGGAAATGACATCTTCAATATTCGAAATTCAGAACTATTTATGTATAGATACACGAAAATTCACTGTAACAACAAAACAGGTAATCGCCTGGGTCCTCGGCGAATACGGCTCTTTATGCACAGTCGACGGTTACAGTGTGGGCGATATCAGTGATCTACTTTGCGAATCCCTATCGCGGTCGCTGGAAAGCAACGAGACACGATCCTTTATAATATCGGCGCTGACGAAGCTAGTTGCCCAGAATGAGAGTCTTCGGAACGATTCAAGCGTAGAAGACGTGATAGAGAGGTGAACGTTATTACTTTTTTTTTCCGCGTTATGTGTAATAGTCCTCTACTTCACATCCACTAATGTGCTGTTCAGACCACTACTTCATCCACTACTTCATCCACTAATGTAATTTCGTTTCAGCAGATAATATTTCAGATCCGCTTCATCCGCCACGATATTTCAGGTATTCCGAGAGTCGCAGCACAGACCTTCAGCAGAGGTGTTATGAGCTGAAGCATATGCTAGAAACCGCGCCACGAGTTGTCTCACTCGTTCTACCCTACGACGCCGCATGTGAGGACATATCGGTGGACCCAAAATTGAGGTTCCTAGACTCCTATGTCAACCGTTACGGAGGCGACCAGCGGTATTTGACAAAAGAAGAACGAGCTAAAGCCAAAGCAGCTATTAGTGGTGCTAGTGGAGCAGCAACTACAGGAGCCGCTGGAGGGGCGAGCAACAAGAGTAGTAGTTTGATGGGAGATTTGAATTTTGCACCATACGAAGCTCCCAACGTTGGGCCAAAGGCACCAGGAATGCAAGTTGCTAGTTCTTCTTCCTCTTTCGGCAGCTCAGCACAGTCAAGCACGGCAGTTGAAGCTAGTGGCGGAGCTAGAGGTCCGCAGACAGGAGATTCCCTGGGAGGCATATTCGATAGTGCAAGTAGTGCAAATGGAAGGCCTGGAGGATTGAACATACAGGGAGCAGGCGGTGCGAAGAAGTGGGGGCCGAGTGGGTACAGCAATTATCATGTCGGATCATTTCGGTTGGATTTTTTACGCTTGCACGAAAGAAAGATTTACCTCTTCAAACAATTGATCCTCCTACCGGATATCATTTTTTACGCGTTCGAAATTGTATTTCCAGGTACAACAATCCTGCTGGAGGTATGCGAACTGGCGCGGTCACAAGCTCACTTGCAACAGCCCCAGCTGCATCAGTAGTCTCTTCCGCTCCTTCACCCTCCGCTCCTTCAGCACCCGCGCGACCTACCGCAGCTGCATTAGCGAAGCAACAGCAGCAAGAGAAGAAGATGAGCGAGAAAGAACGCATGGCAGCCGCTCTATTTTCAGGCATGGTGCCTGGTGCACAAGCGACTGCGACTACTACTTCGAGTTTTCCTCAGAGCGGGGGTCTAAGCAACCTGACTGGCGGACAAGGAGACCCTATATCAGCGAGCAAGGGTGGCGCAAAAAGCGGTGGTTCATCAGGCGCAAGTACAACCACAGACCCTACAAGTAGTAGTCCTGCGGATGAAATACTTAGTACGTCAAACAATAAGCCAGAAGTAGATCTCTTAGGTGGCGGAGACTCCCCAACACCACAGAAACTACAAACAGTACCATCAATATCATCGTCCGGCGGCGAGGACTTGCTTAGTGACGACCTACTAGGTCTAGGAAGCAGTGGCCCGCCAGAATCCTCGACGACTTCGGCTGTTGGAACGGCCTCTGGGGGTGGTGGAGGCATAGATGACTTGCTGTCTTTAGACGTGGCGCCTGCCTCAGCAACAAACACAGGACCACCTAGTCGGGGAGCAGCGACTGGGTCAAGCGGTCCACCTGCGGCGTTCTTTAGTCCGGCTTCACGAGCAGGAGTTTCTGGAGTCGTCCCTACGAGTACTGCGAACAACATCCTCACTCCCCTCTCCATAACAATCGACGTCTTGGGCGCTGAATGGCCCTCACTCCCAGTAGAGCGGAAAGCGAACGTTCCAGTGCCTGCGCGTGGATCCGCACATTTAGCCACTTGTGCCGCTTTTGTGGCACGCTTAGAAGCGTATTTGAACGTGAGGCGGGTCGAAATTATTGGCCAAGAAGCTATTTCGGCAGGCCTAGACGCAGCGGGGAGAAAATGCTTTCTGCACGCTCATGTAAGCCCTGGGGCGGTCTCGGTAGCCATCAAAAGCATGGACGCGACTGTGGCAGACGCAGTCGTGACGGCACTGCAATCGCCCGATTTCCTGAACTGAAGAGGTTCTCCCTTGGGTTGTAATTAAGTACTTGGCCAACAAGACCTTGATTCATAAGACTTAAAGACAAAGAATTGAAAACGATTTTTTATCTTTGATTCTCCCTCAACAAAAAGAGGTAACCCCTTGCTTTGTGAAAATGTTTCTCTTTGTGAAAATACTTCTCACGAATTGGTCCATCTTCTTCTAGCTGCCCCTCTATTGGTGGAATATCCTTCCACGATTATTCAAAGCTAGAACTAGAAGCTAGTCTGGATCCCGCCGAAATAATCTGAATTTTCCTTTCCGTCTTCCGTGCTTCCACTTAAAAGTACTTCTCTCTACTTCAATGACAGAGACCATGTTGAATCTAAAAACGTCACCGTCCAGATATCAGAAAAAACCATGAATACTTCTTTCTAGTCCGTGTGCTGATGGTGTGTTTTCTTGTCGGTAACTAAAAATCTTCTTCACCTAGTAGAGATTGGTGCCGAGAATGGAAAACAAGAAACAGGAAGGAATCTCTCTGTCTGTTTACTCAATGACAATGAACCATCATGCAGTTGCATATATCATGACGCGAACAATTGCATTTCTGACCGCAGTGAGTGTCGGAAATAATCAGATCGTGCGTTCTGGAATTCAATTGTTCATCACTACTACTCGCCTGTGCTGCTTCCAATCTTCTGCAGCGATGGAACTGACGAACAACATCTGGTCAGTAAAGAATTCTGCTTCTCTGTGGTGGCTTGTGATGCAAATTTCACCGTGCTTCTGTGTCTCTTAGGACGCAATGTGTCCCTGAAGAGGATCTACTTACAAAGAATACAGTTCTTATTCCCGACATTAATTTTAACAATCATGATGTCAATGCAGCGACGAAGAAGTAAGCGGACAATCACAGCAAAAGTGTTGTAGTCACGGTAATTATATTCGGAAGTAAATTTAGCTTCATAGAATATCAGGAGTACAATTATACCCAGCTATATTACTGCGAGCATCCATTGGCTATTTTTTGTAACAAGAAAAGAAGACAAAAAATGACGGCTCTGGTGGAGAAGGAGCAGCAAGAGGGGTTCGAATACCTCAACGAGTTGGACCGAGGAGGCTTTGACTTTGGATTGTGCAAAAGAAATATGAAACTCGTACAACCATTTTTTGCATTAGTACTAAAAATTACACTTTCTTCTTGAAGAATCTCCTGTCAATTGTGAACCTCGAAGTAAAGGATTCATTTATAATATCGCCATCCGCATAATTGAAACTTTCAGGCACAGGCACTGACGGGTAAAGCGCAGTTTCCGCAAGCCAAGAAAACCGGAACTACGATTTGCGGGATCATAGTGAAAGGTATAATCTCTTGTAAATTGGAACTTAATTTGAGAACAAGGAGGATCCACTTCTTTTTCATCTGCTGGGAAAACAAGTCCTGTCTTCGACAAGTAGATTTACTTACAAACAAGAAATCCTTTGTACCACGTCCTGCGCAGACGCCGTCATCCTCGGTGCCGATACACGTGCGACTGCAGGAGCCATAGTTGCGGATAAGAATGCGGACAAACTGCACCCCATTGCACCTATGATCCAGTGTGCGGGTGCAGGCACTAGTGCAGATTTGACAGCGACAACAGAACTCATGGAACGACAGATGGAATTACACGCATTGAACACCGGAACTCAAGTACGAGTGGTTACGGTTGTGCGGAGACTCAGTCAGATGTTGTTTCGATACCAGGTATAATTTATGTAGGATGTTGTTTCGTTTTCGATACCAGGTATAATTTGAGTACCAATGGTTAGTACAACATTAAAGTTCAAGTGATCTTCTTCTATCACACCATCTTCCTCAAAAAAAAACTAACAGGGCCACATCGGCTGCCATTTAGTTCTTGGAGGATATGACCTGAAAGGACCGCATTTGTATCAGATCCACGCACACGGTTCAACCGATAAATTGCCATACACGACCATGGGATCGGGTAATATGATTTAGTAGATCTTGTGTTAAATTTATTTCGCGAGTCGCGCCAAAGTGATTAGGAGCAGCCGGGTAGAGGATTTAATCAGTGGATGCTTTTTCATCTACCATCTTCACATTTTTACCCCGAGAATACCACGACTGCAACTATTAAATGATCACCTATCATGAAGACCCTTTTCAAACCTCCACAAGGTTCCCTCGCTGCCATGGCCGTGATGGAGATGCGGTATAAGGAGGATATGACTGTAGAGCAGGGAATGGAGCTTGTGGCTGACAGTATTTCAGCTGGTATCTTCAACGATTTGGGCTCAGGAGGAAACTGTGATATTTGCGTCATCACAAAAGAGGGCAAGAAGCATATTCGAGGATACAGGTCAGAGAACCAGAAAGCCTACAAAGCGGAATTTCCACCGTTTCCGAAGGTATAGATTAATCGTGGACGCTATTATAGTTAGTGTGTTCTCTGAATCACTCTAGAATCAGAACAATTTTGGAGCAAAACGAAAACCGTATGAGTGCAACATTTTTCTGAGCTCAACTTTTTCGTAAGTAATCACATCTAAAAATCTTCAAACCCACTACAGGGCGCCACGCCATGGACGGGTGAGAGCTTCAAAAAGCGTGTCATCATAGAGGAAGGCAACACAATTGACGGCGATGGCGACATCGTCATGGGCTAAGAGAATTAGCATCCCAAGGATTTTTTTTCACCCCTTGTAAATATGAATCCACAACTAGCACAACCACTACTTCCGCCCAAACGTGATGTAAAGCCTCTTCGAATTAGCATCACAACGACCTCCCTTAAGTGAGAAAAAAGTGGTCGCTTGATGTTGTTTTTCTATTCCCTCCAAGTCCAACAGCCCGTCTCGCTCTCAGCTCCTGTGTATCATGATCGGCCTGCGATTTACCCACTTGTCAGATCGCTCTTTGGTATGCTCAGGGCCTAAGCAACTCGTGGAGGTTGATGTCGTCGTGACCCATCTCATCAGCGAAGACGATTTTTTGTAATTCAACATAGGAACTCGCTTTCCTCCATTCAGATCAGTGATTGGAAGGCAACACATGAATACACCTCTCGTCAGGTACCAGTAAGCAGAACGAGGTGCTGAAGAGCCTTCGTTTTCTTCAATGTTGAGAGGAGAACGATATGAGAGGTGCAAAAGGAAGGATGAAGGCGGAGAGAGATGAGATGGAAGCGCGAAAGAGAGATTCATACGGGAAGGTAAATACAGAAGCTGGAAGAGAGACGGGACAACTCTTGATGCGGAAAAGACGACATTAATCAGCAGAATGTAAAACATGAAATCGACTAGATGTAGAGTTTGTTTCATGTCTTCCTACTTCATCCCCTTCCTAGTACATATACAACTTGTACTACCTCCTTCCTTACTTCTTTCTTACAACTCCTCAACTCCCACAAACTCCCATTCAACTACGCTATCATCTAGTGTTTAAAAGACGGACCACCTTGTCGTCCAATGAAAAAGAATTCCACCTAGTCGTAAAAGAAGTACGAAAGGAGTACTTATTATAGGTACTTAGCTCTCCCATAGATAAGCATAACTTCACCACCCAAAAAACCTCCACAAAATGGACGCTCTGGGAGGACTCCTGCGAACAGCCTATGGCGCGTTCATTACGCCAAGAATGACAGCATTTGGTCGAGTCAATGTCATCAAAGCAGGAACTTTCTGCCGTACATTTACTTAAATGTTCACTTTCAATAGCCTCTGAACAACTTGATTTGTGAAAATTCAGTGAGCAGTGGATTCATCCAGCATAATCACAGATTTCCTACGAAGATCAGGACCTTGTGACGAAGATACAAGAACGAATTGCTTTTTCACTCAGCAATTTAATCCTTATCAAACTCCTACAGGCACAGTAGTATGGCCATGCTGCGTCCCATTGCTGCTGCATCAGTACATCCGCGGACGCGATAGGGATTTCTATGCCCTCGAACTATTGGCGTACAAAGCAAAAGCAGAGAGAATTTCCGATTACTTTGACTGCAAGAAAGGAGGTACTTACGACATAAGTTCAAAAAGTTGTTGATGACTTCGTTTTTTCTATCATCAGTTTAAGTTGTAGATCACGTCATAGTAGACTTGCGTGACTCCTCTGGATTCACAATTATAATCTTGTACGTTTCATCAACATCGTGATGTTGATCCAACAGAAAATGCAATGGACTTCAATCTCCCTCCCTATCCTTCCTCCTCAACAGTCGTCGGCGGTCACTGGAGGATGCAGAAGGACATGGAAATAATTTTTAATGGCGTGAACGGAAAATGAGGGCACTTCTGCGTCGATGAAGTCCGTGGCCGCGTCTAAAACATGCACATTTTTGGAGATCCGAATCGATGATGATGGGTTGTGGGAAAAATCAAGATTCATCTCCATTCTAACAAGTTTTCCAGTCCACGTCCAAATCTTCCTAAAAATGGTAAAGACTACTTACTACACTTTCAGAAGTACCCACTTTCGATATTACATCACGCATGAGATAAGACCGAGATGAAGTTGAAACATGTTGACTTTTTTGCGACGGCGCCAAATGGAGCGAATCTGCATAGCGATGGCTGATATTTTGCGCACTCGCAGTTGTGTAATTTAACTTTTTCCATCGTGCCGTGTAACTGCGCATTGCGTGGACGAGCATGCCTTGTCCTGGGCAGCCGAGGACCGTTTTTTATGACGCGGACCGTTTTGACTGTGTTCGTCATAGTTAGTTAGATTGACACCGATCGATTGATCATACTACGCTATGCGATGTGTCAACCAAAAAAAAACTACACCGAGGTAATGTGCAAGACGGAGCTTGATGAAATAAGATTAGCAGACTGACCGGCGTAAGGTAAGGGGTGCCAAGACTTGTTTCGGGTCTTCAAATTTCAACTTGCCTTAGTTGACGAATCGCATTCCTCACTTTGCAAACACAGTTGTTAGACTTAAAGACTTTTTGAACTTTTCTTGCAAGAGGAAAAAGCTGCCAAAAATGAACCGACTTGCGCTCCCGTCCTCCCTACGTTCTTCTGCTACCACCAGAGGACAACTTATCCCAGCCAGGAGCCTCCGTATCAGTCCCTCTTCAACTCGCGCATTCGCAACATTACCGGTTGCCTCAAACACGGCCGTTGAGGATTATAAAAAGAAAGTTGATGAATACCTCTCAAAAAAGAAATTAGTGGTGAGCTACTTCACTTAAGGCTCCCGGGAATCCATCTTCAGAAGCATTTTGGATCTCCGTGTAAGATGGAAACGGGTCCAAGAAGATGCATCTCAAATTGATGGGAGACTCCCGGAAGATCTAATTCACAGCCACATGGTGTGGACCATGCCAACGCATAGCAGAGGATGTCGAAGCGCTGTCTGAGAAGCTCGAAAGCAAAGTAGCCATCGCGAAAATTGACATAGACCAAAATGGAGCATTGGCAGAGGAGCATAGGATTTTATGAAGGTTGAGAAAGTGTAAGAAGTATCATACTATCTGAAACAATAAAATATGAGGGGCAATAAACGACTTCACGACTGGGACTATCGTCTCTTGCGCTCAACTATACTTCACAACAAGGAGATGACTGGATCATTTACAACACGGGCTTACTACTTCTATCTAATTATACTTCACAACATGAAGAGAAGAGTGAGTATGAGAACATGAAGATGTATCAGTTGTATGAGAAGCATTCGCATCTCTAACAACAATGGCAGTGCCGACTTTTGTACTGTCTGCTGCTGGTGCTGGTGAGGTGGATCGGGTGCAGGGAGCAAGCGTCGCAAACTTAGAGGCGAAGCTGAAGGAACAGCTGGACTGAAACTTCTTTGTAGAGGAGTAGAGTTTTTAATTAAGTAGTCTCCATTGTCCGAATTACATCCATCATGCTGAGTACTCAAGAAAACCATTGAAGATACACAGGGTGGATTCAGCAACGTTGTAAGAGCCTGATGGGTGTTACTCCCAACACAAGTATAGGATTTTTAATGTTCCAGCGCTCATAGTATTCACACCTGTGGCGTACCGTGATTGCACAATCCAAAATGAACGAGTGTTTTCACTGTTTTCAAGAGACTTGTTATTCGCGTGTCTGTTATCATCTGTTAAGGAACGAACCGATCGGTTTCTTTTTAAAAGTGATTCTCATCGACTTTACTGAGAGAGACGGGCCGTGACATCGCAAGGGTATCGGTTTTGGCGGTTTTTCACGTGAATCATTGTTTTTCATTTTTGTTTTCGACGGAAGGATGGACATTTATGAGTCTGTGGTGCTCGTCGTTTTTTCTTCGGTTCGAAATAGAAAAACGAGAATGCAAAATAGATTCGGTTTTCTTCGAGAAATTCAGTATGACCATTTATCGAAAGCAAAAAATAGCTGACAGGGCACACCCACGCTGATTGTAAGCACATATACCATTCTCCCCGACTCGTTGCTCTAGAGTTTCCACCAGCTACTTCCTTGATTTTCATTTTTGATCGTTAGCAGACGTCCTTCTGAGGAGAAATAAAGATAAGGTTTTGAAGACAAAACGAAAACGATCATCAACGCACAGGATCAACCACGAAAACATGTCCAAGTCGCACCTTGTTCGCAAGGCCGCATTGGCCTTTATTCCCGCTTTCTTCGGGTTCCAAACCGCTCTCGCTTCCGAATTCGAGCTTCCTCTCCAGAATGGGCGCAACCAATTCGCCACTTTAATCGGTGTCGGAACGCCTCCTCAGTGGTTCCCCATGCTCTTGGATTCGGGTTCCGAAGAGCTCTGGGTCCCCGGTCCCCGCTGCGTGGCCTGTGACCGCGATAACAAGATCTTCCAACCTGCATCTTCTACCTTAAGGGTTCCCACATTGCATTCATGCTGCAATTGCATCCTTGTCGTTTTCTAAGAAGAAAGGGAAACTCCCTCAGGGATGCAGTTCTGAGTCTCAAGAATGCAATGTGGAAGCCTCTAATTGCCAGTTTCGCATTTCAGGGGACGTCTGAGGTTCCTAAAGTAGCTGGGTATGCGAGTGGCGAAGTCTACTATCACGAAATCATGGAGAATGTGACCTGTACCTCTCTGTCTTCCAACCATGGAGGACCGCAAGGATCGTCGACGGTTGTGCGTGTGCCGATTGGGTTGACGGATCAAGAGAGTCCGATCTTCAAGAACATGCCGTTTGATGGTATTAAGAAGTATTACAAGAGAGTCCGATCTTCAAGAACATACAAAAGGCTGAATTAGACTTTTTTATTCTCTGAGTAACACAATAAAAGACGCGTGCCGAACCACATTGGTGAGGAAATGCGACACCGTAACGCAAGCGAGCAGAAAGCTGTCCTCTGAGTCACGGCTCTCCTGCTCGTCAAGAAGGAGAAGAGGCGTGCGCCTCTCATTGCGTTCTACCGAGTCTGCAAAGGCCATGGTGCATATGCCTGCTCTAATAGATTGCTACTACTTTGTACTCTACTAGAGTCGTTTCATCCTCTCTACCAACTCAGGTATCATCGGTCTCGCGCCCAGCAAGTCCAATTTTGTCGAAGCCCTCTATGCCTCAGGCAAGCTCCACACGCGTCAGATGGGGATTTCTCTGCTGCCGGGAAAAACTACCATGTACATTGGCGAGGTTGGCCCGAAAAAGAAAGTGACGTGGGTTGGCAATGCGGCGCATGAAGGGTAACATGCATTGCTTTGGCTCTTAAATCGATTGAGTTTGTGATCGTCTAAAGAGTTCTAGTCTCCTCTCCTAAATGTTTGATTTCCTTGAGAGAACGCATGCAGCATTCATTGATTTTCACAGATAACTTTTCTTCCACATCAGATATTGGTCCGCCTCCAACGCTCGTTTGACCTTCATCGGCAAAGACGGGAAACGCCAGGAGGTTCGCGGTGGTCCTTTTCAGGTCATCCTAGATTCTGGGTCTTCTGTCACCATGATGACTCCTTATCTCCAGCGCATCGTGAAGAACTCTCTTCCCTGTGGTGCCGAGCTGTCGATCGAGTTCTATAACAATCCTACCGACAGCAAACCGCTCTTCAAGCACGACGTCGATGTCTTCGTGCAGAGTCGCCGCGATCACTCCAAAGGACTGGTTTTTGGCCAAGCTTGTGACCTGGATTTGATGCAGTTGCAGGGGTTCGATGACAACACGGTTGTGTTGGGCAAGGACTGGTTTGAGCAGGTCGAGACCTGGTTCTCGTGGGAAACCGACAGTGTTGGGTTCGTCGCGGGGAAACAGTAGATGGAAACCGACCGTGTCGGGTTCGTTGCGGGGAATCAGTAGGTAGGCGGTTTTCGGAACTTTCTGAAGATGTATTGCTGCGGGGAATGTCAAAATCCTAATTCTGAAAGGAAATGCTGTAGGAGTAGTTACATGCTAGAGCTAATTTGATGGAAGAATATGAAGCGAATATGTAGAAGTAGATAGACCTGAGATGATTCAAGTCTAGGAACGTGGTATGAACGATCAAAAGGTCTAAGTTTATCGTATGATGTATCCTTGAACTTGTTTTTCTTGAATTTGAAAATTTTGAAGTTCTTAGTGAATTCGAAGAAAATCAGAAAAAAAGAATTCCGAGTAAGTATGTAGTCATTTTCTATGAGAGTAGTTAGTTAGTTAGGGAAAGAGTTTTGGATTGCGGTAGAAAAAAAGAAACCTCCTTGAACAGTACTTAATTTTGCACAGTGTAAGTTTTGCCTACTAGTAAGTAAATTTATTCATAATCTATGAACAAGGATAAATTTGGTCAGTCTTTTTGCAAGTAGTAAGGTGATAGAAAAAACAAATCCTGTAAAGTGAACTTGAGTTTTTTTCTTGACTATGTAGGTAAGTAGGGAAACAGGACATTTAGGTATGCAATGAATTAAACAATACTTGGGATGGAAGTCGCAATCCACGGGGGACAAAGAACATTAAAATGAAGGCTTCATTCAACAGGCGTAGCATCAAACAATGCAAAAGTAAGTACACGTTTCAACTGCAGAGCCAATACATCAAGAAAGCTTGACAGCAAGTCATGTGGAGCCCCGGGTCGTGTCGTGACGATGAAATGCAGCCACCGAAAATACACAAACCGATATTTCAGGTCGACCATGCCTCTGATTCCGCCGAGTCGAGGAGAGGACAAGGAGGCACTGCTCGTGCTCAGAAGCTTCAGAGAGCACGCGATAAAATTAGATAAGAGCGAAGAGAAAGGTACTGCACGGAGTAGTAGTATTTCAGTAAACAAAAACTTGACTAAGTGGAGCCAACGCAGATATTAAACCTACGCAAGTGGAGCCAATAGCTTTAGTGCCTGGCGGTCGTGCTCCAGGCTTCCCGCTGGGTAATTCAATGGTCTTAGCGCGGGAAATTGGTGACACAGGTAACAAAAAAAAAGAAGATATTTGTGCGAGCACTGAATGAGTGAGTAGTTGTAAATGCATACATAGTATGCAAATTTTAAAGTCTTAATCGTTCATCACCTCGCCCCTTTTGGGGGCACCCCACAAGAAACAAAATGGCGTTCTGGTTTTTCATGTGCCTCTCAAATGAGGGGCACATCCGTGTTGCGACCTTGCGCAATCACATGTGGCAGAATAATGGCATTCTCAAAGCCTACTATGAAGAGACGCAGCTTCCTGAATGGCAAGCCTTGTCGTGGCCACATCGATTTTAAGGCTCATAGTAATTCATCTCCGCAGAGGACGAGTACCTATTGGTCTCAGTAGCCGTCTAGGATTCTGAGACAAAGAGCTTAATAGAGTATGATGAAAGTCGCCAGGAACACTCTTATGCCATGTATAAAGAGAGAATTATTGTGAGCTCTTGTTTTCGGAAGGTACAAATTGAGTGAACGACCTCAAAACCATTTGGCCACGTGGTATAAGAGGTAATATGACATGACAGCTCTAACGATTACTCCGGTTGCTGTCCTACTTCATGGTTCTGTTGTTCTGTTCGGCATTTGTGTCGATGTGGGGCATGGGCGAGATCGAGGAGATCATCTTGCGCAGACACTACTGCCACAAATCGTGTCTGGTGGCGTCCTTTCCGGATAATTCGGCGTGTACTGTACATTATGGCGCCGGGGTTATTTGGACGAGAGTCCTGAAATAGACTCTTTCGACTATACCTTTTTTAGAGAATACCTGAGACAGAACTCACAGATTGTTTGCTTTTCTTTGATGAGTCTTTCTTCCTCTTTCATTCCCAAGACAACGCACACCGAATCGCGTACCAAGGCAAAGTGTACACGAAATTTTACAACTACACGCTGGCGAGTGCGCAGGCAGCAAACTCCGCAGGTGCGCCAGCCTTAGAGCGGTATCACTCCTGTGTGCACTATGCTGAGCGGGAACCTTTGCTGCCTACTGGATGTGGTACTCGGCGTTACATCGACTCCGAAGGTCGCTGCGAAGCATTGGATGTGTGCTTCGCTGGTTGTCGTGTAACCGAAGCACTCTTGGCTTCTCTGAGTGCGGCTGCTAGTGCGTCTTCTTCTGGATCAAGTGGAACCAACAGCTCTTCCAGTAACAGCACCGCTAGTTCGAGTTCAACATCTTCGTTTGTCCCGTGGACATTCGAGTGTAAGGACGGGAGGCGGTTTCAGCGAAACGCGGATGGCTCAGCTACGCCACTATCTAAACGACGACTAGAAATGCAGCAAGATCTCAAAAGGTTAAATGCATTGCGTATTCCGATGTATGGTGGATTCTCACCTGCACAAGGAACAAGTAGCAGCTTCGACTTGAACGATGCAGGTATTGTTAAGAACAAAGCAGACGCCGATAACGAGGAGGTTCTTAACGATCGGTTAGCTCGGTCACTAGAAGGGATGCGGCTATTTGGTAGTAGTACGCCTTTTGCTGGCTCGGGTGGGGCAGGAATGGAGGTAGGCCTGTCCTCATCGTCAATATCTGGTGACTTTTCGTCCGGCATGATAGGTGCGGTGCCTGTTGGAGGGACTGGTGGAAAGAAAAGAAATGCACAAACTACAGGGGCCGTGGAAGAAGATGCAGATGTCCCATCATCAGGTGAGCAACCTTCCTTTGTCTCGAGAGTGCTTCGTAGGGCAATAGGCTTACCTCCCGTATCGGCTTCTACATCGACAGATGCTGCGGGCAAAATTTGGCAGACGGAAGAAGAACAACATGTGGGCTTAAGCAGAAGAGCCACTTCTGACAAGCAGAGAAACGACGATTTCGTAGAACAAGTACTAGAGGAAACTCAGGCAGCACGTCGGCAACTGCGCAGTTTTCCCGTCAGTGACACGCGACGCGAGTGCACGTCCTTAGCCGAGGCGCATCAGTCTTTGCTCTGTATCCCCTTCCGAGAAGAGGACTACGAGAACTACTATGGCTTAGTGGGTACTTTGTGTTTTGGAACTTGGTGCGTGTCTGCAGGTGCGATTCTTCTCGCTATACTCATGGCTAACGCTCTGCAGTTCGTGTATGAGAACGTGTATCTGTATTTGTCTGTGCTCGACGAAGGGTACGACATTGCGGAAGCCTATCGAAAATGCTTTGCGCAGTTTTTCGTGATTTTCACGCATGTGATCATTTTCATCTGCACCCTGGGACCGTTTCACCAGGCTGCGAGACTAAGGAAAATTGAAGTTGTTTTGGTCACTTTTGCGGCAGCGTTTTTTCTTGACCAAGTAAAAAACGCGTTGATCCAGCCGGTCATTTGGTGGCTGGTGATTCGAAGGTATACATAGCTGCTTCATCTTACGAAGTAGATATTGTTGTTGCATAAATGAAAATGAATCTTTCCTGTTTTGACTCTAAGTAATGGATCATTCAAGAGTCCACCATCGCAAGCTGTGTGATAAGCCAAGGGGTGTCCAACTACCAAGATTGGCACAATGATCACCTCCCAGATGCGGCCGCGTACAACCGGGTATTCAAGAGTACAATGAGGAATATCTACTGCAGTGGGATTTGCAGGAGTCGCTTTTGGACGAGATGCAACGCAGGACTCGCGAGTTTCTAGAAAAACGTCAAGTGTTGATGTTTATAATTGGTCTGGTGGGGTTTTACGCGGTGTTTTTGATGCTTTCGATCGTGATTTCCGATTGTTGGAAGCCAGACGACGGCAGTGAACAGCCAGAGTGCTCCAGCAGTCTGTGTCCTGGGTTGAGCGATGAGGGACGCAGATCGCTCTATTATGCTTTTACCTACACCGATTTCGTGATCATGCTGTTTTTCGTTTTGGAGATTGTGCTGAAGTTTTTCGGTTATGGGTCTGCGTTTATCCTAGACCCGTGGAACGGGTTCGATTCGGTCATCGTAATCGCCAGTTTCATCTGCTGGTTCATTTTCTTAGGCTCAGCTGTGGGCACGACCGGATTGGGCCTGTTGCGCTTGTTGCGGCTGGTCCGCGTCATGGTCATGATTTCGGACTCTCGGAGAAAGCTGAAAAAAGTCACGAAGTCACTGCAGACGCAAGACACAGCAAAAAGCCACGTAGAACGCGTTTTGGACCTCTTGGAGCGGTTACAGAACCTAAAGATCCCTCTGCAAGTGCAACACGACCTGGAATGGGTTGTGGAGGTGATTTTGGAGGACAAGTTGCACAAAGTTTCGGTGGATCACGAGCAAGAACATGACCAAGACCAACCTTACGACTACCACTTCAGCGTCCTCAGCGTCATCCCTGGCCCTTTTTCTACTTGAAAAAGCAGCATCCATAGCGTCATCCCTGGCCCTTTTTCCACTTGAAAAAGGAGCTGCCAAGGATATGTCATTCGGGGAAGATGCTAACGCGGTAGCGCTAATAACCAGGAAGAGCAGACAACACGGATGGCGCCATGACGGCATGGATCCAACAGTTGGGGGATGGAAACAACAACTTGTCAGGCAATGTGGCGACCGGAGATGGAGCGACGGGGGATGCAGGTGAGACTTCATCCGTCGTTGATGTAGTTACTCCATTTAGGTAGTTCATCGACCACGTAGATTAGAAGTCACTTATCCACGGGCAGATTTGTATTCCTTCATTCTTTCGCAACCGAATAACTAGGTGGCGGCAACGTCCGAGGCACGTATGTGGCTCAGTCGCAGGTTCGTGGTAGCTTTGCTGGTAGGGGAAGCATGGCTAATCGATCACGAGTACGCGGTTCATATACAAGGGCTGGTGGAGCTTCTTACACTGTATGATGCTACTGCTCATCGAGAACGAGCATATGGGACGAATGTCGTTCCTAAGTAAGAAGGGCCTAAATGAGGGGAACGGCATTGCCCTATGGACATTCTCAATGAGTAGAAGCCTTCATACACCCGAGTCGGTGGCAGCTATACTCGAGGTGGGAGTGCGGGTGGTGCGGGCATGGCCACTAATGTCCGAAGCATGAGTCGTGCGAGGAGGCCGAGTGAAGTGAACTCGAAACATCAGGTAATTACGAACAAGATGACGGAAAATAGTTTGTTGAGAATATAGAGTTCTCATTCTTGTTGCACTAGTCAAGGAGGATACGTCGGTTGACATCTCCGACATTCTTCATCCATTACGAACCGTTCAAAATTGTCACCACTCCAACAAACCATTTCAATTCCAGGGCGGTCCCGCTTCCGCCGAAGACATCATTGCTCAGTTCCACACGCAGTTGTATTTGCGTAGCAACCTCTCTGCTGGAGAGGAAGAACAGATTGAGACGTCTTTGAGATCTATTTAAGGCTTTCCCTACTCCATCTCCAATTATAGACGCCTCTGTCTTGGGGGGGCCACCTTTGTTCCCATTTAAGGAGAAATATTAAGCTGTAGGACATTTCTACTCAGGATGGATCAGGGTCGTGAGCTCTAATCCTTGGATGAGTGGCATTGCGACATGTGGATGGCCGCAGAAGTCTGCGACGTAAACGCAATTCCTGTCATTTTCCTCAAGTTTTTCATTTGCTACGACCTCATTGGCATTCTCAATCTGGATTTCGACCTGCTGTTCAACTTCTGCTCCTTTGCGCAGGAACGACACAGGCCACAAGTGCCGTTTCACGGTTTCGCACACGCGACGAGTATGGTTATGAAGGGATTGGAAATGCTCGAAGAACGCGATCGGATTCAGAGTCCTCAGCCTAAAAGAACGTCAAGATATCTTACAGCCTTCATCAGCTGAACTTGTCCTAAAATTTTCATCTTGATGAAACTGGAAGTTTCTCCATCTCTAACACCACACAAGCAGTTCACTACTTCCTTCAGCATGGACTGACACAGGGAACGGATTATTTCCTGACGCCGCTTCATAAGTTCACGCTCTTCTTTGGCTGCATGGTGATGTATCTCGAATACCCAGGCCTCAGCAACGAGTTTTTAGTGTCTTTACGGAAGAACGAACTTTTCACTCAGAGAGGAATCGTGTTATTTTACTCCAGACACTGTTGACGCGAGCCGAACACCTATCATCGTGCAGAAGATACCCACAGACAAGAAGATACGTAAAAAAGCTCTTAAGAACAATCTTCATACCACAATAGTCTTCGATTCGCCTCCATTTTCTAATCTCCGTTCGCCATCCACGTGCCATCCGATACAATGATAGAGCCGTAAACCAGAACTACGCCTTGGCTCTTTGCTTTGCAAATCTGGCAGACCCAGAGCTGAACTTCCTCCTCCACGTGCCCAAAGAGACGCAAGAGCTCTTTCGCCGCTTACTCATTGCAACAATTCTTTTACGGAGCCATGATGTTGTAGATTCTATATTTGGAAAGATATTAAGTAGGATGAGGAATAAAATTATGGAATAAACTGTGATGGCTGGAATCTTGAGCTGCGATTCGCCCTCGAACTCCATGTCCCTCCACATTGAGACAAAGTAGAGACCTCATTGCATCGTGACCGTCGTGAATCATTCAATCCTTCTGTCCTCTACACCACTTTCACTCTATATAGAAGTACTGACTTTCAAAAGTCCTCGGTATACCGCATCGCTCCATCCTTCTGCTTCCTTTCTAAGAATCAAAACCGACCTGAGCCAGCACTTTCGAGAAGTGAGCTTGTTTAAAACCAAGCTGGCAGCAAGTTCCGATGGCGGATTTGGTGGCGCTGCAGGTGGAAATAGCGCGGGGGGAATTAGTGGTGCATCAGGCGGATCAAACAACACTCCTGCTCAGGGAATTGCCTTCGAAGATCTCGCTTTGCTGTTGTTATGATGATGAGGGGTTTTGTTTGGTATTGGTTTTTCTTCGAATTCTCCATCTCTTCAGTCACCGTGCTGACGAATGAACTCGCCCATAGCTGCATAAGTATCCTCTACAAGGACCACAATGCTACTCACATACGAGATGAACAAAGCTCGTTCCCTACCCTCCCTCTCTAATCCCCAGTATGACACTGAGACTCCCCACTCTCTCTCTTGTTCTCCCATTCTAATCCTCAGTATGACACTAAAACTCTCCACTCTCTCTCTCTCGTTCGTGAAAAAGAATTCTTAATATTCACTCCGAAAGAACGAAGTAGATGTAGAAGAAAGTTTTCTAATCCCCAGTATGACCCTGAAGCTGGCAGATTATAGCTGGTGTTGTCGGCCACTCCAGCAGATGCTGAGATGGAGCGAGAGGATGCATGATGAATTCTTCCTCCAAGGCGACGTGCAAAAGGAGTTCTTTCCGCAAGTGTCGTCTTTTTTTATGCTTGTTCGTGTTTGAGATTTGAAATATTTGAGACTACTGAAGTAATCAGCTACAACTTGTTCTTCTGACTAACATCTGCGACAGAGACTTCTTGAAACAAATGTTTGAGACTACTTCCCTGTTCCTGGTTATAAATTAATAATATGGAAACAACTCCTACGTAATTAGTAAAAAGGGTTACTGCTACTTACTAAAGTGTGATGAGCCAGAACTTGTTCTATCTTCTATCTCTCTCAACACCAGAAGGAGTCCTCTCATCGTCTAATACCTGCGATAGGGACACAACCGATACAAGCAAAGTCACGCTTGGTTTCATCCTTGTCGTGGCGCAGCCCTTGGCCGTTGCGTATAAGCAGCTGGTGCGGAACGACGCGGCTTTTCAAAAACACGTACTACAAGAAGGGCTTGAAGCAAACCGTGCATACTTGCAAAGCTGGGTTTCATAAAGATTACATGATGAAAGACCTTCTTTTTTGATAGTCTGTAGTGTGGTTTTTGAGTTTGGCCGATAGAAATAGAATTTTGAATGTTTGATGAATCCTTGACGGGTTGCAAACAGCAAGTGCTAGTGCTTTTTTAGAAGCAGTCCTCTTGTAGAAACAAGTGGATTTTTTCGGTGGTCACTATGATGAATATTTTTTGTAAACATTACATTGAGAAGATCTTCGTGACTTAGATTTATTGCAGTTTCGTTTCGTTGACGTTGCACATCCATTCTTGATTGAGACATCTCTTGAGTAAGTAGTTGGTTGATGAGCCAGTGCTTAACTAATGCAATAGCAATGTTGACAGTTAGAATCTTGAATCGATCCTCCTAGTAGGAGGAGGAAAGAAATGTTTCAAGGAACAAAAAGCTAGTCGTAGTTGAGGAAAGGCTTATCAAGGAAGAAATTGGATATCAAAAACTTTTTTATGCAGTGATCAAATTTTTATGCAGGTTGGCTCCAAAATGTTTAAGCAGTAGCTGCCTCTGAGGTTCAGTCCTCACCCTCAGCACAGTAGTTGGTTCGAGTCCGTGTTATATTCTGAAGATCAATAGCTCATACACTGGGAGTTTATAAAGAGGAGGGATGAATGTGTGTCGAGAGGCGAGTGTTGGAGTGGAAACAACTTACCAGTACGTTACAAGAAAGAATATTGTTTATAAGATAAGTTACGACGTTGTTTGACTATAAGTAATTTATTAAAAGACTTGTTTTTGCTGGACGACGACAGGGTGAATAAGACTAACAAGATTCAGTGGACGCATTGGTGTTGTAGTCGCCGTTGACTTTAAAAAGACGATCACAAGAACATGCTTCTTCGCTTTCTTGGTTGACGAAGTGCCTGCTTGCTTACCTGAAGTTCATCGTTCTGGCTGAGGTACCTGCCAACAGGGAGAGGGAGTCGAAGCTAGGCCGACAGGACGAGAACGAAGCAGAGGTTCGGGATGCTTGTTGCTCCTTGTTAAAAGCATGCGAATTATTACCTAGTAACTACAACGAGAACGATACGCGCCGCGGGCTAGTTACGGTTCGATTGGGAAGTGAGCAGAAACACTCTGCACTGCGAGAAGGACTAATCTCAGAACGTGTCACCAAGGTATCTATAAGGTCAATTGGAAAGCACCAGCGGACTAAGACGAAAAGAAGAGCAGGAGTCTTTTCTTGAAGCAAGACGAAAAGTAGAGACGACAACCTCATTGATCGAGACGACAACCTCAACATCAACTTCAAGGACGCCTAGTCAAGCTATCCTCGAAAATGGTAGAAGGTGGTGCCAACGGCTGGACAGCGGATGCTGTTTTTGGGAGCATGAAAACCAGCGCCCTCACCTACGACGATATCATTTTGATGCCAGGACATATCGATTTTGGGGTACTTGTGTCTGACAAGCAAGTTGTATCCTATTATCACTCTGAAATGCCAGGACCTGACTTACGCTGGAATTGTACATATCACTCAGGTAGAAGACGTGGATATGTCAACGAAGATTACACGCAACATCGAAATCAAGACGCCTATGATTTCCTCGCCTATGGACACGGTAACGGAGAGCGAGATGGCCATATCAATGGCACTCTGGGGTGGCATCGGAATAATACACTCCGTTATGGATGCGGAAACACAGGTAGAACGCCTTGCGTGTCTGTAGATGGGTGCTTCGCAATGGTTATGATCATGGTAACTAAGAGAAGAATGAGCGTACAGCGTGACCTAAAAAAGATCATTGTGGATCGTGACGAGGACTTGGCACTTTTCAAGTAAAGCCTGACACGTATTTTTACAACTACTTCAACAGGCTTCGCAGATATCAGCAGTGAAACGATACGAGAACGGATTCATCATGGACCCGATATGTCTCGCTCCGCACCAAACAGTGCGGGACTTGGATAAGATCAAAGAAATGCATGGGTATTCTTGTTCATCTTGAAGAATTTTTGTCTACTGAATGACGCTGGCGACGTTTTTCAGAGACTGGTGCCATCGGAGCTCAAGTTTGTTATCGACAATAGATGAATTAGAACCACTCGAAAACTACAAGTCCTCATGGTCGGCCCCAATGAATAGATTCATGATTCTCTACTAGTATCGCTACTCTACAGATACTCATCAGCGCCAATAACGGCAACGGGAGAGCTTGGAGGGAAATTGTTAGGCATTGTAACCTCTCGCGATATCGATATGCTGGATGACAGGAATACCAGGCTCAAAGATATCATGACGACAACCCTAGTCACCGGAACTGAGCCAATTAGCTTGCAGGTAGTACAATGTGCATTGTGCACTTTTTGAAAATGGATTATCTAGGCTTTTTCGATTTATTTCTAGGCTTTTGCGATTGTGACTTCGCAACTTTCTAGGGGATCGATGACAGTACTACTTTGTGTCGGCATAAATCGATGCCTGGTGTTGTATGAAAAACTGTAACTATTTTCATTCAAAAATCAACTTCACAAACACAAATTCTCTGCACACCCAGAAAGCGAACGAGAAGTTGCAAGATAGCAAAGTTGGGAAGTTGCCGATCATAAACAAAGAAGGGGACCTTGTCGCAATTGTCACTCGCACCGACTTGAATTATGACAACTTCTTTTGGACTAAGTAGTATTTCGAGTACTCGTACTACTAGTCTACTACTACGTACTAGCGTGACTAAATAATTCTGTAGTTGCTCTGGACGATTATTTAGGAGGTCTTTCGTTTTGAAATCAGGAGTCTTCAAGGAGAATACAACGTCGTTTCTTCCATCTCCTGAAAGGTCCCGTCATTCTTTCCTCATAAGATTGGGAGGATTCCCTTCTAACTCACGACGAACCGTGACTATCCACTTGCCAGCAAGGATGCGAACAAGCAATTGCTTGTGGCCGCGGCTATTCCTGTGCATTCACATGGCGACAACGACGACGCTTATCATAGAGCGCAAGCCTGTGTGCAGGTTATGGGAGGGTCGTGTAAGTGTTCTATCGACCATGTAGAGAAGTCAGACCATGTTTGTTTTTTTTTCAGGGGAAATCAAGCGTGCCTGTGATGAATAGAGTATGTGCCTGTGTGTGTGGTGCGGAGTGCATCTCTCTTTGGCTAGCAGAAGTAGTCATCTCTTCCCAGTTGGTTCTATTGGCCAACCTCTAAGCAAGCGGGTGCAGATATCCTGTGTCTCGACTCCGATCAGGGTGACTCACAAGGCCAGATCGATTTTTTGAAGAAGATAAAGAAACTCTATCCAGGCATCGACTTAATTGCCGGAAATGTAGTCAGTTGCAGGCAGGCAAAGGTAGGGAATCTCTGCTACGACCTCTTCATACAACTTTCAACACTTCGTTCTTTCATCTTAGTCCTCTTAGTGATGAAGCTTTAATGGTATAGACTAGATATGTTTAAGAAGTAATCGTCCCATCAAGTAGATTCTGCACCTACGACTTTCCTCACCCTGTGACTTTTTCTTCAATTATGTAAATTTCTTCTACGTCTACCAGCCCTCCTCTCTACCCCATAATGTTAATTTGTACAATACTAGGCGCTTCTCGACGCCGGTGCGGATGCTCTAAAGGTGGGGATGGGCGCTGGGTCATCAGCGATCACTGGCGACGTAGCAGCAGTTGGCAGACCTCAAGCAACAGCCGTTTACTCCGTCGCAAAATTATGAAAGGAAAAAGTGCACTCACACTCAGGAAGTTGGCTAGGATTGAAGTAAGCACGGAGCTACTTTCTTGAGTGCTGTGAGGGCACTTTTTCCTTTCATAAAAATATGCCCGTGATCACTACGGGATACCTGTCCTCGCAGACGGCGGCGTAGGCAACAGTGGACAGATGATGAAATTATGAAGAGATCGCTACAACACAATTCCAACAACCCGTATTTTTCTAATTCAAGCCGTAATATCCTTAGACGCATATAATTCATCCTAGGTTCTTCCCTCCAATCAATATCCTTAGACGCATCTTCAAGAGCTACACACCCACTTTCTAATACAAGCCTTGTCCTTAGGAGCGTCCGCGGTGGTATGTGGCAGTTTACTTGCTGGCACAGAGGAGGCGCCGGGCGACTACTTCTACCACAATGGACTGCGCGTAAAGGCGTTTAGAGGTACTTCTAGAATTCATTACAACTGATGACTATGAGGATGAGCAGCTCAGCGGGATAATCAAATTATAAAGTAGCCAGCTGATTCAGACTCTCAGCGTCGCTGTGAAGGAAATTTCGTTTTCCTATAGGGGCCCCTACAACGATTTTGACGCATATGTATCCAATTCTGGATCAGGTCTTATGATTTGATACTACCAATAAATTCTGGATCATGTGTTATGGTATCTATCGTTTATTTAGTCTCCACTACCTGAGACCTCAGGTGTTCGCTCGAATCCTAGCAATTCTGGAGGTGGCGGAAGTGGCGCCCATCTGAGTCCTAGCATGCGATTTAGTAAGCAGCATGCAACACTTCACGGGACAAGAAGATCAAGCCAAAACGGCCTTGGTGGCGCTTCTGCTGTTAGAACTGGCGTGGCTGGCGCTGTCATCGACAAGGTATTAAGAATTTGAGAAACACTTGCGAATTTATAATGATATCATTCGTCTCTTCGATCTTGATTTTCGTTTTTATGCTTTGTCATTTACACCACAATTCATGAGGTGGTCGACACACTTCTAGATCCCCTCAAAAATCAAAATAACTTCGCAACTGACTAAAAATAGGGCACCGTGAGTTCGTTGATACCGTATTTGCTACAAGGGGTGAGACATGGAATGCAGGACTTGGGAGTGAAGACAATCGGCGACATGCATAAATCTTTGCACAGTGGAGACATTCGCTTCGAATGCCGCTCAGCAGCCGCACAAAAGGAGGGTGCCGTTCACGACCTCGCTTCTGTGCCGACTAAAGTTAAGACTGTACTTTATCACTATCCCATCATGTAGAGTATGGATGCTGGGTGGAGTTCCCCTTATGTTTTAGATGAAAAACTAAGGGGAAAGCATGCAGTATCTCACTCAGCCAAGGATAGTGAAAGACTAGTGCTAATCAAGGCGACTCAGGCAGCAAGTCACGCATCGTATCGCTGAATAATAAATGGATGTAGGAGGAGGATGAACATGACCAAGCAGTCCTATAATTTCGAGCTGCAGCCTTATTGGCCGCAACTACTAGACATAAATAAAAATAATACCACTCTCATCTACGCACTTGTATAAAATTGAGTTCTTGATGGACGACGCGGGTAAAATGATCCTGTAGTAAAATGATCCTGTACAATTTCGACGTACAACTACATGGCCCAGCACCTGATCTGTGGGTTGGCGTGTGGGTTATAGTACCCCCATACTGGTCATGCCTTCAATCTTACACATTGGATAAGAAAGCATAATAAGACTATGTAATTTTGATTCCTCGTTAGACGAGCTCCACCGGAAATAATAAGGCTAAGACAAGTCCTCAGGGACTGATATTACTTGGATGAAATGAAAATGACTGGGGTTGTTGAAGTTGATATTCTCGAAATCAGAAGGAACGGAGCTATGTCTTGACCGTGACTCGGGGACCTTGAATGCCGACGTGTACCGTGTGTTCTAAGGTGTCCGTTGATGGCTGAGCTGTACTTCTACATTTGAGAATGAAGTAGACCGACGATATGAGCAATTACGTAGAATGAGTGAATCATTTGAATGATGAGTGCAGTCGCCCCCTACACTGACGAAAGGACGTGGATTCGTTCTCACTCTAGTAGGCACGACATTTGTGACACGGCCGTGAAAGCTTCTGTTAGGAGCCGCCGAAGTCGACCATTGAATTGAATTGATGAGTGTAATTCATCTTCGAGTTGTGCACATCAAGTGAGGCCCAACATCATGACGACCAGCTTTATCAGGCGTGTGAATGGCGCATGGCCGACTCGTCCGCCTGAGTCAAAATTTGTATTTCATCGATGCAGAATCAGCGAGCCAATGGGGTCGACTAGAAGGACGTTGAGGACATTATCTTTACGGCATGTTCTTCTTCATGTTGTAATGCTTTTACAACTAACTTTTGTCGTCGCGACAACATCCAAAGCCGAAGCTGCTGGATTCAAACTGAGTATTCTCAGACCTCGGGGCAAGTCCCGTGGCAAGGTTGTGCGATGTTTTTCGACACCCGCTTTGAGCTATCGCGCGTGTTGTTTACGGCAAGAAGCGCACTGCTTTCCAGGTGACACGCGTGAAGAAGTCCTGCAAACCTGTTGTGGCACTGGACGCATTTTGGCCGTGAATGACGTACCAGCTCACTTGGGGAACCTGGTAACTGCACTCGTCGATATGAGTTACATTGCGTATCGGACACAACGGGTCTTGTGGGCGCCCATTGACGAAAAACTCTTTCAAGGAGTGTTTGACGATTTGAGTGCTTGGTATGGAGAGTTGCAGCATAAGGAGAACAAACATGAAGTTCTTCTAGAACAACAGTATGCTAACCTTCAACATGAACAACCGCAAGATTTCCAAACCACTGCCACTTTTCTGCTCAAACAGGAAAATAGCTACTTTTTGTGGCTGTTATTGCGAAAACATTTGGATCGAACCACTACGGCGACAAGAACTAGATATTGGGCTAAACGGTTGATGACACAGCGCTTTGGTGATCGGACAGATGCTGCGGTACTTGCGAATGTCAGGAATGAAACTCTTCTTGACGTTAAGCATAGTAGTAGTGGTCGTACTTCTTCTGGGACGTCTTCGAGGACGCCTTCTGGCAAGAACAAAAGCAAGTCTAGAAGAACAAGGGCGCTTGTTTCTGAGCAACTATCATCTGGTTTTTTAGAGCAGCTCGAAGAATCGCTGAGCCGGAAGATTGTTTCTACCAGTGACGAAAGTTCGAAGGAAAGCTTTCCAGTACTACGAAAGCTCCGCTTATCAGAAGCTTTGCGTCAGCTTACGCTTAGATGGGAGCGAGAAAATGTAGCTCTGCCAGATGTTGTTATCGGTCGAAGCTTTTTTCACACTGGTTGCATCCACATGCCCGTTGTCGACATCGCTGGTGGTGGGCGGGAAGGCGTCTTTCGCTTCAGTTTAGACCAACAAGGTGCCGAAACGAGTCCCGCAAAGCTCATCCTGATCTATCAGGGTCTGTATCACGATCACTCGTTGGACACGATCATGCAACTACATCGCAAAAACCAAATCCTAGCCGATCCGACTACAAAACAATTACTAGAGTCGTTTCCGACCCAACTGATAGATCCGAGTGCAGCCTCAACGGCCCTAGAAGGTGACAGCGACAACAGTGGAATCGGAGACCGAGAGAACAAGCGTGAAGTGGTGTTTTCAGGACATTTTCCGGATTCGTATCCTACCCATGGTCGTGAATTGACGAAATGGAAAGGACCAGAGGAAAAAAAACCCGAGAGCGAATATGATGCGAAAATCATCTCTCGGATAGATGAAATGTTACGGCTATGCTACAACTTCAATTAGTACTACGTCATCTCACATGAGATTGACTTCGACATCAACATCTCACTTCAGACTTTTCATGGATTCTCAACAAAACAAAGTATCTATAAACTCAAAAACGAATTCCTCAACAAAAGTAGCTATTTAGTGCACTCGAAAACGAATACTTAGCCTTCATCTACCATGCAAATCTTCCAATCCAATTGTCTAATCCAAGACTTGCATTACATGCTTCTTCGAGATCGTTGGGTGGCTCGCTTTCCTAACATGGTACGCCTAACGGGTGAAGACGCCATTTTAGCTTGGGACGAAGTTGTCTCCCCACTCCCGACAAGCAAAGGCTTTGTCTCAGAAGATCGTCGTGGATTACCTTTGTCGCACGAGGATGCTGCCCACCTGAGGAAGTTGATCTTGAAGAAGTTTGTGAGAGAGGTTGCTAGTGCTAGGATGGAAGGAAATAGAGCTGAAGATGATGACACAGCAGGTGAGTCTACTCTTACTGGACGAATTACCGAACAAGAAGAACGCCTACAACGAATAGAAGTTGAACAGTTCCAAACCCTTCTTTCGACTGCGTCTGTATCAGACATAGATTAAGGGTAGGTTAAAGGTGCTTTTCTTACCGCTTTTTATGCCTCTCCTAAGGGAGAACGGCATAAAAAGCGGGGTAAGCGAGCACCAAAAACCTACCTCTAAATAGAGAACCTCTATCGGTTCCTCTACGAGCGTGGAGCGCCGTCCCGACAATTGCCTCCAGGCTTGATTCAGGGTTTTCTCCCTAGCCAATGCGGCAATCCAGACTGGGGCTCGCGTGAAGGAACTGCGCATGAATTTGGTTCCAGGCAATACGAATTTCTGTTTCCGCGGAACAAAGAAGTTGCGCTCTCATCACCTGACGTGGAACTACTACACAATGACGACGTTTTCCACCGTCTCAATGCTCAGAGAATCGATGCTTTGATTGGACACCAACGACCCTGTTTATTGGAGCGGTTTTTGCAGTCTAGGATGTTTGAAGACCACAAATGCGTGTTGTTACATCAAGTCTTCCACTTTGTGGATTGGACAGTGGAGGACAACTCGTTTCGGCAGACTTTCTTCATGCTGTTATGGACAAACGTCGTGGAGAAGAATATTTTGAGACCGCATTTGGGAGCTCTGTATAGAGGAGTGGTTGCGACGGGTAGGACTGCGAAGGACATCAAGGATGAAGATGAGACAAATTTAGCTGCTGGTGAAACAAGAGCTTCAACATCCGTGATTGGAAGCCTTGGCAGCTTTGAGACTACTGCTGCGCCGGAAACGGAGGAATCTTCAGAAATTACTAGGGCAATGCCTTCTTCTGTCACCTTACTGCGTCGACTTCTAGACTTCGTCATTCACAAAGGCGTGATCGCCGTGCATTTCCGCGGTGCATGGGGTTTTCAGGGTGTGGGACTGCAGATACTGGAACAGGTGAAAGCGACCCAGATTCGGACTGTCTATATAGCCACGGATAACACACGCTTTGCGCACTTTAGACAGTTGGTAGACATGTTGCGGAACGAGTACCAGCTGACAGTGATGTCATCGGAGATATCGGACGAGATAAACAAACTGGAAAAGCAGGAAGCTGCGCACCAGCGGAATGTTAGAAAGGACGATAATATTGAGACCAACGGTGAAAAGTCTAAGAACTCCTACGTTGACCAGAACAAGGTAGTGCCGCAGTTTGATAATTCCGATTTCTCAAGATCTGATGGTGAGGCGTCACTTGGTACTGGTGCGATGAAAGTTTCAGAAGCCGCTGCGGATCTATTTGTTGCCGATGAGAAGCCACAACGAACGACCGATGCAGCAAAGCCTGAATCTACAACTACGGTGGTCGATGAGGAGGCCGAGTTTTTCGGTGATACAGCGAGGCGCGAGATCGCAGCTGAGGACCAAGTTTTCAATACCGCTATCCCATGGCAAAAGCACCATTTAGAAGCTTCAAGAGGGAAACTCCCCAATCTGGCACTCTACATCGACCTGTGTGTCTGCTCGCTCGCACGTGTCTTCGTTGGGCAACCGCTGTCTTCATTGTCGGAGCTGATTGTGAACTTTCGTGCGGTACTGCGGAAAACCTATGGAAACCACCCTGAAGGTGCGAAGTTTGAAGCAAGCATTGTAGAAGATGAGTTGCATCCGATGAGGAGTCAGAAGTGGCGGGATTTTCTTAAACAACGATTTGAACTGAAAAATCGTGGTAGTGGAAAGATAAACCACGATATCTTGGTGGCGTTGTATGAGAAAGTGTTTTCCTTCGCTTCGGGAGGACACCTCCTTCGTCAAGATAAGGACTCTTCTACCGAAGCTGCAAGCACCCTTACAGCCTCCCGTGGTGAACTCTTTCTTCGTGCTGCACCAGAGATTCTGCCTGCCAAAGAGATTTACCCACTTAATTTCTATTCCGCCGACGAAATGGTTTCCGGGAAATGGTTACGGAATTTGATACAGGCTTTACAGATTGCAGGAGCGACTACGACTTCTGGTACAGAGCAAAAGGAAAGTGAAGGTTCTGACGACGACGATCCAACTCTAGTTTTCCGCGACCCACCACCATGTGAAATCCGAGACCCGATACCAAGAAAGTTTGACATGAGACTGGCCAATTTTTGGACCATACAGAACGCGCAAACTGGAGAACAATATAAGAGGGAAAAAGTGCGGATTATTCCGTTACTGCAATCGCCTAGACTGAATGTTACCGAGGATGGAGATTTGACGTCGATGAATCAGATGCAGCTTCGAGATGAGCACCTCCAAGACGAGGCTCCCTTAGATCCCTATTCCTTTGATCTCGCAAGAGATTGGTCTGGAGCGACGGTTTTTGCGGCGACCTTTTTTGTCGACCTGGGCAGGCGAAAATGCCACTCTATTGGACTCATGAAACGGTTGCGATTCGTCCTACTTTTTTTACTATTGGGGAATTACCTGAGAGAAGAATGCGTGCGAGAACTAGGGATATTCGGGTACTTGACGTATTTGGAGATTTACAACCAAGGTTTAGGAGTGTGGCGATTTTTGCGAAAATTCGTGGTCTCTCCTTCGCCAAGAATACAACTCGAATGGGTATCTTTGTTGAACTTGTTACGAATGTTTTTGCGAACGACAAGGTGCCGAGGCCAATATTTGAAGACATTCTCTAATCGCGCTTCAGAGGATGACGACTACTTGCATGCTTTTTATCGACCAGAGGCGCCGTTCTTCAAAAAGAGTCCGATACTTAAGGCTCAATATATTTTTGTTAGGTTTAATCTTTCCCTGGTGCTTATGTGGCTCTCATCTGGTCTTGCTTACTTCAGCTCTTCTAGCGTGGTACCTTCTCTTGAGGTTTTACTTAACTACAATTACCAATACTAACGGTTGTTCCTTCATTTCTACAAGTCATTTCTCCCTATTTCCTTATGTAGGCAAGAAATGAACTATGTTTTGAGCTCTAAAATACGGCAAAAGCTGTTGCTGGAGGAACATGTTCAGCGGGAGCATCTAGATGGGAGGGCGATATACTTGGCGCCGGGTGTGGATCTTAGGCGAAAAAGGCTTGGAGGAAAGCCAGAAGGCGCTGCGTCGTCGGAACAAGTTGTGGAGTGTTTACCACGCGACGCAGCTTCCGGTGTCACGCCTAGTACCAGACATCACAACATCAATGTCCCTTCTTACTTTCACGGTCCTACGCCTCTAGATTTGCAGGTATTTTTTCCAGGTGGAGGGGTCGTCCCTGATCCTCTGCGTCGACAACAGCATTGGGCACTAGGTGAGCACGACCCGTCCTGGGGTCCGGTGAATGGCGTTCGGGACATGTTCGGGGGACCGGTGAGGGATTTTCGACCAGGTGAGTTCTGTTCATCCGAGAATCACGGTCGTGAGGGTGAGGAGTACAAACACCTTACGATAATACGAGAGAAGGCAGAGAGGGAAGCACTCGATAAAGTATCTGAAAGCACTAGTACGAGGACGACGACGAGTAGCAAGGAAGCCGTGGATTACCTCCAAAACATGCTAGAAACGCTTCAGGCTTGTGGTGTTGTACGGAGTTTCGGGAGCAGTGCTGGTTCAAAAACTACTTCGAGACAACTAGACTATTTCGAAGTGGATCTAGATTTCTTACGTGTCCAACGACTCTTTGGCGTCATCATCGATGAAGATGAGACCGTCGTTGCTCCTGAGGGCGACGGGGACCAGGATGAAAGTCTTCAGATCAGTACGATGAGGATAAAACGACTGTTCGACCTCCAAAAAGAACAGCAGAGAGGAGCGTCAACTCTTGCCAATTGGTGCCGGCAAACGGTTCATCATGTGGTAGATGAGCGCTTATTCGGCCTACACTTCTCAGACTCATCGGAGCAACAAGAGCAAGGAAAGAATACTCCAACTCCTCCTACTGCTGCTACTGGCTACAGCTATAAAGTTGCTAGTGTCTCAAGAAGAGGAACGTCAACTGGAGCTGTCGAAGTCGACTCTCTGAAGCAACTGCGTGTCCGTACTGTACAGGTGCCGTCGCTCACGCCGCAGCAAAGCAGAGAAAAGGGTCGACCTCTCTTATGTCAGCAACATGTGAATGTCGTGTGCTTATAGTACTTAGAAGTTTTACTGTTTTGTGTTTCATCATTATTGAAACAGAGAAGAGACAGGAAAACCTGCACTGGAACGGTCGAAAGACCACTAACAATCCAGCAACAGGCTAGATTAGCGGGTAGAAGTCGCCGGGGAAATCTTAGGCAGATCGCCGAGTAGATAAACACCACCAGGAAAATCCGCGCCATACGGCCGGAAGTCTGACACTACCCCACTACACACGCATAGCTCTAACTCCCGACGCCCTTGATGTCGCGCTAGCCCATGCTTTACAAATGCTTACCTTGGCTTGCTTCCAACATCCGTTGATACAACTTAATGCTGAAGGCTACGTGCGCTTCTTGGAGCTCTGGAACGAGAACAGTTTTACCCAGCATGGCGCAACGACGGCGCGTAGTATCGAGTGTCCTGCTGAAAACGCATGATTTTGAACAAATTGTTGTATTTTTACTATCTATAATCACTGACATATTGAATTTGAAATGAGTAGCCCCTGTGAAGCATTAACTGATGATTGACTCAATTATAGCTTTGTGGTGAAATCGAAAACACAAAAAATACGACTCCCAAAATAATCTCATACTTCCATGACTGAACTGGATGAACTACAACGGTACTAGCTTTTCGAGACGACCCATTTGAGTCTGAATCTTGCAGAGATTACTGTCGTGGAAAACGTGACTTACAACTCTAGTTGAAACTCTTTGAACTGCGTTTTGGGCGTGCTGTGGAGCAGTTCTGCAAGGACTGTTGAAAATGACTGGAAGGCGCAAGAAACAAAATTATGCACAAGGGTGAGAGTGAGAGGAGAGTCAGAAGAAACCGGATTTAGAAGCATGGCAGGTTTCGACTCGCGTCCTAGCGGCAGCCCGTCACTCCTTAGTGAAAAAACTAGGTTCCGCACGGAAAACGACAGAAAGATGAGTTTAAAGATTATCGCGTCACACTTTATCCATGAACGACAACAAAGAGTGCAATTTCAAAAAATTTTGAAATCGATGGATTTATGCGTTCCGGATGTAATATTTCCAAGGTTGTAGTAGATTCTTGTTGAAGTTCAGAAACCTTCAGCAATGTCCGAAGCCATCGTCTGTGAGACGGACGACGATGGCCTTAGCCTCGTCACTTTTCAAAGTGAGCCTGTTAATGCCATGACCCTAGCGTTCTGGGAAAGCTTGACAACGGTTTTGGAGAAGCTTATAAAGGACGACAATGTGAAGGGGATCATGTTCCGGAGTGGGCTCCAGAAAAACGTACTAGTACCTTTATTTTTTATCGCAACATCCAGAGGTCTTCACCGCTGGCGTCTGCATCAAAGATACGCCTTACACTCTTTCATCAACAGGTCTTCACCGCTGGCCTTTCCATCGAAGAGCTGCATGTACCGGCAACTACACCGGAGAGAATGAAGAAATTCTGGTTCACCTTTTCCAAGGTGCTCATAACCATCTATTACGGGTTGCCACATTGCATCCTTCACTGCCGTCCTTGGCTCCTTTTCAAGAGGGAAATAGGTCAAGGATGAGGCGAGGAATGCAACGTCGCAACCTCTAACTCTATCGGTGTCCAAAGCCCACTATTGCCCTAGTAAATGGCGCATGTCCGGCTGGGGGATGCGGCTTAGCACTGTGTTGCGATGCACGCGTTATGACCAAGGACTCGGCCATGGGCTTAAATGAAGTGCAGATAGGTACTTCTGAGAGTCATACCGTCGCTGTTATGTTGCTCTTGAATGAAGTGCAGATAGGAACTAACTTTCAAGAAAATTTACATTATGCTTGTTGTAATCAGTCCAGTAGGGAGGTATTGAGTCATTGTTTCTTACATCTGCTCGCTGAGTATTTCGTAATTTGTTTTTGCCATTGCTCATTATTTCTCTTTCTCCCACACTTTGTCCCACTCTAAGGTACTATTGCCGTGCCTCATTTCTCGTTCCCACACCTCCCACTCCAAGGTATAGCGGTCCCACATTTCTGGTCGAAGTTGATGTATTCTGTATTTGGCCCTCAGTATACGGAGAGAGCCTTGTTGACAGGGAAGATGCATAAAGTGCCCGAACTATTGGAGTTAAGGCTTGTTCCTGCAATCCGCAAAACTCAGAAGAGATTCAGGGAAGTCGTGGGACAATTCCGAACCGACTAACATCATCGTCAGCACATAGTACATCGATCTTGGAAGAGCTCCTGTCCCAAATATAGGGGAAAACAAGAAGAGACTCGACATGTTGAATCCCAAGATCGATGGACGACTAGGGCCGTGCAACGTTAGAGTCTATTGCCGAATAGATTCGCTCCATCAGGGTCGTGCGCTCTAATAGAAATGAAGGCTGTAGATTGCGTCGTGGAACATAGGGACGCGCTAGTTGGAGCCGGCAAAAAATACTGGCAGAAAGTCTACATGCCTCTACCGGCAGAAGCTTATCATTATGCTGCGATGATCATTGATAGGGATAATCTTAATTAGATACTGCTTACATCATTGGAGTTTTTCTTTCTTTTCTTAGGTGTATCCCTTCAGGCAAAAACAAAATACTGCTTACAGAGGAGTCATTTTGCAGCGATGATCATTGCTAGGGACGATTAGATTTATAGATACTGCTTGTTTAATCTCCTTTCTAACGGAAAGCAACCAAGGAGGATCTGCGTGGGACGTTAGCGGACTCTTGGCTCTCAGGGCTAGAGATGGAATTCGAGGCCGCCAAATCGTTTTTATCACGCCCGAAAACTATCGAGAACCTCGGCTTCGTCAGACAGATGCTGGCAGCGTCCGGTGGTAGGAAGAAAGCTCCTTCATCTTCGAGTAAGATGTAATGGTGGACGAGGACCTTGTATTTTACGATGTAGAAGGTGAGACTAAGTTGTCAAATTGTGCTTATCGATTTTCAGAGACTGCTTCTGGGAGATAAGTGCATATCTCAAGCTAACGCTTCATTCATGTTCTGATTCATATTGTTTGCTTATGACTGACTTCTTTAAAATTGCATGAAGATGGGCTAGGATTATTTTCCTACACGACGATGTTCTTCTTCTTTTGGGTGGATCTAATAAGTCTTCAAAGTAACGTCGTCCTTCTACTATCAATTTTCCTTGACGTTGGACGCCCTGAAGTTTTATCTGGCGACATCAAGTCAAAACCAAATGTTGATGCAGTACGTAAGGATGACTGCAACAATCTTCTGGTTCTGATACCGTGAAATTTCCAAGTAGTAGGATAGCGAATCAACCGAGTTGTAAGCTAGAGAGTTCTCTTAAGCTATCGACTTCGTCGTTCTAGGGCGTTCGTTTCTTTCTACAGTTTTTCAAGTTCAACATGACTCTGGTGTACGCGCTGACTTCGTGGTCTTCAAGGAAGTAGCGACTTGTTACTTTCATCTCTTACAACTCCTACTCGATGCTTCGTTCTTCGCTTTGATTCAGAAATAATCCCGATCGAGAACTTGTTAAAATATATCGCTACTTCGTTCTTTCGAAGTCGGAAAGAAACGCAGCACCACCTTGTCCCGCCACGACAAGCAGAACTCGAATTCTATTTCTTGCCATCGTTTGCTTTGCTAGTGCTACAGCAGGCTTCCTTGTTGTCGTGTTCGATTGCCATCGATTGCCTTTGAATGCTACTTGATGTCGATGGACGCGCTGTGTTGTAGCGCACCTCTACTGCGGAGCAATCTACATTTCGGTCGATCGCATGCAGGCGGACATGAGGAGTTTCATTAGTCCAGAGAGAACAAAACAATTTAGGACAAGCCCGCCGCCGCCGCCAAACGGCCGAGCCGGGTCCTCGTGTTGTAACAATGTTGTTCTTTTAATAAATAGGTACATTAAAAACTGGAGATCAGCATAAGATACAAAGATGGCGTCGTCAGTTGCCGTTGCTCCGCACTACTACGTCACACCCAAGAGCATTTCTCGGGTGGATGCTAAGGGAGAGGCTTCTTCGGTACACTTCACTTGCACATGATTGTAGGTAGAAGTTACAACGTCTTCAAATAAATGTTGAGTAGTTTTTTTAGCACCCTTTGAATGACATTGACATAATTGACATGATAGAAGATCGGTCACAACTTACTATCCTCCGCCGAACAGGTCGACAGTGATGACTTACGAAAGGAGAGATATGATGACCTACTACACCAAGAGGCGGAGTATGAACCCACGCGACCGGCAACGGCCCCACCACGGCGTGCGCCTCCGCGAAGACGGAGCTTGGTCGGCGGTGTCGACGTGAAAAAGAAGGCTATGGCTGCTATAAGAATCAAGTTGTAGTTGACAGACGAGGATAAGTTTCAGGAGCTTTTTTACAACGACACTTATAAGTAGATCATGTAATAAATGGATGATTTTCATCTTCTCCGCGTCTAACCCAACCCAACAAGATCGAAATGTGGAGCCCGAACAAGTCTACGAATTTCTCAAGCGAAGGAGACGACTGCCAAAAACAGCTAGACTCCCTTCACCGGTGGGAGACAAATCTAGACTCCATGAGACGTATGAAGACCGTGTGTTAAAATGGGGCAGTCAGCCAGGGGCTGCTTTTGGTATGACAATTATTTTTACAAAGATAGTTTTCTAACAAACTTTTAGCAAAAGATACAAGAAGATACAAGATGCAAGATAGCAAAAGATACAAGATAGTTTTCTAACTTTATTCAGGGAGAATAAGTTTCTTGAATTCTAAGGCCAATGAGATTGTTAGATTTCAGTTTGAGTTTCCTCGTTTGGCTTTTTGTCAATTTCATCTGATCAAATGTTGAGACACTAACCTTGCATAGACATCAAATAAGTACATGAAGATGGGGATTCTAGTCAATGATCATGAACAATCTGTTCCAACGCACTACCATTAACTTTCACGCTCATTCTATCTTCAGGCACCGCCGTCGCTTCCTCTTCCTCTGTAGCTTCTTGGGAGCGACGGTTGCTTGCCGCGTTAGAAAAACTCGATAACCACACGACACGGCCGCGTGGTGTTGCCGAAGTGCGACAAGTGATTCAAATGCTTCCTGGCGAACAAGCAGTAGGAAAGTTCCAGCAACTCTGCTTTGACCGGCGAAAGCCAATGGGCAATCAACATGCTCAGAGGGAGTTGTTGTTTTTTCTTCCTACTCTGGCAGCTGCTTTGGTGCAGAAGCGGACACGAGGCTTTGATCCGGGAAGCAGTTTGACTGCGAGACTACGGCATGGCTTATCGTTTGTCTTGTCGCACTTAGCGGATGAGAAGTTGCATGCGGCTGTTGCGAGATGCATAGTCGAAACTTATCGAAATTTGAGCGGCTACGAGGATGCGCCTCACCTGAGTTGCGACGGCGGAAGAAGTACAAGAGCTGCAGCGAGGAGGCGGAAGAAGAAATACAGACAAAGTGGTGCTGATTCGGAAGAAGAATTATCAATGAGTTCAGACGGCGAGGAAGGAGAAAGTCGAGAATTTTCGCCAGAACGTGGAGGTGGTTCAGGCGATGTCCAAGACGTTTTTGCTGTATTTAGTGCAAGTCTCACCGAACGTTGCAAGCGCGGTCACGGTAGAAGCTTGACAGAACGGCGCGGATGCTTGCTTGTTCTGCAGCAATTGATCTCTTACATCACTGCTAGTAGTACGGGAGCGAGTACGTTGGAGCAATCGGCTGCGACGGAGAGTCTCCTGGCGCCACGCATGGTTGGTCAGATACTGCATTTGATTAAGACCTCGCACGAACTCCACGAGCCACTGTTCACGTTGACAGCTCTATTACTGGAACGTACGAAAGGGAAAAGCTTCAGTTTGCAGCAAATGACCTTGCTGATCGCGATGCTGGTAAAACACTTGTCTGGGCCATCAGCGAGACCAGACTTCGTGCCTAGAGGGATGGAGGAGGAGGTAATTTTCAGATTAATGCACATAAGTACATATGTTTTCTTTGAATCATGGTATCTATACTTACTTGGTTAGATTTCTTCAAAGTGCGAGAATGAACTGAATATTGATTTCCACGATGACTATTGAACACCTAGGTTCCAGCCCCAACTGGCCCCGGTGGTTCCGCTTTACCCGAAGAGTTTTGGCTCACCCGCGACTTAGCCGTAGTCTGCTCCGCTGTGCTTGGACAGGTAGGCAAGGTTCTCCTCAAAAGCAAAAGCGAAGATGCCCGAGTAGTAGAGGAAAACCGCACGTTGGTTCTGGCGACGATAAGCGAAGACAATCTCGACTTGTGGCGATTAGCTTCAGGTAGAAGTGGCGCTGCTTTACGGAAGAGTCTCCGTTTTTGCATAGAGGTCTGGAAGAAGGACGATGTGAGTGCTGCTGTGCCAGGTGCCGCTGTTCGCAATAGCATACGGAAAGACGCCCAATTTTCGAAAAAGGGATTAGTCAAATCCTTAGTCGACGGTTTGCTAGTTGGAGAGCAGGAAGATACGGCAGATCCAAGGATATACTCCTCTGCAGCAAGCAATAGTAGGGGTGTGGCTGGCGGTGGTGGAGGTGGACGCTTGCCACCAGCGAAAGATTTGCCTAGTTTGTCGCCGGATGACGACGAGCAACGCTTGAATCCCTATGGGGAGAGGGATCGTAGGCTCAGTGCAGTGTCTGGTTCAGGAGGTTTGCCCGGAGATAATGGAGGAGGTCGAGAGTCAGTTCGTGCAGAGGAAATTGAGCCTCCAGATCGACCGGTGATGGCTAGCTCAGCAGCTAATAGTAGAGAAGGAAGCCGGAATCCGAGTCGAGCTGCTTCTCGGGAAAGATCGTCGCAGTTGATGGAGAGAGCAGTTGTGCCAGGAGATAGTTGTCTAGGAGTTGACAGAAGTGGTCAACCACCTCAGCGTCGTGACTCACTCAGAGGTTCCCACCAAGACTTCACTGATGACAACCACCTGCTTAGAAGTGGCAGCGGTGTTCTAGTGTCCAACACCGCCAATAGAACTTCTGAGCGAAGGGATGTATCTGCTTCGTCTTCACGTGCGAATAGTAGGGATCCGACTGGGGATTACGTAGAGCTCAAATCCCGAGTGGCGACGAAGGAGTGTTTAGACAATTTTGGCCCTCGATATCAAAATGGCGGATCTGCCTCATCTTCCGCCGCGGGACCGGGAGGACGGCAGGTACATATGAGGATTGAAGTTCAGACTGACTCTGACAGAATTTATTTATTAACTGTGACGACCGTAGCCAGCATTTTGGCTCAAGGATGAGAGAAAAGAAAGGAAGTCTTTGGACTTCAACTCAAGAAATAAATTAGTGAGTAACTAATGACAGCACCTACAATCTAAACAATTCATCACCCTTCTTATTAACTGTGACGACGTTTTGTCGAACTTTTCACTAGAAGGATCATTGTCCTCTCCGTTTCCCTTCACTGCAGACATGTATAATGACTCCAACTTCAGTGACCTCTCTTCTCTCACCTCCACTTCATCCAGCTAAACCGTTCCGGCTCGAGCCGTGCTACAGTCGAGTACGATGAGGCTTTTCCACATACCGCTTTTGCAGAAGGACGAGGAGCTTCGAATAGTTATGATCGCGCCGCAGGACGTGGAGGAAGTGTTGGGGAACAAGGTGTAGGAGGAGCGATGAACAATTATCCGCCACTACCGACTGCTGGAGATCTGTCTCGAGTGCGCGTCCTTAGCAATCCGAATCGAGATCTTCAAGTAGATGATTGTCTCGGAGTGTCTGGCACGACGACTGAGGTTTTAGGTGGCAGTTTGTCGAATTCGTATAGGAGTGGTGCCCCAGGAGATGGAGGTGCTGCTAGAAGAAGGAGTTTACTAGACCGTGAAGAGTTCGTGAATCCGCCTGACTTGCCTCTAGGCACTAGGCCAACAGGGAATCTCGAGAACATGTTGGACAATGAGATACGAGGTCATATGAATGCCGAACAAGGTGGAACGAATACTGGTGGTGGATATGGCAACGGCAGAAGGCAGAGGGAAGTAAGTCAGTTTAGTCAGAGTCCATCGAGTAAAGGGGCACGAATTCGAGACCAAGAGCGGGAAAGAGCAATAGAGCAAGAGCACGTGCACAGACTGCAACAGCAAGGCGGCAGTAGTAGCTCAGGCTCAGTCGGCGATGACGCAGGACGAGTGGGAGCGGGAAGTAAGCCAACATCTGTAGGAGATTTTCGAAGCGGAGTAAGGGCTTCACAGCAAATGGAAAATCAACAGAGAGGCGCTGCAGGTGGAGGTGGAAGTATTAGATCATCTGCCCTTCTAGCCGAGGAAATAGCGCGAGACAAGTGCTGTACTGACGCTTTGCGCTTATTGCGGGAACGGCAAGACCCGAATTTGGCTTTTTCGCATGTGTTTTCTCAAGGCAAAGAGCGCTCTCTACGTCTGTTCCTCGCACAGGTTCCGCCATCTACGCGTCTCTGTGAACAATTAGACCACAAACATGCAGTGTATCTCGCAAATCTTCTCACTGCTCTGATCCACAAGGACTTCCATAGAGGTCGCGGACCAGAACAACTGCCGCTCAGCTTGTCTTGGATGAAAGCGTTAGTAACTACTTCTGGGACTGGAGTGATCAAGGGACTGCAGAGCTCTTCGGTGCAAGATTTGCAGCGTTTGCTGTTTGAACTGTCCGAGAATGCAGCACCGGATGCTTCTCGTTTAGCAGCGCAGCTATACGCACGATTGGGGAGGTGATAATTGTTGAAAATGTTTGTTTTTGTTATCGTAGAAAGAGTCTTAGGTCTAGCGTCAATACGTTTCCTTTTTCCCTAGAAGTTGAGTTCTTTTCGGTTGAAGATACTGATTCCTGTAATCACAAGAAGTCGTGAACGTGATCAAAAATATTCGTTAGAATCAATCCTTAGTTAGTACATGAAAATCCTTATCCTTTTTAGTTTAAAGTCGACTTCGTACTCGTACAATCCTACGTACTGGAAGAATCCTCATCCTTCTACTTAAGCTTCAATACAGCAAGGACGACTACAGCAGTGCGCATCTGTGGTTCAGACTGTAGAGCTTTGTTTCGTTATTCGCTTATTGTTGAATTTTTCGCTTGAATCATAACAACCAACCATGAGATGCATGCTGGTACTGATAGAAGACAGGAGACACAGTCCTTTTGACTGTCTGATGAATAGAGGGAAATGCGTGGACAGAAATACAATGAATTGGTTACCGAATGATGAATCTGCGTGGGCAGAGGAAAAGACAACCTAACTCGAGCTGGCAAGGAAGTACAAAGGCGTGGCAGTTGATGGATAAAACTTTTGACCTTGACGGGCGATGTAGAAAAGATTTGAGTTTGAACTGAGAGAGATGGAGCAATGCATGGTTGGAGCATGTTGTCAGATTTTCTACTCCGAATGAGAGGCTGAGCGAGGGAGTGAAAAATATGATCTCATTGCGATCAAAGGACACGCCCATACAACCTACACTCTACATTCAAACCGACGATGAATCATAGGGCAAAACAGCACTTTGGTGGTGATGTGTAGTAGATGGTGAAATCTTTTATGGCGTTGGGCCTCAGATGGGTCCAGCAGTTAGGATTGGTATCGGCCCTCTGGCTCGCGAAGAAGGCTTTCAAAGACGCACCAGCTTTTCAGCAACCCGCTGAAAATTTCGAAGATGTCTACTACACTGTGCCGGTATTCCACCTACATCTGTTTCGGATTCATTTCATTTTTGTTTTGTCTTTTGGTGTTTCTCAAAAATGACTGCATTGGATTTTCCACAAACCAACAAGGTAAATCAATCGTGCGGTAGTTGTCCTTGAAAATATCTCATCTCCTATACCCTCATTCAGCTTCAAGTCGGCGGTCAGATGCTTCACTGCGTTCCAGACACTGGGTCATTTTCAGTTTTGCTGATATCAAAGGAGTGCAGTGAATGTGGAGACGTCTTGAGCTATCTCGACCAGGCGTTTGATCCCTCAAAGGCACCGAATTATAGCCATTTATCCCAGTATGCCGAAATCACATTCGGCTCAGGAAGCGTGCATGTGGAAGGTACTTCTACCGACGTTACAGCGCTGGGCAGGCACTTCAGTTGTAGAAGAAGATGAAGAAGGCGTTCCAGCACTTCTTGCTCTATGAGGATCGCTTCTTTTAAGGCTTCTACAACATTGTCCTAAGTACTCAAAAACAAATCTCACAAAACAGGTGGCTCTACCGCAGTGCAGATGGGTAACGCAGTCGTGGTTAACGGCCAAAAGGTGTGGGAAATCAAGCAAATGGATAGCGGCATGCAATCAATATGGGACCAGGGTGCTCGATTCGAGGGAATCTTAGGTACTCTACCTCCTACGTTGTACTCCACAAGTATAGATGAAGAACAAGAAGGCTACTACAACCACTACACCATCACATCCCTTCTCTGTAGATGTAGCAGAATTTTAGCTTCTATGCAGTACAACATCATCGCAACTGTACAGAACTCACTCTCTCATATTGATTCTTATAGGTATGGGAATGGCCACATGGGTGCCAGACTCTAGGAATGAGTCAACACTGTTGGCAAATGCGCATATCTTCAAATTCGGCATGTGCCTTGGCGACGAAAGTGATCAGACTTCGAAAATCTATTGGGGAGCATGGCCGCATGGACCACATTATGTGACGGTATTAATTTGATACGTTTGTCTTGCATGATGATGAAATACTTCCCTTGTTGTGCTGACTGATCGTTAAGGGTAGGTTAAAGGTGCTTTTCTTACCGCTTTTTATGCCTCTCCTAAGGGAGAAAGGCATAAAAAGCGGGGTAAGCAAGCACCAAAAACCTACCTCTAATGATGTAGTTCTTCTTGTTGGTGCAAAGTTTTTTTCCTTTCGATCGTGTCCTCAACAAACTCTCAAACACTCTACCTCAACAAACCTCTACATAATTTATTACAGTCTCCCGTAGTCGGCAAGAAGCATTGGGCTATTTCAGTGACATCTTTCGGAGTTGGCGATGTTCTGAAGACGTGCGATCCGTGTGCTGCGGTAGTAGATTCCGGCACTAGTTCTCTGGGTGCACCAGAGACACACCTGGCGGATCTGGAGAACCTGTTGAAGGACTCACTCGGGAACTCCCTAGATGGTGACTGCAGCAATCAAGAATCGATGCCGGATATTAAGATCGGTACTACTAACTCGGAGTTGATGTTGCTTTTGGCTACAAAGAATAGCAATAGCATTCAGAAACTGGTGTCAAATTTAGTGAAGATGAAGAAGGCTAAGAGAACTACTAAGTGCTTTCCTCGTAGTTTCAAGACAAGACTACTTACAATCAACCTGCAGAATGCAATCACCATCTATTTTCATCAAAAGCAAAACGAAAAGTTTTCATCGAAAACAGTCAAAACTAACAGGTCTCAAGGGCACCGACGGCAGCACTTTTACGATCGCTATCCCAGCCTCCTGGTATGTGAAGAAATCGTCTGACGGAGTTTGCCGGCTGTCGCTGATGACAACGCCGCTACCATCATCACGCGACTTCGGACCAGTCTGGCTGCTTGGCCAACCGTTCATCCGAGAATATATGGTGATGTATGATCGCGAAAGTGATCCGCCAACTATGTCCTTCGCCCGAAGAGGAGGAACGCCGGGACAGATGGAAGCGTGCCCAGATCTGCAGAATCCAACCTCGACTATCAAAACCTTCGAGGCGTCAGCGGTGGATCATAAGAACGTATTTGATGGTTTCTTTCAGCACAGTAGAATTTGAATTTCTCTTGAAGTTGAAATTATCCTGCTTAATCTCCTATCTTCACAGGAAACCCTCATAACGCGCAACACGCCACTACAAGGAGAGGATATCCTGATCCACAGAAAGAAGCAGGAGGATCATTCGGACGATGTGATCTTTCCGCAGACTAGTAGGCAAACAACGGCCCTGATAGCAGAGAGCCAGAGGCAACAGAAGTTATGGACCTTTTCTGAATCATGATGTTGAGAATGTTGATGAGTTTCCTTTTTTTGCTACATGCGATTATATACTTACAGGCACAACTCAACCTTAGTTTTTACCTCTCAACCTTAGGCTTATCCCATGATGCAATGAATCATGACGAGAATGAAGATGAGTTTCCCTTTTTTGCTACATGCGATATACTTACAGGCACGAGATGAGAGAGAGAGGAAGTAGCAGCCCTACTTCTATTTGAACATGAAGTTGGCCTCTCTAACAACGCGCACAGGAGTTGCGATCTCAGTGCAGGCACGTAGCAAGGTCCGCGCGGCGGTCGGGGCAGTCCCATTCTGGACCCTTCGCAATTTCGAGGATGGAATCTACTAGTAGAAAGATTCTAGATATTAGAGGCTGTTTCCAAGAAACGATGAATACATAGGGTTTAAGGTTTCGACAGTTTTTTGTAGCTAGTGTAGAGGTATGTTTCATGATCACATGCTAATGACCAATGTACAAAAAATGAGTTTGCGACTTTTTGAAAATGTGTTTGTACATAGCCGTAGCGAATTGTAAAGATTGCTGCTAATTCCACTAGGACTATCTTCTACCAAAGGCGCTAAGACTCGCTTGCAAAGAAAAAGCAAAAGAGGTTGTAGAGCAGAATAGTTAGAATCAAGGCTGGCAACAAGGCTAGATTATAACAGGAATAGATTTAACAGGAATACTCAAATAGTTTGCAAACAGCGAATAGAAACCTTGACTTGAAGACGCACTGCGCGTGCTTACTTCCCTTTTGGACAAACCAATCTAAGACTAAGACTCTCTCTCTCTGCTCGTTCCGTTATTTGTTAGTAGTACTTTTTGAAAAATGCTTTGTAGAAAATAATGAATTATATCGAGAAACGTTCGACACGTTTCTCAAAATGATAAACTGTACATGGATACTGTAGATGCTGCTTTCTTCGATAAGAATGACTGTTGCTGTACACAAACGTATTGGCCCGTATTGAGAGTCTCAAAATGAAAATGTACATACATCATTTAAGCGGTCTTGTTAGTTGTAAATGAAGGTGTCGTTACAACCAGAAGGATTTTTATGCAAGTGAATGTTTACCAATGTCGAACATCTCTCCGTAAAACGAAATTAAGTGAGTCATTTTTGTAGCGTGTCAGTGTCTGTCGTAGGTTGCAGTTCGCGTCTGAAAACAAGTTGGAACTGCAACTGCGTTATACCGATCGTTGTGTCTGTTGTGTTTTAGCATGATTAGTCTGTTGTGTTTTAGCATGATTAGTCTGTTGTGTTTTAGCATGATTAGTCTGTTGTGTTTTAGCATGATTAGTCTGTTGTGTTTTAGCATGATTTGTCAGGACAACCAAAAAGGTACCCGTACCTTCGTGGGTGCCTTACTATCACCCTGCGGCGAAAAATTGTGTTGAAAGGTAATATGTTGACGCGAAGTCATCCGGAGGAACTCAAACTCTCTGCCCTTTTTTTGTGGACGTGGGTAGTTGGGTATCGATGCGCGCTGGTACGTAGGGTGCGGGTCGGTCGGTTCAGGTTCAGGCAACTCAGACGCCACTGCGTAACTAGAGGGATGTCATCAGCAGTGACGTTGCTTTTTGCAAACAGGTCTGATGTCTCCTCTCAACACCGTCACCGTTTTTGCTCTTTTGAGTGTACTGAGTCTCCTCTGAGTGTTGCCTTGCTTTGCGTTGGTTTTCCAAATCTTGATCGAGAGATGACCGGCAGTTACCAGGGAACACAAAGAAGCAGTCATGATCTTTACCTTTACTACTTCACTCACAAGAAAAATTACAATATTTTCAACGGGAACATCGTTCTTTTTTCCACGTCCACCTGAACCAATCCATAGGTAAACACGTAGCATAAACATTTTTTTTTGCAATTTTTTCTGCGTAATTAACTGTATCCAGTAATTGATACAACACAACATATAATTCATTGATACTAACAGTACATAAAATAAAACCACATAAAGTAAAACGAACTACAAGATGCCAGGCATCCTCTCGTGCTTCGGACCGATGGCTCGGAAAGAGCCTCAGTCCCCGAAAAAGGTTCCATCGTCTTCAGAAGTCGTCGACCTCACAGATGTCGATTTGAAAGTTAGAACAGTGCCAACCACGCCGTTTACAGACCAGAAACCAGGCACCTCTGGAGTTAGGAAGAAAACCCGACATTTTATGCAGGAACACTATTTGGAGAATTTTGTGCAGGCGACTCTGGATGCGGTGAAGGGTACTTAGACTTGAGAAAGATGTTCCTGAGAAGGGTTGTAGCAATGCTTCGTTTTCGTTCATCTTCAGAAGAAGTTGTTCTTGATGAACAAACACATGAAAATGTGCTCAGTTTATCGATACAACTACTTTGCTTCCCTATGATCTCGACTACCTCTAGGTTCCGGCGCGACTATGGACACAATGATGATCGCATCTGACGGCAGATATTGGGCACCAGAAGCTATCAAAAAAGTGATGCAAGTTGCTTTCGGGAATGGAGTACGGGAAATCTGGGTTGGACAAATGGGGCTATGCAGTACACCTGCAGTCAGTGCAGTCATCCGACAGAATTTCAAATGCTTCGGAGCATTCATCTTGACAGCTAGGTGTAATTTTGCTTTTTTGTTTCCCTTCTGTCTTAAATGGTGATAGGTTAGAATGAAGATGCAGTGACTAAACATGATAAGTTTCTGCTTGGGTAGTTTTTTCTCAATCAAGCAAAATATTCCTTGTGAATGTGAACTTTGTAGGATGATGATTTTGCAAATTCATTCCCAACAACAATTGCACAGTCACAATCCCGGTGGTATCGACGAAGATTTCGGCATCAAATATAACGGCGCAACAGGCGGCCCAGACGAAAGCGTTTATCAGGTCATGTACCAAAACACGCTCAACATAGAGCAATACTATCTCGCAGAGAGTTTAGGAGCTACGCTGGGAGGTACTTTTTCCGTTTTGCCATGCTACATTTTTTTACCGCGTAGAAGCTTACTAGATCTGAATATGATGTTCTTGGTCTTAATTGTTGTGGTCCTAAGTATCGTGTACTGTAGATGAGACCTGCAGAGACTACCTGAACCTATAGCAGTTCTTGTATGACTCCCCTCCCTCTACTGTCTTCACCCCAGCCGGCGACACTTCCCCTTGGGAGACTGCTGGACGAGAGTACCGCTTTGGCGGTGACAAAGTCGTCAAAGTGATCGACACAGCCGCGATCCATTGTGAACTGCTGGCGAGGATATTTGACTTCCCTCTGATAAAACGCTTAGTCAAGCATCCTCAGTTCTCTGCGAAGTTCGACTGCATGTGCGGTGCCCAAGGACCATACGCGAAGAAGATTCTAGTCGAAGAACTCGGCATATCTGCAGATTCCATACTGCGCGGGACACCGCTACCAGACTTCGGTGGACACAGCGCGCCACATCACGGTCATGCGGACCCGAACTTGACGCATGCGCATGACCTGGTAAACAAGATGGGATTGGACACGGAGGGGAAAAAGCTCGCAGGACAAGATCCATTGACCTATCCGTTTTATTATGGTTCGTTGGGGACTCTTTGTAGTACTAGTAAAGTAAACGCTTGATGATTCTCTCAAAGCACATAAGCCTAAAACAAAAGATTCCCCTTTCATTCCTTTGGCGGCGCATGGGACGGTGATGCAGATCGAAATATGATTTTGGGAAGGCAGTTTTTCGTTATCCCGTCCGATTCATTAGCGTTTATAGTCGACCAAGCCGATTGCATTCCGTATTTCAAGCAGAACGGCGGCATCCAGTCAGCGGCGCGCTCCATGCCAACATCTAGAGCCGTGGATGTTGTGTGCGAGAAAAAAGGGATTAGAATGTACTGTACTTCTTATCGTATGATCTATGAGCATCAGGATCAACTTTACTTCTCCTTAACCACATCGTTTTTTCGTCTCAAGGAACTTCGAACTTGTTGACCTCACCTCTTCAAGTAGATGCTTTCATCCCAATCTCATCAAAATCATTTTCAGGTTCGAGACTCCCACCGGTTGGAAATTTTTCGGCAATTTGATGGAGAGTGGTGACAATGCAGCATTCAAAGACAAGCCAACATATAAACCACTAGTATGCGGAGAGGAGGCATTTGGGACAGCATCATGTCACGCCAGAGAAAAAGACGGCATGTGGGCAGTGCTCTGCTATTTGCAGATATTAGCGGTGAAAAACGAAAAGAAACTTGATGGTATACGCGTTCGGATAGGTGAAGATTTTTTTGAGGTACGCGAGGACTGTATACTATAGTTTTTCGAGCAAAATGAAGTGTCTGTATGTCCACAACAAGCTTCTCCCTGGCATATGGAAAATTTTGAACAACTACTGAACGACATTTCGTTGATCAACAACAACACCCTAATATCAACCAACTTCCAGTTCCCGATGCAACGCTGACAAGTATGGAGGACCTTGCGATCGCTCATTGGCTAGAGTACGGACGACACTTTTATGCACGATATGACTGGGAGGAAGTCGACAGCGACAAGGCGAAAGCATTTTTTATTAAGGCTTTTGTGTGTTGCTGGTAAAAGTTGTATGCATCGAGTAAAAGTAGGCCAAGAGCATGGATCGTCTTCTTTGATCTTCATCATTTTGATGATCTCAAAAAGGCTTCCATCTGTGTCCTGCATCGAAGCATATTTAAAGCATTCCTTTCCTCAAGGTCGTTTCAGTGTGACTGTTCTTTGACGTCGAAAGGCGACCGTTTCTAATTTCACCAGTATGGAAGAGCGATTAGAAGGTATGGCAGGCACTTGTATGGACGAAGAGCTTTTTGCGCATAAGATTGAGAAAGCGGACAACTTCTACTACACAGATCCCGTCGATGGCACAAAGGCCAGCAATCAGGGACTTCGGATCTTTTTCGAGGATGGTATAAACAAAAACATTTGAATTGCATTGTGTCTCCCACACATCAAACAACACCTCGCGAACAGGTAAATGAATGAATGGCGTCATGTATTACTGTTTCGACCTGAGTGATACTTGTCGACGAAGAACTAGAGCATCACTGTCAGCACGCACACATATAATACACATACAGGACAGTTAACAAGTGTGAAATTTTCTTGATACACATACTGGATATCGTTTCGTCTCCGATATAGTATTTAAATGTAAGGCTATGTGAGACTCCTGCCATGCCATTAACTAAAAACTACAGGTTCCCGCATAGTTATCCGTCTTTCCGGCACGGGCGTTGTCGGGGCAACGATTCGCGTCTATCTGGAGAAATATCTGAAGTCTGCGAATGTGGAGGATCTCGTAAAGTTATGGGGAACCTTTAGTGTCTGTGTCCATCGATCACTATCATCTCAGCGTCATCGTTTTTGTACTATCGATCCCTAGATGCTGTTCATCTCATAGAAGAATTTTATCATCGATGACGCCTCAACTACGAAATGCAGTAGTGCAAAGAGTCGTCGTATCTATACAACGGGGAAACAAGTAGGAAGCTACAGACGAAATGAAGGAAACTAGAACTGCACTGAGCTGGAAGATGAATTCACTCACATTCTTCAGTAGAAGAGTCTCTTCTAATAAAGAATCATTTGGACGAGGTGAAGGCAATGGGTGCTGCTATGGTAAAGTGGAGTGGAATCGCAGACTTCACCGGATCCGCAGAGCCGTCGCTCCGAACATAATGAGTAACTGTGAAGGTATAAAATCACTCACCGAATACAAGAGTAACTCCGGGTAGTGGGGTACTTCCTAATAGTTGGAAGTAGGTGGTACGTAGGAGGGTTAGGAGTGGGTAGGTGGGTACTTCCCAGTTGGTGCTGGAAGTTAGGAGTTACTTTTTTCGAATTTTTGTTGGGGAAACTCGAATTAGGTGAAAGGTGGAGGAGTTGTTACTTCTCTTGTAGTTGGGTGGAAGCAATTTCAGTGATTTTCTTCTTGTTGAGGACGGAAGGAAAGACTAAGACTGTACTAAACACGTGATTACGAGACGAAGAAGTGAAATCAAATTTTTGACATCAAAGCGAAAGTCACAAAGAATGACAAAGAGCAAGTGTTAGAGATGGATCATTCGAGTTACGTGAATGTGTAATTATTTTCAAGGGTGAATCTACCTATACAATGACAGAGAAATCAGAGATGGACGAGAAAAGCAAAGCCAGATATTAAGTTGTGTATTGATCATGAACATGTAGTAGTAAAAACGCAATCTTAGTAGGTAGCATCAATGAATTAAACAAGAACGTACTAGTAATTCCAAGACAGGATAGGACCGAGTCTATGTCTAAGTGAACAAAACCCGCTCATTGTACGATAGCGACAGATAAGAACCACAATTGATCGCATTCATAAACTTACTCGATTATTAGTTCCAACAAGAAGAAGTAGAAGATTTTTCTGTATTACACCTGTGTTTCTGTTTTTTGATCGATATTTATATTGTACCAATGTTAAAGTTATTAATGAAATTTTTCCTGCTTCTCACCACGAGGACAAAAAATTTATGATGTATGAGTAGGACGCACCAAGAAGATCTCCACGACTTGAACGAGAGGCCTGGGCACTTGAGTGGAAACAGGTGGGCCCCGTCGTAATTAAGAGTGCTCCTGCTGCTGTAGATTGGGCAAGAGTTCTCGTTATAGTTCCACAAAAAGCGCGACCAATAGCCAAGTCCGCTGTCGTAGTTTTCTTTTGTGTTTTGACGAGCATGGCCTTCATCTTTGCGCGGAAGCTGGGGCTGCTCTGCGTGGTCGGGACCGTAGTGGCCGTGGCGCGGGCGCGTCACCAGCGTAAGAAAGGACGGGGGGAGTAGCTAGTAAGCATATTGCGCTTGCGTGTTAAGAGCTCTGCCTCTGAACCGACAAAGCCCTAAGACCTCGACGTCAGTAGGTGTGGCGGCGGGTGAGCCAGTAGGGAGCGTCTCTTGCGCGAGGTTTGGGACGCGGGAGTCGTTGGGCACGTGATCGCGTGGGTGGGCGTCTGGTTGTCCGCGACGGCCAGCGAACGTCTTATCACATTGCGACCTATGCTGTTCCTCCTGGCGTTACGGGTCTTCCGACTTCAAGGCATTCGCGTCGCTTCTGAAAGCGTCGCGCCCCCTGCTGGTCGTGGTCGTCTATCTCTGTCGGCTCGCTGGGCGAGCAGGATAGTGGTTAGTAAAAAGTGAGAAGCGGAAGGCCTAGCGGGGGTCGCGGTCTGTCGCAGGAGATCGAGGGGTCTTTTTGTAGTTCAGATTTGCGCCTCGCTTGCATCGGCCGTCTCTCTCACTCGTAAGAGCGCGAGCAGCGGCCCAGTAGAGAAGCGGGAAAAACAACCCACAAGGCGAAGAAGAGCAGGAAGAAAAGAGGGGAACCCAGTAAGGGCTTAGCTAGAAAACTAAAACAGTGACGGATGGCTGATTGCGCGTCGCTTCGACGGTGTGGCCAGTCCGTCAGTCTACGTGGTGAGTGTCGCGGCTGCTGCCTCTATTTGTTGTTGCTTCGTGTTCTGGCCCTCGGTTTAAATGAAACGACTCCGACCACCCACAAAACACAGAACATAGGGGGGAATCGTCCGCCACGCAGTCAGGCCAATACGCACTATAACTAGTGGCCCTCTGCCTCTTCTTCTCTTTCTATGTTCCGCTGATGGTGTGGCTAAGTGATGCTGGGTGATGCTGTTTGAGTGTTGCGATTTATTTAATTTAGGTCAAGTCTAGACTCTTCTAGCTCCTTCGTAGTAGCGTATGTTCTTGCTTGTTTGACGCGGATCCGAGTTCGACCATATAGCATGCAGGCCTCCTCTACCATATAGCGGTAGACATCTGAAACCGAGAAGAACGCTGGACCGAGGACCAGGGTGAGACACAGGGAGATCCAATCCAAAAAAAAAAATTCCGGGTGCTTGTGTCTGCAATTTTGCCTTTTTTTGGCAAAGATCATACAACATAGCCATACTAGGCTTACAGACCACCAGGTTCTTGACGCAACAAGAGCAAGTATCTTCTTTGTATCATAATGATTTTGGGCTCTTTGTGTGACATATTAAGTTTGATACGGTATTCGTGTTGCTTTCGTCTTATGTTGTATGATAAGCAAATGCGTAACATCCAAGTCATCGCTGAGCAATTTTCTCAGCTGGGTAAAAATCCGAAAAAGCTGTAGAAGGAAAGCGAATGATTACAAAAATGTCACTCAAAAAGTACACTTACTTTACTTGCAAATTATGTTTCTTCGTTGGGTAGTTTTAATTTATCGAAAAGCGTCGATTTATAAAAATGATTTGCAACACCTCTCGCTAGGCACACATTCACTCATATTCAGTCATTACGCTGCTGTAGAGGACAGAAAAGGAAAACGTAGACGAGGTTTGTACGAATAGCCAAGGTCTGTCATAGGCTAGCGTCTGTCCTAGACTTGCTTGATCTCGAAGGGCTTGATGACCTAGTACTTCATTTTCATCCATCAGTTGATGCCCTATCAGTACTTCCATGCTAGTAGTAGTATTTTTTTTCCATATTTTTTTTTGGTCAATCTTACTTTCGATACCCAACCACTCACTTTGGAGGATGAAACAGATGAATCGTGCAATAATAAGATAAGTTGAAAGCAAACACTCGGCCCATAGAAGTAAACGCTTGTCGCTTATCACTTAACACAGAAATAGATAGATGATTCGTAATCTGCAACACAACAATTGATTTAACGTAAGATGTATATGAAAAGCCAATCGAGTGTCGCGTCCCGCAGGTTCTTAGGATAACCACACGCCAACTACTGCTACCGATCCGGTGCTCGACGCGCAGGGCTGAGGCGGGAACCCCCCTAATCCTAGTCGTAGTCAGTCCTCTCTCTCCCTCTCGCACGAAAAAAAAACTCTTTCATCTCTCAATCTAAATGATTCTCGTACATCTACTACATTCACGGGTCAGATGATGAAGAGGGTACTTTTCAAGCGCCATCTTTCAGTCAGTTTATAGCTTTCTCTTCAGCATGGTCGTGTAGCTCTGCTTGGCAGTGGTGCTGGTTCCCAGCATGGTCGTGTAGCTCTGCTTGGCAGTACATCTACATTGGTCCCCCTTCAGCCTGACTAGGTCCCCCTTCAGCCTGACTAGGTCCCCGCCTCTGCTTGGCAGTACGTGTCAGCATGGTGTACGCCATCACCTCCCAGTGCAGGATAGTAGCAAAAAGAACGAACAGAGACAGGATGTGTCCGATGCCGATCTTCCTCCATCTGGCCTTTTTTTTTGAATCTTCCTTCTTGATCTTGATCCCTTGACGAGCCTCCCCAAAAAGAAGACTCATGACTTTTTCGATTTCTATGAGTCTTCATCTTGAGCTTGAAACTAGTGAGCGACAGTGACGTGAACCTGGGCGCTCTTGTGCTGGAGGTAATCGTGTTGAACCGCGAAGCAACGCAAGAATATTAACAGCGTCTTGAAGTCATTGTTCTGTCATGATCGGTAATTGTCTGCGCTGCGTTAAATCGGTTTCAATCTGGCTTCGGCGATCCAGACTAGCGCGATAGATTGATACTCTGTGGTTGTTTGCAACTGCTTGACTATTAATCAGTTGACGTGCTTCTGTCAGACTAACAAGTCGGTTCCGTCTACAGGAAACCTGCAAAACAGCCAGTGATGATCTGTCCACCTACCACAACATGATCCCAACTTGAAGATTCTAAACTATTTATCGTTGGCTGTAGTCTGTGTACTCGCTTGAAATAATTGATGACTGATATATAACAGAAGATGATTCAGGGAAGTCGCAGGTCCAACCCGAACCGACTAACATCATCACCAAGGTAAGCACTTTCCACCCACTGACTGCCACCAGCGCCATTCTTTGAATAATTCTGTTTCTGATTCAATCATTGTAGATTTAGTAGTATCAACATTTATGTAACAGAGAAGATCAACAGATGGAAAAAGAAAATGATTTGTCTACTAATCCTGTAGGCCACGATCATCAAAAATGACGGAGTTTCTGTGGGATCTCGGTATCCCTGGGGTGCGCATCCCCGCGCTCACTCTAAAAAAAGACCACAAGGAGGATGACGAGCCGCGTCCGCCAGTCCTGCCCTTTCTTAAGGCTCACAACAATTCATCTTAAGAAGCATCTTTGAGCCCTCTGGTTGTTACGGGGAGAACACGCCAAAGATGCACCTACAGATGAATATATGGAAGGTCTAATTTTCCTGGCGTGGAGCCCGCACTCGAACAGAGCATGGCAGAAATGCAAGTCGGAGACCTATTAGGCTTTGGCTTTCGCGTAGTGGAAGCAAGTGAAGCACGAGAAGCGCCTGCAGACCGGTTTCTAGCGTCGACGCTGCACGATTTCTATCTGGATAAAGTGCCGGGCTTGAAGTGCAAAGACGTACTTCAAAAATGTCCTCTTCTGTGTACTTATTTTCAGATGATCCATCTTCTCGGGTTCTCGTCTCTGAAGATGCCCGTTTTCATCTACATCTTCCCTCCCACAGATAACTCTCGGGAAGCGCATGGATGACCCTGTAGGGGAAGGCGAGTATGAGGTGAATTCGGCTGATATTTCCTCGTCAAGCCACTCTGAAGAAGAGCCTATTGGCGATGGTAGTGATGGTAGTGATTCCTCCACAGAGCAACGGCGGAGAAGGGAGGATATCAACTCTTTGATGGGCACCAGCGATGATTAAGGTCAACATTTAGTGTCCCTCTTTCTCGGCATCTCGGTACCCTTTTCCCTGGTATTCTTCCTATGTATGAATTACTGCAAGGGTAGGAAAGGGGTCAAGATGAGGGGGCCGAGATGCAATCTCGCAGACTCTAAGATGAGGGCAGTTCATGGCGCGGCGATCACATGAGCGAACGAGATGCGGGGTTGGCTCCCGAAGATGCCGCCACCGCCGACTACTATCCTGAAGAAAATGGACCTCGTCCAGCACATGCGCGTCCAGATGTGGAGCTGATGCGGCGGGTCAGAGGGCGTGTGTATCTCCATCCAGCAGGCTTCGAAATTTTGGGTTTGGCGTCCTCAGTCAGTGTGCACATTGATGAGGATGTGTCAATAACGAAAGCAAGTGGGCATCCTTTGCATAGACAGAAGATGCTGGCGAATTTGATGTCGCACGACGATATCATACTGCATTATGCTGGTAGAAGGGATAATGACATCAATCGCAAATGACAATCGCAAATGGATTAGACTTGCAACTGCAAAAATGCAACCTCCTATTGTAATTCATCTTCCCCCGTTACAGATCTAGTTGTATCAAGAACCCTAAACCCTAAACCCTCTAACCCAGACGCCGCAACAGCAACGATCCTTGCACAGACGCAGAAAGGCGATATCCGAAGTCCGCTATCAACGCTCTCAACCGGTTCGAGGAAGAGTGTGAGGACTACGTCATAGCGGATCCGAAGGAGATAAAGGAGCGCACGGATACAGCCTTCCAACCACTCAACGACGCGTTGGCGAAGCTTTTTGACATGGACGAATTTCAAGGGATGAGCCATAGTTTATGATCGGGATTATTCTGGAGAAGCATCGTCTGAGACTCTTTGATTCGTGTCTTTGATTCGTGGTTACCCTTGACTGTCTCCTTCTCCTTCTAGGTATAATCTAAGATCAAGAGTTTGAGTCCTGCGGGAAAGTAGCTGCTATAGGCCTATTAGGGACGGATGCACAGAATTATAGTTTGAGATTGAGTTCTATATTTATAGTAGCATTTTTCCCTGCTGGGCTAATACGGGAGTCGTCCTCGTAGACGGCTGCCATCAGGGCTCTACGGTGATCAAGAAGGATCATGACAGAGACACACACATGACATACCTTCCTCTTTCATATCCCACCCCCGGCCGCAGCATCACAGCCACCATTGTGGTTCCAGTTTTGCGTGTTACTTTCGACCCGACGTTGGATACCGCAGATAGGCTAGTGGCAGAAAATCTAGTGCAAGTGCCGTACTTCTGTGACGGGGTCATCTTGGGAGCAAAGCGAAGGATAAGAATACAGCAATACAGTACTTACCCGAAAAGTCCTTCAGGATTTGATATGAACGAGCATTTCTCGACAGTCAGACAGCACTGTCAAGAACAAGGAAGAGACGCGACGATATCGACGCCACGTATTGATGTTGATACTTGGATCTTATTTGTCTATCCTTGAGTGTAAGTAGTTGTTCTATTCACACCGATTGAGTGAATGTTTCTCGAAGCCACAATAAATTTGACATGATCTTCAACAACATAATCATAATTGCCTCCGTGGACATTCTTCAAGGAATAATTATTTCTAGGTTCTTCTTTCCGTTCTGGTCGGGCTGGGCCATTAGGGTTTCCGCCTGAAGTGCACGAAGCCGCTGCTCCTGGTCCTCGTGAAGTTGACGTCTTTTTTGAGTCTGAGTGCCTACACATAACGGTGGAACTCCTCCATGGCGAAACCCTTCCGAAATTCGACCATAGTGGCGACTTCTTGGCGTGGCTCAAGGACTGGTCCAGTACGAAAATTTACGACGAGACGCACTTGTGGAAACCATTACTGGTCAATGTCCTTCATACGGATTCGATGATCCAGAGGCTTTTGTTGAGGCATCAGGTGCCTGCCGAAAGCCCTCATCACATCCCGCAGTACTGCCTTGGCTGTCGTTGTGGACGCAAACTGATCCATTGGAACCTGGACTTGTATAGAGCGAGTCGAGCTCTGCCACCGCGATATGAGTACATGGTAGACCGCTCTTGCTGTCCGGACCCGATCGAGGAGCACACTGTCATCTACTTCTGTCCGAGCTTCTGCTCTTTCTACTCCTGCTCACAGAAATCTCATGAAGAACGACAGCGAGTGACCGTAAGTGAAAAGCTAACGGAACGAGTGGAAGAGATAAAAGCGCACTTGCTGCGACAGGCGAAAGCTAGAGCACGAGCAGCGAAATTGAATTATGAAGAGGGTGAATCATTAAAGTAGAGGGTGGATGAAAGTTGTAATCCTAATTGATACATAGTTGGCCTGTATGTTAGTGGAGGTAGTGGGCACCTACATGAGTTCTGCTCGAGTAGAAGTAGTTCCCTGCACTTTTGAAAGGTTTGTCGAGCGCTGCCAGTATCATAGAAATACTGTCAGACCACGGCGCTACGGTCGTCATGAACGATGGCTACAGGGACAACAGCATGCATATTGCGACTAGTAGGAGAAGTACGCCAGCAGGTGAAAAAAAGAGTAGAGACTTCTGCCACACGATATCGATCATTTCGTGTTGCTATAATTACACAGTATGATGTTGAGTTTCAACTTCTAACACCCGAACTCGATGAAAGTCGGTCTAATGGGAAAATTTGGAATGGGAGGCAAAATGCTGAACATCGCGGGCGCTCATTCCGCCGTACCACCTACCGGCTCACCCATTGGTCCAGACACTAGCATACTGGCAAATCTACGCGGTGGCCCTTCACCCAACAAGAACGAGGATAGGCAGCAACCCACTGGTATCTATCTGTCAGAGGAAGCGTTAGATAGCCATCCAGATGCCACCTACTTGAACGTTCCAGGCAGAGGGGCACTAGTTCCTCCTACCTTGGATAACAACACAATTGGCGCAGCGACGCATCTGCTGAATACTGAGAAACCACTGGCAGCTTTGGCACGTACTATGCCTGGGTCACCTAGCATGATCTGCAAGACGATCATTCCACGTGGTTTAGAAGCGGCGAAGGAACGACGAATTCCTTTAATAGTGTGGGGTAGTATCAAACTTCAACCGAAAGGTCGTGATGAGGTGCTAGAAGAAAACGCTGCCAATCTAGAACGAGTCCAGAAAGCAAAGATGCTGTTGTCGAGGCAAGCATTAGGCTTGCCGGTTCCGAAGTCGTGCATGTCGATAGTGCCTGCTGCTAATAGAAGAGAAATGCTGGCTGCGGGAGTTCTCGGATTTTCTTCATTGGATTTGCTAGACGAGGAGGATCAAGCAAAAAAGCAGAGGGACGAAGGAGGAGAAGGAGGTAGAGGACTAAGTCAGAGGACTAGCACATTTTCTTGGAGGACTAGCACATGTTGGCTTTTTCTTGGAGGACTAGCACATTTTCTTGGAGGACTAGCACATGTTGGCTTTTTCTTGGAGGACTAGCACATTTTCTTGGAGGACTAGCACATGTTGGCTTTTCCTTGGAGGACTAGCACATTTTCTTGGAGGACTAGCACATTTTCTTGGAGGACTAGCACATTTCCTTGGAGGACTAGCACATTTTGCTGGAGTTCCTTCAGTATGTTCCTCCTGATGAAGGTTCATCACAGATAAAATGCATCAAGAATATCAACATCATTCTTCAACATTAATCCGAAACCGATTCTGAAATGTACAAGAACCAGATGTAGATTTCACTGTCGAAGAGTTTCTTCATGATCTTCGTGTTGTTCCTCCTAGTATAAATAAAAATCTAAAATCCAAAAAATCCTTAACACTAACACAATCTAGACGGCGGACGAAAAAACAAAGTTGCCGATGGGGAGGAGAAGAATTTCAAACCGCTATCTTTGATGATTCTGGGTACCTTGTCACGCGTATTTGACGTGGAGATGAAGAATTTACGACTAGGCTTGCAAATCAGGAAGCCGACGGATGAGAATCTGCTGTTCTGGGTACTTCTTCTACTGCTTCTACCTCGTGATAGTGTTTCTTCCACCAAGTACTTGATTCTACTAGAAGAGAACTCTATAATTTCCGTCGACTTCTGATCATGTCTTTTAGTAGGGAAGAAGCATCTAGTCCTACCGAAAAGAAAACCTCAAGCTCAACTTTTTCATCAAGACATAGACCACAACCACATCGATCATTACCGCTACCAGATCCTTTCCGACTACGCACGAGTTTCTATCATGGGTCCTGACGAAGACGACCTGGACCTTATGGACCGACTTGAGAAAGACGAAATGTCAGTTATAGCGGAAGAGCGGGAGAAGTTTCGAGTTATCAGCGACAAATTGCAGGAGGTACTTACTATGCTCCATTCATACGAAGGTAGAGACTCTTTTCCAGGATGGAAGTACTGTATCAAGAGAACAACATCAGGAGTGCATGACTCCTTCATACTAGTCAGTCTACAGCATCAAAACTGTAATTTACTTAAAATAAATACGTTCCATCCTAATCCTTTCCCTCTCTCTCTCCTAACTCCAGATGAACGGCCGCCGCATCAACCAGGAGGGTTGGTACCAAACACAGCACGCTCAAGTCGTCGAATGTAGTTTGAGGTCTTCCGAAAAGCTGGATGAGATGCTTCGCGTGCTAGAACCTTGTCCCAACAACTGCGGTGAGAGGGTCGACAAACTCTTCAAAGCAAGGCGTCGTTTGCATCTGTATCGGGAGTGTCGAGTGCAGGCAAGGCTGAATATGCTCAATGCGGCAGGAGATGTGAAGTTTCCGAAGAAATAAGTAGTTGCATTGTTCTGGTATTCGGTAACCTGAGTTTGATCCTAAGGGAGAAGAAGAAGAGAATCCTTGTGATCCAATTATCAGGTTACCAAATACCAGAGCCATACAGTAGTGGGAGCTTTTAAGAAGCTTTGCGTAGTTGATGGTGTATAAACTTTTTGTGGAAGTGGAGTGAGTGGATCGTTCGATTGAGAAGAACGATGTATCAATGCACAGTGAAACTAAAAGTTCGACACGAGGACGAATTATGTTCGTGACACATTTGACTGATTTTAATCGAAAACAACTTATGCATAGGGGTTCATGTTCCATGGGAAGACGAAATTTGTCTTTGATCAAGATATAACATGACGAACGATCTGAAACATTTTTGACTGGGCAATGAACTCTATGCAATCTGTAGAGAGTTTAGCCGTCACTAAGAAATTGTATTCAAGTTTTGGGAATGTAAAGAAAGTAGAATAGATTAGTAGTATAAGGTTTACAAGTTCGAAGAACCTTTTCGAATCGCTATACATAGATGCGAAACGCTATAGAAGAGGAAGAGGCGCCATGACATGACATTCGAGGAAAGCAAAAAGCATGATATGCATATGCTGCGCAAAATAGTCTTATGAACTTCACCAAGTGGTTGTCACAGCCGTATCTTCAGCTGATAATAACACATTTTTCTTAACAATAACATGAATGAAAGAACATGAACAAATTGCAGAGTGACGTAGTAGTAGACTTCTAGCATAAAAAAAATGATGATTCGTCCTAATGTCAGGACTGGCATCGCAACACTAAACGATCTTCAATGAATGAGCAGACGAGAACGAATAGCATGAGCTGCCCAAATTTTCGACATTCAATTCAAAGGAATCCAGATAATGTCAACTGCATGGATTTTGAAACAGCGAATATATCACTCGTGTGAACAAGTGTCCCACTGCTGCTCCTGTCAAAGCAGGTTGGCCTTGATAGCGATGTTCCCAAAACAAGTGAGAGTTTCGTCTATTCGGTTTTTCTTACGAAAGGTTTGCACTTCAAGTTTCAGCTTTAGGGAACTGTAGTCTTCTGAGGATTTCGAAACCGTTCATGATTTCACTCCGCATCCGCAGCTTCTTAACAAGAAAAATCACAACAGGGACCCATGGACTAGAATTTGACCCACCCAGCATCCCATTGTTTTTACCTTCGCTACTTTTCGTTTTCCCTCCCTGGTGCATAAGTGGATGTACTTATTCGTTCTGGAAAAGAACAAAAGATGCAGAGTAGACGGAGATACATCACTTTCGACTACCTAGTAGAGCAAGTAACGCGAAATCATGCTGGGTAGTTTTCTAACATCAGAAAATGGATCCAACAATGAGCCACTTCGTCGCTCCCGACGTCTTCGGGATAAGACGCTGTCGCATGGCTTCCCGCCTGCGTTGCAGTATGCGGCGTTACCGGGACTGTCCACGAAACAGAATCTGGGAGGTTCATCTTCCACCTCCAGCTCGAGTGCTTCCGCAGGCGCTCCTTGCGCAGCAGGTTCTGGAGCAGACCATTCAGGCGGAGGAGCCTTGGTGTGCAATGCCTGTCTCTTGCCTGTCGAGGAAGGGGACGACGTCACCCTGTTGGAAGGATGTAGGCACTATGGACATCGAGAATGCGTCCACAATTGGGCTCAGATCGACAACCGATGCCCTCTATGCCGAACGCGCTTCCGAAAATGTGCTTTGTATTGCTATAAGCTTGGTCATAATTTGATGGTACTAGAACAAGTGGCGAATATCCAGGATGTGGACCAGGATTTTGGCGCAGATGCGCAAAGGGAGAGAGAAGAATACGAAGGTCTCGACTTGTGCGTACACTGCCGTCGAAGCGGAGGCGCCGATGATGACGAGCCTATGGCTGTTTGCCGTATCTGTCGTGACGCATACCACTTGTCTTGCTTACCGCCTAATGTACGCAACAGTGTGCAAGAAGCAGGAGCAGTTGGCGGTGGGGCATCGTCTTCATCGAGCAGTGGTCCTGTTGGTGCTAGCAATTTAGTATCTGGCACCGGATTGGACAGTCCTGAAGAAGAAAGACCCACTAGAAGATTGGAGTTCGTCTGCATTGGCTGCACGGAAAAACCGAAGCTGCCAGCTGGGTGGGCCGATGAAGTTGGAAGTCAATCAGCATCTGAGAACTACCTAGATGAAGCGGAGAATGTAGAGGAGGAGGTGTTGAGACTAGAAAACGATGTTGATGAAGGTGTGAAAAGAAGGAGGTCGATGTCACAGGAGGAAGAAGAGTTAGAGGATGAAGAGTTAGAGGAGGACGACCGGGCTCTTCAGCTGGGATCAAACAACAGCGTCAGAGTCAAGCTAGAACCTGAGGACGACGACGATATTGGGCCTGCTCCACCTGCATCCACCTTGAAAAACGCGGCTGCGCCTGCATCCTCTTCGTCCTCAACGCAAAACATCAAGCCTCGGAAAAAGCGCAAAGTCGACCCACTTTTACCCTTTATACCAGAGGACAGCGATGGCTTCAATATGCCCATTTTTGACCCTTTCGCTGACGATACACCAATGGCAACTACTAATCCGAAGACATCAGCACCAGCTTTTGGTACTGCTACTTCTTCAAGTGCTCCTTTCCCTGTTCTTGAGGCCCCTAATGCGGACGCGGCTGCCTCATCTACTCGACCTGAAGATAAGGACGAAGACGACATGATGGCATTCACGCTTGCGCCTGATCTGTCTCTGGGTACGCCTCGTGGCGGAGTTTCTAAAGTCAAGTCGGAGCCACTACAAGAAGACAACAAGGAGGAAGATGAAGCGATCGATTTGATGGCATTAGGCGGTTCGAGGCGTTCGCTCAATCCGTTTGCGAACAGGAACAAATTTGGCGCTGCTAGTGCTTCTTCAGCAAGTAGTAGCAGTTTTTTGAGTAAGAAGCCTGCTGCTCAAGAACAAGCAGTTGCGTCTCAGCTGCAACAGGCAGGACATCAAACATCTCCTCCATCCTCTGCTTCACGGATGATGAACACGAACATCAACGCATCCACCACGTCCACCACACTCACCCGTGAGATGCCTCGTTTTGTCAAGGGTCCCAACTATCGGTTAGTTCTAGATCTTGAGGCGCAAGCCGTGAGTGATAGTATGGCTCGAGAATTTGCGAAGCGGATAGACGCAGCACGAGTCAGTGACGGAATCCGACAAAGATTTCATTCCGTGATGCTCCCACAAAATCGTCTAAGTGCAACCGGAGCCGCTGACTTTCTACGCGTGACACAGCCAACTCAAGTCCTGGATCTACAGTACAATCGCCTGACCGATAGCGCCTTACTGGCTTTAGGATTTCAGTTGCTGGAATATCCTTGTCCAGAGGTACGGTTGAGCTTCAACAAAACGTTAAGTGCAGGTGCAATTGCTGGGTTCTTGCGGACACTGGCGTCGGCGGTTATGAACGAAGAGCATCAACATGATTATAGTGATACAAGAACTGGTGGACGAAAAGGAAAACAAGCATTTTCATCTACATCTTCCTCAGCTTATTTGGCACCTCGTCTTCTTGCGAAAACCGCCTCCTCGAAATGGTGGGTCCCCTTGGAGGACTGTGCTATTCGAGATGTACCCTCGTTCCTACAGCGTTTAGATGAAACAATTCGAGGGGATTTCGAAGCCTGCTGTGGGGGTAATCGTAGAGAACCAAGCAGCTGGATCTGCTTGGCCCTTGACACAGAAGCGTGCAAGTCTAGGAAAGAGAATTGTGGCGCGATATTGCATTTGCCAGGCATAGCAGCGAGCAGTTTGAGAGAAGAGGCTGCAATGCAGGCACAGAGAAAACAAATGGCTACTAGAAGCAAAGGGCAAAACAGCAGTGACCCGTTCAACGGGATGAAGAATGGAAAGGCTAAAGGAGTTCCTGGCAAGGGTTTTACTAGCATGACGAAGGGGGAAATCGCTCTTGCCGCTGGGTTGGATCTTCCACTCTCTTCGGGTACTAGTAAAGGCCGAGGAGGTGGAAAGGGAAAGAAGATGAAGGGCAAACACTCACGTGAAATGGAAATCAAGCAGGAGCCGCAGAACGATGGAGGGCCACAGATCGACGAAACTGATGGATCAATCAAAATGCCACTCCCTCTATCACTACAAGCCGCGAAGAAAGCTAGCACAACTACTCCTGGAGCTTGGCCTAGTCACAACTCATCAGCTGCATCACACATGCAAAGTGCTGGTGTGCCTGGATCTAGTCTCTTGAATCCCGAAAGAGATTTCAACAACGCTCAGGCGAGACCTCCGAGACAGTTGACTCCCTCTGAGATTATGGAGAGAAAGATAGAGGCAGCTAAGCAGAAACGCAAACGAGAACGCGCTTCAGCGCAGATGAATCGCTTAGTTGCTGGTATTCCAGCTGGTGTGGACATGTTGGAAAGACAACGCGCAGTGAGGACTTTACGGGCTTTGCTTCAACATGCGGTGGAGAATGACGTACCCCTGTCAGAGAGGAGGATAAACGACTTGGTCAATGCGAAGACACGCGCCAACGAACGAGCGGCAGTCGCAGGGCAATTTCGAAGAGGGGAAGCCGCAGTAGCTAGAAGTATTCCCGTTTCTTTGTCTGGTGGTCCTTCTTCTGGGAGCTCATTTTTGGGTGGTGCCCACGATCCGTCTTCTACTAGTACGACATCTACCATCTTCACAACCGGTGCAGCAAATAGGATTATGTCAACGAAGACTCGTCGAGGAGGAACAGGAGAGGTGACAAGCGTGCAAGGGAGTGCTCTTGGCGTCGGGAGTGGAGTAGGAGGAGGAGGACAGAGCTCTGATCCTTTACTTCAGGGTTTCGATATGGACGAATCAAGTCTTGCACTATCAAATAAACCGAAAAAGAAGACTCCTCTCGGTGGAACTCCTCCTGCCGACCAAGGACGTTCAGGGCTACTGCAACAGCAAGGCATAGTAGCGTTGTTTGGAAGAGGCGTGAAGCAACAGAAGAAAGTTGAAGCAGCTGAAACGTCCTATAGAAACGTCGTGAAGGGTTGCGGAAGCGGAGTAGACACCATAGAGTACCAACCACGCCCAAATGGAAATGGAGATGGTCCAGCAGCAGGATCGCGCAATAACAGCAGGGTGCCTTTCAATACACGGGAAATGAAGACGGTACGTGCTTATTTGACAGAAAGGCTAAGGACGTTGAGCGGCATTTTTCCTGTGCATAGGGTTGTTGGAGCATCTTCAAGTTCTACTACTCGAACTCGAGTGAAGCAGGAAGTGAAAGAAGAAGAAGACGGAACGGCAGCAAGTCGTGGGGTTGTTGTTGGAGCATCTTCAAGTTCTTCTAGCTCCTCATCTGCGAGACCGTTTATAAAACAAGAGTACCAGCACAAGAGTTCTAATAGCATTAGCAGTAGAGGAAAGCAAAATCTCAACGTCAAGCAAGAGCCGGGTACTGAAAACGATCACAATGGAATTGGAGGACAGGCTTCATCAAGCTCATCAACTTCGTATCATACTGCAGCGGCCACGTCGACGTCTGCTTCATTCAAGCCTAAAAAGACCGTAGACGTAACGTATAAGAACACCACTGATGCTTATGAACTCGACATTGACCAACTCGCTCCAGCCGAACAACTCGAGCTCGCCTCTGCCTTCTTGCCTCGACGCATGTTGTTGCTCAACAAGGATCCAGCTGCAGGTCAGTTTTTTCCGACTGATTTAGACGAATCGGAACGAAAAGATGACGACTCGAGCAACAAACGGATCTTAGCGCGCATGGCACAGGGATTGGGGCTGCAGGGTTTGTGTCCTGAAGATTTAGACCATGGCCCTAGAGGATGTGATTCTGAGGAAGATAAATTGTGGGACCATTTGAACGCGCCACGTCTAGGTGTACAGCATCAAGGAGGAAGCCTGGCGCTTTTAAATGGCGTAGGTGCGCCTACGGGGTATGTGGATCATGCTACGGCGAAGGCTCAAGCGCATGCGCAAGCTAATGGACTTGCCGGAAGTAGTGCTGGCATAAACAGAACTGCGTCAACAACATCGAGTGTAATGAATACTCCAAATCACAGGGCTCGCCAGCACGATCCTACCTACAATAGTGGAGCAAGAGTCCCTCAATCCGCGACGTCAAATCGTGACACAACACCGATTCGACGTCCTGGCGATGGTCACCCAGAGAGTGTGACGCCTCAAGGAGCTCAAATTTCTGCTACTACTCCAGACGGCCGACAACGAAATGCTGGTCATAGTGGTTACGGTATGGGCCTCGCATCCCGCAACGCCCTGCGGGCTGGTGCAGGTGCGCCTGATTCCTCCATGCTGGATCGGGCGATTGTAGTACCTGGAAGTAGTGAACAATTGGCGATAACCCGATCAAAGATAGGAGGTGGTGTGGTTCTTGCAGGTGGAAGTTGTGCAGGTGCTCCTATGACACGAACTACGTCGAATACCTCAGCCGCAGCCTCAAATCCTGCTGTTCGTGTACTAGGATCGACGGTTGCGCCGGTATCATCTCAAACAGCGCCAGCACGTAAGAACAAATTTGCGATCGGTGGCACAGGAAATTCGGCTTCGTCGTCTTCATCCGCTATCCCTGTTGCGGGGCCTCGTGGCTTGGTTGGAGCCGTGACTAGTCAGATGAACCCAAGTACTATGCCTATGGTGAGAACAGTGAGCGTAAACTCGACTCCATCAGCAGCTGGAGCCGCTGCATCGACAATTATACAGCGTACTTCCATATCGACAATGTCAACAAGTGGCGCAAAACAAACATCTTCCTCATCTGCCGTAGGACAACAACAGCAGGTTTCCCCAGTATCCCGTCTCGTCGGACAGACCTTCATGCGTGAAGTTGTTGACAAAGTCATCGCTCACATCCAGAGGGAATTTCTACAACACGAACTGAACATGATGAGGACAAGCCAGTTTCTAGCACAGACTACTGCTATGAATCATCAACGCACTACTTTTGCAGGCGTCTCGATAGACTCATGGTTGGCATCCAATCCTGAGCGAAACGTGCCACGCCTCCGCGAATTCGTCGCTCGGTGCGAGCAGATGGAGGAATTCCGCAGGGAAACTATAGAGTACAAGATGGCGCAGATACAGAGCAAACAAAACATCAAAGCAAGGAAACGATGATGCAGTAGTTCGAAGAACATGCCCACATGTAAAGATTTTCCATTTTGAAACTTTCGCACAACGCATACCCAATCCCAATCTCTCCCTTCTCCATGATCTCGAGGTGGTGTAGGTCGTGAGCTACATCAAATCAGGAGAGCTTGTCGCGCAAAAGCTCTACTTTCTAAGTTGTACGTAGTGTTTAACTTTAAGGTGACGAGGTAGAACAAGGTCTAGAAGCAAGATCTCATGCTAAGTACCTCCACTGAGTGTGTTCCATCAGAGGGAGAGAGAACAGTCGGGCCTAATCGGACTTCAGCTTTGTTCCACTCGGGCGAGGGACAACGAACTAGAAGCTACTTATAGACTAGTTATAATGTGAGAGGATGAAAGAGGACGGAGGACTTGTCAACACTGAAGCACATCTGTAGTTGGGAACAGGATAGCAGGTCTTAGTCGTGGATATATGATAGACCCCAGTCGAAGTAGAAATTCTGTCTTTTCCCAAACCCGATTCTGATGAAGTTTCAGTTCGTTTGAGCAAAGAAGTTGAAGTTTGTAGAACAAGTTGTTTTTGCTTTGTTTGTCGACACATTATCAGACTTTTTTATGCGTTTCCAATCTATTATGTGAGTCGTCCAATCTACTCGCTTTCCATTAATTCATTATTTGGTACAATCGGCATTTTCATCATTTTCGATCGAAACAAAGTATTTGTAGAAGTGTGTAAATTCTATTTGTAACAGCTAATCCGAATTTACACAGCTAATCCAGGATTATCCCATTATCCTCTTTCTTGTTGGAGAGACTGATGTACTATTGTACTATGTAATTTTTTTTTTCATTCTTTCTTATTTGTGTTCATGTGAATTGAATTCAAAATCATGTCGGCAATCGTGTCCTTCATTCGTTTGGCGTCACTCCTCTCGCTCTGCGAGGTCGGAGCAGTGACGCCCCCAACGCAAACGCCATGTGCGACTCTAAAAGTCAACTACGGCAAGACTGGTTGTGTGCAGTTATCAGTCGATTTGGCCTATTACATGTTGTACGAGCCCTTGGATCCTAGTGTCACGACAGATGCCAGCGACTTTACGTTTACCTTGTTGCTGCAGAGTCCTACCACGTTTTACCAAGGCAGCAGTAGTAAGTGGCTGGGTCTAGGTATTGGTTTGAATGGTGGCATGAAGGGTGCGGATTTCGTGATGCTGACTAAGGCGAATGCGACTAGTTGGACGTTGACTGATCGCTACAGTGACGACTACGCGAGACCTTTTGAGGACAAGTCGCAAGACTACGCTTTGGTGTCTCAAACCGAGACTGCAAGTAAGATCGAGTTCACGATTAGTCGGAAAGTCAATACATGCGACTTCTTCGACACGAAATTGAATCAAGCCGAACCGAACTTTTGCCTATGGGCACATGGCACAGCACGGACGGACAAAAGACACTCCATGCATGCGGGAGAAAGCAGTAGAGGAAGCGTGATGTGCGACTTTTGGGTCAGGAGTGCTGTTGGGGGGGCTGGTTTGAATGCGGGAACGACGGACTACGCGATTAAAGCGCACCATGGGAGTGATCCGAATGACAAGGCTTACGGTACCCTTATAACTTCTACTAGGATCATCATCATGAGGAAGCAAGAGCTTTTTAGGTCGCCCGTGATTTTTAGCAGGAAAAAGGTCGCGCCTGGTGCTAGATTTGAATGTTTTTATACACCAGCGACTGGATAGGTTCGTTTACTGTAGTTCTAGTTTTTTGTGTGTAGCTCCTTGCTTCAAACAAAATGTCTATCCCATGATGGTTGAGATATCGAAATCGTGAATTGATTTTTTTTCCCCCTTATAATCACCTTAATACTCCTCCTCCAAATGATCCTCTTCACAGTGAGAACCGATCACCTGATCAAGTCCGTCTCGGTCGAAAACCAGTACATCACGTCGTTCCTTTCTACGAAGCAAATTTTCCACGATTCTGGCGCTGACGAGACACAGCCTGTGCGATATGTGACTCGCATCGAACCCTTGATCGACAACAAAGCGCTTTTGCATCACATTATCTTGTACTCGTGTCCAGAGTTGACTCCCGAGACCATGCCATCCACGATCTACGACGTTTTGATGATAGACGGCTGCTTAGCCCTAATTGCGTGGGCAGTGGGGTCGAACGGAATTCAGTTTCCCGAGAACGTGGCATTTAAGCTAGGGGAGCGAGAAACGGTTTTAGCATTGAACATGCATTACTACAATCCGAGTATGGTTGCCAACGCTCGGGACGCGAGTGGCTTCACGATTAGCGCGCTGCCAAGAGGCGTAAAGACGGATACGGAATCTGATATGTGGCTGTTTGGGGAGTTGTTTTTTCAAGGTACAGTGGTGCTGGCTCGTCTCTTTAGGTCTAGTAAGTGAAAAGTGCCTCTTATGCTTTTGATATGTTAACTCAGTAGTCTTAGAAATAGAGTATCCTATGAAAGGTGTGTCTCTACGGTCACTATGAAAGGTGATAACAGGGACATTAGCATGCAGAGTATCCTAGCTTCGAAGTCAAGGACTTCATGCTCTTTCGTATCTCTCATGCATGGTCTTCAGGTCTGATCGGCAGCAAGATGCATCCGCAGTACTCTTATGCCCATTATTGTCCTGCCACCTGTGTAGAGGATATGATGGAAGCGAAGGAGGTGACGGTGATGCAACTCGGCTACCATGGTCATTTCGACACACGTCGATCCGAAGCGGGCCTGATGGTGCTGGAAAACTCAGTGTTTGATCCGGCATTGAACTCTTCATCTTCTTCGAGTGGACCAACTGGAGCGTTCTCACCTTCAGGCGGGCAACAGGTAGATCCATCCCAGTACATGAAATCTCTGCAACCCGGCCCCCTGCATTTGTACGACTACAATCACCAGAGGATCGTCGAATCTTCCTTGAAGATCCAAAAAGGCGTTCATGGTACGTATGTGAAATGTCGGTGGGATTTCTCAAATCGCCATTACGCAATGAGCTACGGTGATGGAAGCAACGATGAGATGTGCTTCGCTTTGTGGCAGTACTATCCGAGACAACCGGGACTGGGAGATGGGACTTGCAGTTTCAATCTCGACGACAGGTCCTGGATTGGAGATTATCGCGCGAAGGCATCGACATACTGCGACACGCATTGCGAGAAGAAGATGCCGACAGTGGGAGGTGGCGGAGTAACGAATAACGATGGGGGATACTATGTTTATGAACCGGCCGCGTAACGGTTTTAGTTACTGACAGATAGATGTTATAAATATATTTGTTATCACTATCAGCCAACCTCAACTTTGAAGACACGAGATATAGAAGATAGAAGACTTCTCAAATAAGTTGTGAAACAACTACCAGCATCATTCTTTCTCAGGCTCAGCCTCTAATTCCCCAAGAAAACTTCGGGACTTCCAGCGGGCACCGACTTGTTTTCCGCACAAACAGCACCTTTCTCGATCTATGGTGGAAAACTCGAGACCAGAACTAAGAGCATCCTCATCAGTGAGATGGAAGCTGGTTGCGCTACCTGCAGTGCAACACAGCGACTGTGGAGCACGCAAGTGCCTTGTACAACCTGCCATGCCCAAAACGTCACCACCGACTGCGGCGTCTTGGTCTACAAGGGCTACTGCCCAGCGTCGATCCTGCCTTCGGATGCGAGCTACATCTCTGATGCGAATACGCGAGCTACTGCAGTCTCGACCTTTGCTCAGAACTACTATGCCGATGAGGAAACGAAATTGTGTTCGCACTACTGCGCAATTGGGAAGGAAGCGAAAAGCTTGGTAAGCTGTGTGCGGGGTGGACGATATGCATGGTCCCCGCCTCCGAGGGCGAGCTTTGGTGTGCGAGTGCCAAGTCAAACACTTGCGGGAGGAGGACAATGTACTTCTAGCGTTCGTGGTTTCATTTTCAGGTGTAATCGATTTTTACAGCAGTTACTTAATATTACGGCACAGTTTTTTATGATGCCTCTTGCTCTTTCTTTCATTTTCTCTCCGTCCAACAGGTCCCGCCAGTGGTGTCCCAGATGAGAGCGATCAATGTCAAGCACATAGCGATTGTCTCTCGTATGAATACTGTGCAGACACTAAAACCTGGCATCCAGAGACAGCAGCTTGGACTTCAGGCAGCATCCAGAACCGGAAAATGTGCCGGTCATGCAGTGAGTGCTGTAAACGAGTAGATGCTGTGGATCATGCGTGTCCTTCTCACTGCCTTTGCCCAGTGGCGCCAAAGACGTGCTATGCAGAAGGCACCGACCACATGCTCTGTTCGGCATACGGATTGAACGATGCGGCGAATGGCGTTTATAATAGTCTTCTGAACAACAACGGAGCTGTGGTGCCTAGTACCTGTGTAAACATAGCGAGTGTGACGGTGACAACAACAGCTTCATCGTCAGGATCTACTAGTAACACATCCGCATCTACTTCAATGCTAGCGACAAAGCTTGCTGCCGCATGTCCATCTCTCTGCACCCAATTTCCGGCTGGTAGCTATGTTCGGCTAGACACTGAATCTCGTGTCTGCGAACCCTGCATAGATTTCGACGACGTCTACTCAAAACGGATGACCAACTACATGGACCAATTTTTGCCGGAAAGTATGAGGACACTGCTGAAGCCTTACACTTGTGCACGTGCAGAACATATTTTGGCGATCATGAAGCCCTTCAACCCTTTCATCCATGTATCCTTAGAGCGACATGCGCATGCTTTGTGCAGGTACTCGTTGCGGTCACAACTGTGCACGAGACAGGAAGGACAGATTCTGGGGTCCTCTGGGAGTGGGAGTAGTGGGGATAGTAGCAGTAGTGGAGCAGTGCGGGCGTACTCTACTTCTAGCGGCAGAATATTGCTCTCTTCAGCAATAGGGACAGTGCTAGGACTAGTCCTGCTTTTGGACCTTGTGGCAGGCGGTAGAACGTGAGGTTGGTTCTTGACGACGAGGTGGGCATGGTGAATGTGGGCACCCACATGATGCTATCGATGAATTTGTGACCAAAACTGTGCATGAAGATAACGGAACTGATATGGCTTGCCACCGCGTCAGGGGAATTTTTCCTCAGCGAAGGCAAGTTTCAATTAAAGAAACTGATAGATAATGATTCAGCCTCGATCATAAAAATAGATTTAACATGTGTCTGTTGTAACTTCATTACGTGGCGTGTTCACTAAGCAAGCGAGGATGTAGTTGTAGATGAGAAACCACGAGCGCGAGGGCCGAGTCAGTCTGCTTGCATGTTGTTCATTCGTTCGCTAAGTAAATAAGTAACTCTGGTTTTACTACTTCAGATATCACAAATCCAAAATCTTCTCCCACCTTCTCCAACACCACCACCACCACCAACCAACGGCACAGGTCACGAAGAACGGACTTTGGCTGCGCTAATAAGTTGATGCAGCTTAGGCACAGTTTTTCGGGTGTGATTGAGGTTCTTGATTGTATCTTTTACCGCAACACTAAGACACTCTTCTTCTTTGCTTTGTGCAGTAACTAACTAGTAAACTAAGTTTGGTTTCCTTTGATTCACACTTTTGAAGATAACCGATTATCCATCAGCTAAAAACCGCTTCCTCTTTGATGGATTCGAATAAATTACTCTACTTTCGACTGACTGCGCTAATAAGTTGTTGATGCAGCTTAGGCGAACGTACACGAATCCTAGTCCTTCTTCTATCCAAACTGATCGAGGGCTACAACAAGATGTCATCAAGTGCGGTGGTTCGCGATCAGCTGGGAACCTTGTTACACAAGGATTTTATCCTTCGGCGTCGCAACCCGTTTGAGACTGTATGCCTAGTCCTGCTACCCGTCCTCACAACCTTCTTGGGCGGTTCGTCATTCATCGTCATCGAAGATGAGCCAAAAGTTGTGCCATTCACGACGGAGGAACATGCGTAATTTTGATTTTCTTGTTACTTTGATGAATTTGCATGCTTCTGGAGAGATAACTCTTTGTACAGTCATTCATAATATTGTCAAGTGATTATTCTTTCAGAAACAACTCGTCTCAGCATCACTGTCCCCACTACACAACAGAGCCCAAACCGCGATCGGGCAGAGTTCAACCTTTATCTTCGACCCGTATCCACTCGACTGCGTCGCTCTCGACGGTGCAGCTTTGCTAGCCCGTGGGGACGTCGACGATGCAAGAGGTGGGGGAGGTGGCGGCCCGATTTCCGAAGTCGGAATTTTATGTACATCCTCCACTTACATCCTCCACAGTACATCCTTGACCTTTTTTCACGTGGAGAATAGGTGAAGGATGTTCTGAAGAATGTAATGCCGCAACCTGCTCTAAGGTTTGGCCTACGCTATACCACAAACTTCGACTGTTTCCTTGGGGCGATCTCAAATTTCATTCCTCTGTGGAACATCGTGGTAAGGCAGCTGAGGGAAGCACCAGCATGGACGCCGAAACCTTCGATATTTGCAGTAGTGGATCCGGAGGGGGGAGGGGTACTTAGTATCAAGAAGTGGATTTTAGTTTCTTATCCGTACCTCTTAGTTTCCTGTGGTCCACCTATCAAACGTAAGCATGAGCGAATTTGAATTTCATGATCTGCCATTCACCTACACTCTCAAGCCCAAGACTCGACATCCACATTCAGTCCACAACCCGTGGCGGTCGTTTTGCGAACTATATCGAAGACAGATACGATGGAAATGTTGCACTTGTGTTGGTCTTCTACAATTTGACCGACAGCTGCTTCCGCAACGAGCAATTGCATACGCTAGCAAACTCTGTATCGGCTCAAGATCTAGTGCCTCAGTTTGGTCTCGGAGCTGGCCCGTCAACGGTGACCAGTCCGTTTTACTCATTATACTCAAACGGAACAAGCAGTAGGAGAGAACTGCAACTACTTGGTCGTGACTTTTCTGGTGCCGTGGAAGAAGCTGAAAGTAGTAGGGCTAGTACACCGACAACCTCTGCTTCTACATCATCAAGTACTTCTTCTAGTCAAAGTCAAAGAAGGCACCTCTCTGCCAACTGGCCTAGCACTCTACCCGCAGACCCATATGAAGTGACGCCGTTCAAGGGCCACGTTTCGAATTTCCCGACTACCAGTGTGTACGAAAACTGCGTTACCAATCAGCCAATGGAATGTTTCAATACCTGTTTCTTCCAGAACAGCGAGTTCCGCACTAGATTAAGGGTAGGTTAAAGGTGCTTTTCTTACCGCTTTTTATGCCTCTCCTAAGGGAGAAAAGCATAACAAGCGGGGTAAGCGAGCACCAAAAGCCTACCTCTAACGAGAGCTATCAACGAAATTCAAGCTGCAATGTCCAGTAATGCTCTTGCCGGATCGACGAGTGGCTCCTCAAGTAGTCGGAGGAGAACTTCTCTATTGGACGAGGATCTTCTAGATGAAGGTGGAGATCAGAAAAAGAGTCAAGAGCTGATCGACGCGATTGCGGAGAAGTATCAGGAAAACGTGGATGAAATGGAGTATCGTCGTCGGAGTCGGACAGAGCAGGACGAGTCTTCTGAGGATCATGTGATCCTGAACCCGTTCCTCGAATTCGCCGATGAAGTGCGACATGCGACAAAGAAGCGCTGGAATGAGATGGAAGCGCAATTCGCCGATGAAGTGCGACATGCGACAAAGAAGCGCTGGAATGAGATGGAAGCCAGTTCATCGACATCATCATCAGCAGTGGAGAAGCGCACTCTCACCTCCGCCCAACAGTCACAGCAACAAGACACTACCGACCCTGACAAAAAAGTCGACTGTCAGTCGTTAGAGACTGCTTGTGAATGTGCGCGTTATAGATCTAAGAACTGCCAGTGGCGGCAAGAGTTAAGGCTTCTTCTATAATCCATCTTGGCGGACAGGGACATCCTTAAGAGAGATCTCAAGGGGAAAAGGAGCTCAGGGGGATGCATCTCAAGATGGATTAGGGCGAGCTCTAAAAGAGAGTCGCTCTTGGTACAACAACGGTGGATGCAGGACTGGCAGAGGGCGTCGTCGCGACACCAGCTGTGCCGAATGCATTGACCAACCCGGTTGTCGCTCTTCTGAGCTTTGGACGCGCCTAGGAGAAGCTCTACCCGTTCTAGCACCCCAAGTCCAGCATTTCCCGAGTGAATCGAGCATGGTCGATTTTCTCAAGGCCCAAGGCTATCCGAAGAGCCGCACAGTGAGCCGCTTTGACCGGGTGTCGGGTACGATGAGCAACATCGTGCTCGAGGATCGAATTTGCGGCAGCGTGGTGTTCGGTGAAGGTGGGACAAAGGTCTCGATTCGTCCGAACGCAACCTCAACGCTTGGAATCGCCTACGGCTTGGACACCTTCCGCGCAGTCTCTCTGAGACCACGAGCATCGTCGATGCAGGGCTACTTTCTGAGCGGTTTTTTGGGGACACAAGCAGTGGTGAACGATTTTTTGAGGGCCGATCATGCTGCGCGATCTGGAAGTGGAGGATCTGGAACAGCACTGGCATCGAATAGCTCTTCCGCGACACCTCGTTTCGTCTCCCAGAATGTGTCTATCGCCTCCTTCGGCGTTCCTAAACACCAGGATAACGCTGTTTTGACCTTCTCCGGTAGCAGACTTTGGAACCAAATTTGGTTTGCCTTTTGTTTCCCTGTTTTGCCTGTCGCTGGTAAGATTCTACGGGAAAAAGAGTCTAAAATCAGGGATGGCATGCGCATGATGGGTTTGCGTGATGCTGCGTTTTACTTGGAAGATCTAGTCTTCAATGCCTTGATTGCGATTCCTGTTGCGTTGTCGGCTTCCGGGACACTCTGCATTCTGCCGGACATGGTGTTGTACAGCAGTCCATTCTTGATCTTTCTGCTGTTCTTCTTCACTTTGTGGCACACGTTGCAGTTTGCGGTATTCCTCACGTCGTTTTTCAGCAGCAGCTTATTTGGGAAGATCGTGTGTTTTGGCGCCGTCTTTATGAGCTTGCTGTTTCTGGAGTTGACCGACGGTGGGTGGGAAACGACGCAAATTTCGTTTTTGGGTCTGTTTTTGCCTGGTTGTGCGTTCAAATATTCGATGGCCGCATGGTTGGAGCTGGAATTGATGACCGATGGTCTGACCACGAAAACGATTCACTGGCGTGAAGACCGATTTTCAGTTTTGGACGCGATTGTGATCCATGTTGTGGGGTTGTTCATGTACACGTTCTTGTTTGCTTATTTCGACCAAGTTGTGCCCACTGAATTCGGCGTACCGCAACCTTGGTATTTCCCTCTCACAAAGGCGTTCTGGCAAGACCAAGTGTTGGGATGGAATGCGAACGAGAACGAGGACAAAGAGAGTTCAAAAGGGGATGCCAATGATCTTGTGCTGGAAGGAGGTGGTCGTGAAGATGAAAACGACTCTGCAGGAGCTCAGAATGGAGTCGCTTTTGAGAAGCGCACTGAGCAACATCGTGATGCTGAGCGAAGGCATGAATGCGTCAAGGTTTTTCATTTGCGCAAAGAATTCTTCGTCGACAATTCGAAGATTGTTGCAGTGGACGACTTTTCTACGACCATGTACAAAAACGAGATCTACGTTCTACTCGGACACAACGGTGCTGGGAAAACGACTACGTTTTCGATGTTGACGGGCTTGATTCCGACGACGGCTGGAACCAGTAATTTTTTCGGCGCGAAGCATCAGAACTTCTTCACCCATAGCAGGGACAAAGTCGGAATTTGTCCACAATTTTCGGTGCTGTGGCCACAACTGACAGCTTTAGAGCATCTAGTCCTCTTTGCGATGTTTAAAGGTGTGTCAAGAGCAGAGGCCCAGCGTGACGCGAAGGAGCTGTTGCGAGAACAAGGCATGGAATTCAAGAAAGACGCTTTAGCGAGGACGTTGTCAGGCGGAATGCGAAGGAAATTGTCATTGGCTATCGCTTTTACTGGCAATCCATCAGTTGTTTTCCTTGATGAGCCAAGTTCTGGACTCGATACCAGCGCTCGTGCCGAAATGTGGAATCTGCTGCGTACTCGCAAGGACGGTCGCGTCATCGTGCTCACAACGCACTACATGGACGAAGCCGATGCCTTAGGAGATCGCATCGCTATCATGTCTCAAGGTCGCATCAAATGCTGTGGGAGTCCGAACTTCCTCAAAAACGTCTACGGGTGCGGCTACAACTTATCGTTCACTTTAACGGAGTCTGCAGTCTCGAAGAACGCTGGAGCAAATTTGTTTTACTTCTTGCAGGAAACACTGAAGCCTCATGACGTGAAACTACTTTCAGTAGCGGGAAAAGACATGCTGTTCTTAGTTCCGTTCGAAGCTAGTGCAAGGTTTGAGAGGGCGTTTGGATTAGTGGAGGAGTACAGGGATGCCCTGAAAATCAAGAGCTGGAACTTGTACGTTTGCAATCTAGAAGAAGTCTTCCTGAAGATCGCTAGCGACGAAGAAGAAGCGCTTGCTGTGGCTGCTACTAATGGCGAAGGTGGAGGAAGCAAGAGCAAGAGGACTTCTACAACTGATGCTTTGTCGAACTTGATGATGGGTGGTGGAGGTGGCAAAGAAGTAGTAGGACAGCAAGGTGGCACCATTGTGCAAGCCTCGACTCACCAAGCCACTCAACATCACGCACTGATAACCGCCGCTTCGCGTGAAATGTCCAAGGAGGTACCATCAAGAAGCGCCACAAAGGACGTGATCGAGAAAATCATCCGTGGTGAAGCGCCAACAGGGAGTGCAGCTGCTCAACTTCTGCAGCAACAGCTGGAGAGGGAACAAGCAGGCATTAGTGTGAGGAATAGTAGTACGACAGGAGGTGGAGGTTCGCCAGGAGGATCGCTAATTGCGAAGGACGGGGAGCATAGTATGTTTCCGCCAGCAGATAGCGGTACAAGGAGTGGTGCTGGAGCTGCGACACTAATTGGCCACACGGACGATCATAGGGATTTTGAAGATGCCCATTCTGTTAGCGCCAAAGAAGTTCAAATCTCGCATGAATCAGTGTTACATACACCAGCAGCCGAAGCGGAACGAGAAAAATCCGCAACTTCTTCTTTTTCACTCTACTCGAATGACAAGGTCGTGCCAGCTGAGCTATTAGGTAACGGCAGTGTAGGCGTTGCTGGTGTACCAGCTGGAAAGCCGGGCACTGGGGACGATGGTGGCAGTCCTTTAATCGCTGGTACTTCTAGTGCAACTAAGAAAACCAAAACCAGTCCTGCTAGTCCTACAGATGGAACTGGGCCTGCATCTAGTGAGCAGAATCAGTATGGCGTGAGTGTCAGGCGTCAAATGCGAGCTCTGCTATGGAAACGCTACTTGAACGCCAGAAGAGATTGGATTACTACGTCAGTGCAGCAGAGCTGTCCAGTTTTGCTCGTGTCGCTGAGCATTATCTTCCTCCTAATCAGCTTCAAGGACTTGCCGTATAGGTCTTTGGCTTACGACGTGAACTTCAACCTGGAGTTGGACGATGCGAATGAGCGTTTCGTGGTACCAATCGGCTTTTCGGACATGGATAACCCTACAATTTTCGATGCTCCGACGAATGTCGGAGGTTTCAACGGTGAAATCCCGAGAACTCTGCGGTCCACGGAACGAGGTGCTAAACTCCCTTTGTGGGCAGTTGATCAGCCATGTCCGACAGAAGGCGGCTGTAAAAGCTTGTCTAGCGGGGCGTCAGCTGCTGCATTATTGACTGCTGCAGACTCCTCTCAGTCCGAATCGTTGTCCACCTCGAGCGCCGCCATTTCAGGCAGTCAATGTCCTGCCGGTCAGCAGAGCGTCTATGATGGTGTTTTGTCGTTTGTTTTCTCAGCGTTTCAAGACCAGGTGGATCCGTTTGAGGGTGGCTTTGGTGGAGGAGGTGGCGCGGTGGCGAACAGCGATGGCCAAGACCAGAGTGCCACGGCGACTGGAAACGCCACTTCGGCGACTAGCTCCACAACTGCTGCATCCATGGGATTCGCAACGGCAAGCGGCAGCTTTTCAACCAGTTCTATGGCGATCTCTCGATTGCCGACAATCGATCAGAAAAACGCTTCGCGACGCTTAGTCTTTGCTCTAGAGGATGCAGTGAAAGGCAGACCATTTGACTCGTCTGCTTACGGTGCGATGATGTTTGCGGAGAACAAGAACGTCATGCTGCACGTGAATCACACGGGCTATCACAGTGCACCGATCATGCTGCAATACTTCTACAACTACTTAGCAAGGTTCGATATGGAGCAAAGCTCTAGTAGAGTTGGCAGAAGTGGTTCATCTCCATCCCCTTCTCCCGCTGTCGACGTCGCCATCCATCCTCTACCTCAGACAGACCATCAAAAAGCTTTTCGGCTACGTTTTCAATCTTTCTCAATCGCTTTCAACGTGATGATATCTTTCGCTTTCGTCAGCTGCTTCAGCTTGACTTTCATCGTGATGGAGAAGGAACTGGAGATCAAAACCCAGCAATTCATCAATGGCGTAGCGATTCCAACGTATTGGTTTTCGAACTACATCTTCGACTTCTGCACCTTCATCTTCCCGATACTCTCACTCTTAGCAGCCCTCTTTGCCTTGGAAGTGGTCTCGCTGATTGGACCAGATTCTCTGCCGGTGTTTGTCACCCTGATGGTGCTCTTCGCGATGGCGATTCCTAGTTTCTTTTACATCTGCGCGCACTTCTTTCGGACAGCGGAGTCGGCACTAACGACTGCTTTGGTAATGAATCTCATCATTGCCACTATCCTCTTCTTATTGGTGACCGTATTTGAACTGATGCCGTTTCCGTTGACGAGGCAGATGGGTAGAGGAATCTCCGGGATAGCAAGACTGTGGCCCGTGTTCATTATGATGAACATGGGTTGCGTCGTGGTAGTGTAATTTCAGTAGTTGCGTACTTACCCGTAAGAAGATTTACAACCCCGCGTTCGTTCTTGAGTGGTATATTTCTCAAGAACTTTGCTTGCAGTATTCATGCCTCATCGTTTTTTTAGTTCGGACTGGCTAGTAGATCTAAAGATCAATAAATGAGTCTCAAATCTTCCTAACTTTCACTGCCACTTATCTCGTCACGCTTCATCCGTCAATAAATGAATCTCCTGCTGCTCTTCTTCTAATCTTTCCTTCGGCGAGGGCGTCCGTCGTATGGCTTTGGTCTCCTTTATTTGGGGTCAGCAGCCGCCAGATTCCCTTTCCCCAGCCTATTTTCGTGACTGTGAAGAACGGTACAATCGCTATGAAATCGGCGGCCATTATTGCGCTCAGTCCATGTGGGACGGATTCGCCGCAGGTGAGGCTTTAGTCACACTGGCTCTGCAAGCAGTGTTTTACTTATGGCTGCCCCTAATCCATCTCTACTATACATAGGGATCATCCCTCAAGCAACATATGATGCACATGCACACCAACACAAGGGAAACGCTGAGGACGCATAATATGCTTGAGGGATTATTTCCACAGGGATGAATAGGGGAGAGGTCTAATTTACATCGCTATCGCGATAGCTATCGACTTGGCACAAGATGACATTAGACTGAGGCAGCAATTTTTGGAACCCGAGTTCAATCCAGCAGTCAACAGAACCGCAGCGGTTCGAGAATTGAAAGATGGTGACGTCAGGGAAGAAGAGAAACGCATAGTGGGAATGTTGGAGGCGGAACTGGCGAGAGGTGGAACCACGGGTAGTATTAAGGCTTGGGAGTTGACATCTCTATGCGCGTCTCTATGTCTTCTTCAAGTAGGAAAGCCACAGATACGCGAGCTAGAGATGCCAACTTTCAACCCCTAATAGTAGCTCTTCTAGCAGCAGAGGCGTCGTAGATGTAGGTCCCGAAGAAGCGGACAAAACATCCATTTACTTCAAAAACGTATCGAAGCTTTTCAGAGTGTCCACACGTTCCGCTGTAACAGAAGAGGTTGATGTCACTGCATCTATAGAGGTAGAGCAGCAAGAACCATCAAACGAGGCGAACTGCTCAAATGAAGAATTACAGGGCTTGAACAATCCTAGCACAGCGTCTTCTTCTACTACACCAAGAAAACCTTCTACACGCGAAAAGATAGGCCGTAAGGCGATTCTCGCTATGAAGCGTTTCTGGGAGTTTCTTCAAGACAGCAGCGATTGTATGCGCAATTACTGCTGCTGCTGTTGTTGCAAGGCCAGACGCGGCAAACGTGTCGTGCGCGACGTCCACGCTGTAAGGGATTGCAGTTTTGCCTTAGAGAAAGGTGATGTATTTGGCCTCTTAGGTGCCAACGGAGCCGGCAAGACTACGACGTTTCGCATGATGTGTGGCGTCACTGTTCCAGCGAAGGATCCCGAGTCACAAATCCGCATTCATGGCAATGATATTTTCACGAATCGCGCAGCCTGTAGGAAGCTGATAGGCTATACCTCACAATCGAATCCCCTATGGATGGGTATGACAGTGAGGGAGCACTTGGCGTTCTACGCTATGGTAAAGGGCATACCAGAAGCAGAGCTAAACGCAACGGTGGACAAACAGATGGCGGACCTGGATTTGCTGTCGTATGTGGATAAAAGGGCTACGAATCTGAGTGGAGGGAACAAGAGGAAATTGGTAAATTTGTAAGTTTGTCCTTGTCAGATCTGAATGAAGGTCTTCTTGGTTACGAAGACATCTTCATCGTACTTATAAGGATTTCGATGCTTTTCTTGGACGTAAGGACTTCGATTGTTCTTCTCTTGTGGCGCAGTAGAAATATCTGCTTTATTATGTAAAATAAAAGTAAATACCGAGGATGAAAAATATCAGGTAATCGCCATGTCCCTGATCGGTGCCCCGCCGATTCTCTTCCTGGATGAGCCTTCCGCGGGTATGGATCCAGCAGCGAGGCGCAAACTTTGGGGGATCCTCCACTGGATAGCCACCAAAAGCAAAATGAGTACCGTAGTGCTCACAAGTCACATTATGGTGAGCATTTATCCATCTTTCGCGGCATCTTGATCCCCTTTTGGCTTGTATTCTTATGAAATACAAGGGGAAAGGGCAAGGGGTCGAGATGAGGGGACCAAGATGGATTCAAGCTGAGTCTAATCACAGCATGAACGAAGTCGAAGCTCTCTGTAGCAAGCTGTGCATCATGACAAACGGCGTTTTCCGTTGTATGGGCTCTCTTCCACGAATTAAGGACTTGTATGGGCGCGGCTTCGATTTGTATGCGAAGTTCCGGTTACCACGACGTGACGAGACGGATTTCATACTGCAGAAAGTCTTGGGGTTCGACTTGGCTCACAGGGAGTCAGACCTGCAGTTTGTGCAGGCAGCAGCTTTACTCGAGGAAGCGACGAACAGAGGGATGACGGATCGGCTGATGGAGTTGACGGAACAGATGTTTGGGGATGCACTGGTGGCTGGAAAACAGAGTATTATTCTAGGGGCCGACGCAATGCCCAACAAGAATATAGAAGAGGACGAGAATGTTGACAGTACTAGTAGATTTAGTCCTGCTGCAGGTGCACGAGACCTCCAAGACGACGCCTCAGCAATGATGTACTCGCATCCTCTAGAGGAACGCCGTCGAGTAAGCGAAATGCAGCGAAAAGACCCCCGCGAATATCTTAGACAACTTCTGGAGGAGAGATCTTCCGTCTTTCCACATGCTTCGAGGCTGCACAACAAGGACGAAAAAACTGCTGAAGAGTGGAGGTTGATCCGCCAGGATAGAGTAAGACTCGCAGCTTTTGCAGAATGGTTTTTGTTCGCTTTGTGGCGCTTAGCGTTTTCGGAGTTTGTGCACAGCAGAGTTCCAGGTGCTCGCGTTCAAGAGCAAAGGCAGAACGTGCTGTTCTTTTCTTATGACAGAACGAGAACATAAGCATTAGCATAGTAACTACGTACTGTACATCATCATAGATGCTATTATATATGTAATCAGTTATACAGTTTCAGTAGTGAAGATGCTGATACATAGTGTAGTTCTTAGTGATACTCACTTTTATGTCTTCTACTACGACTCACTCGTGGAACAGATCTGTCTGTGTGTATTCCTCTAATGTTGAATCCAGCAAGAACAGGACGACGATAACGCACACAAAGCAACCTCCACTGCACCGATACCATTGGGAAAGTTGTTTGGGTTGATGGAAGCGCACAAGAATCGATTCAACGTGATGGAATACGCCATAACACCGACTACTCTGGAGCAAATCTTCAACAACTTCACATATGCCCAAATTGGCGAAGATGATGTGTATGAGTAGCTCTGTGAGTTGAGGGTGTTGACGATGCACGATTATGTTGAACACATGTTATTTTCTTTGGAGTTCAGTGACGTGTTCAACACTAAAACTAATCATGGTTGTTCCTTATATGCAAAAATGCAGATTCTGACTCTTGCAAGGAATTCACGGCGATTATCGTCGATCCCCCATCACTCCCTTCATGATATATTAATATCCGCAGCAAGCTTCTGCACAAGTTGCTCCTAAGAGAAGAACTGCCTCGTGACTCCTGAAGAAGAGTCCGGGTCTGTTTTCAGGGGATCTTGAAGTGAGTCAATCTAGGACATCTGCTATAATTGTATCTTCTATACCCCATGGCTGGGCATACTACTAGTAGTAACTACTCGTAGTTGTAGTTGTACTAGTGCGAACACATTACGACTAGGACGAGTTGTTATAAGTGATGAGGACGAGCAGGGCGACAACTTTGCTCTCAGTTGCTCACAACCAGTGACATCATCACTTATTATATCTTCACGACTAAGTAGTAGACACTTGTTTTTATCAATGATTGTGAGGGATAATTGGAGTTTGAATGATCTGAAAACCATGATAACCAATCCGACCACTATCCGTGTGTTCTAGAACACAAAGCAACCAGTGTCCTTTTACCTGCAGATGAAAACACATGTTGTTGCGGGTCCTTTCATCTATGAAGATGGGTGATCGTGCTTTGCGATGTTACAAGTAGGATTTTGCGATCTTACAAGTCGGGTTCAAAGATGAAAAGAACAGAAGCTGGAATCTTGTTCAAGAGCCCTGCAGATTGATGATTCGCTATTAAGATCAAGATGGGAAGGATCCGTGTTGAAAATCGAAAGCACTTAGTTGAAAGCTAGGTAGAAGTAGAGTTCGGACAAAGAAATTTCAATCAAGATTTTACACACGTAAACAAGGAGCAACAAGAACTGACCGTGACATTAAGCAATTATCGTACAAATACGGTTTCACTCTTGCTCTTCCTAGTTTTTTAGAGATATTTAGAATGACGATGCTCGGAAAAAAAAAGGTTGGCGATGCCCTGCGGCGCTTGGAGCAGACAGCAAAACTAGCGAAGCTTGAAGACGATAGGACTCCAAGGTACTTCTTTTTTTTACTTCTAGAACAAGTTGAAGATTCCACCTTTTACATCTGCGTACATCAGTTGACGAGTGAAAGTGAATCACTCACACTGATAGTAAGCCCGTAGTTCGCGACATCACCACCCTCATCTAAAGTCTTCTACCACACCGTCCTTTTCCACGACAACTTCACAGCTACATAACAAAGCTGCAGGATTTTTATCGCGAACATTCTCTTTGCGTCGCCCGCCTTGCGGGAAAAGCACGAGCCCGATTCCTTCAGCAGCGTGATGACCTCGAAATTCAGTCTCCTGGAAAGGAGGTCATGGAGAACCTGTTGGATTCCTTGTTAAGGCCACTTTACGACATCGTCGAAAGGGTGACTGATGTGAATTGTGAAGCACTACTATTTACATAGAAATAGATCTTCCAGGTTTTTTCAGTATATTATACGCCACGACCGTGCAGCTGTAGCTCTAATGTTGACCGAAACCATGCGTAGCCGCGTGAATGCCGTCTTCTGCGTTTACGGTCCACAAGGTGCTGGTCGGAAAACGATAGTGCAGACGTGTCTTCGAAAACTGGCGCCGTCTTGGACGCAGTTTTTTATGTGGTGATAAGATTCCAAATGTTTTAGGCTCGTGTTGAACAAGAACCAAGGAAACGAATGCAGTTTTTATAATAAATACGTCGTCGTGATTGGGCATCACAGCTTCGTAGGCCTTCCCACTCTTACTCTACTCCTCTAATCCATGCGATCAACCTGTACTGGCTGGCCAGAGGCGGGTAGCCACTCCTGGAGGAGAGCCTGATGCAAAACGAACCCGTTGTGGCACACCCGAGGTAGCAAGAAGTGGTCGACGACTCAAAGTACGACAACCAGAACAAGACCTTCGCTCGTCTGAACAACAGTCACAACCTTCTGGATGTAACAACTTAATTAAGGTCGGCACGTCGTCATCCTGCGCATCATCTTCGCAACCTTCGAATATAGCAGGTTCGAACACAATCATGTCCACAACATCAACCTCCGCATCATCCACTAGTGCGGCCAACAAGAACAAGTCTCGTGTGTTGAAGCCCATTTACCTGGCGAATACGACTGTGATGGATGACCAAGCATTGTTCCGTAGCATGATCCACCAACTGGGCGAGCACGAGCAAGTAGTAGCCGATGATAATAGCCAGCGGTTGCAGTGGCTTTCGGAATGGATCGGATTTTATACGAATTATGGCGGCAACATGATGAATCGAACAGTACTCATTCTTTTTCTGTTGCAGCATGCAGCATTAGATTGTGAGTGTGACACAGTATGGGAGGGCGAGAGTGAAAGATATTACTTCAGATAGACTAGTACCCACTTTCTTACCACAGTAGTAGTAGTAAGTACTTCATCTCTTCTAAGAAATACAAGGCTATTCCGTTGTCCTTGTGGTGGACGAGTTTGAGTCGCTGCTCCTGGGTGGGACAGACCGACTTCTCTACAGTGTTTTCGACATGATGACGGACGAAAAGCGAGTGTTTCACTTTTTCATCGTCGGCGGCTGCAATGACCCTGGAGTCTTTTCTAGACTCAACAAGCGCGTTCTCTCTCGCCTAGAGTTGAACGCTTTCCACTTACACACGCCATCGTTGGTGCAGATTGTCGATATAGTCCGAGCTCATTGGAAATATGCGGTAGAGGATCATGAAAGTGTATGGAGAACGGGTTAATAAGGTGTTTTGCCAGAACTAGACAATCACTCCTCCTGCAGTCTTCATTTAAGATCCATGTTTCAACAACATTTTTTCAAGCATCCTCTTCCTCTCCATGATAATGTCCTTGCCCTCCAGGATCCCTCCTTCACCACTTCTCTTTCATCCCCTCCCCTCTCTGCCACGGAAGGCGAATGGTACACGAATCTGGACATGTTGTTGCATTTCTACGAACAAAGCAAGCTTTGGCAAGAGGCAATAGAGAATGGTGCGGACATCCGATGGTTTCTTCGGCAAGCTATTGGCCAATATCGAGAGTTTTTCCAAGGCAGGATTGCGGAAGTGGCAATCCCTGTGGCGAGAGTGATGGAGGTACTTACGTTGTAGACTCTATCTTAAATACCCTGCAAGCATTTATACCCCACGATTGGGTACAACACTACTACTACTCCTAGTGCTGCCATTGACTGTCTTCTGCACTAACTTTACGACCCCGAGCACCAGCACATAGCACATATATGGATTTTATCCTAATTATCCACTTGTGTGTGTTAATGTTATTCTCACCGCCGACCTCCATCTTTTCTCCCAGCTCGCCCCTTGGATCGAAAATGGTCGCTGGTTGCCAGAGAGTCTAGATGAGTTCGATTGCGTCAACCTGGTCGCACTTCATAAGTTGCAACAGAGAAAAGGGACTTGCGACGCCAAAGCGTGGCGAGATGTCTGGCGAGAGATCAACGCAGGTCTGCTCTCTTCACGCGGACAAGACGAAGAGCTTACCTATAGAGGAAGTTTTGATTATGATAGTTACCCTTTTCTCTTTTATATCTTCCTCTGTCTGGTCTGCCTTTTTTCTAGTTAGGTCGGCTCCACCACAATTATGGTGTTGTATTTTCCTTTGCTACCTATAGAGGATGTTTTGACTACGCCCACGGTTTCCTAATTACAGGTTTTTAGCTCCACCACTGTTATGCTTATGGTGTCGTAGAAGTATGTACGTAGTTGTGCGTTCGATTGTTTCATCTGGCAGCTGCTTAGTAAGTCACCTCATCATCATTGTTGTACAGAATTACAGCGGCAGCGCGTACTACAAAGTAGCAACTTCCTGATCACCTTCCGTTATTTCTCAACTTCCTGATCCGTACTACAAAGTAGCAACTTCCGTTATTTCTCAACTTCCTGATCAACCGACGTAGAAACTTCTACTAGATGGTTCTTCTTGAGTCCTCAAGTCAAAGTTCTAACTCAAAAAGCTTCTACGACTTGGCTTCGTCAAGCATATGCCTACGGAGAAGGCGTGGGAGCATGGACTTGTATTCTTCGCTGCCCAAGATCAATTAAGGGTTGGAAGTTGGCATCTCTATGGGCATCTCTATGGTCCCTTCAAGTAGGAAAGCCATAGTAGATATGCGAGCTAGAGCGGTCAACTTTCAACCCCTAAATCAAGTCGAAGCGTGGATCCGAGACTTGAGGACTTCAAACAAACACAGCAACAGTGGGACGATGAGCAACTACAACAGCTGCTCTGCAACTGCTTTCGCAAGTGGAAGCAATGCTGGATCAACTGCACAGTCGACGTTTCTGCCAAAGAACCCACTACGAGTTGGATTTTCAACAGCATTTGAATCTTGGGCAAAGAGGTTGGAAAGTGGATCATGATGATGATTTCCACCCTAGATAAAATTGTTGCGCCTGATAGATTTCTTTGTTGACTGAGCATTAGCATTAACAAGTAAGAACCGTTCGTGAGTTTCATCGACAAATATCATCGGGATGTATTCACTAGAAGAACCCGACAGTAATATCTTTGCGTCATTCTGTCCAATAGACGAGCGTCGTTGGTGACTGATTCAAGCTTTCTGTTGATTTAAAAGGAGAGATGCACAGCAAACCGGATGAATGATGTTTTTCCAAAAGCGAAATTGAAACAAAGAAGCGTCAATCTGTTTCTTATCCTTAATAATGTCGTTGACCGACGAGAAGACGAGTGAATTTTCAGTGAAATATCATCTGAAGACTGTAAGGATGACAAGCCATATCAACGTTCATCATCCAATTTTGATCCAACACGTGATCTATACAGGCATCCTTTTGTGGTTCACCCACCCATCCCTCATTTATCCCTCGTGAATTTGATAGTGTGCAGTTCTTTTTTGTCTATTCCCGAGTAAACTGGTCTATACTCAATTCGATGCTAAGTAGTTTGTAATCGATCTACTGTCCAGACCTTTATTTCAAACGTGGCAGTTATTTGATGTGCTCTACTCAAGTGTGTTTTTTCATACCCTCGATATTATCATCCATCGAGCAGTAGCAACTTTATTGTCATATTTATAGAGTAAGAGTAACATGTTTCGCCGTCAAGCCTCTAAACTGACTAGCTATGCTAGTAGGAGGAGAGGCCATTGACAGGTGGACACATGCATTTTCATCAATGCGTTCCAAATAAGTATACGAAAGCTAGTGTCGTGCAGTAAAAAAAACCTACTAATTCCATTGTGCTAGTCCTAGCCAGAGACATTTTCTTAAAGAGCTTCATTGATTTGCATACTTTTGCATGATCACTGTAAAGAAATCACGAGTAAGATTCCAAAATATTGTGTGCAGTCAGACTTACCTCTCGTATACAATCTAAAGTAGGGCGAGGGCAAGTTGTCGGTACTCCCCAACTTGCTGTCGTACACGTACATTACATACATGTTTCTTTTTGTCACAGATTTTTCCACCTAACGAACTCTTTGTGTTTGGGGTGAGTTATTAATTATGTATTCGTTTTTAATTAGCGGAGTTTAACTTGGAGATAGTTTTCTAAACCTTCTTCGCACGTACCTCTACCTACCTTCGTCCACTAAGCTTTCCTTTTATTTATATGCTACTCATGAAAATGATGGGCAGCTTAACACCTTTGCGACACATGCACGCTCAGCCGTGTCGTGCTAACTTGTTGGGAGCAATGAAGGTCTTTTTGATCTTTATCTCTCTGCAAGTTGTTGCTGAGCAGGTTGCTGGAGACCATGTTGACAGGAGCATGGATGAAAGCGAACAGCGAGTACCAAAGCGTCGCTTGCCCAGTAGCAAAGGTAGTACTCCTGTCTATCCGACCAACTGTTATGGCACCTGGAGTTCGTGGACCAGTTGCAGTGGTGGAGCGGCGCAGCAGACGAGAACGTATACGATTTACACCTATCCTGCGAATGGTGGGAGTCAGTGTCCCTATTCGAACGGCGCAACTGAAAGCAATGCCTGCCCTACAACAACCACAACGACCACGACTACGACGGTCGTGACCACGACTACAACTACTACTCCGGAGCCAACGACGACGACGACGACTACAAGTACTACTCCGGAGCCGACGACAACTACGACGACGACAACGACAGTCACGGAAACAAGCACGACCACGACTACAACGACGACTGAAACGACAACAACGACAACCACCACGACGTCGAGCACAACCACCACAACGACAACGACGGTCGATCCGAGCGCCACAACCACCGTCGCTCCAGTCCCGGGACAGGCAACCACGACAACGACCACGACGACAACCACCACGACGTCGACCACCACTACAACAATCACGACAACGGCACCAGGAACAACGACTACGACGAGTACCACCACCACGACAACTGTGGCACAAACTACCACTACTGTAGCATCTTCAGCTACTGCAGCACCGGCAACGACTGTAGTTGTAGCAAGAACTACAGCGACTGCAGTTACCACGTCCGCCTCGACGTCCGCGCCAGCTGTAACAACTTCAACACCAACATCGACGGCATCTCCAGCTACGACGGCGGGCACAAGCGTCGTCACAACTTCCATAGCACCCACTACAACAGCAAGCCAGATCGATGATTCTAACCAGTCTTCCGCAGCGGAGGTCCTCGCTGTGTCTCCTCAGTTTCGCTTCGCACTGAGTTCTGGCGTTACGACTGCCTCACTAGCAGCGAATCCTGTCTTCGAGGATGCCATGTGCTCGAGCATGCTGACCACGATGACATTTTTGCAAAACAGTCAATGTCGAGTTGTGGGGGTAAGAGCAGTGCGAAGACGGACGGTTGGGTTGGAAGAAAAAGGTCGTGATGGTGGTGCTTTCTTCGAGAAGGAAGATGTCGATCTCGATGAAGATGAAGATGAAGTTGAACAAGGCAACATCCTTGTCGAGAAGCACATTAACCACGTTGACGTTGACTATAGGAAACTGACCTCTACGACGTCTGTCGTCGAGACCCCATTGCAGGTGGACTTTGAGTTTTCGGTTTCTACCTCTGGAACAGGGAGTACACTTGCAGAGGTTGCCCAGCAGATGCAGAGCACACCAGTTTCCTCCAACCTTGCGACTATGGTGAACTCTAAAATGTCGGCTGGTGGTAGCAGCGCTGTCACAGTACAGTCGATCGTTTCGTCCAGTTTGCAACCTGTTGTCCAGCCTGTGATCACGGTGAATTGGGGAAGCATGCTACCTGTTTACTTAAGGCTTCTTCTACTTCTATTAATCCATCTTGTTCTTGACGGACAACATGATCCTTAACAAGAGGGATCTCAAGGGGAAATTGAGGTGCTCCTTAGTTAAGAGGCATCTCAAGATGGATTAGGGCGACCGCTAATTTACCCACAGAACACTCCAGCAGTGGCAGTGAAGGAGTTTCGTCCCGTGTTATGTCCGCGTGGATCGAAGTTGCGGTTCGACTGGGGTTCATCTAGAAGTGGAGGTGGCTCCAGCACAAGTAGAAGTGTAGACTTACATCGAGTATCCTCGGAGTCGGAGTACGTGACCTGTTCGGTGTCTACAGCCTTGAGCACGTCAACTCTGCTCTTGGCCGGAAATGCCGGGACTAGTACGCCCTACGACTTTTCCTGCGACTCCACTACGGAAGTGGGGAGTTACTTCTTCGTCACCGGAAGGAACTCGGAGTGCGTTGGCAAAGGGCACCGCATTCGTGTCCAGGTGACCGATCCGAGTCTTACCTCCACGTTGCGAGCTACTTTCAATCCAGAGACAGGCGCAAATCACTGGAGTCTGGCCATGATGTTGGAGTCCTACATGATTCCGGCAGATCGAAGAGGAGGCTTTACCACAGATTCGGAAGCAGATTTGGCTCAGAAGTATTTGTGGTGTGTGGAGCCACACGCGCCGGCCAGTTGCGCCGACTATTTATCAGCTTCTTCGAATACGCGGGAGCGTTGTCTGGCAAGTGTCGAGTCTGATATAGGTTATGCTTTTCGCAAGAGGCCAACGCCGGATTTCGTGAAGTCTGAAGAATACTACGATAAGGCATTGGCAACGCAGCCAGAATTCTGTCAAGCTTTATCGTACAAAACCGAACTCTACCTACAAATGGGCACGAATCTTGTAGAAGCGGGGAGTCTATTTCGACGTGCGTGTACTAGCTGTGGCCGGGAGAGCCTCGATCTGCGACATGTGGCGGTCAGCTATGCGGAAAAGGGCTATGCATTGCCTTGTGGAAGTGCTTGTAGTGACTTGCTGGCGCCGCAAGTTTGTCAGGATCCTCTTCCGAATGCTGTAGCGACGCACGGCTCAGGTGGATCTTCTGGTAACGGTGCATCCGGTCGTGCGGGGGAAGGTACTTCCTCATTCTCTGCAGGAGCTTCTACTGCTTCTGCAGGTTTTGATCTCTCTTCGCCTATGGGATTGGGCCTTTTAGCAGGTGGTGCGATCATCGTTTTAGCCTCTCTAGGCTTCGCCACGCGCATTTTCAAAAGCCGCGCGAAAGGGGAGGACTCGAGTGTAGAAGAAGAAGACGAAGGAAGTGGTAGTGCAAGCGGTAGTGGACAAGGAGGTGAAAAACAAGGGGACTATGCTCGGGATCTCGAAAAAGGAGAAGGACAGCTACTTCCTGAAGCAATGAGTACAGCGAGTAGCAGTACAACAAACGTGAAGTATTATAGCAAGAACAAGATGTTGAGTGCTAGAACAATGAAGACGAGCAGCACGAACAAGAGCACAACAAAAGTTGCTGATATTTACGATGTGGATGGCGTCAATTGTGATGTACCTCCACGAGGACGAAACAAGCAACCAGCTAATTGTCGCTCATCAACGGGAGACGACTCAACATCGGCTTCGAACACTTCCAGCACTAGCATTCGCGGTGTCAAAATTGAACCGCAAACCCAAGATGAATCTGCAACCGGTGAGGTTAATACAGTCATGACCTCAGGAAGAAGCAACAAAGCTAAGAAGAATAGGACGCCATGGTCTCAAGAAGACACCTTGCGACAGGCCCAAGCGGAACGAGCTAGAAAGCAGGCAATGAGACAATCAACTTTTGAGGAGCAGCAGGCGTCTGCTCAAATATCTGGTAGGGCTTCCAACTCTAGTCGCGGTAAAAATGGTCGTAATGAACAAGAACAAGGAGCAGCAGGAGGAATGCCAGGATCTTCTAAGAAGCCTAAAAAGGTAAAACGCGGCTCCTCTAGTAGTAGAGTCCACGACGACGAAGCTTTACTTGATGACACACTCGAGATGAGCCAGAAGCAACTTCCTTTTCGTGCTTCCAAGCTCGCCGCACTACAACAAGGAGATAGCAGTCACCAGATTCCAAGTATAAGAAACTCGACTTCTTCGGCTGCTGCCCAACAGCAAATGTCGAGTAGACCATCGTTTGGCGGGCCTGATTTCAACAGCCGCGGTTCAGGCGAAACCCAGATGGGATCGATGCAGGGGAGACGAAGCAATAATAAAAGGTGAAGATATCACATTTTTAAGATCATGGGTTTGTTATTGTTTGGACAATGTTAGGAAAAAAGGAACAGATTACAACTTATATATGTGGTGAGTTCAACTATTTCTTGCATTTGATTACCAAGTTGTAGTACTTCAGCGTCGAGTATTATAAATTATTAATTATAATAGAAGTAGACGGAAGATTAGGATTGTGATTCAATTGTGTTGTAGAAATCGTTCATATTGTTTTCAGGCACTCTGTCAGTACTGATGCCGTACTGCTACGTGAGTTGAGCTTTGATTTTGATAGTGTGAGCTTTATGTACAGTACTGTAATGTTTTTTCGAAAGTACTTACAACAACAAGAATGCATGGTATACTTTCAGTTCGATTAGTGCATTTCATTTTTGAGTAAAAAGAGGAGGTAGTTGAGTTAAGATTATGAAATCGTATCAAGAATCCATGTGTCGTAGTCATCATCGACGCGACATCAACATCCATCGGCATTTACAGTACTGTCGTGGGTGTGAGAACAACGAACTAGGTTTGATGTGTCATATTTGATTTGTTTGAAAGGGGCCAACGAAGTGAGTAAAGTAGTCGCGAACTCAATCTTTATAGTATGTCCAGCCACAGCATCTCCGTGTGTGCAGTAGTCATGATATGATTTTTGGAGTGCTTCTCTGGACCAAGAAACAACTTTTTTGCTTGCTGACTTTATGGAGCAAGGATCCACCAGAGGGGATAGCGGATCTGATTGTAGCAGCAAAGAAAAATTTATTCGGGCGGGTTCTTCCTCTGTGCTCGTTGTTTGGTTTGATAATCTTGATGAAGATCAAGGTCGTTGTTCGTCAACAAAATAAGAGGTCGTGAAGAAAGTAACTGACGCTATCCAGGAGGAGTTTAAGAGACGACATAGCTCGGTTTATCTATGTACTTATATGATCTGCGACCACTTGAGATCTGTCTCCTGGTTCATCTACGATTGAAGACCTAGTACAATTCGGTTTGAGCATTACTCTGTTCATCGAGTGCAAAAGTAAGCGTCTTTCTTTCAAATCTGAGGAATGCGGAGGCCGCTACTTTCTGCTTCTACGTTTTTGAAGACGTTGGACAAAAAGAAACATGTTATTCGTTTCTGTTTGTCGTGGAGTAGATCTTGAGGAGCTTTCTGTTGTTTCTTCTCTGGAAGGTTCCTTCGTTGTATGTGAATTACTGGTCAATTTGAGCGGATGCGTGGAGCACATTTCTCGAGCAATCCGATTGATCCTCATCATGTGAACTACTGACCTTCAACTAGACTGAAAACTCATCACTTCACACACAGTGTATCCTACTCCTAGTCCTAGGGAGGTATTGATTTTTAGAAATTTCAATTTTTTTCGACCCAATCCATAAGTTTAGAAGATGTTTTTGCCATCAGATATCCTGACCTTTCAGGAGCTAGTAGAAATTCCCCAACAGTTGAGAAAGTCCATTGAAACTAGAAATGATCATCATGGTTTAGCAACATCAGCAACTACTACCGGATACGTCGGAGCACCATCAGCAACTACCGGATACGGGGTTTCAACATTTATTCTTGTTTTGAAAGGTAAAGGAACAAATAACAAGGATGCTCATAACAAGATAGAAGCTGCTGAAGTAGAAGGAAGTGTTTCAAAGAAAAATGCGCCAAGCTGCACCACCTCCGTGGAGGATATCTGGACCCCCTTTCTCCATAAGGAACAACAACATGAACAAGAAGGCCTCTCCTACAATATCAACCTCGCATTTGAGTTCGCACCAAGGGATTTTGGTGGAATCGAGCATAGTGCGCCACAACCCGCAGAGACGGAGAACACGAAGATTCCTTCGACAAGCATCCGTGTAATTCAATTTGAAGTGCACCAGCAAGACCCTACTACAGCTACACCAAGATCCTACAACAGCGAAGACGGTGTCCCTCTATCTGATGTGAAGAGACTAGGGCAGTCCTATGTGGACTCCGGTGACTGCTGGGAGGTTCAGTTGTTTACAACAGCGTCGCAGTTAGTTTGGACATCAACATCTTCAAGAAGATCTACTTCTACCTCTACGACCACGTGCAATTATTCATCCTCCTCTCCAAGTTCAAGACGTTCACCAACTTCTTGTGCCAATAATTCGTCCCAAGAACGTGACGAGATTGAGCAGTGTTTAACGGCGTTCCAACGATTCGAAGTCGCTTCTGGTAGCTGCAACAACGAACTCGATTTAGGATTGCTACCTGCTTTGTGTGGAGAATATTTCAAACCGGTAACGAATTGCACGACCGGATACGCTCCTTCGAATGAAGACGAGCAGGGGCACGACAAGAACCCTAGAAGTTGTACTAGCACGTCAGGAGGTAGATCTTCACATCCGCAGATCAGGAGCTCCCGCCCTACTTCAATAGATAAAGATGATGGCCAGGAGATCGGCCAGGACAATCCTACTACGAGGACAGGTGTTTTCCTAACAGTTGGCCAATCATGGTCGCCTTTGCTGCTTTTCTACGTTCGTGAGCCCGTCTTGATGTTCGCAGACTTCGATCCAGTCGAATTGCTTAAGGTGGCGTTTCGAACGGAGTTTTTGAGCCGCATAGGAAAAGATGAAGAAAGTCCTCTTACAAGTAGGTGTCCTCGTGGTCTCCGTTTCGCTTCGCCCTCCGCCGCGTGCGTGCCTGACCTAAGAAAATTTGAAGCCCAGGTTGAGGGAGGAGGGCTCGCAAATTTTTGGTTTTGCAAGCCTTCCGGCGATTCAAAAGTGCATCATAAAATTGAAAGAGCAGATAAGAGTACTCGCACGAACGCGATCGTTGCTACGATCCAAGAAACAGTGGACTTTTTGGTCGAGCAGAGGGGTTGCAATCGAGAACGCTTGATGCAGGAGGTGGTTGGGCCTGCCATGTCAGAAGCTGAGGCGTTAGTGCTTGCAGAACAAGCGGAAGCTGCCTCAACCTCACATCTACTCGTCGTGCCGGAGTCCGAAGACGAGACAACCACGTCCCTTGCACATGCTTTCTTCAGAACCAAACTATGTCGTGAAGGATGGGCGCCGTCACTTTTTGGCGCTGAAAAGGAGGGGAAGACGAAGCTAAAGCAGGCTCCTGGACCTGCACGTCGTGGTATACTGCAAGAGAAAAGAGAAAGAACGTTGAGTGATGCCTCGACGCGTGCGCCTTCACTAGTGAGCTATGGAGGAGAGGAAGAGAAGGGGCTTGCGAGCTTGACTAGTTTGAGTGTTGCTGTGGGAACAGGAGACGAAGAACACCTTACCCCCGAAACCGATGAACATCAAGTTGTTTCAAGCTCCACATCTACATCAATCACAAAGTGCGGCAATTCTGCTAGCAACTCCACTCATTTTCAGCAACGTTGTGCGGCTGTCTTTCTTTCCCTCGTAGCTGCATTGCGCAGGTCGAAGGCAGTGGTTTATCGTCATGTGAATATAGTTGCAGATGCGGAGGAACTGTGCAACAGCCTATCAACGTCGCCACTTTCCCTGACGCTGAGGTGTATGAATTGGAGCAACGTCATGCAGTATGTGCCTTGTAACAATGGGCAACAATGGGTACAGGCAAAAAGAATGCTACAGACGTATGGAAAGATGTTTCCGGATTGTCGATTCGTAGAAAGTTATTCTCGATCGCCGCATGGTGGTTTATCGCGGATCCTTACTGGGCAAAAAGCGTGGCTCCGCTATCTAGATTGGAGAGATGGCAGTGTCGCTGAAATTGATGAAAGCGTCGAAGAAAATAGACCAGATTATTATGAAGTAAGTTGTTACACAACAGAAGGTGGGGCGTGTTGGTCTCTTTTCGACTGACCTGATCAGATTAGTTTATTTGACAGCATAATGATCAATTGATTATCCCTAACATCACGACTCCACCACCACCTGAGAGAAATAACGGACGTTTACCGCATTACAATCTCCTAGCCTGTAGCGCCTCTCTTTACCTGTAGGAATCCCTAGGCTGCTTGATCACGTAGAGCATAGCTCATCTTCAGTCTTGGTCGTCCTTCTCCTTCTCCAAAACTTGGGTGAGAGATATGAAAGGAAGCCGTAAGGCTTCTACTCAAGGAAAGAATTAATTACTATCTAATGAAAGCCACTTCAATCTAGACAATTCCATCATCCTTCTTATTATCCCTAACAAGAAAATGAAAATCGATGAATACCTTTCGTGATTTGTACAGATGACTTGACCATGGCCATGGGGACAAAAAAAAGAACATGGTGTTGAAGAACTTCTACGCTGTACTTACTTCTACATATGAGTGTCGTCCGAAGCTCCATAATTACGCAACTTGAACGATTTGAAAACAAGATCTTGCTTGGGTTCGGAAGATGCATAGACTTAATACTTCGTGATAATTAATGACGACCATTTTAACACATAAAAGCAAGACTGCTGGAGACTGTTTGACAGGATGTAGCAGGTCCGGAATCTCATTTTCACATTTTTTTATGGGTCACTAAATTTCATGACTTCATCTGAAGACAGCACGACAACATTTATTCATTTGAAGCTGCGGGAGAGTAGTCATGTGTTTTTGGCTTTCATACTTATTGGTTGATTGTTCTTACCTGGGTTATTTACCGATTCGGCCTCCGCCGCGTGCGTGCCTGGCCTAAGAAAATTTGAAGCCCAGGTTGAGGGAGAAGGGCTCGCAAATTTTCGGTTTTCCAAGCCTCCCGACGATTCAAAAGTACATTGCGGCCTCCGCCGCGTGCGTGCCTGGCCTAAGAAAATTTGAAGCCCAGGTTGAGGGAGAAGGGCTCTCAAATTTTCGGTTTTGCAAGCCTCCCGACGATTCAAAAGTACATGCCGACTCGGCCTCCGCCGCAGGCGTGCCCGACCTAATAAAATTTGGAGCCCAGGTTGAGGGATGAAGATGTTACTCATTCTCTTAATAGAGTGGGTTTAGTAGTTATAGGTGGATGAACACTGCCCAATGCCTCAACGTCGACCTGGGTGGAGCACACAGTCGGAAACCCGAGACGAGTCTTTATGGACTAAATCTTGGGTGGAGCACAAAGCCGGACGAAGCAGCACAAAGTCCAGTAGGCCTACTTACTCAACTTTTATTACAAAATGAAGGCCTCTATGGTCAATCTATGATATTAATCGCATCGAACCCAGAATTCTGGTAGGTGTCGAAGTACAACTGTACTACAACTAGAGGTAGCGCAAATATTGCTATATTGCTCTTATCTTAAATCGCGATGATGTCTTCTGAATCTGATGCTTCCGACTTGTCGAAGTCGATACTCATACTCGGTTTGTTGATACTGATATTCTCTTTGCGAACCCAAGGGTGGGCTATTCATTGTTCTCGATCTCAATCCAGAGAAACTGCTCTCGATCTCAAGTAAGAAGAGGAACCAACTAGTACTTTCGATCTCTCAACAAGAGGAGCTAGCACTTTCGATCTCAACAAGAAGGACTATTCTCGATCCATGTTACGATCTGAATAAGAAGGACAACTTTTTTTTTCAAAAACAAAATTTTTGAAGAAATGATCCGGCAATGGAAGTGAGAGGGTGAGATCTGAAACGAATACTTCCATCTTTCAAAATGACCTCTGATGGGATCCTTGAAGGAACTGAGAAAATACTAGATGATCATCTTCATCCTTTTTTTTTATTCCAATCAAAAAAAAAAGATGAAGATTTTCCAATTCGGGATCATTCACGTCGCGTACCCTCACCGATTGATTTTGCGATTGCGAATGCTTGAGATAACGACAGATTACAAGAACAGGCTGCTTTTCTGAAATACTTCGACTTCCGTGTTTTGACACCTCCTTGATCTTGAAGATATTGATTGACATCTTTTACTTCGACACCCCTTTCGTTTTGCAATTCCCCAGAAGAACTCGTCCAACAACTTTTAACATTGATTTTTTGACCCATCATCGTTCGTAATACATCGAGAAGCAAAATAACAAATCTAGAGACCACAGACCCCACAAAACAGAAAGAACTGAAAGACCCCTTTTGGAAGAATATTTATCCACCTATTTGATTTCCCTTCTTCAATACGTACCTAGCATCGTTATATTTTATAAGTTTTGGACAGCTACGATAGTTACAACACCAAGCTTCGTACTTTTTTCTCGAGTTTTTTTCTACCGTTTTAACATCAAGAAGAGCAAGACCATCTTTCCAAGTCCAAGGAAACGCTAAGCAGTTATATTTTTGTGAGCACCAAACCAACCACTAGAGCCAGCCAACTGTCGTATCGATTCACCATCAAGATGTCTTTGTCCTCTTTGTCTTTTTCCTCTATGATCTGCACCATGAGCCTCATCAATAGCATGGGAGCAGCTCATGCTATAGGTCCTTTATTAAATAACTTCTTACCTCCAGATTTGCGTGTCGAGGTTCTTGCAGCTCCTCATAAGGTCCAGGACTGGACACGAGGACGTGAGATCACACCTTCTAGGGTCCAGGATTGGACACGAGGACGTGAGATCACACGCTATAGGGAAAAACAAGCGGCCTTGGCTGCGGATTTGCGGTTCACAGGCGTCTACTACACCAAGCAAAACCTTGAACTAAAGGGTGCTCAGGCGAAGGACATTGACAAGGACGTGCGCGAGAAGCAACATATCGCGGCAGCGGTGAGTACCCATGATTCTACCGGAAGGCCCTCTAGTAAGAAGTTCGATCATGACGTTCTTGGGCTTCGCGCGGCTCAGGCTCACGAGAAGCGTTTGTTCAATGAAAAGAACACTTTGATGTTTCACCTTCACGGAGGGTTTGTTCCGCGCGACATTGAGAGGACAAATTTGACGTGGAAAGCTCGAGACAAGAAAATGGACGACACGAGAATGCGAGAATGCTTTCGCCATGTGTGCAACACGGATGACCAGTCGGACTCGGTTTCGCGGGAATCTACTCCTGAATCTGATCACGCAACCACCGCAATGCTTCGGCAGGTCACAGTTTTTGTAAACCCAATATCATGGTTGCGCGGGACATACGAAGATGAGGACCAATGGCAATGCTACAAGGTCCGTCACAAGAGTTTGGTACATTTCACGGTGGAAGAGGATGAGAAGCAAGGAGGTGAACAAGACCAGGTGGACCACAGTACCGGTGCCGGGGGTACGTCTACCAGCACTGGTAGAAGTGCGCTTAGGTCTAGTGCTGCTCCCTCCCTTCGTGAGGATTATTTCTTGTTGCGTGACGAGGTTGAGAATCATCCGGACCAGATTCAACAGTACAAGACGAGAATGGCTACTTTTATTGTTAACCGCACCTGCCGTGGGGAGGAGGTTTACCCCTTTTTGCCTAAAGATGTTGTAGAGCGTGCGTGGAAGGAGTCTCAGGATCCGAATATAAAAGTGGTACAGAATCTTTACAACGGAACCGGAATGTAGTCGGATTCGGAACGGTTCGAATCCTCGAGAGGCTGGGCTGCACCACGACCGCAAGAGTCCTCGTCCGCGGTCGTGTCGTCAGAACAGATGATGAGTTACCTTGAGCCGATGTTGCTGGCTTCTGATCGCCGAAGAGCGCCCTTCCCCGGATCAACGCAGTGGTACGATCAGCAGCATGAGCATAGTAGACGTAAGCTACAAGCAGCCCCAGGAGATGAAGGAGGCTTGTTTGTCAAATGGTACGAGCCGACGGTGAGTGCATTAGCAGCTGCACGTGGAACCCTGGAGATGTCGCCACAAAGTCGTTTCGTGAACTTTGCAGATGCTTTGTACCTAAGCCTACGTCCTGGGGAAGGTACATCTTCTTCGTCCAGCTTGCGCATTACACCAGTCTGGTTGGAAAAGCAATTCTTGCTTGGAAAAGATGATGAAGCGGTAAAGTTTGCTCCTGCCACTGAAGTATCGTCTTCGTCCGGGCAGACCGCGTCACAGTCCCCGTGGGCCCAGCTTCAAAATAATTGGGACTGTATTAAGTACTTATTCTCCGCTCCTGTTCCTGTACATGCTTCTACTCGTCATCTTGATGCTCCTCCTGCCGACCACGTTTCGTCTGCTGCGGACCAAACAAGTTCTTTCAGAAATACATGCAAAGACTCTGCGTTTAATGATAAACTCATTCCCCGTCAATTCAGAGAGTACCAGTACTCCTATTTTCGCGCGCAAACCAGGGATCCACCTCGCGGCGCTTTGATGAGAAATCCAGACGCGAAAACAACGCTGCAAGAGATGTTGCGTGGTGCTTTCGGATTCGCTTAGAGAGAGCTCCTCTAATGGAGACTAGATGCATGCACGGGCAACACGGGGAGAAATCATCAAAATTATCATTTATTGAATAAGTAAGTAGGTTTATACGAAGATCACTAACAGGGACTAGTAAAAAGTATGCATAATAATTAGAACAACAGGGACTAAAAGAAAAAGCAGCACAGTATGCATAGGCACCATGTTGGCAAAGGGAACATTTTTAGCAATCAAGAAGTCTTTCATTGCATAGCGTCAATACCGAGATCGCGAGTACAAACGTAAGACAGAAGTAGCAAAGAACTACCACGATCAAGATCAATGATCAACAGCAGAACGGGACTAGATCGTAGATCACACGACAGCACTAGGATCATAATCATCCATGATCACCATAGTACTGCATTAAAGTATTAAAGGACCAGCAAGGTCATAGACAAGAAGCACAGAAGGAAGAACGTCATCAGAAGCCAAAACCAACTACATGAGTCATCTTGTCAGTGGCCGGCCATTTGAGCTATTGCAAATGCCAAAAACCTAGTCGCGCTTTTGCCGGGATATCAGGAACGACCGGGAACCAAGGGCGCAAGTGTGTTCGCTACTTCATAAATAAGACGTGAAGATAGACACGAAGATAGACAGACTCGCAGAAACAGAAAGCAATCAGATGATCATTGTTAGCTCAGATCTTGGGATATCAAGAAGAAAGACTCACAGACACATCATGTTCATGATGAAAAACAAAATATAAACTCAAACTCTTAGTATGTATGAGCAATTACTTAGAGTGAGAAGATCACGGTGCGGACCATGGGGCTCTTCATCTTCTACTAAGATCTAGCTTTGTTTTCACGTTTTGGCAGATTTGTAAAGCAAAAATAGGTGCAATGGAATTTAAAGCGGAAGTGCTGCAATGTGAGAAAGAATAAGGGAGAGGCGATATGACATATCGGATCTATCACAACTCGTCCAGGGGTGATCCTGGAGTGATCCTATTCTTAGGATGGAGATCGTAGGTGTTGGATCACTTGATGTAGCTTTCCAGGAGGTGTGGAGGAGCAGATTGTGTGGAGGTTCAAGGAAGAGATCCCTGTTTAGTACTAAAAGATTCCTGCCTCACATTATTTTCTCGCGGCCATGCAATTGTGCCCCAACAATGCATGTAGAGGCTTTTCTCCAGGGTCTTCTCGAGCCGCAAAGCCTGTGCGACGGAGACGAGTTTCCAGATTGCAAAATAAGAAAGTGATCGCTGAAAATTCAAATCCAAAGCTCAAACCACGACTGTTCGACGCGTTCTTCTTGCTGGAGATCTGGTGCATATTGAAATCCATTTCCTGCATCTTCTTGGGTGACGAGGACGAGGACGCTCTCGCCGAAGCGAAGATTATAGCAAGGCTGCACAATTCCACGGCCGTCCGTCAGGACACACTGTTGGAACTGTATCATCCCGCAGGCAGAGTGCTTAATCGTTTGCGTAATTGTAGCGCCTGGCCGTTGTGCTTCAGGCTTCCCGTGGGGTAATTGAGTGGAACTATTGCGGGAAATTGTAGATCCAGGTAAAAAATAACTCGGGATCCGAGTGAGTGAATGAATGACAATGAGGAAGTAAAGGCCAAGTCGTGATGTGCATTGTTGGGAAATATAGATAAGTGAAAACAAGGAGAACAAGATTACGGTTAACATTGACACCGGCTGAAGAGTGAGATGCATGGATGCTTTTAAGTACTTGTTCAGGTATGAGACAAAAGCAGTACTAGAACTAGAAGTCCTAGATGAGTTTTTCCTGATGGATTTCGATTTTTTCCTTTGTTCAGATAATTTTACCTCTAGACTCACGTAGGGTAGGAGTACGATCTGTATTTGCATTTGCACCGTTCTCTCAGCTTCAAAGCTTTTTTAGTTTGGACAACTTGGAGTGACTCACTGCGCACGACTATCAACCTGCAAAAAAAGTATTAAGGCCTTTATCTATGCTTTAGGACCTTTCGCAATTTAATTAGTAATGCTTTATTTATAATTAGTAAGGCCTTTATCATTTTTATGCTACTTTTCTACCGCAATTTGATTACGCTCATCATGCAAGATTAAGATTGATATCAGCAGCGGGTTTGAGTAATTGATATCTCTGAGTTCCTCTTTACCCACTACAGGGATTAGAAAGCGTTCGAGAGTTAATGATTGTAGTTAAGTTGAGATGGAAATTCTAGTTAAGTTGAGATCATGGAATAGAGAATTATGCAGTACCTTCAAAAAGAACATGATGAAAAGGGTAGAATGAGTAGCGCTCCTGCGTCTCCGGATCGGTGGATGAAGCAGAAGGTAGCAGCTATGATGAAGAGGCAAAGAACTTATTATAAAATATGCTGTTTCGCAAGATAGAGATATGGAAGCCAGTGCTGGTCAACACTAAAGGTAAAGTCAACATATTTGAGGACGAGAGCAATTGACATAAGCTCACTTACATCATGAGCTACTAGTAGCAGAACAACAAGTGTTCTGACGACCTTCGTTTGTTGGTTGATTGTTCTCATCTGGGTGTGTTGCTTGTTCTTGTGTGCTCCTTGATCAGGTATGTAGATGTACTAGTTGTCGGTTGATGCCTGTCGGTGGTTTTAGATCACTCCCCACCTCAATTCACTGGGCAAATGATGCAGATCCTTGCAGGGAAAACAGCCGGTCGAAGATGTTCTTCACAACGAGAGGATGAGGACTCATGATATTGATATTCTAAAAAAAGAGTGACGAGGGCGAGGGGATATATTCTATGTGGCAGGCCTATTCTATTGATGAGCATGAGGGGTATCTAGTGCTTGATTCTGTTTCGATAATCTAGTTTGTAGTTCTTTAGTTGCTTGTTGTTGACATAAGAATGTTTTGGAGTATGGTGTAGTTGATCATGTACTAGTTCTTCTACTAGAACTGTGGTTCTTCTTATGTGCATGTGCATAAAGCGCGGACTACGTTTATCTTCAATCCCGCCAGACGACGAAGGGATCTTCTTTTTTCAATAAAAGAAGAGGAAACCCCTCTGTGATTTCGATTTGTGTTGCTTGTGATTTTTACACTCAACTATTGTCCAGATCATAGCTTTAGCTTTCGCAGCTTTTATAGCTACTTCAGTCCTTACTTAGTAGACTGTGCGTGTGCAGCAGTTGTTTTGTGATCATCAATAAGACGCAAACAAAGATTGCGTTTTCGATTTTGTTATATGGGACTTAGTACACTGGTCTCAGATTTCATTTTCGGCATTACAAGAACAGAGTATATCTTTTATCATCAACAACAGGGACTACGACTATCAATGCAAGCAACAAGAAGGTAAAACTCGAACCTCACGTCTTTCTTATTATTATTTTGAATGAACAAAGAACCATAGCAAAAATGAGTATAGGTGCGGATCAAGGTGTAGAGGCACAGACGCCTCCTTTCGTTGAGGCACAAAAGCCTCCTGTGCAGTTAGTCGGGATGAATCCTGCAGAACCTGAGGCATCTTCAAGCGACGGCGCGCTTCGTGAAAGTGGACAAGAGGGTAAGGTTGCTATTTACGACTGGTGCGACAGCGGTCTTCAGCGATACTTTGAGGCAATGGGTCGCTACATAGCGAAATATCCATGGAGGCTCATCGCGGGAACGTTCTTTTATGGCCGAAATGATTTTTCGTCATGGTGTAAGTACTTACAACGAAATGATTATCAAGATCGCGTTGTTGTTGTAATTGAAACGACAACTCAAACTCATATCCAGGTACTTACTTACTTACTTACTTGGATCTGCAGGACATATACTTATAGTCCAGATACTTGCTTCCTCGCTTACTTGCTTACTTACTTTCTTTCTTACTTTCTTTCTTACTTTCTTTCTTACTTTCTCACTTGCTTACTTACTTACTTACTCTCTTTCTTACTTGCTTACTTGCTTACTTGGATCAGGAGGCTCAGGACATCATCTTGCTCACCCTCGTCTTGCTTTTCTAATTCCCCATCGCCATCGCCCTCGCCGCCGGTCAGGCAGTCGCGGAGAGCGAAGAACGTCCAGAACGACTCTGGATCCCGGATGACGCTCAAGCCCTTGACGACGTCGATTGGGTTGACGCTCAATGGCCAGGCTTAACCCGAAACAACTTCGCTCTTACTCGGTGCAAAGGCTGCAACATGTTGACCAAAAGCAATCTGGACTTGCTTTGGCGCAAATACTACCAAATCTACCGAGTCGAAGTTATTGGAGATCAGATCGTTTCCGGGTATACGAGCAAGTACGACGGACAAAGTGGTCCGTGGACGAAATATGCGGGATACCAATACGTTTACGACTTTACTGCTGAGAAACCGGACACTGCGACAAGAAACCGCCAATGCAAGGTGAACAGTGGTGCTTGCGTGCGTCGCGACGTCTTCGCCTTACTTTTAAGGCGGTAGCAGTAGCTAATTCGCCCTTGCCTGCATCCTTGAAATTGAAAAGTATGGGGGAGCATCACAAGGGAATACTCTGCCAACATATTTTTCAAGGATGCACTTGAAAGATGAACTTTGGACAGCCCTAATGCTTGGAGCTGACTACTCGAACGTTGACTGGTTCAATACGCAGACCGATGCAAGCATTTTGAATATTACGGCTCAATTCAAAGTCAGTGTTAGTCTGGTAGATGTAAGTTAGTAGAGTGAGACCTGATTCGACCTGAAGCACTGGTCGTGGGGCTCTTACTTCAATCAGAGAAGAAATTTCGATGTACCAAATTCTATACCTCTCTAACTTTCCCCTGAACACCCACTCAGAACAGAACCGTGTCTCGGCAGTCCTTGGAGGCGTCTCCAGAGATGCTGGCGGTCTTATTACAGCGGCCGAAGTCGTCAGTGGATCATGGGAATTGAAGATGGAAGCATTCTTCGATGAAAAGTTATCGGTCGTGAACTAACTTGCTAATGAGTCTAACTATCAGGAAATTGATCTTGTATTTGTAACTACCACCCCGTTGTAGTATAAGTGAACCAGTAGGACGAGCAGTAGGACTACCATGTTCATGTACTATTATTTTGATATAAAGAGATTTTATTTTTAACTCCATGCATATCCATAATCTTCACAGTCCTCTGTCATCCTTTCCTTCTAACCCTCGACGGCAACCGCCGTAAGTTCCCAGTCGCCGAATTGTGGGAGCGCGATGCCATGTGCATTTTGGGACAGGACAGTCTGGAAGACCGGGATAAATTTTACGGCTTGCCGTTGTGTAGTTCAGCTCTCTTAACTGGCATCCATCTATAGTTTGACACGTTTTCAAGGGGACGAAAACAAAACACGTCAAGGAAGATCTTGACTTCCGCGTCGATCGATGAATTTGAATATTTATCGGTAAGTAGGAGGTCTAAAAGTTGAAGCCCGAGACGAGTTGTAGTGGCAACAAACTGCCGGGTCCGCTCGAGACGCGGGTTTACTTCGGCAGAAGTCTCAGTGACGAGTTTTCTCGTACGATTGGGGGAGACCAGGCATTGATTGGAGTTGCCGTGATGCTGATTGTCATCTACCTTGTTTGCATGCTCGGCAAGCGCGACAGCGTTCACAGCATGACAGCTTTGGCCTTCGGCAGTGTTCTGAGCGTCCTGTTGGCTTGCTCTGCTGGTTTGGGCTTAGCCTATTATTGCGGCGTCAAGGACACGGTTTTGCGTTTCAACATCTACTTTTTGATTCTCGGTCTGGGAGTGGACGACGCTTTCGTACTGGTCGCAGAGTTCAACCGCGTGATGAAGAGACATCCGCATTATACAGACGAAGAGAAGATTGCTTCGGTGGTGAAATACGGAGGCATGTCGATTTTAGTGACGAGTTTGACCGATGCAGTTGCGTTTTTCATCGGTGCAACGAGTTCAGTGCCGGCTTTGCGCTATTTTTGCTTCTATGCGGCTTTTTCCGTGACCTTTTGCTTCATCTTCCAACTAACATTGTTCCTTCCATGTCTAGTGATCAATATGCGCAGGACACAGGCGAACCGTGTCGACTGTCTCTGCTGTATCACGGCAAAAGAACCGCACGACTACTACAACCCGACTGGCTTTTGCGGGAATCAGGTACTACTTACTCTTGTTGAAAAATGCTTTGAATTTTCCTGCCAGAACTTCTTACAATGAATCGTCCTCGTTCTTCCAACTAAGTAGCGCTTCATTATAAACTAAAACTAAAAGCATCCTTCGCCTTCCTCTCTCTCTTTCTAACGTCTTCGCCCATCGACGACCACAGGTTCCCGGCTGCAGGAGCGAACCCGTACTCCCCAAGATCGTCGATTCCAGTATTCGCACTCTGATTAAGGAAACCAGGTAGAGAGCATCCTCAGCATCTTCATCCTATTGGCCCTTTTTCTATTTGAAAAACGGGTCTTCAAAGATGCTGCATTCAGGGATGCGACCGCGGGGGTAGCTCTAATCTGATGACCACTGGTGGAAAGGCTTTTGCTTTGACTGCGTTTTTGGCACTTCTCTGCGCCTCAGCCGTCGGCTTGGCTAACCAGAAAGCCGATTTTCAGCTGGAGTGGTTCTTTCCGGCAGACTCCTATGTCGTGGACTATTTTGACTGGTCCAACACGTATTTCGCCCAGGGAACCAGGGCTGCGGTTTACATCCGCAATCCACAGGGCATGAGCGAGGCTGCGTTGAAAACCTGCGCAGTCGATCTGGAGAACTACATGCAGAGCAGCAAGTACTTTGACCAGAATCAGATGCGACCTTCATGGGTGAAATCGTTGACGGACTACGTCAACGCCGACAACTCAAGGTCTATCGACAACTTCTATGTGCAACTAAAAGCGTGGGAGGCAACGGTCCCGGGAGTACCTGGAACTGAAGTCCGTTGGGTGTCGGACGCAGATCCATCTCAGGGCATATCGGCAATCAAGATCAGCAATGGCGTGTTGAGGAAAAGATACATCGATGACGGTACTTCGTTCTTCACAACTTGTTTTTATTTATTTTGCATCTTCGTTCATCAAGAGCACCATGATCTCGGTCTCTTTATACAGTTTTTTCATTGAGGACTGAAGGACAGTTGTTATGAAGATTCATCATCCTCCATCCGCAGTAACAATTTCTTTTAAGTATGTGATCTGCCCATCGTTAGCGATAGTACAACCTGTTCCTTCACAAACTACACCAAGGTGTCGACCGTTGGAACACCATGGAGGCTTTGCGAAGCGAAGTGGAAAATGTCTGTGGCAATGCTTTCCCATTCAGCTTCGAGTTTCTCTGGTGGGAAGAGGTCGGGTACACTGGGCCGGAGTTTGTCCGTAATGCACTCATTTGCTCCGTCTGTATTCTGCTCATCGTCTTCGCCATGATCCCGACTATCCGCGTTAACATTCCAGTCATTATCTCCATTGTGAGCACGATTCTCAATGTGGTGGGCTTCTATCACTGGTACGGGGAACCGATCAACGGCGTGATCTCGATTTACACGGTGATTTGCATCGGTTTGGCGGTGGATTACTCAGCGCATATTGGGCATATGTTCAGACATAGCAAGGAAACGACGGGCAACACAAAAGCGGTGGATGCAATGGACCGAATTGGAATTTCGGTTTTCAACTTATGAAGGGCTTTTGATCTATTTCTAATTCTATACCCCACGATTGGGTAAACTACTACTACCTCTTAGCTCATACTTCTACTTTCCAAGATTTTCATGACTTTGACTGCAGTGTAACCAACCTTCTCCACCCGTTTAGGGACTTTAAACACAAACAACACCAAAAAGGAAAAAATGCCCTCACGCTGCACTCGTCTCTGTCCTGTAAAAAGGATTCTTTTCATCTCGTGCAAAATAAGATTCTTGACTATCTAAGGAGCAAAGTAAGCCTATTTCTTTACCCCACGATTGGGTAAACTACTACTACCACTATTGTTCACCTTTTTCGGGAAAAATACAGGAGGTTCACGACCAAGCAAGTAAAAATCACTTGTTGTCCATCATTTACCTCTTGGTTCATTTGATTTGATAACTACAGGGGTAACACCTCTCCAGAGGAGGTACTGCGCCACTGGATGGCCTCACAGGTAGACACGTACTATAGCTACACAAGAGGTGCCATGACATGACATGACGGCATCACAAACACGACAAAGAACAAACTCAACATTCACCTCCTTTTCACCCTGCTCATCACCCCTCTAATACCCGCGTTGATGTCAACGCTGCTTGCGGTAATGGTCCTCAGCGGATCCAGCAGTTACGTCTTCAGCGTCTTCTTCAAAGTTTTGGTATTGGTGGTGGTCTTCGGCTTCTTCAACGCCCTCATCGTACTCCCCGTTCTGCTGAGTATCTTCAACGGCGGTGCTTGTGAGAATGGCATCATGCCAGTAACGGATGACAACGTTGTTACGGAAAAGCCAAAAGAAGCGTTTGAGCTGGAAGCAGTAAAAGGATAACAAGGTGGATTTATCTACTAGTTTGATTGAACAAATTGAAATATACTCGCGAGTATCTGTGTGAAAATTGTGTGGGCAGACTTGAAAGTGAAAACCCCCAAGAGTTTTACTAGATGTAAGAATTATCTAAAGCACTGGTCTTCTTCTTTTTATCGTCGTCTTGTAATACTAATATATAAATGTGTTAGCAGAAACAGAGAGAAATTACATGTATCGTGAAAAAATTAAAACAATTTGCATCGTTCATTGTCTTCGTCTTGTGAACTGAACCGTATCGTATGATTTCGTCACAACAGAAACATCCGTGCGGAAGCAAAAAGATGACGCGCGCAGGTCGTAGATATTAAGTAGACTAAAAATAATGGACAAAAATAAGAATTATCAAAATGAACAACCGGGCTTTCAAACTAAGTAACGCGGCAAGATGCACGCTCCGCGTTTATGTAATCGTGTGCACAGTATTGTATTTGACTAGATGAACTTCTTGTTGTATTTCAGTATCTAAGACAGAGTCTGAAGTTTCGTTGCTAGAAGTAATCATCTTGTTAGGCTCATCAAGCAGTTCTCGATCAGCTTGAGAGTGTTCGTCGTTGCTTGGTCGAGACCAGTTGGAAATGAAACAGCCGCTGTGAAGATGGGAAATTTTTTCCTTTGGCTGACTTTCCTCCGGCTGACTTTTTTTTTGAGAAGTTTCTTGGAAGGAACGTTCATTATAGTGAAGGATTTTTTTCATGGAGCATCCGAAGCTATGGCGAGGCATCATAATATCATCTCCGTCGTGAGAAATGTAACATAGGTAAGCTAAGTTCGACTAAAATAAATGCAACACTACTAGATGACTAAATTATTTTTCCACCTGCTAACATAGAAGTTGTGTTCGTTGAAGATTTATGCCATTTTTATCTTCACCAGAAAAATGCAATCATTGCTTTTCCTCTGTGCAGAAAATGAACAGCAAAGCGTCCTAACAACAGTTAAATGAAACGTGGTTTCTTGTCAGGGTGTGCAGGTCTTGTGTCTCTCATTCAGAAGCCGCGCTGTCTTTGTTGCAATCATGCTTATTATTGGACTTGAACAGAGAGATAGTTGGAGATATTTACTGGTCCTCGTCCTTGATCATGTCCTTATCTATGACGGTTGTAACATTACGACAGCTGCGCGCCTAGAACGGCCCCTGACACCCCGTTATGTTAGGAAATCAATGATGTGGTCGCAGCCGCATGATCCGATGTCTTCATGTCAAATGTGTGAGATATATTGTGTTATGTTGAAACAAGAATTCGATTGAACAGTATCTATCATAAGATGAATGATGCACTGATGAAATTATACCCTGCGGTGTTACAACTACAGCTGCTTCTCGCTCTAGAGCTAGTACGCTGTGGCTGGCCTGCTAGATGCGCGTGTCGTGCCAGGATAATGTGTTGGGACACTATCCGCTTGTTGAGATGACGCCAGAGGTAAAAAACGACGACGAATTCTCCTTAGATATTATGGCAGTTGGCGAAGAGGTCGCCCTGGGAAGGAAAACGAAAGTAAGAGAGCGATGAGGTCTTGAAAAGGGATTGATGCTTGAGATTGAGGGAAGGCGAAAATCTGAAAGCAGGTTAAAGCACAAAGAGGGAGTAAGACTAAGAGGATATCAAAAGCAAATATAAATATTTTTCCTTTTCAAGATGACTTGATCTTGACTCGCCTAACAGCTTTAATCCACTACCGACTAGGAAATCAAAGCCGCATTGATATAGATTTAGATAGGGACCAAAGAATTAGAACACTAAGGTAGTGAAATGTGGCATTTCTCGAGATCGCGTTCAAGCTGTATCTCGGCAATCTCATTCTTTGTCGTTTTTGATGTCGGTCGTGGCATAAACTTGAATCTACATCGTCTTCAACATGGAGGTGCGAAAGCAACACGCAGTCACCACGGACACGACCAACGGTTTGGTGCAGAGAAAATCGGCCCGCTTTCGACGAATATCAGCTATGGAAGGGTCTGGGTCATGGGTGGAACTGAATTAATTTATCAACATTATAAATCGAAATAATCTCCTCGAGTTCGTAATCGTATTTTCTTCTCCGCACATCGATCATTCACGACACTCACCATGCCTCTCTCTTACTCATCATGTCTAGTGATCATCCTCTAACCCTCTGACCATACACAAGACCTTATCCCGAAGCCTTACGTGCCAAGCAAATATAGGCCTAATGGAGGTCCAGAATTCATCTACCTCTGCGGTACGTTCGGCTGCCATCAACAATCCTTGCAGGAGAAAGCAAGAATGGATTTGGCGAATAGTGTTATGGAACAGGACGAAGAGTGTTATGTTTAGTGTTGAGTCAAATGACGTATTCAACAAAGTAGTAAACAAGCTGCGAAGTACTTAGAATGAGTATCAATATCTCCGTTGGCATTACTCTTCGATCATTTATTTTATGATTATACATAGGTCCTTTCTCCTTCTCGTCCTCATCCGCAACATGCGACCCGAAATTTCATATCTCACAAGCAAACGAACGTTACTACTCCGAATTTGGCACGCATAGAGGATGTCAGCGCCAGTTGGAGCAACCCGAATATTGGAGCTTTAATGGCACAATACGTCAGATACGAGGATATGCTTTGCGGTGGCACCAATGCAGTCGCTGTGCAGGGAGCATCGTTGTTGGGGAGGAAGGTCACCAATATTATGAAACTGGACACTCGACGATGAAAGAAATAAATTACAAGTAGAACAAAAAAATTATTGCTGCATGAGAGAGAGAGTATGTAAGGAGTAGCTTGAAGATCGCAAATGATCCTCTTACTTTGGATAACAAACACTCTTGTTCCTCTTCCTCCTCCCTGCTTTCTTCATACCTCACGCCAAACAGAAGGAAGAGCAGCAGCTAGACAGTTGCGCGATGTGGTGTAGTCGGGCGCCGCCAGACGAGTGCTCCGGATTCGTCTACGACAAGAACTCCACGCAATGCACTTTCCGCGCAAGTCCCAATGCGGAGATGCATAACGATAACTGCAGGAATTATGGCTCACAGTACTCAGACTCCTTGCATATCCAAGAACTTCGGGATCAAGCAGCAGAAAAATCAAGGACTACGATCATTTCGATGTCGCCCTCTAAGAAAAAGATACGGACTACGATAGCTATCCTCGGATGCGTGCGTTGGCTGTGGGACTCACACAAGAAACGAAAAACGCTAGTTCGTTGAGTTTGATCTCATCTTCGTACTAGTAGTGGTAGAAATGTAAACATAAATGTAAATGAGTTCATGGAGATAGAGGTCAGTTTCACTCTCTGGAGACTTTTTTTTCTCCACGAGAATCAACATGAATGATTAGTTGTAAGAAAGGTGTTAGTTGTACTTTTACTAATCCTTTGGTTTCGAAACAAGTCCTCATTCCACCATGTAAATGTATTAGCTGCTGTTACAACAATGGTGCTTCGAGAATATAGCAAAAATAGAAGACGTCGCTGACAGTAAAGGAACGAGCATAAAAATGACTGAAGAGATTGCTCGGACCTACCCATTCCGCACTCGTGACTATTTCGCTTTCTGACAGGGACGTGATGAACTTTCTTCGTAGAAGCGTTTCACCCGTTATGAACCAACAAGCATAAACGAAAGTAAGTGGCCTGAGAAAGACGAGAATGAAAGAGTCTACAGGAAGGCTTCACTTTTAGCTCCCCGGTCTGGAGCCGTATTCCCGTTCCCCTCCTGGCTACAGTCAGCCGAAAAGATCACGCACGATGATCATAGAGGACTTTTGCTTCGTTTTGTGCCTGTGACGTCTGTCTTTGCTAACCAAACGGAGCGACTTTCTTCATCAGAAAGGAGCCGCTGCCAAACTGTTGAAATTGACAACCACTTAGAACGAATTCATTAGCCTACCTTGCCAGCAGCGAAAACCAAAATGATGCTTGTTCCCTGTCGCTAAACCAGACGTGGTTCTTCACTCACTGCCTCATCCACTACTGCGACAGCGTGATCACATCCGCGGCCATGAGCTTCCCTACCGCATCCATGCATCGATCGCCAAGCAGGCGATCGTGCTCTATAAGGAATATGTTACTCTCCTCCCTCGTTGCAGCCGCCTCATTCCTAGGAGTTTCCGTCTCCGCAACTTATGCACCAGCTGCGCCACCAGCAAGACTGCCTGTTGACGGGGTGTTTCAACTGAAAACGTGTGTCGGAGTAACCCGAACTTTAGATGCAACAGGACCAATGGCGTTTTTGTTCTTGGATGCGGACATTATGAACCGGAAATTTTTATCGTGTAGTGCAGTTCTCAACAACTGTTGACGAGTCTTCTTCTTCTTCTTTGCTCTTAGTAAGTTCGTAGAACTCAAAGAAGATTCAGGGAAGTCGTAGGTCCAATCCGAACCGACTAACATCGTCAACAAGTAGAACGGATTTCTTGTAGACTAACTAAAACAAACCTTCGTATCTGTGTCTTCAACCCAGGCTATTCCTCGTCATGCCCTCTCGCCTAAAACGCCCAATTGTTCTGCTTTCTCTAACTTGCGCGAGTTCTCCCGAACTCAATATCGGCATTTTGCCCAAATGGCGGAGATATTTCCGAAAATACATTTTGTGGCGATCTTGAGCTTCGGTCTGGGTTGGGATCCGGATGCCTGTTCCAAGGTAAATGGGCGGTTCTATTCATCTTTACTGCTGCTGGGGCTGGATTATTTCTCTATCTCATCCTCTTGCTTCTTCGTCAACTACATCTACAACAAAGTAACATCTCCAACTTCACCAATTTTCATCCCCATCTCCCAGTTTCCGCAACCCAGCGGAAGTCCAGCCAGCTTACTCCTCGATCACCATACCTTTTATGGCAACCAGTATGGTTACGAATTTTTCAGCGTTTCGCCGAATGAGCTCGTTATCTACAACAACAAAAGGAGGTTTCGATACCTGCCAAAGACACAAGCGGATATGGGCCGACCGATTGGACATACTTGGGTACAACATTTTCTTCATATAATTAGTGTAAAGTGGGAGTTTTATTTACCGGTATGCGCCTATGTCTTCATTCATATTGTTTGTTCTGTTCACATCCCAAACGCAATCCCTTTAAGAGAACTACACTGGTTTCCACTCCACCCTTCCTCCTCCTACTCCACTCCTTTCTCCCTGCTCAATAGCCGACTCCGTTAGCATCTTCACAAGGTCCACACCGCAGTAGAGGAATTAGATCGAGTCTTATCAAATCCCGAGTTCCAAGCGGATACCCACGGTTCCCCGCTCTTTCTTCAGAGCACATTCCAGGAGTTTGATGGTTTTCTAGTGGAGGGTGGCGAGATCGGCAGAGTAAACGGCGCCCATGATGCCGCACGCTGTCAAGAGAAATGCTTTGTTATGTTGAATAGTTTCTTTTCGTGTGAGTGCTGTGTGGTAGTAGTTCAAGTGCATGTACTATTAATTTCCGCTGCAAAAATTTCCCATTTTCCAGTTCCAGAGTGGTCAGCCGTCCCTCTGTTCCATTCCTCTTCTGTCCAGCTTCTAATCCCCAACAAGGCTGCACTGCTTTCGTTATGTACGGACAGCACCATTGCGTCTTCTTTGCCAGTGAACCCACTGCGTTGTTGGAAAACCGACTGCGGTATTCGAACGCTCGCCTGTTCATACGACAACCAATGGCCGATGTGAACAAAAGTCAGAAAATATTGAAGGGTATAAATACATAGATTTCTTCCACGGGTTTGATTACAGCGTTTTGCTTCTTGTTTAGGAGATGAAGGATTTCCATTTTGTTGAAGCCGTTGGGCCTATTTTGAGCCTGCTCTTCAATTTTGTTAAATACTGCCAGCTTTTTTCATCGATTCAGATATTACTTTCATTCCCCAGCAATTATTCCTCTCAGCACTCTTCAGGCTTCCTCTGGGCCATGCTAATCATTTTCGGCGCCACCTTGCTCTTTTTCACGTGTACGAAGCTCAACAGCAAGAGAGTCAGTGCCAGCGTGTTGGACAGTCTAGAGGCGAATACTGGCTTATCGAGTCTGATACGAGCCGCAGAGCAAGATGACGGGGAAGAGGTGGTGGAAAAGTTTCCACCAGTAGCGTTGGAGCCGAAAGCAGATGTGGATCCGGCGGAATAGCTCTTCCAGATGATGTAATCATTCATCTGGCGAACACAATGATCATAAAGTAGTGCTGGTGCAGCTCGAGATTCAGAAGAAATCGTCAATCAATCTTGATTCATCAATGTGTAACAAACTTCGAAAAAACAAACAAAGTTTTTTTGCTTTTTCCATTTGTAGTAAATACTATTAACTCAATGAATCAGACACTTGCTGGTGCTTCTATGACCAGCAGCGCAAAGAATGCAGATAATTTTTAGAAAGTGCCGTTATGCTCCGAGTAGGAGCCGCGCCTTTTTTGCATATGAGTGAGCTGCGCCATTAGGCTAGTAGTAAGTACTAAATGGGACACTAGTATGATGATCAACATGATGAGCAGGAGAGTGAAGATGAGCGGGAGTGAGAATGTGCCGACTCTTGGACTGTTATTTTGTGCGCAATGACCCTGCAATGTTGCCCCAGCCAACCTTGTTTAGATACATTCCTTGTTGCCGGAGCCAACAAACTACTAAGTAGTTTTTAAACAAGGTAAACGTGAAAATCAAAAGAAAAAATTATTTAATATGTTTTTTGAAAGTTGTGAATGAACTCTTCCACTCCATACTAGGGAGTGAGAGTGTAGTGCCGATTGGGCTGTCATTAATATAAGAAAATGAAACCTCACAATATTAACCTGAGGTGCACACGATAATGGGGAGAGCCCACGATAAGAACATTAAGGGCGCTTGTACACCAATTACCATTTTTACATGGGCAGCGAGCTAACAGAAAAAGCCTCCGAACCAACCAAGTAATACAACAACACGCCTGCTTCATCTCGACACGACCATGTTGCCTCCAGCACCAGATGAACTAGAAGTAGCAGAGCAACATCTACTTCATGGGCTTTCCAGCAATTCCTTCTACCACGACATGATCATGATGACATAGAAGACACCAGAGTAAAAAGCTTCACCAGAATCATTCCTTTCCTCCAACGAGCAACATTCTACTTTGGCAGCACTCGTCCTTATAGTGAGTAGCCAAAAGGTCGGAAAGCGAATGCCCGAAACTGAAAATGCGACTCGTGGATTCCCACCTTTTTACTCGGCGACCCCCTTCGCTCCGCACGCTGTCCCTGCTTCCCACGTGAAAAGCAAGAGTGGAGGAGGAGATGGATATTTCAATACGGGAGATGTAATTGGTATCACTTGTATCTTCATCCATTGGAGATGGATATTTCAATACGGGAGATGTTGGTATCACTTGTATCTTCATCCATTGGAGATGGATATTTCAATACGGGAGATGTTGGTATCAGTTGTATCTTCATCCATTGGGCCTAGTCAGTCTCAATGCTGATTTGACAAATCAGATCGCAGACATCACCTGTTGACATGAGGACATTGATTTAGAGTACTTTCGACTTTTCTAGCTCGACTTTTTTCGTGCTGTTGTATTAATCAAAATCAATAGTTTTTTCCGTGTGAAGGGTCGTATCTATGATCGTTTTGAATTGCTTCCGCAACAGTAGGTCATGAGCGACAGAGAGGACCAGCTGCAGCCTCTCCGAGTTCACCACGCACAACCAGTTGTGGCATGGCCGCAACAAAAGCACGGATTCACCAAGTAGTGGACAGCTATACTACTTTTCCAGATGAACATCAAAAGCAGGAGACCTCGTCAACATCTCTCGGCGACCCTCTTCAACGGAAAAATGTTCCCTCTTTCCGATGGTCAGAGAAGGATCTGGAACATATGGTCGAGCAAATTTGCGGACAAGATGCCTGCGAGGCTGGTGAACAACTACAGGTAGTAGGAGGTGGTCGTGGTCCACCTAGTACAACTCCATCTACAGGAACTACAACTACTTCTTGTGGGTCCTCGTATTCAACCTCAACAGGAACGACGAGCTCTGATGAGAGACCGCTTCCCCCAAATAGAGAAGTAGATCATCAAGAAGTAGAAGAGGGAACGACTACAACGACAACAGAAAAAGCACAAACAAAACAAATACAACTCGGACCGAGTGCCGTTGTAGTGCATCACGACAGCTACAACAGTCCACCACTTATTGCTAGTCCGCCACCGCCTAGGGGTGTCTCTGTCTTGCCTGTGTCGTCTAAGAGAAAGACGAGGCCCACGTACGATCCTCCACCACCAAGAAGGATAAGCACGACTACGACCATTACTAGGAAACAAGTCAATGGTGCCATCAATGTCAACTCTAACGACGATGCCAATGGGAACGTTGGAGAGCAGCGTCCATCTTTACCATCAGCAACTACAGCATCTTCACGCGGTACAACTACTTGTCTGCCTGCTGTTGCATCTACCAGTAAGATCATGATTAGCCCAGAAGATGAAAGCTCGTGCTCAATATCTCCGCTCATACCAACGAAAATGCGGGAGGTTGTTCCGAGGAGGGCAAACGTGGAGGACAGTGGAGATGAAGCAGAATATGCTGGTACTATGTAAATAGCAAGAGGAATATCTACCTCGTCCAGTTGAATGTAAATAGCAAGAGGAATATCTACCTCCAGTTCTTGATGTCTAATAAACAGTAGTTCTAGTTCATGAGTATGGTTAAATGCGGTTTCGGTTTGTACAACTAGTAGGGAGTCGTGATCCTGAACTTGCAGCTGTCGATGTTATACCTCGTAAAAATATGCTATCATCAATATCAATAGTCAACATCAACAACTACAGGTAAAAAAACGAGCATCGCCCCTGCATGCCGCGCTCCTCCGCGCAGTGTGCCCCCTTCTCCTGAGATACTAGCTGACGAAGAATGTGCAAAAAACAAGAAACTTCCAAGAGAACAAGACGACAACGAGTCTCTCACGAACAACTCTGCGAGCTCTTCTGTTGTTAGAGGCATAATTAGCTCAACTTTTCGGACCGCTTCTAAGAGTGCTTGTTGTAGAGGCAGTCCGCCCTTATCTCCTCCTCCAGCGTCTCCGCCACCGCCTAAGAATGTGAGTGTGACCACGGTAGGAAATCCGGCGTCTCCGCCACCGCCTGACAAGAGTGTGACCACGGTAGAACTACGAGAGCAGGCGTCTCCGCCACTGCCTAACAAGAGTGTGGCGTTAGGAAACCAAGCGTCTCCGCCACTGCCTAAGAGTGCTGTGATGTCTCCAGCGCCGGCTAAGACTAAGGGACATCGACCAACGCAGGTATGGCGACGAGTCACTCCAAAGGTTGAGCCTGCGAAGACGTCTAAAGATGAAGAAGGTGATAAAAAGCTCACACTTACTCCAGTGGTCGTTGTGCCTGCGAAGAGTAGTAAAGATGAGCAGGAAGAAGTAGAAGATGGAAAGAACACGCAGGTCGAGGTCGTAGAGAGGAAGCAGGACAAGTCTGAAGAGTTATCGGGAGGTAAGCCTGCTGCTGATCCTGGTCCCGATAAGCTAAAAGTTCATCAAGGGGTAGCCTCTGCTGCTGATCCTGGTCCCGATAAGCTAAAAGTTCATCAAGGGGTAGATTCTACGAACGCGCACGCTGACGGTGAGATACATCAACCAGTTGATGGTGGGGGTGGAACTACACCAGACGCGACTTCCATAGCCTCTGCATCATCCTCCCGCACCACTGAAGAGGGTGGAGTGGATGTTCCACCAGACCTAGGACTCGTTGGTCCAGCAAACAAAGCAGGTGAAGAAGAAGTAGAAGCAGAGGGGAAAGATGCCGTAGAAGATGAAAAGAGCAGAGATGAAGGTAGCGAAGGGGATGACGATGCACCTCGTGGGTGGCACGCTCTGCTGATGACGCCCGGCGTCGACGATGATGCAGCTGCAGCTATACCAGGAGCGAGTCTCCTTCATAAGGATGGCGATGGCGGGAAAAAGGTGGAGCATGAAGCTCCTGCTCTTTCCTCTTCTGCAAGTAACACGCTAGGAATATCTACATCCGCTAATAGTGCCTTGATGTTGTTATCATCTGATGAAGTCTCAAAATCATCGAAGATATCAACGACAAGTACTTCTGCTTCATACTCTAGCACTGTTACAACTACTACTAAGCCTTCTACTAGCAACATAACAAAGGCAGTGGTAAATCCGGCTATAGCGGCCTCTCGTGCCCGTCGAAATGCTCGCCCGTCTCCCCAGAGTTGCAAAAGCAGCCCTGCTTCGCTGATAATTCTGAAACTCCAGCAAGAAGAGCAAGCAAAACTCCAACCGAATGGAGGTACTACAACCGGTAGCGCAGCGCTTCCGATTGGAGGTGAGAGACAAGGACAGGTAGATGCTTCAAACTCGATAACGGCCATACAGGAGACAGAGCAAGATGAATCCTCAGCAGGAGCAGGCTTGATTGTAGAGTCGGTTGTTATGAAAAAGGTGTATTGCCAATTGACTTTGACAACATTCATTGTTATAACTTGCGCTACATCTTTTGTCTTAGTTAAATGGACAAGAAGCAGCTACCGTTATCTGCCAGTTTGCTAGGGGCTTATCAAAATCATGTCGGTGAAGTAAAATGGCAAACGGAAAATGAAAAATGCGCTCTCGTCGTCCTCAGATGAAATAGCATGTCAGTTGTGGAGGTATGAAAAATCGTCTAAGGCAATACCTATACCCGTACCCATTATTTCGTGTGGCAGCGCCAGTAAGCAAGAGAACGATCTTTGCTGGTCATCGACAACGGCCTCCGCCTCTAGCAGTGCGTCTACGAATTATCAACACACTACAATCGGCTCTTCTACATCCTCTTCGAGTGGTCGTGTTGAGGCATCCACTTCATCATCAAGCGGTGGACGTCAGGGTACTAGAGGATCTGGTGGTCGATATCAACGTAAGAGTACTGGTGGAGCTGGAGGGTCAACTACATCTAATCAAGGACAAGAATTCCACTCGTCCTCTTCTTCAGGATCAACGGGTGCTAGTGCGTCTAACAACATCAAGAACATGAGGATGAATCAGCAGCATTCGGGTCAGCATGGTAGCAACTTTGTTGGGGGAAATTACAACAACCACCACCTGCAACCAGCTGCAGAAGAAGGAGATCAACATGATCAAAATCAACACGCAACTGGTGGTGGAGGGTCATCAGCACAGCAACATCAACAAAGTGGGCAATTATATCAAAAGGCGTCTAGTAGTACGTCAAGCAGTAGTTGTTCTTCGAACAATAGTACAGCTCCTGGTGGTGCATACCGATACCCAGCATCTCTTGTCTATGATCCCAGCAGCACTGTTGGCGACCACCAGAAGCGGCAAGGACATGAGCCACCCCATTCTAGTCCGCGTGTGACAGGGTCAGGGAGAGATCAGCATCAGTATTCAACTTCATCTGCTACCTCCGGCTTATCATCATCTTCAGGAGGAGGTGATGGGCGAAAACAAAACCACAACAAGCAGAGCAACCAAAACCTCCAGCGTGGACGAACAAGTCACCAGGTGGGAGGACATCAGCATCAAAGTGGAGGACATCTTCAGCATCAGAATCAATATGAGGGACCAGCACAGTACAACCAACGTCGTCATCTTCAAGGTCACAATCAACACAGTCAGCAGAACAACAGGAACAGCTATAATCAAGGCTCTTCTAGTGGCCCAGCAGGAGGAGCTACAACAAATTCGGGAAGAGGTTTGGCCCTTCTCTTGAACATGGGAGCAACCTCGGGAACTACCTCCACAGGAACAAATAATGCCCAGCCGATGCATCTTGGTTCTAACAACTATAGTGGACCACGAGGTAATCAGAACTTGTATGTTGGTGGTCCCTCTTGCAGTCCGAATGCCGGTAATCAGCGACAACATAGTAGTCAGCAAAATTCTCAATATAGCAATCATCAACAATATCGGGACCGGGACCGCGATCGGCCACATGCACATCCACATACAACTAGTCAACAAGGACAAGGTCACGTGGCTTTTCCGGCCGATTGCTGGAGCACAGAACAAGCATTGAAGAACACCCAACTTTCGTCCTCTCATCAAGAACGTAGGTCCTCACATTCGCACTATTGCTCCCCGAGTAGCGCAGGAGGAAGCTACAATATTAATCAACAGAGCAGCAGGGGCGCTGCTCGACAGTCGGCGCCGCGTGGTGGAGGTAACCCTAGTGGAGGTCGGCATCAAGGAAGTGGAAGCCAGAACCATCAAGCAGCAGGTCAGTATCATCATTCTTCCTCGTATGCGAGTACAACCACCAACCAACACCCGAATCCGCAGTACCAAGAACATGGAAGTGGTGGGTATAACAGTCGAAATACGTCCTCTTCAAGCAGTGCATCGAGTGGCTCGACTAGTATGATCCATTCTCATAATATGAGCAGTGGTACTACAAGTCACGCTCACGACCCCTCTGGAAGCAGAAACACCAGCAGTCTCTACGATAGCGCTCCTGTTAGAGAGAACCACAAGACCAGCAGCTATAGCAGTAGAGGTGCTGCTGGCGGTCCGTACATCAATCAGACTCGAGAATATGTTCAGGATCTGCCAGGCAGAGCGTATCAACAGCGTAATGAGCCCTCTTTCTCTTCGTCTTCTTCTACGAGAAAGACTTCTGGGTCTTGCGGCTACGGCGATCACGCTTTTTACAACGCAACTTCAAATTATCACAACGACAACACATCATGTTCAGCTTCAGGAGGGCCGTCTCCGAATTACAACAGCACCAGCGCGTCGGGTACTAGAGAGAGAGATCATCAACACTCTAGATCATCAGGATCTTATCATCAACAACAGATGAACCAGAACAATCTGATTCTGAATGAAGATCAACACCATAATTACAACCGTCACAGCCATCAGTCTGGCCCGTCAAGGACGCCTGGTCCCTCAGGATCGCGCTATCACGATTCGTCGTCGTCGTCGAGGTATCCGCTCAGCTCTGGTCCTGCTTCACGAGGAAATCAACATCAAGGGTACTACACTGGTGTAACTGCTTCTGGTGGTTCTACGATCTTCTCTACAACGTCATCGGCTGGTGCAGCATACAAGGAGCAGGAACCGTCTAGAGGACAAAGAGAAAGAGACTACCAGCAGCATAGGTACGAAGATTACGACCCACCTGCTTCTAGTTCCGCACGTGGAAGAGCAAGGGATCATTATGGAGTAGGGGAAAATTCGGGTCCCCCTCTAAGAACGGAGGAGGGATTGTCAATGTATCCTCAACCTCTGTTTTACGAAGATGATCGTCTTCATGATCCGGAAAGCAGTAGTTGTAGAGGCGCTTCCGCGACTTCGGGTTCGGGACCATCATCTTCATCATCCTCGAGTACGTCCAAGTTTTACTATCCCTCAACAACTTCTGCATCCCAGCATCAACAGCATCAACGTGATCAGCACTTCTCAAGACAAGGGTCCGATCAACCACCACATTCTAATACGACTCAACAACATTCTAAACAAGTTGTAGGCAGTGGTGTTATGACTTCTAGTAGTACAGGAGGTGCTGGTGAACGTGAACGTGACCATGTTGTACCTTCTCAGATGAACAATCCTGAAGTAGATCTACTTCACGGTGGGACCATTGCTAGTACGACAAGCACCTCTGCTTCTTCCAGTTCTTCGACGGGAGGTGTTGCCCAGTACAACAACGACGCAACTGGAGCTGCTATTAACGTGGTCAAACATCTTCAGGCTGCGTCTTCAGGATGTTTTAAGTCGCCTTCGGTGTGCAGTGTAGAGTCAAGAACGAGCATCGGAGGTTGCGCAATAAATTGGGGCCAATCTACCACGGGAGGAGCTACTTCGAAGTACAACTATGTGATTTGTATTTGTGACCTACCACGGGAGGAGCTACTTCGAAGTACAACTAAGTATGTGATTTGTATTTGTGACGAAGCGCTTTCCACTGCTAGATCGATTGTCCTCTACACAAAACTTCTCTCTAGTACACAAATACTGTCTCTTTTTTTTTCACTAAAAAACTTCGTATTCTACACCTACATATTTCTCCACTTCATCTCTATCGCCACTCCCTACTTCAGGGCTGACCGTAAGAAAGTGGTGCGTCGAGTCGTTGAGGGCCTTGGCGTAACCGAACGTGTTGATATTGGGCGCATTGGTGCGGTTTGGCATGTGGTTCACAATGGTCCAGTCCTCGTGCGGGCTGAAATTCATATAGAATCAGAGCGACTAAGCGCCATTCGCGATAGGGTGGTGCAGAAAGTACTTTCTTTTGTTTTTACCGCTTGACTTTGTTTACAGTCCGGGGGCATAGTCGTAATTTATTTGTTTGTTATGCATTGCTTTTGCTACGAGCACTAATTTACGTTAAAGTTTTATATCTGTACTTATTCGACTCCCAAAAAACTCACAGGGACCCGCCGAAATCTTCGTTGAAGGCAGAGCGAAAGGAATCATCAGGATGCCTGTGGAGCCAAGGGGTTGGGTCACTGCAGATGCAACAGAAGCTGGCGGACCCAAGTATCTTGAAGCCGTGATAGACACCTGTGGAAGTGGTAACTCTTTCTATCGTGCTGGCCCTTGTGGACTACCTACTAGTACTGGAGGAGTTGGAGGCGGAGGAGTTGGAGTTCCTGGTAATGATTATGGCCATGTTGTCTGGCTATCGTATTTTGGAACTACTGCAACAGAAGAAGGTCCTCTAGCTATAATCAAGTATTTTTCTATACTTCTGGTTCTGTTGTTGTAACATAGTACAACTTTCATCCTCGTAGTTCTGGTCCTCTACTAGTTCGTTCGAACTGTGGGTCTTCTCACACGAAGATGCAAGAAATCGTGTCTAACACCCACGATCACTTGCAACTTGTGGAAGATGTTTAATATTCTCCATCGCACAGGCTCAGCGACTCACGTCATCCGGTTTTCTAGAGTGCTGCTGTAGGGTGTTCATCTCTAATAGTAGACTCGCAGGTGTGATTAGAATGCTTCTCTAATAGCAGACTCGCAGATCCATCACAGATCCAGCCTGGTCCGCGGTGCCCAAAGGAAACGTTGAGCCGCGTACTTTTTCTGGTTCTGTTTCCCTGTGCTGGTGGGTGGTTCCGTGGTCCGTGCTAGTTTGTTAGAGGAAGTGGAGTTATATAAATATATATTTTTCATCTTGAGCATGACAGCACTGACGCTCCTCATTACCATTTTTAATCCTCAGCACTTCCTCCATCTGCATTCCAACGGATTGTAGGTCGCGTAGGTGAGTCGTTGCTGAGCATCAATATCTATTAATCAACGGACATAAATTGGATAGTGTCAGTGTGATAGAAGTTTTGAATACCTCCACCATGGTTTCTTTCAAGTTTAACATCATCAGTCATCACATGACTATTAGTTGCGCCCCCGAGTACTTCCGATCCCAAACGAGACCGCGACAAAATTTTTTGGCAAGTGGTGTTTCGATCAGGGAGCGATCGTGGTGACATCATCGTTCGAAAAACCATCGATTTGCAAAGCGACGAGGTACTTGATCAAATTTGTAAAAATCGATTGCGAGTTTATTTCCACCCTCTCTCAATTTCTGACGTAGTCGTATTTCTTACTCGTTTTACATTATTATACCAGGTTGAGTACCTTTTTTGTGGGGAGCAGGTCGAACAGATTGGCAGTTTACAGCAGAAGCTGGCTGGTGTTCCCCGTATGCCAGTTCGCACCCAGAAGGGCAATACAGGTTGGGTCACATTGGATGCCACAGCGAAAGGCGGTCCAAAATTCTTTGCGCAGGTGATAGAAGAGGTGGCTGAAGATCCTGGCACAAGTTCTCGTGGACACCCAAATACTGGAGCTGAAGATACCGCTAGAAGTACCGATGTTATTGATCATGATGTAGTCCTTGGGCGACGTGGTGATGGTTCTAAGTCTAACATGGGAGGTGGAGCTGGAGGTGGTCGTGAAGAAGTTCATGCTCCTTCTCCTTGTGATGTGAGCGCTGTGATTGATGGACGTGGAGACTATCATATTGGAGTTCTTGTTGGCGGAGCTGAAGACGGTGGTGGACGTCGACTGTCTGTGACCAACAACAACACGACTACTAGTTCATGTTCTTCAGTGCCAGCCCTTGGAGGGAGTGGAGCAACATCTGCTGGTGCAGCTGCTACAACTAGAAGAGACTATACCTCGAGCTCGAATACAACAACTAACGACCACGATAATTGTGGTGGGGGCACCTTCGGGGCGATTGTTTTTGAGAATATTAGTCCGGCGCAGATGCATCATATTCTTGTTGCTGGTTGTGGTGCCACTAAATCACGGCCATCCACCGTGACCAGCTCGAGCGGTGCAGATGTCAATCAAGTCAAGATAAACAGGGAGAGCAACAGGGCTTCCGCAAGAACAATAACATCTACTAACGCGATTCCCACAAGCTCAAGCTCCTCATCGTCATCTTCAAACTCTGCGCCTGTCGTAGAAGACGCAGATCGCCGGCTCACAGAAGAGCGGCTGCGACACGAACTCCTGAAAGCAGCAGCAAAGAACAAGAAGTACTTGTCTAGTTTTTGTCTTTGAGTCTATCATCATAATGATGTCGGGAGCTTTGGCTCGTAGCTTCTTGCGACTTCGACGCATTTCACCTCGCGAACGCCCCTCGCCGAAGTTGCAGGATTTTCCCCCCAAGGCACTTGCGGCCGCTTTAGAAGGCACAGCAACGGGGGCCAAAGGCCGACGACGTTGGCACCGCGGCCGAGCCGTTTCCAGCGACTTTAACAAGGGAGGCGGCCGGGGCTTCAGTTTGGGGCACCGGACACACGTCGCCGATGTTGTACCACACGCGCAGCCAAGGCGGGGCGCGTTCGTATGGTTTTGGGGCAGCCGGGGGAGGAGCTCAGCACCAAGGAGGTGCGCGCCTTCTCGCGCCAGCTGGTTGCGTCGGCCAATCTGCCACCTGTGCCGCCGCTTCCTTCAGGATTGTATATCAAACCGATCCGCTACGTCAGCTTGCCAAAATTCCCCGCCTGCTATTTGATCGATGTGGTTGTACGTAGGTCGAGAGTGTGTGGCTGCGGCTGCCATTCACAGTAAGGCCACAGGAAAAACCAGGAGCAACACCAAGAGGGTGGCCAGGTAGATCGCTGACGACCGAAGGAAGCAAGGAGGCTGCGGCAGAGGGTTTTCTACGGAGGTAGCCCAAAAGTGCACCGAGAAGCTTGCGGCCGGGGGGTGGGGGCGTGGCGTGGCTGCGTCGTGGTTGAAACAGCGGGCGGCGGTTAGTTTCCTTCAATACGGAAGCGGATGGAGGACATCTCGGAAGCCTATAGACAGGGCCAGCGGCCTCGATCGGGTGCGTGCGGGGCAGTGTGTGCACTGGAGGTGCTTGGGGGTGTTGCTGCTCGGTCGTCTAGCTCTGTTGCGGTGCGTCTGGCTTGTCACGGTGCGCGCTGACGGGCGCGCTGCGTAGTCATCTGATCGCGCTGCAGGTTAGCGCTTCTGCCCTTCTTCTTTCCCTTGTGAGTCTGTTCATCGAATCCAGGTCAATGGATGGCTGGCCAAGCTTGACGCTGGTCGTTACGCAGCCAACCGCTTTGCCCGTGCCCAACTTGACATGATGCGTGCGCGTCATAAATTGCTGGGTTACTAACGCATGCCGTTGCTTCATCCCCCGACTTCTACACTTGCCATTTATTACTACGCCGGCCACCACCTGCCAATCAAAAAAAAACAGCGCCACCTCTACAACTTGGTATGGAGAGGAGCAGCGCTATGAAGGTTGGAGCATGTTGGAGAACGATGATGGAGATGCTTCGCCACCTTGCTTGCGAAGCGAGTAACAAGAAAAAACTACTGTTTCTTGAATCCGAACGACTCTCGGAATCATGATAAAAAGGTCACTTTCACTTAACTCATTTGATAGCCGTCATTCACTAGACGAATCCGAATGGAGGTATCGTCCACCGCGAGTTTGACCCCGGGCCTGGCTCGTTGTATAAACAATAATATTTTTTCCATCAGATGGTTGTAAAACTAGAAATAATAGATGTTCACTGATAGGCGTTATCGAACTAGTTCGTTGTACATTTCTTCAAGTTCGTCAGTTGTAATTAACTCATGTGCTACTTTCTTCGTAGCAGCTACGCTAATCCTTCTCGATCTCTTGACACATAATATTGGAATTGAACAACATGGTTGCCTAAGTAGATTCCAAATTACATTTACAATTATTTAGCAAACTCATCGAAACACTAACATCAAATAAGTACATCAACTAGTCTTAGCAAAAATACAACTACAACAAGCTCCTCGATGTAGGAAAGTTTTACTGGTAATATCATTCATCGTGGGGAACGAAGATCCTCGTTTTTCTCGAAACTAATTCTTGTCGGCAGGCTCCTTGGAAGTACTCTCGCGTTTTTGGTAAGAAAGATTGTAATCTGGATTCTCGATAACGAAATAAACGCTAATACGATGAAAAATGTAAGGTAGATGGTCATGCTCGTCAAATAGTTTCGTTAATGTCGGTCGAATGACTCATTTCTTTCAGCTTACTACGTGGTGTTTTTTTTAGAACTTTCATCAGATTGATAAATGATTTCGGGTACAGGATCCTAGCTGTTGTCAGGTCTTTGCATTACCACTGTTAGTTTATGATCTTATTGATATTCTTCCGCGATGAAGTCATTTTTAACGATGCGTGAATAGAAATTAAGGATTTTTCACCCCCAAGATGAGGTGTATTCAGTACGATGGGTTTGATGTCGTCGTGGCTTGGTAGGGCTAAATTATATAATACTTGCTTCATTGTAGGTATAGGTTTTGAGCTTGCCGGGGCGAATCACGATTATACGTCGCTTTGATGAGACGTAAGAAAAACATTCTTTTTCTTTTTTCATCTATCATCGATCCTGTAAGCCTCAGCAGTCTGTCACAAACAAAATCTACAACATGTTACTTATATCTCTGTACTCATGTTGCAGCTACTAGATGACAGATTAGTTCTTTCATGATTTCATACTCGTCACTTATGGTTGCGATTCGAGTGTTTGTGAAAAACAAGCTCCAGGTCGTGGAAAACCACTACCACAATCCGTTCTTCAATATACCATGTTATTTTTTTCTAAGTAGGCGCTTCCTTGCTACTTCCTTGTATTTCCTCCTGTTCCACCAGTGTGATGTGCTGCTCGTAGTTTGTATTCGCTTAGTTGGTCAGATAGATATTGACGCATTCATTGACTTGATGTGCGAGCTAGTAGGTATGACTATGAGAACAACAATATCTGGACTCCATCTCCCTTGTTGAAGGTACATCATTTTTGAAAGTGGAAGTGCTTCGTCGATTGTCTTATTTGTATTTCATCCCCTCGTGAAAGTAGTGTAATATGTAGTATAAAATATTGTTTCGTTCCAGTAGTCCGTGTATCAAAAATTAATTGTTCATCTACTTATTTGTTTTTCAATCATCACGAACATACAGAAAACAGAATCAGCAGTCCTCATTATGTAAAGATCATAATTATTTTTACCGAAGTGGAAAATAAGATAGAAATCAACACGTACACGTAGTTTCATCGATCCTCAAAATTATCGTTACTCCGTACTTAGTTTTTGTCTACTTACTATGATTTAAACTAGAAGCGTCTTATCGTGATCTGTCAATCTATGTAAGTTTCTCTTTGTCAATCTGTCTTCATCGTCGTACAGTTTGCTATACTTAACTCAATTTTGTCGATGAACAAATGAAAATATATTATAATGAACAAAGATGAACAGACACGAAAGTAACAGGTGAAGCTTGGTCGTGGGAATATAACTTTATTACGTTAGCCACTGACATTAGCGGTACCTGAGAAGAGAGGTGTTTTTGTTTGTTTTTTGGATTTTATCAGCCTCGTCAAGATTCTTGTACTACAACTGAAACTCATGGATGCAGTTCCTACTTGGATTTGATCTGTCTTTTACTTATAGAAAGAAAACATTCTCCATGCAACTGCAAGCAGTGTGATACTTACTATCTTGAAGCAAGAAGTGCAAGGAAGTACTTGCTAGAGGGAATCGGATTCTGCCGAACGACGTCAAAGAAATCCTAGAAGATTTACCGGATGGTGGACGTCCGTGGAACAGACAATTATCGAGGACGAGCATCATGGAGAGTTTCGCATGAGTATGAGCGATGTATTAGTAGTAGACAGTAGTAGCGTACCCAGTGTAGAGGTATAGTCTAGAGGATGAAGAGCAACATGGAGTCTTCTATCTGTCCACTAGAGCGATCAACGGGGTGTCTGTTGAGAAGAGATTTGTGAAGCAATCAAGAACGACGATCAACATATGAGTGTCCGTACTATGTATCTTGTCTGTGGAGCAAGACAGAGCATATTGTCTTCTGTCTAGAGAAGCGATGAGAAAGAGCCATGAAGATGAGTGGCGTGAATATATCTGTCTAATAGAGTGGTGCTGCGGAACAGAAAGCGTGACTGAAGAAGTCTGTGGTCCATCAGAGTGATTATGAGAAAGCGTGGCTTGTCCTCGTGATACGCATTTGGTAGAGGCCATTCCTTTTAACTTTTCGTTTTCCACGTTCAAACAACAGTTATCCCAGCTTCTGGGATAGATTTTGTAACCTCCTATTATCCCCCTTCTTACTTTCAACCAAGAGATATTAACCCGTCTATTTTCTTTTTCTGTGTATGTTAATAAGCCTCGATAGAAATAAAATTAATTTCTGTTGTCTACTTATCACCTTCAATCTCATCATCTGTCAAGATGTCCTCCGGTGACATCACTTATACGCATGGTAAAGCTGGCCAACCAGCTAACCTGCGCAGAGAGGGAGTCAACTCCTTGATCGAGATCCCAGGCAACGATGAGGCCTTCGAAGGCGCTGTCTACTACAAGTCTCAGGGGAAGAAGATAGCCATTACAAGCGTCCGACAGTTCTACATGGACGTGAAGACCAAACGCATTTCCTTGTCGAAAAATTCGATCTTCGAAGCAGCCTTGGCAAGCAATGGAAAAGTTGTGGTATCAATCTATTGTTATGAAGACTGTGTTGATTTTTAGAAGAGCTTCGTCGATTATGCCTGTTGTTCTACGATGACTCCTGTTGGGTAATTCAGGTGGGCGTGTGTCTCTTAAAGACCGCGTCTCAGGGTTGTTGATCTTCTTAAAAGAGACAAAGCAACAACAACCTCTCCAATCTCTATCTCAATCTAGACTTGCCTAATTAAACTAGCATACCCTCTCAAGGGTATTCTGAATCTTATTACCCCACCACGAATGGGTATTGTACGGTACATCACTACTTCCATTTCTACAACTACAGCGCGCCGAATTGGACACGATCCACCCTGCTTGCGAACTCTGTGATCGCGGAAAGGACTGCTGGGTGCAATTGGCTCATGGCTCCAAGTACGAATATGTCGCTGGTGAATGCAAGGAGCTGAGAACCGCTGACCAAGCCGCTGCTGATATGGGCAACGTGAACAACACGAACCGCGGAAGGAACCAAGGAAGCGTTTCCGAATCCGGTCCAGAGAACTACGTCTATTTCGACGAAGTCTACCTCTTAGATGGGCAACGTCGTAGCAAAGCTTTACCTGCAACTTCCGGTTGGTACCCAGCGCGCCGCGTCTTTCGCCGCGTCACCCTTCTGGACATGCTGCAGCGCGAGACCAAGATGTGCCCTCTCACCAGGATCCTAATGGAAGCGCCAAACACCGACTTGAACGGCTACAGCAAGCACACTGGCCCGATCTTCTACACCAAGGATCCGATGCCGCACTTGTTGAAGGTTCAGAAACAAGTCAGGGAGATCATGAGGGGTTTGATTCCGCATGACAGCATCATGGCGGAAGGTGAGGCAGAGGAGATCCTTGCTGAGGCTGGATGCGATGACGAGGGAACGGAGGTGCAGGAAAACGACATTGGGTACTACGAGAATCTGCATGCCGGTCGACGCGTGACTCAAAAAGTGTTGTACGACGAAGTCTCCAAGCAGCATCAGCACGGTCATGCTGAAGAGGTCTCTCTGCGCAACGTGCACAAAGTCAAGGCAAAGGACGAGACCGTGCGATCGACGCTGATGCAGCACAAGAAAGAGATGCACGCTCATGTGCATCGCAGACACGAAGCCTCTGGTGCTGGAGGGGGCGAGGATGAAGCTGATGATGAAGATGATGCTGAGCGCAGGGCTTCTGTCGCGGCTGCTGCCCCTGACGAGGTTGCGCCTGGGCAGATTGTGGTCGACGTGGCTGGTGAAGGTGAGCACAGCGTAGAACTGCCGACCGTCTCCGAATGTGAAGACGAGGAGAACTCTCACTCTACCTATCTTTCTGCTAATTCCGCTTTCGTGGACCGCAGTTTCATGGAGGGTTCCCACTTTGCTGAACGCGAGTCCTTCACCGAAGGCGATGCACGCAAGGAAGCTCTCCTCTTCTCCGCCATCGTCGCGAAGCAGCACTACAAAGCTAAGAGCCGTCAAGCTCAGATGGATGCTCAGCGTCAAGTCGCCGACTCTCGTGCCATTGACCAAGTCACCAAAGCATTGCATGTCACTTCCAATGAGGTTAAACAACTGGTTTACGAAGGAGAGGCAGGCATGTTCATCGATCTCACTTTTGATGCCGGTTATGACACTCGTGTGGTTTGCTCCGACTGTGATCCGGATGGCGACAACGGGTATTCGCGCGTCGCTGCCGCCACTGAGTGGCGCCGACCGTGGGTGGGCGCCAATGCGAAATACGGAGAGTTCGAGGAATTCCTGATCGCGCCAGATGGAGTGCACGAGACCGATATCCGACAACACAATGTTGGGGATTGCTGGCTCACGTCGATCCTGGCCGCTGCGTCTTACCGCGAAGACCCTCATTTCGTGATGCGCACGGTCACCCACGCACCGGAATACGGCATCTTCACGTTCAAGATCACGGTCGAGGGTCAAACACGTTGGCTGTTACTCGACGATCGCATTCCCGTCGAGAAAGGAAACATGTCGAACCCGAAATTCGTTTCCTCCGCAACGCAGGGTGAATTGTGGCCGGTTCTGGTCGAAAAGGCCTTCGCCAAGTGGGCCGGTTGCTACCAGAACCTTCGTGGCGGCATGCAGAACATCATCACGCCTATCGGGAGTACGAAGGCTATGGAAGCTCTCACTTCTGGCAGCGAGATCTATGAAGTCGAAACGAGCAAGCGCCACTTCAATCCCAACAACCAGATCATCGAACCGCAGTTAACCATTCCTTAAGGCTCGTCCGAATTACATCCGCAGACTATCACCCTTGGCCATCTAAATCTATCTAGAAGTACGTTTCTTCCGAATTACTACATCCGGAGACTACCATCCGACCTTGGCTAAGTATTTATCTTCTATCCGCACTACCATGATCCTTGGCTATCTAAATCTATCTCGTACTAGAAAAATAAATCATCTATCTTTTCCATTAGAAAAGAAGCCAGCGATGTGGTGAGGAATGTAATTCCGTAACAAGAACTTCTAAATTTCGATGCTGTTGGACTTCCGCAGACGGAACTTTTTGATGACAACTTCCGGCTGCGACGGCAAAGACGGCTTGATCCCTGGACACGTCTTCTCGGTCTTGGACGTGTTGGAAATCCCCCTGGCCGATGGAAAGAGACAATACCAGAGGTTTTTGCAGGAATTCGCCTCTCAACCAGTCACGCAAGACGAACGGGAATCCGAAAAAGTCCTGCATCTAGGTACCTACCTCTATTTTTGCTGATGTGATGTAGTTTTGCTCCTTTTCTTTTTAGAGCAGCTATAGTAGACAAGTTTAATATCATACAAAGAAATAGAATTTACTTCAGCTAAGAGGAACTGCATGTACTACGTTTTCACCCTTACGCAGCTAAGCAGGTACTACGTTTTCACCCTTACGCAGCTAAGCAGGTAGAAGCATAGATATTGAACAAGAAACTGGCACGATCACAAACGAGTCTCAACAACTAGATTTCGCAGCGGAAAAAAGATACAAGGTTGTGGGTGCAGCAGGTCGGTTTTTTTGTAGGAAAGTATCGGTAAAAAAGCACCACAGCAAGATCCACCACCCTGCAGTGCTTAGCTAGTAGTTCTAGAAACACAAAGACAAACTAGACGGCAATATCAATCTTAGTCAATGTCCTTTTTTCTAGTGGTGTTATTTGAACTTAGTGGATCAACATCTTTCAAGACACGCAAGAAAAAGTGATCCCGCCAAACTCTAGAATGGGAAAGATCACCACGAAAGATCCCGGGCTAGTAGAGCAATTCCAAGGGCATGATGAAGGTTGACACCTTCACTCAAGTTTTTATATTAGCCGATAATCGGTTTTGAGAGACACGTTGTCGAGCCACTAACAGAGAAGCAATCACGCTTCCCCTCGCCGATTCTGTCAGGATCAGAAAATGCCAAACCTCCGTGATCTTCATGTCTAATCAAACAGCTATGATCCACCAACCCTGACCTCAATCTTATTCTCCCACCCTTTCCTCTGAACTACATCACTCCCAGTGAACGAAACTGGCGTCGCTGTCCGCTTTCGCCACTACTCGGAAGAAGCTCCGACCAAATGGCGCGGCACCGTTCTCCAGAGAACTATGAAGAGCTACGACTTCAAGCTCGAAGGTAACCACGGCAAGCTCAAATGGTGCTACGAGACGCCAGACAGCGCCAAGAACTTCCAACCCGAAGAAATTTTAGCGGTGAGAAATGGAGACACCATCAGTTTCAAACAGCCAAATCAAGTCCAGGGATCGCAAGTGCGCAAGAAAGCAGGACATGCGGAAACAGCAAAAGTGTACGAGAAATGCCCAGCAGGACAAATGTGGCTCACGAAACCATCGAGTAATGTTTATTGATATTATTGATATTTTTTCGCGGTTGGAAAAGTAATCATGCTACCTCTACCTCTACGTCTACAGCCGCCCACTAACTAGTACTCATCGATTGAGGTTCCTCGTGATGAAAAGAACGAACAATGACCAAAATTGCAAAATCATATAAATATCATCAAATCGAACTGCCCACACCAGAAACGATCAAGTTTATGAAGATACGAAACCCATGGGGTCATGGTGAATGGACAGGACTCTGGGCTGACGCGAGTCCAGTGTGGCAGTGGTATCCGGAGTTGGCCAAGCAGCTACAGTACCTTAGTTTTTGGATTTCGAAATTCTTGTTAACAATAAAAAAATGTTTCATCATTTCCGGTTCTTTTCTTCATCGATTTCGATCTTCATCTTTCTTCTTCTACACCACCACCACCACCACCACCACCACCATAGATACTCATCATCACTCATCACAACACCAGTTTTGTAAAATCCGACGACGGTGTGTTTTTTATGCAGTGGGAGGACTTTGATTGGGCTTTTGGCGCTTCAACGGTTTGCGGTCATGTCGAAGGAAGTCCTCTCGCTATGTGGACTTACGAGCATCGTAAGGACTACCAGAAGAGTGCTGCCAAGCGGTCAGATTTGTCCTACAGCCGTAGTCACTTCGCTTCGCATAGAATGGCCAAAGAAGACGAAGCAGTGGAGGGAGATTTTATCGCTGGAGACACCTCAAAAACCGAGTGGAAGCCAACGGAAGCAGACTACGCTAGGGCACTGGAGGCGTCTGAAGAAAGTGCCACGATGCCAGCTGCACCTAAGAAAGGTGGCAACGGAGAACAGGGGAAGTGTGGATGCACTATCATGTAAAACCTGTACAGGGGACATTATGTTGAACAAGAAGAGATAATTGGGATGAAGTAGAAGATGTGAGAGGTCCCATCAACATACGAGTTGTACTAGAGGGACCCCCAATTTTTTGTTCGACTTCGAGCAGAATAGAGCTTGCTTAGAAGCTCCATCTCGTTCTTCCAACCGTTCGTATTAGCACGACCACCTGCAATCTAGATGTTGTCATCTTCTGTAATTTCTAATTCATATTAACATACTTGAGTTCGACGAACAAACAATGTTCAATTCTATTCCATACTTTGCATCAAGGGCGTCTACCTAGTACGTCTACTTTTGAAGGAGCTAAACTGTGGAACAACACCAATCTTAGATACGCATAGGAAATTAAAGGGTAGAAGTAATTATATTTCAAAATTGTTTGTGCAGAAAAGTGAATACGACAGGAGTTTTGGATGAAGAAGTAAAAGAAGAACGATCAAGATCAAAACGCACAGGGAATCACGATGGAACATTTCCAAAGAAAAAATGCAAAAAGCAATCGAGTTGTCGATCAGGATCAAAACGAGCAAAATGAAATGAATGAGAATCTTAAATGGTATTTCGAAGCGACGCAAATGACAATATCCAAAGGTCGCAAACCTAGACAGCCAAGATTTCAATGCAGCAAAGGCCTGTGAAATATTAGCGCCGTTTTGATCAGTTTATTTTCATAATGTATAGAAAGCACCATGATATGAAGATTGTTGTGTCGAAATAGATTTAGATTGTACAAGTATATTTTATAAGTAAATTATAGTTGTACTATGCATAGAAGAAGACGGGACGAGGTACTACCACGACTCGTATAATTCATTTTCAAGTAGACTACACAGCTTGTGCTTGTCAAGCACAGCAAGCTCAAGTGGATGCTTCTCCACCACAATATCTTGCTAAGAAAAGCAAAGAAACAAGAACAACATTTCAATTTGTGGAAATACAACAATACCGAATGAGTCATATTTATTTGCAGTGGTCCAACATATTGATATTCTTCCTTGGGATCTACCGAAACAAAAAATACAAAGAGCAGTATAATCTTGCCCACGACGAGGATCTTCACAACTCTCAAGAGTTCTTTTGATGTGACTGCTCATTTGTTCTTGTTCGACGTTCTCTCGTTGCCGCCGGATCTAAGAACGACGTGCTTATGCGTTGTTGAGAACACATGATGGTGATTTCTTCTCAACAACGCAGATGCACTTCTGTGAGAGAGAGCAGATGTTGAGTACCACGTCATCCTCAGTCATTATAGATACCCATATGATCTAAGTACTTGTACTTGTATCTAACTTAGAGCAACTTGATGAACTACTACAATCGACAGGCTCTTTTCGCTAGTACTCCATACTGCAAAAGCAACGAAGGGGGCACAGACAGACGCGCTGTCGACCTTCGTGTCGGCATTTATTTGAAGAAGTTTTTCACAATCTGGCGTTAAATAGCAGGAAAAACGAATAGAGCAATATCGGTTAATAATTGTAGATTTGACAGCGAACAACTTTCCTTCCATAAGTGCATTGTCTTCTTCGTCAAGATACACATAACTACGTTAGCTTACATATTATTTTTCATTCCCCAAAGAAAAAACCCGAACTACTTCCATTTCAACCTCCCTAAAGCAAAGATGTCTCTCTCGGACGCGGACGTACAGGCGCTTGCCGAAAAGGCAGCAGATGACGATGACTACGTCAAAGCTTTTTGCAGCATGCCTGAGGAGGCACGAAGAAGTCTGGCAGCTGTGAAAGTCCTCATGCCGAAATTTCATGATGCGGAACCAGATGAACAAAAGGTGAGTTGTTTGTTGTTGGTGTCTAGTACTCGTGCATGCGTATGTTTTGTAGCTGATTCTATCGACGTTTTTTACTAAAATAAATAATAATATGTACTATGCCCGATACAGGGCCAGGAGTCCAGGATGTGAACCACGACAGCTGCCAATGAGCAGAAAAGCCTTCAAACTGATAATATTTCATCCGAAATCCACAGGAACTTCTCGATGCCTTTGAGCCCTTGCGCAAAGTGATTCTGCCAGAAGCAATTAAGATGGTTCACAAAAGGCTCATAGAGTGGTGGAGCAATCACGAAGCAGATTCGCATCAGGGAGATCCGGTAAGAGATTTTGTCTAATACTCCTGAGTATTCTAGTTAGGGAGTTCCGGTAAGAGTATTCTAGGTCTCCTGAGTATTGTAGATACTACAGATGAATCAAAAATATGATCCACCAGACGCTGTTGCAGTTTTTCTTCACAACGAAATTGTATTCCCTAGTCTTTCTCAGCACTAGTACCATCTACTTGTTCACAATTTTTCTCAATTCTCTGGCTGCATTTACAGGGCAAAATCCTGATCGAGCTTTTCAAGGAGATCAACAATTCGAGTCTCCTACGTTGGGTCCGGGAAGACGAGGATGTAACTTCTAAGGTGAAATTCCTCTACGCTCTCGGTTCCTGCATTGAGTTGAGCAGTAGTAAGACCAAGGCATTGAAGAACCTGAAGAAAATGCCAGTGTTGCAGACCTGGTGTCAGCGGCTAGTCCAAAGCTACTTCGACTTTAGCTCGGACGACGAAAAAACATCCGAGAAAATCAAAAAGAAAGGAGGCATCGTCGAAGTTTGGCTGGAGGCGAGGTAAGCCCTTCATCAAACTACAACAATAAATTACATATTTTTTTATACATATACAACGGGTGCTGTAAGGCTAAGGTAAAAAATAGTTGTTGATAGAAGTGCTGGATGAGCACCAAAAAGTCGAGTTTTGTTCCTCAGCAAAAGCTTAACACTGGTTCTACCAACAGAAAGCGACGCTCATTCGAGCTTTGGAAACGCGCCTTAAGAGCCATCTCTCAGAACCAGGAGAGTAAGGCACAGTTGACGTTGAATTTTTTGCAATGTTTCGAACCGGATAAAGCCAGCAGTGGCCATTACCCTGCGAAGATATTCGACGCTAGACCAGGAAGCATCAAATTAGTCATGGGAGAGCGAAATCCATGCTTTGTTGCGTTTCATCAACTAGTGGAGAAGGAGTGCGAGAATAAACCGGTAGTGTTCAACATTTTGCCTATTCTTCTGATCAGACCTGCTTCTAAATCTAAAAATCCTCATTTTGATCAAACTTCATCACACGACATTCACCTCCGCCTCTTCACAGATCTTTACAACTCGATTTAATTTTCATCAAGAAAAACCTACTCCTCCAGCACCAGATATTAATTCTACTCTGATACATTCAAAATTCAAAACTACAGGTAGAGAACTTCTACTGCGATTACATCAAGCCTTTGCCAGCTTTTTCGATTGATCTTGGGCAGTTTGTGAAGCTGATTCTATCTGTGATCGACCAGAAATACAATTGGTTCAACTTGGAGGCAGACGACAGTGGCTGCTACTATCTCTCACTCAAAGACGCAGGTCAAGAAAAATTGCGTTCAGTGCACAAGAAACTGCAAGCTCAGAATCCGGGAATGGTGATGAACACAGTGGCTGGATCAACGACAACTTATGACCAGGAGAAACTTACTTATTTTTCGAAGTTTTTTTTTGAATTTTTTTTTTGATGATGCATGTTGTGGAAATGTTGGTAATAGATCAAAATCAAATTACAGCAAGATGATGCTGTACTTTGAAATTGACGCTGACCTACTTCCGCTTCCTCTTCTAATCCTCACCCGCTGGAGTCGTTCCACCAAGCCCGAATATGCCAATGCCAGCCGGTCTCAATTTGCCTATGCCGCCAGCAGTCTTAGGGGGCTCCGGATCTAATCCGAATATGCCAGAGTATGTTGTGGAGTTTTTAGTGAGGAATAGAGGTGTCGGCAAGGACCAGATCAGTCAAAAAGGCGCAGTAGAACAGCAGAAGATCTCAAACGTCGTAGCTCAAAAACTCGGAAAATCCTCTCCGTTTCCACACGCGGCAATGGTCGATGGACTAGGAGGAAACTCTTCTTCGAGTAGTGCGGGCAACGGTAAGACAGGAGGACAAGGGGCAGGACGTTGGCAGCCAGGCAAAGGGGGTCCATTGACGCTACCGATAGGTCCTGACAGTGGCTGGGGCAACAGCAGTAGTTCAACGTCAGCATTCGTAGATGCGAGTCTTGGGGGAAATAATTATGTTGGCCACCTGCACCCATATACATATTTTATTTTCCTTGAACGATATGTTGATGATCGTTTGAATGATCTGATCCTCCATGTCGTGTCTGATTTACTAGATAGTACAACATCGAAATACAAATAGGTTGAGCAGGTTTATAGTTTTTGAACCACGAATGGATGACGTTCTTACACTTTAGGTTGCGCAGGTTTAATTTTTGAACCACGAATGGATGACGTTCTTACACTTTAGGTTGAGCAGGTTTATAGTTTTTGAACCACGAATGGATGACGTTCTTACACTTTAGGTTGCGCAGGTTTAATTTTTGAACCACGAATGGATGACGTTCTTACACTTTAGGTTGCGCAGGTTTAATTTTTGAACCACAATTTTATCTCGTTTTTACACCGTCTCCAGGATTCTACTATGGGCACCACTTCTAATCTCTCTCTAGTGCTGGGATGTCCGAGGATGTGAAGTTGGGCTATGCGTTGAAGCAGTATGTTCAGGGCTGCCAGCTGAAGCAGGATCAGGAGTCTGTTCGGAACCTAGCGATGACGCTGGAAGGCAAGGGAAAAGACTTGAAGAAGCTCTTGCAACTTGCAACAGCGCACGAGGCACAGCAGCAGACAGCAGGCTCATCTTCAGGTGGTGCAGGAGGATATGGAGGTAGCTCAGGTGGTCAAGCAGGGTCATCTTCAGGCTACAATAACAACGGCGGAGCAGGAGGTATGGGCATGGTCGATAAAGGTAAAGCCAAAGGCATCGTCGATCAGATCGCAAAGAATGTTAAGGCATGCTCCAGCACAATCAATTCATCTTGTTGAAATAAGGCATCTTTGGCACATTGATTCTAAAGGGGAAAAAGGCCAAAGATGCGCTTTAGGATGAAGATTTGGAGAAGTAGGTCTAAGAATGGAGGCAAGAAAGGCAAACTAGTGCATGATTTGTATGCCAAGGGGAAAAATCCCATCGACATTATGGGTGTGCTCAAGCGGTACTCTGAGATGGGAGATCATCCAGATGCGTCGAAAAGACCACGCTATGATCAGTGAGGTTGAGCATGTGCTCGATTACTCAAGAAGAATAAGTACATAGAAGTTTCACCTTTTTTGTGTAGATACCAGGAAAATCGAAGCTCCTGACACGCTTCATCGATGTTGACGGTCTTGATCTTGGCATGGCTATAGAGTGACTTTTAGATAAGTACTTTGTTCAACGACAACTACGTAAAAATGATAATACACACATTGCGGTTGCAGCTGCTGAATCAGCGAACTTCTTATTCATTATCTGGTTTCTTTCGACATGAAGAAAGGGCTGCAAGAAGATGCGCTGCACCCGTAAAAACAGCTCTTGTTTGACTCCAGTAGGTTATTCTCCAGTATGTTTCTTCTATCACAAAACAAAAATTAAACGTACTATTAACAGAACACATAAGAAAGAGCATGCTGAATCATGTTGATTATATCTTCACGCGCCACCCATGGCCATGATGAAATTGAATTTCACGCTTGTAGGTATGCGAGGTTGTAGTTACTAATTTTTACCGAAATAACCCCTCCATGATATCAATAAAACCGAAGAACACCACTCATGATTAATATGACGATATAGTGTCGTGAACCAGTTCCCCCGCGACTTTCTGACCCGCTTGGTCAACTACTCCTAGACGAAAAGCAGCGCTCCTAGATGAGCGCGAGCATTCAACTCTATCTCTCGAAGAAAAAAATGGGAGCATGCAATTCTGTTCTACTCTCGTCGAAGAAAAAAATGGCCTTCGATGATCACGTGATAATGAATTCTCACATCTTCTTCTTCTGCTTTCAGTCTTCATCGTCGATCCCATTCCTTCTATTGCCACATCTTCATCTACAACGACGGATGTCAAAAAAAGGATTCAAGAATGGAAATCCTCTCCTTGATTTTGGAGTTTCAATCTCAATTATCCATCGATTTCAGTTTCTTCAATGTTGATAAATTTCAATTTCAATGATGACGGCACGAAAAAAAAGAGGAGAAGTCTCTAATCGATCTTCTCTAAGTGCTGGAACGTTGAATGTGAATCATGTCTCTCATCTCTCTGCTGTCTTTCTTTGCCCGGAATCCGATAAAGAAACAATCTTTGTCTTTCTACTTGCGCTCGTTTCATTCTTTAATCAGCTTGTTGCACTTGCTTGTTGAATCCTCGACATGATCATGTGGCAGGTGCGGCTAATATCCAGAAATTTTGAAGAATAGTTGCCTTGGCCACACCACCATTCTAGTACCTCTTTAAACTGTGCATCCCCCTCCTCTCCTCGTGCTTACTTTCAGTTGCGGCGCTAAAAAGAAGTAGGTTTCTGTCTTTCAAAGCAAAACCTCGCCCTTGCTACCCTCTTATAATTGCGATATTTTTTGAATCTGACTAGGTAGCGTTTTAGTTCATCTAGTGACATGATCAAGCAAAGAAGTCGTGACAACGTATAATTACATTGATAATTAACAACCCGAACTACACATACACATCACAAGTTGAGTCTGCTCGTCCCCCCGTTGGTGTCGCCTGCCTGCTTCATAATACGACAACGCACGGTCGGCAAAAGCTTTCGAGAACATCAACATACGAATTAGTATATAAAATAAAGCAGAAGTACTTACTACATACACATCATTATACTCGTCCCGTCTTTTAAGCGAGGAGCACATCCACTTCAAGATGTCCGTCAGTGGTGGCAGTAGTTCATCCTCACGTTGCAGCGCAGAGCATCTGAGTGGCATCCATGATGCTACCCTTGGTATCTCCACAGCTCGCCGATCAGGTGCTTTAGCTGCTCTTCGTTGGGCATTATCAGATCCAGAGAGCTCCTCTGAGCCTAAAGACAGTGAGTTGTACGCTAAACTAGTTCTTGGTGCCGACCTCGCACGCGCTTTTGCGAAAGTGAAGAGAAGGAAGCGGAAAAACAACAACAAGTCTACAACTGCTCAACAGGGACAACCAAGCAAATTGAACGAGTGCGCCACCGCTTGTCCTTTGGACAAGGCAACGCAAGATGCATTACTGGACTTCGCGGCTGCGGCACTGCCACGTGCAGCGCATGACTCTCGCGATCTACAGTTCGTTTTGCTGGATATGGTAGCTCGAGTCTGCGACGATCGGAACGGATGGCTAGATCGGTTGATCCGACTCAACAGTGGTTTTTCGTGGAAGATGGTCGTTTTAGCATTGACCTTTTTGACGAAAATGGTAGGAGGTGTTGGACATCAATCAGCATCTTCTAGAAGTTCTTGTAGTTCTTCTAGCTCTGGTTCTGGTTCTTCAGCGACAACCGCCACGAGGACGACAAGTAGTAGCAAGCTAGATCCGAACAGATTGAGTAAAGTCGTGTCTCATATTGCTTTTCGCGCACTGAACGCGGCACCTCCGCAAGGCAGCGGAAGATGGCGCCACAAGCTGCGTCTGATCCAGCAAGAGTTCGCGCATCAAGACACCGTTGCAGCAGTTCTCCCACTGTTCAAGGCCGCGTCAAGTGCCACCTCTGGCGCAACACGCGGCGCGCCCTGCACTGCACTACTTCTAGGAGGTGGCGCAAACGCGGGCGCGGCAGGCGTTGTGGTCGAACAGATTGCCGAGTATGTGCAGAAAACTTTCGTTGAAGAAGCAAACAAACTGAGTCCTACAGGAGCTTCTCCGTTTGTGCCGGAAGCACTATGCTGGGTGTTGAAAGCGCAACTAAGGAGAGAACTCAGCAATACTACTCTATCAGAACAATTCGCCACATCCATGAACAAAATAGTTCAAACATGTACACGCATGATGAAACGGTTACCAGATGTCGTGACTCCCTCTGTCAGTGACCTCTTTACGGTCTTTGGTCCAGAACTCATGGCTTTTGCAGATGAAGCGTCTCTGAAGGAGTTTCTGCAAGCGGCTCACGGCGCCGCTCCGAAAGCGAAGGATGCGAGTCTTCGTATCGCTGAAACAGCGGCTCAAGCCGCTGTAGATGCCGACTTCTCGGTTGTCCAGATGAATAGCAAGTCTACGAAGAAGTTGAACATCTTGATCGTGGTAGAGCACATGCTGTCAATGATGAGCGTCAAGAGCACTGCTCCGGCAATCGAAAAAGTGCTGTCACTCTCTAGTGCTGTCGCGATTGGGAAGACATTGCTGTACTCTCTGATGATTGGCGCGTCTTCATCTAGTTCAACTACTTCTACTTCTACATTCGAGACAGACTTCCTGGAGAAATTCCGTACTGGTTTCGCAGAAGCCGTCACAGCTTCGAAAGTCGCTGCCACTGCCTCCACGCCGCTCCTCAAGGAGGCACTTGGTCCCGGCCTGAACGAGGAACTCCGCGTGGCTGCGATTCAAAGTTGCGGAGTGCTATGTCAACTTGCTTGCATCAGTGGAACATCATCGACTTCTTCAACATCTACTCCTGCTTCCTCTAGTACCAGTACAGCAACAGCTGCTTCCTCTAGTGCGGAGATCAAGCAGATCGTCGGAATCTTTCAGAAGGTCATCTCCACCGACAAGAAAGATGCGTTTAAAGCTGCCTGTGTTACAGGACTGACGCCCCCTCTGGAGGTGCAGGCGAGACGCTCGCTGGGGAAAGCAGCTTTGGGATTACGAACGAAGAGCCTGTTGTTTTTGACCAAGAAGACTCCTGGAGCTGCCTCGTCTGCCTCAGGAGTCTGCAAGAACAAAAAGGGAGAAAATCAAGATACGAGCAAGAGAGAAAATACGAGCTTCGTCGTAGATCTTACTCCTCATAAAGACTGGATCCAGACGAACCTGTTCCAGAACGCTGGTTTATTGAATCTTTCGAAAGTACTCCTTCGTCCCGCCGCTACCCAGGCTTTGCTGCTCGCAGCTCAGCTCGGTTTTCTCAACACCAAGGAAAGCACAACTGCAGCATTGAAGAAGGAAGCTCTTGCTGTCGTTAACGACACCGATTCGTTCCTGAACCAGGCTGCTCTCGCTTTCGGTCGTAGCCGTGATGACTTGGAGTTTGCCTGTGCCATGAGCTACAACGCCGTAAAATCTGCGGGAAGTCCGATCACTGCCCTTGTCGGAACCGGAGCATCGCAGATCACGCTGTTTCTTAAGGCTCAATACAGATCATCATTTCTAGTTCAGTTGTCTCTATTCCTTTGAGCTCTAAGTTTCGAGATGCAAGTTCGTCTGGCGGAGACGACGGTCCGTCACCCACAGCATTGAAATACAAGACTGGTGGAGGTGCTACTACCTCTGAATGCACTGACGTAGACGGCTTTCTACTCGTGCACAGCGCTGACCGGCTCGCAGTCGGGTATGCCGAACTTTTAAAGGCGAAAGTGAGTCCGTTTGTGCGTGGTTTAGTGGCCAATTCTTTGGCGCTGCGCGCTACAAGCGGTCCCTCTGTGTTATCCAGTGGAGAGTACACCCGGATGCTGAGGTCTGTTGTCTTGAGCGCTCCTTCTAAAGCCGGATCTAGTACCGCAGGTGGTAGTGTGAATCCAGACACCTTCCTGCGTCAATTGACCGTTGGCCTCGTTCAGTTTTTCGCCAATACGATCCTCTTCGCACAAGGAAAAGACCAGAACAAAAAGCTTCTAGGTCTACCTGTGCACCATGTTGACGGAGCTCAAGGTCCTAGATTGAACGCTGGTACCCTTGAGAACGAGACGTACGGATATGTGCGACACAAGATCGGATCTCCGGATTTCGAGACTGGCTATGTTGATCCCTCGGGAGTTGTAGCAGCTGGAACTACAGCAGCATCTGGTACTGCGTCTAAAACTTCTTCTGCTGGAACAGACTCGTCTCACTCCAGCACAGATGCTTCCCTAGACACTGCAGCTGCTGCCCAACTGGGTGCCGCCTTTGCGGGTCTGTTGCGTGATACCTTGTTGCCGGAACTAGCTGACCCAGAAATGCTCCCGAAGTATCCTGATGTTGTCGCTTACTTGTACGCACTGGCACATCACCCTGCAACACAACGCAGTCGGTCGTCTTCAAGAGGACGCGCGGTTTTGAAGAAGTTGGCGGAGAGTCCGCAATTCGCCAAGGTTTTATTGCCGCGTTTGAAAGCGTTAGCAATGCCAGCTACTTCTGCAGGAGACGAACAACTCGTCGTTGAAGACAGAGAACTCGAAAACCCACTACGCCTAGGTGCGATCCGCGCCATCTGCTCTGCCTATCGCCCAGAAGCTCAGCCGGAACTCGAACATCTACTCGTCTGCATGAAGGACCGACTAAGACTACTTGCTGAACACATTAAGAGCGACACGAAATCCGATAACGTGTCGATTTTCTTTCAAGATGAAACGGAAGCTTTTCATTCCCAGTACTCCTCTGCAAACGACAGTTCTTTGAAAGTCTCGTCAGTTCCAACAGGAGTTGACGCAGGGGCGGTCGCTAAACCGGGATCCTTCCAGCCTCCGGGACGCACAGTGTCTGGCGGAGAACCTGTCGTTGCATCTTCAAAGGCTGGCGCTGGCGCACCGAAAAGCAAGGCGAAAGCGAAAGCCAAGGCAGGCGCTATAATGAGTAAAGCAACAAGTACAACAGCATCTTCTACTTCCTCCGGTACTAGTGGTCCGGGCAGTGCTCCAGTTGTAGTTGTTAGCAAGGGAGCAATGTCGAAGGAAGAGCAAATCGAGATGAAGTTGATAGAACAACGCCGTTTGAGGCAAAGGATGCGTCATAGAATCAAGGAAGTCGAATACTTGTTGGATTTGTTCCGTTCGGTTGCTCGTATTCCGTCCAAACACCTACCCGGCCGCATGCTAGAACGTCACGTTCCAGAATTGTTGCCTGGTTTCATGATCTTGCTTGGTTCACCGTTGACAGCACTGCTGACCCAAGCGCGATTACGAAGTTTCGTCACTAGTGCAGTGTCGAAGTCAGTGGTCAGTAGTCGCTGTTACTTGCCGGACATTCTGCAGATTGTGGCCAGGAACGAAATTCTTCCGAGACGGGGCATTGATAGTAGTGAAGACACGCGCTTCCCACTGGTTGAAGAAGAGGACGAAGAGGTGTTTAAATCATCCGGAGATGGAGACCAGCAGGACGATGAAGCTCTTTTAGCAGCTCAACAAGATGTTGGGCAGCAAGATGATGTTGGTGCTCCCGGTTCTGGTGGACCTCTTTTGGCCCTTTTGCACGGCGTTTCTCATGAAAACCCCTTGACGGCTGGTGGCTTTTCCTTCCTCGTGCCTGTCCTAATCCAGATTTTGCAACAGGCTTCAACACCTTCGGAACAGTTGTGCAGTCTGGCATTGCAAGTGTTGGGTAGGCAACTTTCCATTGTGAACGAACAGCAACTGGCTTTACTTACGACCGAGATTCGACTGCATTTGTTGGAGGGATTGTTTACGTGCATGTACCGTCTCCCGCGTATTGGTGCCGCTTGCCGCGACACTTTGGAGGTTGTGTGTCGTAAATTGATCGCAACTGAGACGGAAACGAAGCGCTTGGCCACGATGTACTTGCAATGCAGCGAGAAGAGTCGCCGTCATGTGCTCTTACCTGCCTTCGCAGCTTTGCGTGACAACGCTTTTTTGATGAACAAAGATGACCAAAGTTGCAAGACTGCACGCCAAACATTGCACGCCGTCATGCTGATCGCGCTTTGTGAAGGTCGTCAACATGCTTCTAGTGCAGAAGGAGGTGATCAACACCATGATCATAGTCAGCTTGCGTCTGAGATCTACGCTCAATTTCACTTTTTGCTAGACAACACCACTGCGTTGGACGACCTGTTGCAGATCACGAAGGGGGTGTTGCCATCCCCGATCGTCGAGCCGCGTGAGATCCAGCGTTTAGGCGCCAGTGCCTTGTTGCATCTGTTGGAAATGAGTCAAGAACAAGGTGTGCAGGACTACGCACATAAAGCCTTTGAGACGATGAAGGCGGATTATGCTCGCACGGCTTTGGAGCAATCGGAATTTTGCGAAAATTTACGCGCGAAGAAGCAGAGACAAGCCGAAGCAAAGGCTGCTGCGAGCCAACAGAAGGTCTTCCTTGCGACGACGCATCAAAAATCGCCATTGGAAAAAGAGATTGACGAGTTGGAGGAGATCAATACTCGGAAATACTGGGCCGCGAAGTACGGTCTAGGACTGGTTCTGCAGAAGATTTTGGGCAGTAGCAAACTCGTATTGAGAAAACAAGAATCTGGCAAGAAGATGAGTATTGCAGAAGATTTCCTGAAATTTTTGCTCCGAGTGGCACTTTTCGACGACCGCTTGGCCGATTTGGAGAAGAGCGAGAACTCTGGCGAAGTTCAGGATGTCCGTTCTCTGAAGAAAGGTACAACTCCTCCTACCGGGCCAGGTCCTGCTGCCGTTCCCGCTGCTGCTGCTGCTGACAACAAGGACAGTGAGGAGGATGATCCTAACTCGGCGATGGCTCTCTTTGGCGACTTGCGTGACATTTTGCTGTCCGCAGGTTTGGCTTTGATCGAGGTGGTGTGTAGTAGAGAAGAAAACAATGCGAATGGGAATGCCTCTACTTCTTCCTCTGTTGAGGAAGACGACGTCGATGCTCCAAGGCTTGCAGCCATCGTGGATGCTTTGGAAATCACACCGCACACTCCCGACGGCAGCCAACTCGGCTGTGCGGTCTTCTACGGTGCTTTAGGCAAATACCTGGATCCCAACAGTGAGGAAACGCGCGCCATTTTGCCACGACTCTTTGCCCAGTGTCTGAACCAGAAGACCAGCACTTCCGTGCAATTGGCTATCGTTAAAGTCCTGCCACCTCTGGTCAAAATGCAGGCTGCGGTGGAAAAGAAGGAGCAGGTGGAGGCAGGAGGCTCAGAGGAAATGCTGCCGATCGAGGCTAAGATTTCCGAAATGCTGAAGACTGCCACAACAGACAAGAGCGAATCAGTTCGGCGTGGCGCTGCATTTGCGCTTGGTGCGGTAGTCAAGGGTTTGTCGATCCAGACTCTGAAGAACCGCAACGTGATGCTGCAACTCAACGAAGTTGTGGATGCTAAATCCAGCAATTCGCAGGCAAAACAGGGTGCGATCATGTCTCTCGAAGGTCTGACACGTAGTTTGGGTCGTTTGTTTGAACCCTATGTGCAAGGCTGTTTGCCGATCTTGCTGAAAGCATTTGCGGACTCTGCACCAATCGTGCGTTTGGCAAGTCAGAGTGCTGCCAAAGCAATTATGGGCAACTTGAGTGCGCATGGCGTCAAATTGGTGTTGCCAAAACTCCTAGAGGGTATCGACGACAAGCAATGGCGTACGAAGCTGGCCTCGATCGACATGCTGGCATCTATGGTCCAAGGTGCGCCAAAGCAACTGGCTGTGTCGTTGCCGAAAGGTATATTTTGTGGTTTGTGAATCCTTGCTTGAAGGTACATCAATGAACAAGATGAACATATTTTTTTCAATGATGTTTCTTTGTATCTTCTAGCTCATGATCCACAAAGACAAGAATTTGCTTCTTGATGTACTTAATCAATCTGTTGACATCTCAAACTCAATGACCACTTACCTCCGACATCTTCTTCTTCAGTTGTCCCCGTCCTTGCCGAAGTCGTGAACGACACTCACGCGAAAGTGAAGGACGCTGCACGTGGAGCCATGGAGAAGGTTGGGAACGTTATCACCAACCCAGAAATCAAAAAACTGGCTCCGAAACTGCTCCCCTGTCTCTCTGCCGTGAACGAGAGCAGCACTAGAAAGGCTCTGGACTCATTGTTGTCTACTTCGTTCGTACACAACGTTGACGCACCCAGTCTTGCTTTGCTTTGTCCGATTGTTCTACGTGCTCTCAAAGAACGCTCGGCAGAGATGAAACGCAAAGGTGCACAGATCATCGGTTCTATGGTCCTCTTGATCAAGGAGGCGAAGGACATCCAACCACACTTGCCTGTATTGCTTCCCGCGTTGAAAATCACTCTGGTAGACCCGATTCCGGATGTGCGTGCGACGTCAGCAAAGGCATTCGGCACTTTGGCACAGGGGTTACCGGAAGACTTGTTGGGCGATTTATTGCCTTGGCTCTTCCAGATGCTGAAGAGCAGGGAATCACCAGTCGAAAGGTCGGGTGCGGCGCATGGCTTGTCGGAGGTAAAGTTTAGTATTTAGCGGTGACGCAACATCATCTCATTTTTCCTTAGTTGCAATTTTAGAACAAGTTCAAGTGGGACTAGAAGCATCTTCTACTTGTTCATCAATCATCTTCCTTATCATCTATCACCTACTTCCTCTTGTTCTTCCATGATCATCTTGAGAGAATCAGAATCTCCATCTTCTCCACGATCCATCCCTAATATAAAAATCAAAATTATGAATATCAACAAATACTTTGAGGTTTTAATGGCTCTCGGCTCCGGACGTGTCGACGCGTTCCTTCCCGATTTACTAGAGACTGCTGCAGCTCCTACCACTCCGCCAGAGGTGAAGGAGGGTTACCTCGGTCTCTTCGTGTATTTGCCGATGACTATGGGTGGCAAGGGCTTCGAAAAGTGGTTTCAGAAGGTTTTAGAAGGCCTTCTGAAGGGTATGGAGGAGGAGTATCAGACGGTTCGCGACGTCGCTCTTCGCGCAGCTGGCGGTATCTGCAAGCAGTTCGGCGCCACCTACACAGCACTCATCCTACCTCCACTCGAGGAAGGCTTGTTCGAACAGGATTGGCGGATTCGACACGGGTCGGTTTTGTTGTTGATGCACGTGATTGAGTCCGTGCTCAAAGCAAACCGCATGAACACCAACCAGGTCGATTTGATGTCCGCGGAAGTGATGCCGCCAGAACGACGTGCCTACGTGTTGTCTTCGCTGTACATTGTCCGGTCGGACGACAACGCCTCTGTCCGCCAGGCGGCGACGTCAGCGTGGAAACAATTGGTGCAGAACACGCCTCGATGCGTCAAGGAGCTCCTGCCGATCTTGATGCGCAGGTTGATCACATTACTGGCGAGTCCGAGTCGCGAAAAGCAAGTAACAGCTTCGCGATGTGTCGGTGAGCTGGTGGCGAAGCTGGGCGATCGAGTGCTGCCAGAATTGATGCCGATCTTCTTCAAAGCGTTGACGAGCGATAACAGCAGCGAATTGGTAAGATCAATCTTAATCTTTTTATATAGGTTTGTTGAAAGGTTTGAAATACATGATAGCGATAGGTTTTTGCATCACAGAGAAGTAAGGTCACACATCATTTGAAATTCATTAATTTGGATCATTTTCTTTCTCGAACGTTTGCTGATTTCCTTTTTGCATGTATCCTACAAATTCGTTTTATTTTCTTTCAGCGAACAACACATTCATCATGATCATGATACTCCGCATAGTTAGATGAGTATATTTTCTCATTCTCAACGAACAATCATAATTGCACGTCTTCAGGTCCGAGAAGGTGTCTGCATCGGTTTAACCGAGTTGATCAGCAACTGCTCTAGACAGTTGCTAACCGACTATGTTACCCAACTCGTTCCCGCGGTCCAACACGCTCTGTGCGACAACAGTGAAAAAGTTCGCAATTCCGCTTCTGCAGTTGTTTCGTACCTGTTTTCCACCGTTGGCGGTTCCGCTACTACGCCGATTGTCTCCTGGTTGTTGAAGGGACTGAGCAAGGGAGATACTCGGTGTCTAGACGGTCTGGAGCAGTTGATTTCGAAACAGACGAACATGGTATTGCCGATTATGCTGGACGCTTTGCCGAAGGCAGGCCCGCCGTGGCAGTCCGCGGCGCAACTGCACGGACTCAGCGCGATCGCGAAGATCGATGACGATGCAACCTTTTATCGCTATGTGACGGACATGCTGGAACCGATTTTGGAAACCCTTGCTTGTGACGAAGAGAAGGAGTTCACCGATGACGCCGTGGAAGCAGCTAGGAAAATCCTGCAGAGAATTGACCCCTCTGGTATGAACATCGTGTTGGGTGAACTTGGAAACTGCATCCAAAACACACAAAGACCGAAGATGCGAATCGCGGGTGCGACACTGCTGCGCGTCTTCTTCGAAGAAACGGAGATTGAAATGACCAGTACTGCTTTTCATCATGTTCATTTTGATTTTTGAAAGAAATTTCTCCAAATTAAGGTACTGCACACACGCGACTAAGTACTTATATGTGTACTAGTATCCCCAACTACAACTCCCTACTTGTTCTCTCCAATTATATTAACCTAAGTACAAGAACATCATCAACTACAGGTATCTGGAACGTGATCCTGGACACTTTGTTGCCTGGCGCATTAGCCGACCCGGATCCAGACGCCCTCAAGGCTATCTTTGGCGCTTACATGGCATTGACGAAACGTACCAAAAAAGAAACGCAAGCCCACTATTTAGAACAGGTGAGAGAAATTCTTTTAGACCAATGCAAGGAAGTCCCAGGCAGCTACGACACTCGCACTGGTGTGGAGGTCAAGGGGAAACTTTTACCTGGTTTAGCTCAGCCCAACGGTCTCGAACCGTTTTATCCCATGTTCCAGCAAGGCTTGATGTTCGGACAATCCGAATTACGCTTGAATGCCGCCAAGGGCTTAGGCGAACTGGTCGATCACACCAATGAAACCGGACTGAAAGCCTACGTTGTCAAACTGACTGGTCCTTTGATCCGTATTATGGGCGACCGCTTTGCTTCTCCGGTGAAACTCGCCATCATCGACACCTTGGAAATCCTTCTCAAAAAAGGAGGTCCGGGATTGAGAGCGTTCTTGCCACAACTGCAGACGACGTATGGGAAATGCTTAGGAGACCAGAACGAAATGGAGGTTCGTCTGCGTGCGGGGGAATCCTTAGCGGTATTGGTTCAAGTGTCGCCAAGAGTAGACTCCTTGTTCCAAGACCTCTTGAACGGACTGCAAGCAGTGGAGACGGACGAAGTTATGAACTGAAAACAACAGTTTCAGTCTTCAGTGAACTTCATTAAAAACAGTTTAGTACATTAACTTTAGCACTTCGTTGGTTGTGTAAGTACGTGATTTCAAGTACCTCCCAGATAGAAAAAACACTTCTTGCTATAACCAACAACACTGTAGTCGTGCTATTGCTTCTAATGTAACAGTAGTCAACTGATGCATAAACATGATGAACATCAACATCAAATGCTTGTTTCACGGAAGAAATTCTTCTGATCTCTAATCCCCAAGCGATGATGCGACGGGAAGCTTCTGCGTATGCGCTACAGCAGACTCTGGCGACTTTACCAGCTGAAAAGTTGAAGGAGCCTATGCTGACAAAGCTGCGTGACGGCCTCAGTGCTTCGATTACAACGGCACCCGAACTCGGAAAATACACCAAGACTGCATTGGAGACTTTGAAGGGGAAGTGGGGGTGAATAGATATTCCAGATAGAAGAAGGGGATGAAAGGAATAGAAATGGGAATTCTGCACATGGGAATTCCTTAAATTTCTACACATGGTTTTTACAAATACAATTATAAGAGTTTTAGAAGAGGATGAAAGTCGATAAAGTCACATATATATATGCTGTCAACATTTTCGTCCTTGGACTGGTTGGGACGAACGAGACTGACGACTGTGTTGTACTACTCGTATTCAACATTGTTCTCACTACTCGTATTGAATGGTTCTGGTATTTGGTAACCTGAATTTGATCCTAAGGGAAAACAAGAAGAGAACCCCCATCATTGTCCATCTGCAGCTCAATGAAGTTCATTGAATGTGTCGTGAACCTGGCCCTTACTGATCATCCCTGAAGTCGCTATCAGCGTTGCGCTGATAGTCAACCGCCATCTTTGAAGAACGATATTTTTCAAATTTGAGACTGTGTCTGTGGAGATGCGTTCTAAAAAAGTGTGGATGTTGACGAGAGAGATACTCTTGATTTTGGGTGTCCGAAATCTTCATTTAATTATGGGAATGAAGAAATTGGTGTCGTGCAGTTTTTGACTCGGTGGCGTTGCAAGATGTGATTTTGTCGCAAGAAAAAGAGTACTTAACCTGAAGTAATAAATACAAAAAAGAACAAGTTTCCGGCGCCAGCACACTGACGCAGATCGCAACAGTATGTATTATTTATAATAGCCAAAGAAGAAGAACTACTAGTAACATAAACGAGATCAAGAAGATGAAGAATCTAGGGACATTTGGGTCTCCGGCTGGGTCTTCTGTGCCTTCCTCAATTGGTACAAGGTGCTTGAGAGGATGGAAGTCGCAGCACTATGAGTGGGTGTGTAACATTTTGAGAAGAAGATCATCGTCCACCGCGCATCTTCTCCGACATCACCAAGGGACTTCTACTCCTTGTAATCGTCCTGTCTCAAGTTTATGTTTAAGGGTCTTCACCGCATGGGCATTGCGTCCTCCAATACCGACTACATCCTTGTGGAGGGTCTCTTTTCCAATAGGGAAGTTTTTCAGAGGAGACCACAAGGAAGTCAAAGGAAAAGTAATTCTGAAGAATGCAATGTCGATGTTGGGTCCATCTTTAAGTTTAACTACGTTATCTGAGACTGAGAACCTAAAAAGCCGCGATGTTGGTTACGCAGCACATCAACATGCAGACGCCACCTCCATATCACCCGAAGTAGACGAGCTTCACATGTTAGGAAACGTAGCTCTGTATCGGAGATTCGTTAAGACTGTACAGGAGCGTGGAGGTCGACGAGATCGAGAGGATGTCGAGAACTGTAGAGATATGGGGGACGTCGATAATAGACCCAGAGCACATTCGTGCATACCAGAATGGAATGCCTTATGTGCGGAGGTGCGACGACGGAGTCAACCAAATTTCATGCAGGACATGAATTTCCTAGATTTCCAGCAGAATGAAGATGTCGAAGATGATGGACATTTCTTCAGTGTAGAGAACAACGGTTCCACCTCGTCTTTAGGAAATCTTGCCGGACTGGATAATGTTGATGACCTCAAGCAAGGAGAAGCTGGCGGAGGCTTTGGTGGAAGATCTCGAAATGCATCAGCAAGTTCTTCAACCCAGACCACTAACAAACGTTCATCTCGACCACGAAGCTCATCTACAATAGACCTACCTGGTCCTATATCACCTGCGTCCATCGCTGAGTATCTTTCCCTACTATTAAGGCTTGAGGAAATAGTACATCTTCCCGATCATGATCTTTGTCCCGTTTCTAAAGGGATGAAAGTTTCATCCCTTTAGAAACGTACGGAGTACGGAGATGCTCACCAGGACGGAGATGCTCACCAGGACGGATTTCGGCAACCTCTAATCCCTGGATACGCAGCAGGAAGCAGTAGAGCTGTACGTCGGGAACTTTCTCCCTTTGCCTACGAGCTTTTGCGCACTTTCACTCAACGCAGTATCGCCAAAGCGAATAACACCGAGCTTCTCGCCGTTTTATACGCGGTTATAAAAGGAAAGTTTTACAAAACGCTTGAGGAGGACCAGATGTACACTCGGAATTCCACTGGACGAAATGTAGGTACTCGTGTTGATCTCGAGACCGCGAAAACTTCGCGGCTGAGCCCATCATTTCTCTCAGGTGCTGCAGCAAGCCAACTGCGGCGTCTGGATGCAACTAGAGGTGGAAAAAAACTCTCCACTTCAACACGTTCGAGTGCGAGACCTAGGTCTCGAGAATTCGAATTCCTTCTTGGAGAGACCTTAGAGCGTCTTCAGAAGTTACGCGGTTGGGAGACCGTGCGGCTATTGCAGGCCTTAGTCAGTATAGAGTCTTTGCATGAGGAAACAGAGTTTCTCGAATTGCTTGTGAGACACGCAGCAAAGCATTTTTCGAACCTAGATGCCCAAGCTTTGGCGATCTTTTTAAGGCTTCAGGTAATCGTCCATCTCCAGAAGGAGCATCCAACCACTTGGGGCCTTCCTCCAAGGGAAAAGCAAGCCCAGGATGTGAAACTCAAGATGGACGAACCCAGAGAGCTCTAATGTTTCTTCCATTGTTTTTCAAATTTGCGTCTCCAGCGACCCAGAGTGCCTTCGCGCCTCAATTTGACTCCAAATTCCGGAAAAAAGTATATGGATGGCAATGTGCGGATCGCATTGTGCGAGCAGGGTTTCAGTTAGCAGTCCACGATCGGATGCCCTTGAGTACGTTGAATTTGTGGCTCTTCCGACTGCACAATTTGCAGAAAACCGAGAATGAAAACAGCATAGTCAAGATGAGCATGATTATAGAGGAAGATGATCGTGATGCAAATTTGGATGATGAAGAACAAGAAGATGATCAAGGAATTGCGCCTGAGAAGACACTGCAGGAGAGCGAGACGTCAGTTTTCGATGACGATGGAGATAAAGGTGGCACACTTGCACTGCAACACCAGAACCATGCTAATGTTAAAAAAAAGAGAGCCTCGTCAACGATGAATACAGGCGAAGACGAGCAGCGCTTGTTGCTCTTAAAGACGGTCGCTGCGTGTGTAAAAATGGACCTGAGATGCTTGGAGGTTGATGCAAGGTCAGTACTCGAAAAAGCTAGCTCAGCCTCTTTCCCACTGTCTAGATTGCGACAAATCGTACCAGAAAGACCGACAAAGTACGCTTTCGTTTACAACAGGTTAGCGGAAGAGGTTTCGAGGTTGAAGATGATCGAGAAAGTGGGTGAGGCCTCGTCTGCTGACGCAAATGCTACAAACGATGCAGAAAGAGAAGCAAACAACAGAAGCTGCACTCCATTAGCTAGAGGCTCCAACTTCCATTTTCCAACAACTAGCTCGACCTCGAGCTTCATCTCCTCAGCCAGATCTTCCAGTGATGGGAAGACTAAGACTGTGCAGCCACAATCACCACCACAAGTACTTCTCCGAGAATGCACAATAGGTCCGTTTTGGTGTTTGACTCCTTTCTCAACTATGAGAACCGCAGACATGAACAACATTCATCCTGTAGAAAATGTTCTTGTCGATTGGGAGCAGCCGTGGAGATTATATCCGCCCTTTTTACGAATTGAGGTTGAACAACACATTATCAGAAAGCGTGCATGCTTGGAAGAGAAGGGTTACGAGCTGATTTTGGTGCCGAATGCTGATCATATGGGGTGAACAAGTGCGCCACCTAGGTTCTGTAGTTTGTGCCATCGGCAAGCAACAACGAGAAGCATTTTCACAGACTGCATTTCTTTTGGATTTTTTTTTTGTGGATGATGCACCTGCATATATTTTTTGGGGGTTGTTTCACAACATATGAGACAGACGCTTTCGTGGTAGTACTGCTTTATTACTTCAAGTCAAAGGCTAGGAGATTCGCACTTCTCGCTGATCTCCGCAAGCGTCGATGCAACAGATCCTCGACTGGTTATTCTAAGTAGTCGTGTTGAGAGGAATTCTAGAAGTCGTGTTGAGCAGGAGAGAGCGATGATTCTCAGAAGATTGGATACCCTCAGAAGATTGGATCTGACTGGTCACTACCCTAGCACCCTAGCAGTACTTCCCCCTTCGATAAGCTTCTCATTAGTACCTACACGGAGCACAACTGGTCAGAATTTTTTTTCGTCCCTACCAGAGGTCGTCCGGTGTTCCCCATTTTACCTTCCCTACTACTTACATCTCAGAACAAAAAACACGAGAGGAAAAACACGACTAGGTGACCAGATCCTTATGAAAGTTGCAGTTGAATTTTTTTTGAAATTAGAAGTCTGAAAATCATGTTCTTGTCTTCATCTTGTGTGCGCGTGGTGCGTTCTCCCGCTCGCATTGCAGTTGCGTCCGAGCAAGCACATGTATTAGACAGACAAAGCGAGATTCTGTGTCAGGACCAGGAGTCTTTTAGCTGAATACTTGGCGCAGTAACAGAACTACTGCATTTCGTCTCACCGGTAGAAGTTTGGGAATACTGCAGGAGACGTGACGATCTTGATGTGGTGAGTTCAGCGTACTATTTTCGATTGCGAACTGGTTTGCGGGCACAATGGAGGGAGGGGACAGGCGGCAAAATCATGGCCCAGTCCACCTCTTGGGAAGCAGAAACAAGCGAGGATTGGTCTCAAGAGAGAGAAAGAGAAAGAGCCCGCATGATGTTTTTGCCATTGTTAATGCTACAACTACTGGACGACGAGGGCTTTTGATGCCGAGGACCAAAGCAACTTTGCGGACGTCGTTCCTAATTATACTAAAGCTGCTCATCGTGCCTCCAGATGAAGTCTCGTCCTCGAGGATGCATATACACGACCACGATTATGACTTGGAGAAGGAGCAACTCCGTGATGTCGACAAGACTGCTGAGTATGGATGATGTTTATTCCATCTGTAGGACCAAGACCATCGAGGCTGCCCTTTTCCCCTCAAAAGTCTGTAGCTGAAGGGGGGCCTCGATGTTGGTCTGGCTAGATGGACACGACTTCCTCCATATTGAGGATGAGAAGGAAAAGAATGGCGAATTGGTGAATCAACAACAACAACAACATATAAATGATGATGCCGAAGATAGGAAGGATTACGACTTTGCGAGTAAGCCTGACGGAGATAACGATGACATCAATGGCAAGGGTCGTCACGAACTGGTGAGAGAACTCGGAGGTGATGCTAAAAACGATGGCAATGAGGAGCTAAAAAATGTAGATCTAGATGCTTTGGTGGAAGTGGATGAACTCGATGATGAAGAAGAAGTCCATGCCCATGGCCCTGAGGGCGGGAAGGGAGCTGATGAACAAGAAAACTTCGTGGTGGAAGGCGGAAACTTTTCTCAATTGGGCATGGATGGAGGACAAGGCTTTTCGAATTTTGTAGTTAAGGGCTACCTAGCAGCACCTTACATCCTCCAGTAACATCTTCCTGGACCACCTTTTTTTCAATTCGCAAATACTTAGGTTAAAGATCGATGTTCCGAAGAATGTAATGCTGCATCCTTTATTAAAGCAGATGAAAACAACCACAGCATCAGCTCTTCTAGACGCAGCATGGAGATGGATCATCTTGACGAGATGCTTTTGCAAAAAAGAAGCATGATACCCATTCATCCCATACAAGAACATCATAGTAATATGAATCGCTCTAGTACTCCCGAGCAGGACGAGGTCGAGGTGGTAGCACAGAAAAGCATACCAACATCGAGGACGTCTACTTCTTTAGTAGACAAAGAAACAAAAATGAAGATGAAGGCAATCGCCAACCCATGGCACACTGTAGGGCGTTGGAATGGGACGTGCTTCAGCCATTTCTACTGCGAGCACGGAAAAAATTAAGGCGTTTCAGTTTTTTGCTCCCTCTCCGTTTGTTTCTGTTGGAGTTAGTTATCTTTCACTTTCCCCATTACTTAGGAATAGAGTTAGGGTTTTTTGAAAAGATCATGATGGTGAGCCATTAGGATGATCATGATTTGGTTTCATGATAGTTGTACACGGTCTAAGAGAACCTGCATTGCTTTTGGGATCGAGCGAAGTGCTTGACACGCGGTGACTGCGAGTGGGCAAACGGCAGGTCGAACACCAATTTTCAAGGCAAATATCAAGAGAGCACCCCCATACGCATACAGCATGACCCTTGGCTCTGTTTCTCAAAGGGAAGAAAACGAGGCCAAGGACGGCCACAAGAATGCGACTAGAGTCTAGTACTATAATCATTATTCTATTAGGACGTGCCCAGAGAGCCGGCCCATCTTCAAGGTTACTAGTATCATCTTCATACTAGTTTGTTAGTAGTAGAATAGCTCTATCCTATGCCTATCGTATCCTACTAGTGACGTCGAGGCATCTTATCCTTTCCTATCCTATCCTCTAAGATCATATGTGTGACTTTCCGATGAGCAGCGATTTGTTGTATTTGTGTGTGGACTGGTTCGTACGAAAAATTTTCCAAGTCGAGTGCCCTGCGGGCAAGCACTATGTAAGGCCAGCTATAAACAGTGAAAAAAGGGCTATCTGCTAATTAGCTAAAATTTCTATACCCCACGAATGGGTACACAACTACTACTAAACTGGAGGCACGACTATCACATTGAAAGGTCTCACAAATAGACAACATGGAGGTGGGCTGTAGAAGAGATTCCATGACATGTTGACATTGAGGCCTGAAGCAATTCATATTTGTACACTTACTCTGACACGTTTTAAGAGGAAACGTGGCAAATATGAAAGAGAAAGGCGAATATGAAGAATTGCTTCAGCCTTTCAGATCCCACGCAGCCTACTGTGCTCTCTAAGTGGGTCGTCCCCTTGATTTGAGAGGGAAACTAGTGACGGGGAAGGAGGGCAACTACTCACTCAAGCACTGATAGTCGTGAAACGCTAAATTAAGGCTTTCCGAAATCCATCTTGAGAAGCTGCATCTTTGACACTTACCAGAACAGGTCGAAACCATGGCTGCAGACAACTGTCTGAAAAGGAAGCTGTTTCAATACGTGCCGAACAACTACGAGTGCGACGCCCTTAAGGCAGTCTGCACTGTAATTTGTGCGAGAAGATTTATTGTATCTATTGTATTGTAATTGTACCTAAAAATAAAAGAAATTGTTCTTTCAAGGGGAAAAATCAATGTCAAAAATGCGCTTCATCTTCAAGATGAATCTTCTAGGGAACCTTCAAGGTCTAAGCAAATTATCCCGGAAACACAGATGTTAACTGGCAGCGGAAATTCTTATGGAGGATGTTTTTTCTCCCATGATGTAAGGTAACAGAGGACCATCTTCTAGTTCTAGGCTGCAGCCCCTGTAAGTATTTCCCCTCAAAACTAAGCCCTAAGCTCTTGTTGATGTGGGGTCGCCGATGCACATAGAAGCATGATCCTGGCTCAATCGAGATCCTCTGAGCGAATGAATGAGTCAGAGCTTATCTCTAGTACGCAAAAAAAAGAAATACTAGGAACAGTACTAATTATATCAGGAATACACACATGACTATGACACGCTCGATGGTCTCCCTAGAATTAGAAGATGGGAAAAGAAAAAACAACATCCTCCATAACCGTGTGACCCCGACGTACCAAATGGCAAAGATCAAATAGCTCAGGCCGAAAGACGCCGCAGAGCAAATGGCGGTCTTAATAAATGGTTGCCACTCTTAAGGCTGCTCAACAATTTTTTTGTGCTCCTGGTCGAGGCATAGGATGTTGAATGTTAATACTATTAAGTAGGTGTAGCCGGTGGATCCTAACATACTATTAGATACGGATCCTAAGATAAACGTGGCCACGACTCTAGTTCTTTTCAATCAGACGGATTCCATTTTTTTGTTTCCTAGATAAACGTGCTCCACCGGTACCATTAAATAGGTGTAGGTGGTGCAACTTTCTCCGCGAAGGCTCATCTTGACATCTTATAAGCCTTGATAGATTCATGGGTGGGCTTCTTGTTGATGAACAGATTCAACAACCCAGCATTTCCGTCGACTATGGCTCCTAGATGTGATTACAGTTAATTTTGTAACGACTTTCCCGTGTGTCGAGCTCGGCTCTAACATTGGAGTGCACTGCAGACCGGTTTAAAACTATGTCATAGTGAGACCACTTTTGATGGAGAACTAAGGAAAGAGGAGTAGAGAAAGAAGCCGTACTTGCAAAACAGAGGTCATCTAATTAAACTGTCTACCATACCCCACGAATGGGTACACTACTACTACTACTATGAAACCACTTTTGATGGAGAACTACGAATGAACAATAAAGGAAACGAAGATGAAATGAGATCAGGAGATTTTTGAGAACAACGAATGAAAAGGAATGCTTGCCTTCTAATTTGTTCTCAAAACTCAGCTTGAGTTCGAAGTAAGTAGATGAAATAATTGAAATTTACACACTACACCCGTAAATACTGGGCACTATATCACATCATCATCGTCATTAATGAAGTAGATGAACTGGCGCCTCTACTTACTTCTAAGGGTTTTTTTTCGCCCGAGAAGGCCAATTTTGCTCGAGATTGAGTCCTTGTTGGTTTAGGTATTATAATTACATTCTCCATTATAGTTAGTGGCGTCATTCATTGAAGAGCAGTGCTGCGACTGGAACCAATGTAACTGCCCTGGAGGAACTCCTTCAAGTCAAACCGAGTGCCCTCATAATAACGCGCTTTCCTGCAGCTCATGTGATTTAAGGCTGTACTAGCTGGGAGGTTCTTCCTGGATACGGGTTCATGATGTAATTTGAGGCTTAGCGGAATTCGATTGCTGCTTATTATCAATTGTCTATGGGGGTATGGTCTATCTACTATGCTCGAAGTTGTAACTCCTGAGAGGCGTTGATGTTGAGGAGATTCATTTTTTGATATCTCCTCCACACTTCTCAGTTACAACTTCGACCTCTCAGTCCACACTTCTCAGTTACAACTTCTCAGCTACAACTTCTCAGTTACAACTTCTCAGTTACAACTTTGCAGTTACATCATTATTGGGAGGAAGTCGAAGTGAACTCATAGGTACCGCGAAGGTTACTCATTCTCATGCATACCGACTCAAAAACCCCAGCCCGTGCCGGACATTACTTTTAAGGGTCCGTTTCCACATTGCGCCCTGAACTACCATTCTTGGCTTGTTTCCCAAGAGGAAGGAAGTCAGGTAGGATGTTCTGAAAAATGCAATAGCGCAGCCACTAATACTTAGACTACTAGTGACACGAATGCACTCCATGATCTCAGCGTCAGCTCGCCAACAGCAGGGACCACCGTCGAAATCTAAATCAAGCGGGATACTATAAAGAATTCAAGCAGCTAAGGCTTTACTCACTAATCATTAGTAAGGCATTTTTGAGATTGAGTGACGACTGCATCCTTGAAGAAAGGTTCGTTGTTTGTATGAGGGAGAAGTATGATGTTGATCATTATTTCCCTTTCGTGAAGAGTTGTTGTAATCGAGAAAAAGAAAAACGACTATCAGATGAAAGTATTTTTACGTAAAGCTAAACTCCCCGGCTGGTCACCGGGAGCTCCGGGCGAGCTAAACACCGCGCAAAACGCCGAAAGACGACCAGCGCAACTCTCTCGCCGAGTGCGGAGGAGCAACGAGAAGACAAAGCGCAACGCGCATACCCCTCGAGAGATGGCCGGCGCAATTCCTCTGCGAAGGCGCGCGCCTGGCTTGCTGCGCAAGCTCTTACCTGCGCCGTGCGTGTCTGGTGGGGTGTGTCTTTGCTTTTTCGTTTCCGCCTGCTCTGGTTGTGTGTGCGTAGGGTAGTCCCCGCCCCTGCAGGGTGTCGAGCTGTACCACCGCCCTGGTGGCGGGTGCTTCTGTGTGCGGTTTGGCTAAACTAAATTCGCGCGCGTGGCTATTATCTGGCGAAGGCTTTCGGCGGTGGTTCTGGGCTGTCTGCTCGGCGCTGTTCTTGGTGCCTTCCCCCAGTGGCTGCAGAATGCGCGCAGGCATAGCGAATGCCATTCGTCACCGAGAACTCTTGAAGAATCCGCAAAGGATAGAGCTCGTGGGCTCTCTCTTCTCTTGGAGCTAATTCTTTAAAAAAACAACGATGTTGGCGCAGCTTCCGTCACTTGTTCTTAGAGTTAGCCACCGCACTGCCTGACCTTCGCCCGCCGGATTTTCCCCCCCGCGCACCGCGAGCGCAGGCGGCGCCCCGTCCCCCTTTCGTTGGGTCTTTTCGCGATTGGTCGCGTGTGCTGTTCGGTGCTGGCTTCACCACGGACACCAGCGAGGCCAGCTCTTTGGCTTGTTTACGCTGCTCCGCGTGAGTGGGTGGCTGAACACTTCTGCGCCACAACCTTGGCGCGCGTGTCTGCATGCAGTGGCCTTTTGGCTTCGTTCCTCGACGGGCTCGGGGCTGGGCGTGTTTTCTTCGTCTGTTTCTGATTGTCGCGCGCAGGTGCGCCCACGGGGTGGGAGTCGCCGCATCTGCGTTGCTGCTTTCTCCTTTTGTTTTAGAACTCAGTGCCAGAGTGAGCATTGAGTAAGGCCCCTCGGGAGGGAGTTCGGACCACCACGCCGCAACCAGTCCAGACTTGTGCTCTTCGACTGTGCACCAGGACAGTCACAGGGCGCGAGAGAGCTGCTGTTAGCGTGGCCGTTCTCTTTCCAAACTGCTGAGCTTTGGCTCTCGCGCGCCTTGGAGGTGCTTGAGACCTTGAGGCAGTCTGTTAGGCTGGTCTCCCCTTTCATGCGCTAGAGTGCGCGGGGTACTGTAGTGCACAGCCCTCCCAACCCCGGGCCAACCGAACCTCCCCCCTGGATAATAATATATAAGAAGTAAAGCTAAACTCTTCAAGTTAGTAGAAGTAAAAAAATAAGCCAAGGGTCTTTATGAGATGGTGAGGAGCCAAACTCTTCAAGTTGGATGCAGCTCGTTAAGAGATGATGAGATGAGGCGTCAGCTCTAAGATGGTGTAAGCAGTGCGAGAGGTGTATATGTCCAAATGGCACCCCAAAGACGGGCAGCTCGTGCACATGCAATGGCGCAGTTAGGGTTTAGTCTTACAATACCGGACAACATATGACATCTTATTGATAACCCACTCACCTATAGATCCTTTAAACTTGTTGTTGTTTACTCTGAAGAATAAGGTTTTAATAGCCTTCACTTTGAGTCGTGATCGACATGTTTTTTACTTTCAGATGACCATGTCCCTACGGGTGCTACGAGCAGCATCATCAGAGATACACACATGGCCTTGCTCTCGTCCATCCTACAACGATTTTGTGGATCTTCTTCTCTCGCTTCTAGGGAGGATTCTGTAGTCCTCGATCAAGAAGATGGCCTTATTTATATCAGTATTTATAGTATAAAAAGCAAGTCTATTCTTGAAACCCTTAATAGGCTCCCTTAAGGCGCTTCCTTAAGGAAATGGAATTCCTTAAGGAATTCCTATCATAAAAAGTTATAATAGGTATCCCTTGAGGACCAAAGATGCTCCTTAAGGCTTGTAATAGACCTAGGCTAGTAATATGCCCCTCCTTAAGGGCCAGGTTCCTAGCTTAGTCGCCACCAGCTTGCTAGCTTAGTCGTCACCAGCTTGCTAGCTTAGTCGCCACCAGCTTGCTAGCTTGGCCATCGCCAGCTTGCTAGCTCTGTCTCAGCCGCCGCCAGCTTGCTAGCTTAACCGTGGCCAGCTTGCTAGCTTAGTCATAGCCGCGCCAGTCTGCTAGCTTAGCCATAGTCCTCAGCCTGCTAGCTTAGCCATATCGGTAGCCAGCTTGCTCGCCTAGCCGCAGCGACTGCCAGCCTCTTAGCTTAGCCAGGGCCAGCGCGCTGGCTCATTCGCAGCCAGCTTGTCCCCGTTTTTTTGCTGGATTCTCGTGGAGGTCACGAGGACTCTTGTGAAATTGCGCGACCTACCCGGCATTCTTAGAAAAAAGCCAGAATAGACAGATAGCAGCCGCGCAATTTATAATATAACGCCGTCGAAACTATAATTAACAAGGCTGCGCGCGTCGCTAGCTTGTCGACATAGCGATGTTCTACTCCGTTTCTTTGTCTTATCTGTCTAGGTAGTTGCTAACCCATGCCCAGTGCAGCGGGCCCTTGATGGGCCCGCTTTCTGGGCATGTGCTTATAGTATAAGGATGGGCATGGCTTCCAGTATGTGGACTACCTAGCATATCTAATGAAATGGCCACCGGTGCTTCAGGCGCTGGGCTGAGGCGGAAGTAGCCCATCTAAATCTAAATCTAATGGCTCTTCTATCACTTGTACTACCATGATCTTCAGGGGGTGACTGCAAATAAGGATGGACATGGGTAGTTGCAGTGAAATCTCTCTAACATGCGAGAGCATGTCCTCTGTGAAACCTGCAAAGAGGGCTTTTACCTAAGGAAGTCCGACCAAAGTTGCCAACAATGTATCTGCAATTGTGCCAGTAGCTCCTATGGTGCCACTCAACATTGAGAACAAATAAGTTGTACGTTGGAATGTCAATGTCTTTCAAGGCTCTTCTTGATCTTGACCATTTGGTTCAAGAACAAGAGGGTTATTAGTCTCTCTTCGTTGATGTATTTTGAGGTAGATCCGAAGGTAGGGAAGGTAAAGCAAGGTACAAGGGTTGTACTGATATTTGGGTTCAAGGCAGAGAAGAGGCCGACATATTCGATAAACTGAAATATGCAAGTATAAGTAACAGATGGGACCACGAATAACCGAGATACTGAAGGAAGAGCAGCCTTTAAAAAAAGCTACCTCTCCTATTGCATTCACAAACTCGGTTATTTCGGTTGGTTTTTGGATTAGGCATTTCCATAGACGAAACAGTGAGTCTCAATCAGTGGCATTAGTCATAGTATCGGAGCATCGATCGGAACAGCACAAACCGGGAGCGACTGTACTTGCGACGAAGAGACTAAGAGTCAAACCTGGTGCACGTCCTGCAAGAAAAATGTCGCAAGCCGGAATTACTTTATGAGTATCCAGTCTGTGTCAATGGTATACTTACTGTAGTGGATGTACCTCCTAGAAATAGACTGCCACTCTACTTTAAATGTTGACAACATGATATTCATGCATGACCATGAGCATATACTAGAACATGTTCAGCAAGCACTGGCACTGGGTTCTCCACTTCAAAGCTTTAGCACTGATATACTAGAACATATTCAAGCACTGAGTTCTCCGCTTCACAGCTTTGGGACTATTTACTTATATTGCGCATGGTCCTTCAGAAGAAGGAACATGATCATTGATTCAGGTCCTGTATCGTAACGCAACTATAATGAGAGAGTTGTAGTAGTTCCTCTTGTTTATTCCCTCATCCTAGATCACAGATCTTTTGTGAGAGCGAATGAATGAGTGAATGAATGAAAGCATTTGCTTGCTCTTTCATAAATTGCCTCAAAGGCAAGGACTGCGAGTTCTGCAAGTGCGCGTGTAGGAATGGCACTCCAGATGCGGCTGGCTTGTGCAGTGTCAATCAAGAGCACAGTTAAGCGGTAGTAACAGTAATTCCCAAGGAAGAGGATAACCTTGTTTCCAAGTTCGGGAGATTCAGTGCTGCACCTAAAAAGTACTTCGCTGTGACTTGAGTAGTTTCTTATTCTTGGCCGCGTCAGAGAAGCGAGGCGGTAATGAAGCATCTACTTCGTAGTTTGGCCGCTCCCCTGCCCTCTTTTCATGTCTCCTAAAGAGGTGCCCTCTTTTCGTGGTTCCTATAGTGGGTTCTTTACAGAGAGAGAGAAGTGGAAGAATTCATGTCGACAGGAAAAATTCATTTCGACAAGGCCCAACTGTAGAATTAGAATGTGAGAAGAAGAGTCAATTTATATTAGAAGAATATATTCATTCATCCGCAAAGATACAAAAAAGTTTTCTATCTCCTAGGAAGAATAAGTTTCTTGAATTCTAAGGCCAATGAGATCATTTGATACCTAAGCCTTTGATACCTATAGTCTAGGGGCTGGTATGCTAACTAGTGGTAGACTCAGTGATGATAAGCCTAGTACACGTACTACCCTCCAAGCTCTTGCTCTTCTAAAGGTCGTGCGCTTCCTGCGATCATGGCTTTTACCTGAAGAACAGCGACAGGCCGGAGTGTAAGGCTTGCAATGTACTACAGTGCTCCAACGGAAACAAAGCCACAACGTGTACCGAAGCAAGTATTACGGCCCCCCCTTTTTGTAGAAGAAGTGCATGATCTTTGCAGAAAGGCTGTGACTTTTTTCTTTTTCCTAGAAAGATATCCAGAAGACACCCGACGTTGATCTAACAACTCTAGGTTGAGTATCCTGCTCTAGTCAGTATAACCTTGCAAAAGTCATTTGTAATCACAAGAATTGGATGAAGCTGAGAGACCAGGACTACCAGGGTGAAGAAATAAAAGGTGGAGCAGGGCAAGGAGCTAGCTCAGTCATGGTCCAATACATGGATTTTATTATTGGGAAACAAGACACCATTGAAGACGCCCCTCTGGTACTGATGTATCACAAAAATCAACCTCTTGCTTCTAAGATTTACGATAAAGTCAACTGCGAGTCGTGCAAGAAAGCGACTGATAATAACTACTGCTTAAACTCGCTCACTGGACCTGGAGACCGAAAAAGCTGTAACAAATGCCAGTGCACTTGTGATTAAGACGCTCACTTGTGATCAAGATTTTTACTTGTGATTGAGACTCTCACTTCTGATTATTTAGGACTTGTAGGGAATCGAAGTTGTTTTTGGCTCTTTAGCAGCCACAGGGACAGGCGTCTGCCACTGCCTACGCATAATTGGTAGACCCCAACCAAACCTAACCTAACTTGTACCTTATGTTCCTTCTTTACAATTCGTGACTGGGACTCCATCCTCACAGTTCATGACTGGGACTCCTTCTTTACACTTTGAGAAGCTTCAACAGAAGAGGAATGGGCTCATCACTTCTAATTGGATCATGGAACTGCCTATGCAGCCGGAGTTTGCGCGACAGATGGTCAAATGTGTCAAAGTTGCGACGCTGGGTGGTATCTCGACGTCGATGACGATCATAAATGCAAGCAGTGCGAGTGTACCTGTGACGGTGGTACTCCAAAGGCAAGCGCGGCATGCACGTGTCAAAAAAGCACGAGGTCTACAGTCAATTGCGACTCGTGCAACAAGCCTGGACCGGGTAGCGGAGAAAATTACTGTTCGCATCCCGTTTATGAAACTTTTCTGCCCAATAGATGTGTCCACGAGCTAGCTGTCCATTTCTCTGAGTACTTAAGTATGAGTAGGTACAACAAGAGAATAATGAACATGACCACTATGAGTTGTAAGTACAAGATGAACTTCTACAGCATCGCTTTCTACTAGAAGATCGGCTCGTCCGTTCCTCCTAGGACTTATATGAGGAACTTCTACAAGAACATGTAATTTTAATTTACAGCGTAATTCATATCATCGCAGCAGCGAAACATTCGTTACGATGTGAGAAGTGTGTTTGCGCGTGTGAGAATGGGAAGGCAAAGGCAAATGGCTGGTGCATCCAAGATCAACACAACAACTGCGCTACTTGTCGTTATGGAAATGAAAGCCTATACCTAGGAAGAATATAATTTCCATTCCACTAAAGGTCGCTTCATCTATGAGAACTCAACATCATGGATGTGTTTGAGTTTGAGTACGGTGATGATCGTGGTTTTCATTTATCTTGATTTTCCTCCACTAGGGTTAGATTATTTTGATGTAATACCCGCTAGCACATCATTAGAAATCTTGGCACCTCAGTCGTTGTCCCTCTCTCTTTCCTTTTATCTCTCTTTCCTTTTATCTCTCTTTCCTTTTATTTGAAAGTACGTTGACCGAAATAGAGGATTAACATGTTGACTGACAATATTCATTGCATACGTGCTGGCTCTAGTTGCAAGGACGGGGAGAGTAACTCGGGTAGAAGCGCTTTTCGTCATATTCGCTCCTCTTCTAATGCAAGGAGGGGTACCACATCGAACCTCCACAGAACAACGTGTACCATTCATGCGTCTTAAATGTGTGCGTATGCCCCATCCCTGCAGGAGCACCGGAAGGCACTACCGCATATGACGTCGGAATCGCCGCAACTGGTCGCCACTGTCCCGCCCACGGACATCACAAATGTCACCAATGCTTTCACGAAAATGGTTACGGTCGGGGGCTTCTATTCATCCCACTCAGCATCTTGTATCTTAGCCACCTTTTCCCCTGCATTCCCATGGTCAGCTTCTTCTTTTCGCATGTCACGCAGCATCTTGACCCTGTATTTTTTCCCCTGCTTTTTTTCCCCTGCGCTAAAATGGGTTTGAGCTTCATGGCGATCTGTGTAGATGGAAAGTGTGCACCTGTCCCGGTGGAACCCCGGTTGTCGGGAAAAATTGCACAGTCACCGGCGACCATCACTGTGCTGCGTGCACTAGTTAAGAAAAGAAATATAATACGCACTATCTTCTAGTTCTACTTCTAGTTCCGGTGTGATGATTTCGTGTAAGGTATCTTTTATCCTGAGTCGTGGCGACGTTCCCCTGGATGATTTATGCAAAGGGGAAGCCTAGTGTCGTATTCAAGCATAGCTCTCTGCGACTTAAAAGCTTCTTTAAAGGGGAAAGCAATGGGATAGAAAGCAAACTCACTGGATAGTGAGTGTCTGGCGTTAATCTGTCCCCGACTACGTCCTCCAGGGACCCATGACTGTTGGGAAGCCTTTTTGCAGACGGACCTGCGTTTCTTAAGGGTTTCCGCTTTGCGTCCTCCACTAACATCCTTGGCTTTTTTCCTACTAGAAGAGACGCCGGGGATGCTCTGAGGAAGGTAATAAATTCCGTATAGCCTCGACGTCTAAGTTTCGCTAGCAGAGGAGGAATTTGGAGTGACAAGCAGTGACAGTAATTATTACTCGGCTCTAGTTATGAAAAGAAAAAGTACACTCACACTCACGAAAATAGCTACTTTCCTACTTGAATCCTAGCCAATTTTTCGAGTTGGAGCCCACTTTTTCCATTCATTCTAGAAGTATCCGCTTCTCACCAGGAGCAAGAAAAGCGAGCTTCAGTTCGGCGCGAAGGAAGTGGAAGAAGACAGAGCTCTTCCAATGGGCAAAAAAATGCGAAAAAAACTCACAAACTGCGCAGTGAGCAAACACTCATTGCAGTGGATTATGTTGGCAATATTGGAAGTGCTGGCTCGCCTCCAACAGCAGGACAGCAATCCTTCGTAGAAAGCGAAAGCAGTAGTGACGATGACGAGGAGGAGGACGTGGAGGCACCAGTAGACAGTAATAGTTTATGGTCGTAGTGGTCTTTTATACCCCTGAAGTGGCTATATTGATGAATGAATTATGGGTCAACAACATCGTGATCATATCCATCTTACTTTCCCATTACAAGAAGCAGTTGATGTGTAGTTCTATAATTGCCGAGCAGTACTCCGATGAATAATTTTTTATGTTTTCGTAAACAACATTCAACATGAATCCATTCTCAACTTCTACAACTCACTGACTCGAAGAACACCATCAGATACAAATGCCACCATCTTCGTCGAGACGGGTAGCAAAATGTGTCTTCAGAGCAACCACGAGCTGTTGACGAAGAACAAAAATGCCCTGTGCAAAACGCATGAATGCAAAACCAGCGACCACGAAACTTGTTGCGCATTGTGGTGTGGGGCAGAAGTTAAGTAGAACATGTTGTTGAGAACGAGAAGGTCTATAAGGTCTACGATGGTTGTGAGAACACTAAGGTCTAGTTTGATAATTCCAGTAGAATGGGTGCTAACAGTAAGATGAACACACTAGACTATTGTATCTACTTCACTGAGGCATTCAAATTGTATCTACTTCACTCTTGGCTCTTGATATCTTCACTCTTACATTCTTGAGATGTTGACTGTTGTGCCATGAACTTCAATAGTTTGTTATTTCTTCTCTCCTCGAGGGACTTGCTTCTAAAAAGACCGAGGCCCTAGAAGTCGCTTGCCAAAATGCAGAGCTAGTTTTGGATCCCAAGGCGAAGTGCGATGAACGTGATTGCGCCATAGATCTCTGCTGCACGAATCCTGGGTTCCTTTATGAACTTCAGCTATAAGAAAGTCTTTCTTGATGACAAATACTTCTGAGAGGTCCTCTATGAGAAACCTCTAAATCCTGGAGATCCACGGTGCGAAGATCGCTGTGGGAGCTGCGGCTATTTGCGTCGCCCTCTATATTTTGGTCTTTTTTTCTAGTGAAGGCTCCCCCGTAGCAGAAGCCGCGGAGGATGATGCCATGACTTACAGGGGGGGTCCTGGCTCCGTAGCAGAAGCGGAGGATGATGCCATGACTTACAGGTGGGGTGGTGCTAACTACTAATGCAATGACTTATACATGGGTGAAGATTGAACAAGTTGAAAGAAATGTCTTTGCCTGTGATGGAGGAACATCAGAGTCTTCGACATAAGAGGACCACAATCGCTGTACCCCAAACCGACGGGTTCGGCTGGAGCTTTATTGCGATAAGTCCATCTGAAATGATGCTGTAGAAAAGAAAACAAGTAGTCCACCTAATAAAAAAAGTCATTGCTTACTCTAACATTCGTTACAACTGTTCATCGCTCACCCAGTCTGAGTGATGCACACGCAACAGCTTGATGGGTTACGGAATTAAACAATACGAGAATCGGTGATGATAGTGTGAAGATGTGGCTGGTTTCACATGATTCTTTCGCGCATTCCTTGATCATGCTTAATATCAATGGTTTTTTATTGGTTGTCACCTTCGCAACGCTCTGTTGTAACCTACAGTATTCGTATTTTTTAGCCCACATGATCTGATCAAGGGAGGGCAAAGGCAAGAGAGAACAGCCCTTGATTAAGGCAAGAGAAAACTATCGATTGCAACACCCAACTCCCAGGATTGTTTCCTCGCACCCAATCCTCCTTCTGCTCCCACCAGTACTAGAGTAAGAGCCATCAGCACTACCTAAATCAAAAGTACAAGGAAGAAATAAAGATGCCGATTTTCGAGCGGCGTGAAACCGAACGTTTTCTACTCGTCCTTTTCGGCATCTTTCTGCTCATCTATTTTGGCTTAGGGATACTGTTTCTCGTATCTCGGAATAAAATCGCATCTGCGAACACGTTTTTCGATGGAACACAAGATCAAGGTGTCGTGGACATCACGACAAGGGGGGCGATACTGGATCATTTAGTTGCGGAGTTGATGTTAAGGTCACCTTCGATCCATCTTTGTCACCATCGCGATACCCTTTTCTTCCCTTCATGGGAAACAAAGGGGACGAAATGAGGGGGCCGAGATGAATATAAGCAGCTGACTCTAATGATGGACGAGGATGGAAGCAGTAGTGGCAGTACGCAACAAGGATTGCAAGAGCAACAAGCTGTCACTGGGTCTGGTGGAACGAATGTTAATAATACGACTGGTGCGACGACTACGTCCTCAGCTGCAACGACGGAAGCGCGCCGATTTAAGAACAGAGCAGAAGCGGTATCTTATTTGGCTGGTAATAGCCGTAATTGCCCAGATGGTTGGGTGGACCTTTTCTTCCTGGAGGAACAGACAGCCTGGCTCTCTGCATTTCCTAAAGATACTGTTTGCGTCGCGTCGTCTTTGCTGGAAGAATGGATCGACTGCAATGCGAAAAAAGTTAGTCAAACTTACGGGGGCTTTTGCATATTATACCTTCAAGAACCCGGATTTATTCAGGCAAGCAAAGAAGAGGCCACTTCAAACCTGGTGTGTCGGGATTGTTTTCCTTTTTCTGCTCCTCCCCTCTCGTCGATTCTATTTCTTTTATTAAAAAGACAAAGCCTCCTGCTTCCTCTTGCTCTAAATTTCCCAGCAAGCTCAGTTACTTGCGGGTCATGACACTGATATGCTGCCAGCGACGCCAAACAACTTTCGCAATGATGTCTGGGACGATTTCAAGGCTGTTGTAGACGCAGACCTGTGGCTCTTTTTGAATGTGCTGGCTTTCTGCTTATGAACAGTTGAGAAGTTTTTGTTTTGGGTACTAGAGAATTGTAGGTTCTTGAGTAGCCCGTGGATACAAGTTGATCATATCGTTGTACAGAGCTTGCCTATAGTACCATCATCAACGAGGAGGACTTAATACGAAAATCTATGTTGTTCTAGCTGTTGTAAAAAGGAGCTCCAGCCGCGTCTACTGCTCTAATTCCTTCCGTCGTCCTATGGTTTTTCATACCCTTCTGCTTCAACGATGAGACGCGTTCAAAGATAGTTCTTTTTGCTAGATGTGTGTGGGCCTCGACGGAACGGACTTTGTTTTGGATCCTGAAGCGATTCTTTGGTTAAGGCTCGCTGCCATTCATTTTCAAGGGTCTCTATGTATCTTTCCTCGGTCGTTTCCTTCTTCGGATTCTGAAGAACTGAAGGGAAGAAGTGTAAGTGAACAATTGTTTTGCGCTCTAATTAGGAACAGACTTAGAAGCACATTATATGCGAGCGGCACGCATTCGAGACATTACCTTCCAGGCAGCCAGGAGGGCCACTGTTTTGGTAGGAAATATTGCGCCCATTCCAAGATACACGACTGTCCGCAGCAGTAGAGCGAGTAGGATTAAGGCTACTAATCTTTTATACCGTAGTAGATGAGCACATTTAATTAGAAGTACTTTGATACTTATTATTATGACTAGCTTCCCCTTCCTCTTGTTCTATTTTCAGATGTTTATTTTTTCTATTTTTTAGGTGCATGCTACTTGCTCCATCAGCATCGCGATTTATTTTTAGAAGAGGCTTGGAACTGGAGCAGCAGTACTAACACGTAATGGCATGGAGGTTTTCGTATTCGTTGTAGTAGCCCTTCTATCCTGATGGTGCCACGGTATGAGTTCTTGGATACAGCTCTTGACACGACACGTTATGATACGACAGCCCAACGAGTTCGATATTCACGAATGGCTCTAACCCTAGAGAACTCGAGGACGACGAAATTACAGCATCGCAGGTAATGCTCGAACGCAGTGAGAGTCGGAAAAGCAGAATGTCAGGACGTCATCGCAACCCTGATTTCTACGAAGATCTCTACGATGACATTTAAGGCTTGCACAAATTCATCCCCGGAGCATCTTTGACCTCCTACTTTGTCTTCTAATAGAGGAAAACACTGCAGAGACGATTTCAAGATATATTTGGGCAAGCTCTAAGACATAACCCTATGGTCAAGGTGTCGACATCGGTGTCGTGTCGCTGCGTTCAAATCCTCTACGAATTGCCGATCTTTTCTGAACGAAGTTCACAAGAACCGTGCTTCGACTGGCGGTGTGGCGCTTTACACGACATTGTTTGCTGTGCTGTTGCTTTTTATTGGGAACATTTTCGGTGCTTCGTTCACCGGAGGACAAAATCCGATGACCGGCGGATCCTACGCCGTGTGGAGTTGGATAGCGAGAGAAGACTGGTTTTTATCGATATTGACGCTAGCTTTCGTTGTTTTCGTGCTTTTCGTATTTTTCACATCGTACGAAACACTTGCGGAAGCAGCGGAGATGATCACGGCGACGGCTGGAGCATTATGCTATTCCTCGCACCAGAAGAACGAGATCATCCCTCCAATCTGCCTGTTTCTACTCGTGCAGATGTCCTTCATCGGCCTGCTGTTGAGCAGCTTTCTCTACTTGCTATTGCTTTCTGGGGAAACGAAAGCCGTAGAGCTAGTGACAAGGTCAGATCCGTGGGCGCTTTCTCGTTTCAAGAACCAGCCTGGTGGTGGTGGTGCTTCGTCGGCGATTATGTCGCTGGGACGTACAGGCTCTACTTCTTTTGGTGCGACTTTGTCTGGCAGCAGTACCTACGAGGACCAAGACTACGCCAATATGTTTACCTGTGAAGTGCAGCAAGCCTTTCGTGTAGAGCGGATCGTTTTTTCGGTCATGTTTCTCCTGCTATTCTTGTTCCTACGGGAAATCCCTGCTACGGTGATCGGAGATTCATTGCGTCGAAAATACTGGCTGCCATCTGGTCCGGTTAGTGAGTTGTTTGGAAGCACGCGTGATCAAACTGGTCGTGGGGGAAAAGCAGCAGCGCACAAGAAAACGGGTCTGCCCATAGACAACTCACCAGAAGCGGCACGCGAGTTCGCGATAAAGATGAAAACTCTGATGCACATGAACAGCCCTACATCCTCTGCAGTCTTCATGGCACGGTCAAGCGCTACATCGTCACCGGGTGCGAGGTGGAGTCGGACGCCGACTACAAACAATAAGGTGTCCAAATATGTGACGGACGCTGAGCCTGAGGCTGCATCTGCCACAGAGGACGAAAGAAGGGACACGTTAGCACATTCTGCGGGAAGAGACGTCGAGGATATCGACGAAGCTCCACCGCCGAGTCTCGGGCTTGATGCTAGTGCGATAAATAACCCCCAAAATAATGCTGAGGGCTCACACGCATCAGCCGTGCCAGCAGACGTCGAAAATCAAAATCATGGTTCACTAGACGATAACAATCAGGAGAGTACTATAGTTGAAATCGCGACAACAGTAGACACGGCAAAAAGTCAAACCTCTACTTCTCTTGCAAAAGTCGAATCCTCCGAGTCTGCTATTGTAGCAACCACAACAAGCGTCGTCGCGCATCACACGACTTCACTTTCACCAACGTCGCATCTTCTGAGTATGAAAGATCGAGGGAGGCAGAGTCCTACTATGGTGAAAACAGCAGCTTCAATGTCAAGCATTTCACACGCTTTGACAGCATCCCAACGTCTCGAAAGGCGTCCTGTGGTCCGCAGACACCGTAGCGGATGGGAACATCTAGTTTTATGGTGATCGTGTGTTAGTCGTAGTTTTTCAGGTTTCTCGTTGAAAACGTCAATCATCCAACTAGCATGTTAGGTTGTTTGACGGCTGAACACGGACTACAACCTCCACCCAGTCCCTTCATCTAACAACCGGAGGAGTAAAGTCCATAGTGGAAGAAAGTCTCGAGTATAAAGCAGTTCTCGCGAAATTAGCAGGTTACACTGCTCTCTCTACGATCATTCTATCACCTGTGGCAGAGATGCGGCGCGGTTTCTATGCATTCCTACGAGTGAAGAAAAACATCCTCGAATCGAATCAGAAGTACTAACTTACTATCAACTTCCCACTACCTTCCCTAGCTCTACTCCTATAGATACCTGTTTCGATTTATCACAATAAGTGTTTTTTGATTCTGAATCATGTTACGCATTCTTGGAAATAAAACTTTAATCCTAGACCTAGACAACATGATTAGTAGACAACATTAACCTCTTGCCAGGCACATCACTCAATCAATCAATCAATCAATCAATCAATCAAAGAATCAATCAAGAGACAGGACTTCTTTCTCCGTCCTGCTCAGGGTTTCCGGCGAAGGCGCTTCGCTGACGCCCTTAACCCTTGTTTTCCGCTTTGTCCTCCCGGTCTTCTTAACGTGCGATCCAATGGATATTGCGTACTGGTGGGTAGTGCGTCTCGTTGATGAAACGATAGACCCCTGGAACCCGCTTATCACACATCCAAGACATACCTACTTCGCCGTAGCGGACACTGCAGCTGCAGCCGGCGGTTCAGACAAGATTTTCTGGAGTCCTTGTCTTAGAGCCTGCTGGCGCACTGTCATCGCTGGCGTGGACCCACTCACTTGCTTCGAACCTGCTCATACAGCGTTACTGAGAAAATTGCGCGATTTTGGATGCACTTTGCTGGTATTAATTCTTTGGGGCTGGTACCTAAATCGGGAAACAGTTACGGCGCCAAATTTAGACTATAGACTGTGGCACGAGGCTTCGTTTTCGCAAACAGGCGTTTTGTGGACGCGTGGCCATAGACCCCCAAACGGCATGGTGCAACTGGATAGGCATGTTCCAGTGACGTCCTCAGTGGGCCAGTCGACCACTCAAAAGGACACGTCGGTGGTGGGAGCAACACTGAGTTATGCGGATAAGACTGGCGCAGTAGCGAAGCACTTGGCGGCACCGACAACGTGGTCAGAGGCAGAACGATCTGTGGTGTATGGGAGCTTCAAATTCCTGTTGGATCCAGCGATGCCTAGTGGTATGGCTTCACGGTGAATAGGTTTTTTCTTGTACCATAAGTACCCTGAAGACAACTTCTGTCTGATCCAGAAAGAACCTTAATAATTCCAGGAGTTTCTATTCCGCACTTCTAAAACTCGCGGCTACATGTTCTCAAAGGGGGAGACGAGTACAACTACGTTTTGGGACCTAGTCGAGTTCCTCTGCTTCGTCGTTCTTCTACACCATCTGATGAACATCTTTCCTGGTGTCACAGTCTGCGTCTGTGTTTTCCTTCTCGATGGCGTCGGAGACTACAGTCCTGTTCTAGAACAAGAGCAGGGACAAGAACAAGGTCAGAACATGTTGTACAACAGTGCTGGTTCTTCTAGTGGCAATGACAAGAATCAGTTTTCGAAGCCCTTCACCACTACACAAGAAAAGCTATCTCCAAATGCGCAATTACTCAATGGTGGTCGATGGGTGGCGATTCTACTGGCGAGTTTGGTCAATCTAGGGTTGCAAGCTCTACACACCATCTATGACTTCGGCTTCGATGCTATTGTTTGGCGCTATTGTGTCCACATGGAAGCGGTGGCTGGGGAAAAGGAGAGGATACGCAAAATGCGAGTCGATGCATTACAAAGACGAAAAGATGCGATGCTGGCCAAGAAAGCAGAACAAGATGCTGAGGGAGAAGACAAAGATACGACCACACGGAATGGAGGCGGGACAGCTGGTACAACGACTGGAGGAGGAACACGAACAGACCCTCTTGCAATCACCAATGGTGGAGGGTCATCGTCTAACACGAATACTTCGTCCAATACTGTTGTCAACAATGTCGGATTGGTGAAGTTACACGCGGCTAGTTTGATGCTGCATCCGTTAGAAGATTTGCAGGCCTTTTCGACGCACATTCGTCCATGGGTTCGCAGTTTTCGGAACACTGACCTTGTTCCGGTAGCCGTTGTGAATGAGGTTTTGACCCGAGATTTGGCACGAAGACGCCGAAGCGCCAAGAAGAAACACGAAATTAGGAAAGCTGAGGCGAAGCAAGGCTCCTTTGGAGTTGTTAAGGCTAGTACGAGAAATCCATCGTCACAGGCGACGTCCTGGTTCCGTTTCTAAAGGGAAAAGGGGACTCAAGACGCTCCTGCAGAAGGGCTGCTCTTAGTTCTAATAGGGGCGCGGTTCGGCGGTTGTTAGGTAGGCAAGATTTCGCGAAAAAAGCAGAAGAGATGGATGAAAAAAGGCTCAATGATATAGCTGGAGGGGGAGAGGGAAATCAGGCCATAGAAGATGCTTTTAGGAAAGCGGATAGTCCATCTAGTAGTCCAAAGAAGAAAAAGAAGGGGAGGAAAAAAGCGACAAATATACAAGAAGATGATGTCAACACGCGTCCAGGATCGCGGAAAAAGAAAGGCAAGAATGTAGAAGCAGTAGACAAGAAAAGCACAGGTTCATCTCCTTCAGGTTCAACTACAAGGAAAAGAAGAGGAAAGCCGCGTAGTGGTAGGAATACAGCTGTTATCAAGATGGATTCTTACTCTAGTGAAGAGGGCGTGGACATTCGTGGGACTGTTGATAGGAGAGAAACTTCCGGGGCAGGTGATAGAGAGGGTGGAGAGCGAGATGGGAGTAGATCCTCATCCTCTAGCAGTCGTGGAGGTGGGTCATCCTCTTCCTCCTCCTCCTCAGATGAAAACAAATCTTCTGCAGGTGACGTGTCCAGGTCCGACGATAGTTTCTCCAGTGATGACATGGCCGAAGACCTCCCAGACCTATTAAAATTACAAAGCTACAACCCGCAACTCGTACAGCATGGGGACGATACAGCTAAGAATCAGAGGCATCAGATCTGGCGGAAAACCCGGATTGGTCTTGGCGCAACGCCTCCGTCGTCCTGTGGATCCTCTGCTTTCGGAGGAAGCAATGCGGACAGAGGTCTAAGAGAACTCGCTTTTCTCGCTGATATTCAGGGAGAGTCGCACAAACGCGTATGTGGTTTGAGGGAGCCGACGGCCTCTATGTTAAGGCAACCCATATTTTTAGAGGTAGAGCATCGATCCGCAGCGCCCTCCTTGGTGTCTTTTTCAGGTAGAAAAAGGCGCCTCCAGGGATGCTACCAAGGATGCGACCGCAGTAGCTCCAACTCTGGTGGCGTGGATGCGACGACGAGGGTACATCTACGACCCAGAGGAGAAAACTTTTGCCTTGAGGACATTGGAGAGAAGCAACCTGGGAGGCTCGCTGTATTCGCCGACTTCAAAACTGCCACGCCGCCTAACGAGAAGTAACAAGGCTCTACAAGAGACGGTAGGAAGTGGGGTGATTATGTTTATGCCGTTGGGCTTGACTGATGGTGCAGACAAGCAAGGTAACAGTATTAGTATGATTGAAGATGGTGCAGCCAAAGATGAGCAGCAGAATGAAGATGAAGTGCCGAAGAGGAGTTATCATCTAGAAGCTGAGAATGCGGAAACTCTGTTCCAAACGCCTGAAGTAGGAGCAGCTCATGCTACGACTTCCACTACGTCTGCAAATTATGGAACAGCTGGTACCGCCCAGGCTAGGTCCTGTGTCGATGAAGCACTCGGAGGTTTCAGTAGTACTAGCAAAGTGACTTTTTCCGATCTTCTCGAGGGAGAGGATTTTGAAAACGATGCTTGGAAAGCTGGAGACCCCCTAGCACTAGCTCTCCCACCAGGTCGAAATACCGTTGCACAGCCGTATGATCTTCTCAGTCCGGACCAGAGGGACCGAGTACTGGCAGAACTAGAGAAAACAGGCTATTTCAATCCAAAACTGGTTTGGGAGCTGCATCGGAGTGCGAGTACGGGGAAGCTGTATTATTATGAATGGTCTTCCTAGTCCTAGAGCTAGCGGGGGTAGTTGTTTTATTGGCATAGAATTAGAACTTTTGAGGTTGACAAATACGCTTAACTCCCAGAAGACTGTTTCATCTTGTGCTCGATCGCATTCTCATCTAATTTCCCTAGCGGGGGTAGTACTAGTAGTTGTTTTATATCTTGCGCCAGTGATCAGATTCCAGCGTTTTATCTCATCTAATTTCCCTGGAATCCGATAACTGGCGAGGCTTTGTGGTACGCACCCGGTCTGAACAAGCAGGACGTAGCGAGAGGGCGTGCCCCAGGCTACGTTTCGCCACGTCGCGTTGACGAGACGGAAGCTGCTCTGGTTGCCAGTAGTGCACTGCGCAAGAGTCGTCGAGTTGCAGAAGATGTAGTTTTTGGTACGACTGCAGAAGATCAACAGAATGAGCAACACGAAAGGCAGTTGTTACAGCTTCAAGATACTAGTACTACATCTACTTCTGCGAAAAGTCTAGCTTTGAGTGCTGAGCAAGGTGTCGACAACATGCTAGAAGCAGGACAACAAGATCAACAACAAGGAAACACCGTCAACGGAGTTGTAGGCGCGAAGAAAGAAGACGAGGCAGCGGCCGCTAATAAGCGTAAAGTTACGACTGAGGAACTGGCGCAACCATACTTCGAACCTCGTGTGGACTGGAATGAGATGCCGCCAGAATGGATGGATAAGTGGTCCTCAGATGAAGACATAGAAGATGAGGAGGAAGATGAGGACGGAGATGAAAACAAGGGTGATGATGTTGGAAACGGAGAGGGAGCTGATAAAGCACTTCCAAAGGAAGAAAAGATGCCAACAGTTGCTACGCCCGTCGATCCTCGGTCACGCAAGACGAAGTTGCAACAGTTTTTGGACGAAGATATTAAACAAGAGTCTACTTCTCCAACAGCAGGTTCTGAGCATGCATCTACAACTTCTGGACAGCTACTCCAAGTAATATCAAGTACAATTTCTCCAAATAAGCTGTCCTCAGCGGAAATGCAGTTTTATCATCGGGATATGCTGCGAGACTCCACAGAGATTTTCGCAGACAGCAAAGCGGCAGAGCGGACACGCGAAGAAACACTGGCCAAGCGCCTGTTGCAGGACCAATTTTCCAAACGCTGGGGAGCTTTGGTAGACCAACAGCACGAAAATTTCACTACTGAGGGCAAGTTTCTGTGCAAGTGTCTGGAACGGTATCGTAGTGCAAAAAGTTTGAGGAAAATGCGGGAAGAACTTTGTCCAGACGAATACCAATTACGTCTTCTTTACGAGTTTCGGCACTTTCAGAACTCAGCCGCACTGCCTACTGAGGTCATGTTTGCGCATGTCTTGCGCGCTAGATACAAGAACGCTTTCGAACTTTCTTTGCCTGAGAAACTTTTTCAACGTGGTGCTGTGCCTCGGAAAGACCTAGTAAACCGCGCGGGCAATGTGGCTCATCGAGTCCACAAGGAGTTAGTACTGGCAAGTCTGATGCGAAACAGAAACTACACGAGAGGTCGACGAAAATTGGGTGGAGCGAAGAACGCGCTGTTAGGCGTTGACGACGAAGATCGACCGGACTCCAAAGCCGCCAAGTCTCGCCCTCTAGCATCTCCAGTGATACCAGCGCTAGCTGACGGAACGACGTTACCAACACTGCTGAGTTCTCCAGGTGGTGCTGGAGGTGGTCAGACTTCTTCTTCATCCGACGATCGTGATCGTGGTCCGCCAGAAAGAACAGGCGTTCGTACTCATTGGCGCGATTTTGAGCTCACAGACACTGCCATCTGGCGACGTAGCAGGAGGCAAAAATGGACTATGATCGAAAATCTGAGAGCACAGTTTCAAGAACGAAAAAGGTTGAAAGAGGAGGAAGAGGAACGGCGGGTGAGAGCGGAACAGAAGCGACAACGGAAGATCAGACAGTCAGCGACGTATAGATTGGAAGAAGGGTTGGCAGACATTGAAAGAGACCAAGTAGAGAAAACTACAACTACGAGTTATTCGGCGGAAACGAAGAGGAAAGGTACAACTAGGGAATGATTTCGTACTTCTGGAGGTAGAATGCTTTACTTCGTACTTGCAACTTGTTGATTTTCATCGACGAACTGGTGGCTGTTTTCAAACATCAAAATGCACCAGGATAACATCTCCTGCTCGACCGAATATGTTGAATTAACTTACATATTCTCGTCTTTTACTTTCTGATCGAACACCAGGTTTCCAACGGCAGGCCAAGACGAGTACCCAGAACAATTTAGATTTGCCCGGATCTACTATGCAAGAATTCTCACCTTCGAATCAAGAGTCGCCTCTCAGTGGAAGCAAAGTCGGCACACCGAAGTCCACCGGTTCTTCCCCAACTAATTGGCAGTCACAGAGAACAACAATAAAAACTGCGCAAAAGTGTGGGGTGCTGAAGTCTTCAACATCATCAAGCACGAGTAAGAACGACGATAATGCTAGTATTGCTTCCAGTAGCCACGATCAGGGGTCCGGGTTGCGGCAATCAGGCGCTTACAAGCCAGTGGTTTCGAACAAGTCTGGCCTAGTAGGTCTTTCATCTCCATCGTACCCGTACGCAGATTTGATCAGAACTACCAAGAAAGTAATGTCTCCACAGCCTCGCCGCTTTGGCCGTAATAGTGCTACAATCCTGGAAAACATAAGCAAGGAAGAACAAGACTTTCAAATTCCAGCTGAACACCTTGTGGAAACTATGAGAAGGGACAATGTGGCAGATTTGGTCTGTGGCGACCCTGGTGCCTCCAGGTTGAGCAGTGTTGAGGAGCAACCTGCGAAGAAGACTTCTACACACGACAAGACTGGTGCGGCTTCCCATGCAAGAACATCTTCATCAACAAGTCGTGTGAATGTCGGCAGACTCTTGATGGAGAACCGCGATGCTGTGCTTAATCACGCAGGACGCCATGTCGATCGGTCTTTTGGAGCAGTGTTTTCTAATCGCGGTGTGTCTAACATAGACAAAATTGTAGCTCCACTTCCTGCTGTGCCAGTCCGGACAGGTCTGCAGCTTTGGCGAGCCCAGAGTGATGGCAAAGCAAGGTACCTGGCGCAAGTGAGGAGTAGAACGAGTAAGATGGTAAGCGGAGCAGCAGCAACTGGAGGTTCCGTTACTACTAAAACTAATACTAGTCCTAGTACTTCTGTTGGAAAAGGTAAAGAATCTAGAACTATGGCATCATCACCACCATCAAGTCGAAGTGCGACCTCTGCGTCTGGTGCTGTAGTTGCAAAAAAGAACAGATCTTCCAGTAGTGCAGCATCTTCTAGAAGTGCGGCGCGAGGACAGGGATCCACTCCAGGAAGCATCTCGACGTTAAGGCTACCAAGCGAGCATCCTCAACATCATCCCTGCCTCATTTTCAAGAGGGAAATGGATCCAGGGATGGTCTCAGGGATGCACGTTGGTAGTTCTAACGACGCCTAAGGGAGGAGCGAAGTCACCAAAAGGTGCTAAGAGTAAGAGTCCCAAAAGTTCTTAGAGCTGACTCAAGAGGATCTGCATGAGAAAATCTTATCGTATTCCTTAACAAGAAATTCAACTTGAAATTCACATGAGTACTCCGAAAAATGTTTATTGTTTTGGTACTACTAGTGCTATTCCGATGATAATCCGCAAAGTTATAGATACCGTGATTTCATCTCAGTCGGAGATCCTCAGAGACCATTTTACGAAGTTGCATTTTTTTAAGGAGGAAGAACAGTTTTGTAAAGACAAGTATGCAAGAGTGAAATAATGTAGAGCTAGACAAGGTCAAGGTCTATGTCTTGATCAAAATGGGAGCTAAATAATACAGTAGGTGCAAATAATACAGTAGGTCTAGGTGCACCAAATAATACAGTAGGTGGAAAAATCTAAGAAAGCAAATATACAACATGATATTATGATGCAAGAAATTCATCATGTACTATGGGATAGAAAACGAAAGTTTCGTCGTCACTCAGTTTGAAATCTGTTCGTATTAGAACTGCATTCATCTGCAATAAAGGGGAAAGAACAGTGATATCCTCAAAATCCTTTGACAATGAAAATGATTCCTTGACTCATCTTAGAAGCGTAGTAATAATGTCTAGAAGTGACAGACGAAAAACTGAAAAGTGATTTGCATGCCTCCTGTGAAGAACCTAAGACTCGCAGTCTCACTTGAAAGGTCATTTCAGAGGTGGATTCTCACACAAAAAACAGCAAACGACGACGCAATCGGCGCAGTATAATATAAAATACACGGTGAAGCCTCCTATCCTATCCTACAAGTGAAGAATTGCAATGTGAGAATCAAACTTGATATAAAAGTCTCCACGATCCCGTATTTGATTGGCAACTTTGTCGATCCCCATCCCGACAGAACACAAGCCATGGCCTCCTCAGTTGTTTCATCATGGTTGGAATCGGGCGCATCCGCAACCTCGATGCTGCAATCGGGCGTTTCCGCTATGCTCGGTTCCTCCGAAACAAATACGATGCCAAGTGGAAGAGAAGCACCACCTTGGGCTGAGACGGTTTACGACACAACGACAGTTCTCGGAGTGGGATGTGCGGTTTATCTTTATGGTGGATCCGGTTAATACAGTAATCTCTTGCAAACACATTTACTTGGTCATGGTAGTGGGCGGTTGTTGTTTACTTCTGGAGGATCACGTGTTGATAGAACAGCGCAGTTGTGGTCTAATGGTTAACATACCAGGTTCCATCCGGCTGTACCTCAAAGATTACCTAGTTCGAAAATCAGAAGCATGAAATGATGCATTCAAGTTTGGAGGACGCATGCCATAAGAAGCAGAATATGCATATGCTCTTCTCGCTCTAACTTTCAGTCATCGTGATGAGTGGCCTGATGCGGATCAGTACCTTCGTGTCAACGTCGAAGCGGCTCGCCTCAACGCATGAGTCTAGAATGATGAGAGCGGTAGAAGAACACGAAATACAGATTGCAGAATTGAAGGCTGCACGGGGAGGACGGGCAGAGGATAATGACGACTATGAAGATGGTGACGAAGACGAAGATGGGGATGAAGAAGGTGGCGATGGGAAAGCAGATGGAACAGGAGGAGGTGGAGGCGAGGGTGGAGAGGATAAAGGAGGAGAGATGAAAGGAAAAGATTAAAAGAAAGACGGTGCTGCTGGTGCGGCTGCTGCTGCAAGTGGTGACGATGCTGCAAAAGGTGCAAGTGCACATGCTTCGAAAAAAAAAGATGACTCAGACGATGAAGAAGATAACTACTCAGATTCTGATGATGTCCAGGATTAGCGAGCTCAGCGAATGGGTCGGCTCTGGGGTCATCTGCCAATGGGTCGGCTTTAGGTTCAGCAAAGGGCTCAGCTCAAGTTAAGGCTTCGTGTAATCCATCCTTTGAAACATCCTCGGGAGGCTTCTCAAGGGGAAAAGGCGCCTGGGATGCATTTCGAGATGGATTTCGAGATGATTCTAATCAAGGCTCAGCTCAAGGGTCGATGCTCGCACCCCCTAGATCGGGTTTGGGTTCAGCACTTGCTTCACCAAGGTCCGACGCCTCTTTGGCTATGATGGTGTCCGATATCAATATAGATGAGATTTGAATTCGACAAACTGGTTGGTGTAACCAATGACATGCTTCTGGAGCACTTTTGGAGCTGTTCCGACATCTAGTGTCTAGGGAGAGGATGATGATGTTGAGCTTAGTTGGGAGAGGAGTGAGAAACAATTTGTTGGAATTAGATGATAAGTAGAAAATATTTGATGATCTCATGTCTTCCAACGACGAAAAAATGTTGCCTGGTGCGTCATCTTCGCAGCACCGTAAAGGGACGAGTGCTTTCTTGCCAAGTTCTGGTTCAGCTTCACCCGTAACTTCATCTTTAGCCGACGATGCTGGAGGAGGAGGATTAGGGTCATTTTCTGGCCCTGATGGGTTGAGGAAGGGCAAAGACTTGGGTCTTCGCTCAAGCAGGAGTGGCATTGTCAACTCGTGTATCAAGAAAGCTGCGAATGCCGCGTTTAAGATAGACGATTTTGGAGCAACGTCGTCCTCTAGCACAGGAGCGACAATAATAGGAAGGCGGAACAACGAGGAACATCTAGAAGACGGTGTTGAAGATAAATGCTCTTTTTAAGGTCAACATCTAGTGTCCATCTTTCTCGGTTCTTTCGTGCCCGCCTTTTCCCTAATATTCTCATCAAATACAAGGTAAAAAGGAGCCAAGATGAGGGGACCGAGATGCATCCTAGCGCGCGCTAATCTTTACAACGACCAGGAGGGGGCGCATTCGACGAGAAGGCGCCTGGGTCTGCGTCTGCCTCATCTTCGCATCAACTAGTAACCTCAGTGAACCCTGTGGCTCCACTATCGCACAGTCGTCCTTCGCCTACTTCTCGTCCTAATAAACCTAGCTTAGAGCGACGCCTGTCCGATCTAGCCTTTTTCATGACTGTGGCTTTTAGTCATCCACCAGTAACCGGATTACTGCTTGTCAGTCTTACTGCGATAGCAATAGGATTGCAGATTCTACGCAAAGAGTCCCATCCCGAACACATTTTCCCATATTGCTTCGTACTGGTCGGGTTTTGTGTATGGTTCTGGTATTTGGTAACCTGAATTTGATCACAAGGGTTCTCTTCTTGTTTTCCCTTATGATCAAACTCTGGTTACCAAATACCGGAGCCATTCACTTTGTGGTATGTCATTGTGGTACAAGGGAGTTCGAGCGACGGTGTTACACCAGAAAGGTGAGAAAAACAGGGATGGGGAATAGATTGGAGACGGCTGGATTATCATAAACACCTATGATACAGTTACCTCCGATTCACAACACGTACAAAGAAGATCACCGCGTTTATCTCGCTTCCTTCGAGAAAAAAACCTAGCCGCGTGTGTTGCGCTAGCCTGGGGTAGAGAACCTTCGAGTGAAATTCTACTGTGACCAAAGCGAAAGCTTGCTGAAAGATAGAGGTTAGAAAAAAAGACCGAGAAAATGAAAATGCAAAACTCGTCTGAAATAACTGCAGTTTCTGGAGAGACAACATCCAACGAAAAAGAGCACACGAAGACTATGTCGTCCGAGTTAACTACAACAACTTAACTAGTCGTAGTAGCACCTCTAAGGTGACAATTCAATTTCAATCAAAACTAAAACCCAGATTCTTCATTGAATGGTAATCTCTCTGTCAAAAGAAACCATGCCATCTTTTTCCGACTCTGTCATATCCGAAGTGTCCCAGCACTCACATGGCGAAGCCCGTGTGAAGTTGCTGAGGCTTGATCGTCGTACCACACCCGGCAATCCGCATATTTCTGGCGCAAAGCAAGCGCAGAAGCACAGTCTCAAACGTTTCGATGTTCAGGTGAGGTTGGAGGGTGGTCCCTCGCTCAACTCCTTCACGGGTTCCGATAACACGGTTTGCGTTGCGACGGATAGTGTGAATTATGAAGAAACAAATCGATCGTGATTAGCGTCTACTTCTTGAAGAACCTATACCTATACCTATACCTATGCGTAGTATGTAATTCTTCTAGGAGCAAAAATAATGAAAGAAATTGTTGTTCTCTCGATGATTTGATTCTAGAATCCTTTAATCCTCAAACAGCGTCTTCGTCCTGTCCCAACAAAATCCGCTTTGCTCCAAGGAAGCCTTTGCGACGATTGTGGGAAAGCATTTCTGCAGGAAATATCCGGAGCTAGTCCAAAAATGCGAAGTCCTTGTCGAAGAGGACTTGTGGGAGAGAGTCGTTTACTACACTCCTGCGCCTCCTCCGGCACCTCCGGAGCCTTCCAAGAAGAGCGAGGCAGAAGAAGAGCGAGGCAGCAATGTGCCTGCTGAAGAGGGCATCCCAGCCACCAAGCAACTGCTTGCAGCTGCAAAAATGCCAGCTCTCACAACGGGAGTGAATTTTCCAGTCATCAAGTCCGGAGGTGCTGCTTCCCCGTTTCTGCAGACTCGTGCTCCACTTGGTGGTAGCAGCTTTGCTCCGGTCTCGATGAGTGCTATTGGAGGGTCTGGAGGTGGTCTGTTGAAACTGGATAAGCCATTGTGTGTGCAGTCTCCGTGGACTGCATCTGCTGGAGGATCGTTGTTGAAGCATGGCAGTGGAGCACAACAACATGGAGCTAATCATGCTTTATGGAAAGAAGTTGGTTGCGCATGTGGTTTTGATGTCTGTAAATGTACTTACTTTCCCTTCTACCTGCTGCAGTTGCTCTACGTGCAGTAAGATCGTCGCAAAATCTTCAAGAACAACATTCTTGGGCAACTTTTAAACCACATCTTTGAGACCAAGTAACATGACTATGACCCCTTCACTCCTTCACCTTCCGCGTTCACAGTCTCGACAACAACAAAAACCTCTTCTAACCCCCACCCACACCCAAGCAGCTTCCGAAAAGAGCAATAAGAACTTTTTTTTACCCTCCATGGCAGCATCCGAGATCGAGGGTGCTTCTGTAACTGAGCACTGTCACGCTTTCCGAAAACGTGGTCCTGAAGTGATGTGGTGCATGGTAACTGTTTGTGTTATGATCCGGGATTGTAAGCCTACTTAAGCTAGAATCAAGCAGAGGAAGACGAAGAGTAAGTAGAGATTAATAGGAAATAAAATCATGAACAAGAAGATGTAACCTACCTGAGTTCATCAGCCTTGTTTCCACTATTCTGAGAAAAAATGTTCTTGTTGCAATCATGTTAACAAGGTCCATCTCGGTTTCCCTTAGGCAACTCAGAACCGACATCATCATCCTGCTCTAACCATCGCACCGGCACTTCCGCCAGCGTCTCCCTTGATTCCCTCGTGAGTGGCGTGCGTGGTCTGACGATGATGAAAACGACTCAATCCGCATGGGAAAAATTCGTCCGCGATGAATTCACCACTCTACCAGATGCAGCTGACCGCATTATGGCGTCTTCGATTGATACCGAATGGAGCTTCTACCCGGGAGCTGTTGATGGTACTATTTTGCTAGAAGCCATAACTTTTACTTTATTTGCATGATTTCACAGCAACGATGATGAACGTACGTAGGTACTCACGTTATTCCCTATCATGTCATCCTCCGACCACCTCCACCCAGGCGACTTCGACACCATCACCTCTTCCATCTACGCTACACTGGTTGAAGTCCTATGCGGTCCTTCCGACACTGGCGTCTTCAGCCCTTCTGTGCAACGCACTGTCTACGAGATGGGCGAAGAAGTCCTCAAACGGTTTGCTGACTCTGTCGGTCGAGTCAAACTTTACGCGCCAAACCTTGACCACATCCCGTTCGACTTTTCGCGCCTCGAGGATGCACTTGGACCTAACAGGATGCCCAAAGCAGGCAATCCAGAAGTTTTTGTCGTAACGAGTGAACCAGCAGGCATTATTCAGATCGAGCTGTATGCTAAGGAAGGAGCCGCGAAGGAGAAGCTGACACTACCTGCATCTCAACAACCTGTTTCGAAGGTGACAAAACTAGCTAGTACCAGCAAAGCTCAATCTCCAGCAACCAAAGAGCAATATCTTCAAGCACCCGGCAGAGAGTCAATGTCAACTGCAAATACTACAACAGCGATCAGTGTCCTTCCGACGTTGCCCAATGTTTGCTCTCGTCGAGACTTCTTGGATGCCTTCGGTGGAGTGTACGAGAAGTCCATCTGGATCTGTGAGCGCGCTTGGCCGGCTTTTTTGCATCAGCTCACATACAAATCCGCTGATGACTTACTGATGCATCTGCGACACATTGTGACGACGAGTTCTTTTATGATGCGGATGGATACAACAACAACTCTGGCAATGGGTCAGTAGACCTATTCATTGTCAATTGGTATTTGATAGGACCAGGAAGCGAATATCAATATGATTTTTTTATCAACTAGGAAAATCTAATGGTAAGGAGAAACCGCTTTAATCCAATCCCAAAGAGCATCTACAACTTGTCCCCATTTCCCCCTTCATACCCCACGACGAAAAGCTTGCCTTGCTCTGCGCACATCCAGATCTTGCTAGTAAGGTTGCGATTGCTACACTTGCTGCAGCTAAGGCGAACGGAAATGCAGTAGCGAATGGCGAGCACGGTCTTACCAAGAGTTCGCAGATCGAACAGTGCTCGGCCGGTCTAGACCAATGTACGCGTGCCGAGTATGACCAGTTCTTATGGCAGCAGAAAATCCACATTTTCCAGCATTTTATTGCCGGTTTATTTCGATTGAATTTGTTTTTGCAAAAGGTCCTCAGAAATCCCTTTACGGGTTCTCCGATAGGTGTAGACTTGTGGCCGAATGTAGGGTCTTATGCGCCCCCAGTGTGTAACTTGTATGACATTCGTTGAGCGAGTTAATTAATGGTTTGAAAGGGCGGTAGCATATAGTCCTAACGCAAAAGAAAAATGCGGGCGCTTACCAGGGACGGCACCACCAGGGATGCACCCATGACAATCCCCTTCAGCCGGTTTAAGTAGATTTCCCCCAGTTCCTCTAAGATTCCAAGTTCTGAATGATGCGTACCATAAGAAGTTCGGCTTTCCGTTTATCCTGGCGGTCAGTGGACGCAGTGTGGCGCAAATTTTGGCCACCTTCGAAGACCGAGTCAGCAACGCAACAGATGTGGAGTTCGAGGAAGCTTTGATCCAAGTTCACAAGATTGCAGAAATTCGAGTACAGAAGATTCTTGTTGGGGGACTCTAATTTTGGGATTCTAAATTTAGTGCTGTCAAAGAAAATGACCGTAATTTATAATCAAGCAGATCGACATCGATAGCACCAGATTCATGTCGTCCTGTTTCTGTTCTTATGATTATCATGCCCTAGAAATTTCTAAGATGTTCAGGCCACTACTTAGTAGAGCAGTAAGTGTCCTACAAATAGGTCGTCTGGTGTACCTAGTACATCTTGTACTTATCACTCTTGTACAGAGGTGCCACTGACAACTACAACATTTTTTATCGCTTCAACAAAATTCTGGCATCTATTTCAATAAATATGAAGGATTCCAAAAAATAGATCCGTACCTTATGCATGTAAACGATTGCATCTGTTTTGTCGTTACTGAAAACAATGATTTTTGTGATGTAACGATAGAGGAAGTCAAGAAAACGTAGACGGTTTATGTGTTTAAATCATGGATAAAGACTAGCATTATCAGCATGTGCAGCTGCAGTCGTGAGAAAAGCCACGGTCGTATCTTCCCAACAAAAGAAATCTACACCGTCGAAGCGGCATTTCTTCTCAAATTATCTGTCATTGATAGACTACTGATTGACCACAATCTTCGGACCGAGCATTCGCTAGGAAAGAAATCAGTCGAATGAACATCACCAACTAGATGATAATTGTGTAGTAAAGGTTATCTGAAATACTACTATGTACTATCACGACTACAAAATATCTTCACTCTATGGAGATAATTTGTCATCGATCGCAAATCGATACCAGAACCACAGTAACTGTTGAACCTTCTTATGATCAAAAAGATGCATCATGCTCACGCAGCTTTGTTGTATCAGATAGAAAGAGAAGAACTTACACGACTGGTAGTTGTGCGCTACGTTGTGCTTCACAAAAATTTCCTGGATGAAATCAGTCACCTGCCGGAGGGTCGAGTATGAGTTTCAGAAACGCAAAAGGGCGAGTCCATCAACGTGTCGCCCATTGAGAGACCGCGGACCATGGTATCAAAAATGCTAGCCCCCGACAAAAAGGTCACTGAGATTGAGAGTAGATACAAAACTGCGCCCCTATAGGTTTTTTCCAAATGAGATTGGACGAGCAGTTAGTGTAAAAAGGGCAACGAGAGATAGAGAACGAATCCCGCCCCTGTGCGTGGCCAGAATAATTGCCTCTCCTCCTTACTTAGCGTGGTAGTGCTTGTCGCTCAGTCTGTTTATTATTATCTTTCTCTCTTCGTGGCATTATGTTGTCTCCGCCTGTCTGCGGTTTGTGAAACGAATCTCGCCCCTGGGTGGCCTATATATCAGTACAACCTTTGCAAATTAAGTACAAACTTTGCAATTAAGTACTGTGCCCCTTTTTGGTGGCCAGAAATGTGTTCCTGAGAGCATTTGTAGTTGCTCCTTCCATCTGATGGTTGGGAGTGCTTCAAATGACGAGTTGATCAGTGCTCGGCCCTGTCTTTTGTTCACCTCGTACGGTTTGAGATGGACGCCTTTTTTTCTGCATCGGTCTGGCGTTGGTACTGCAACAAAACAACACATTTCACCGGATCTGCCCTGCATGGTTT